GCGTTTTTGCGATACATTCGGCTTCCATTTTTGACGTATTATTGCGTAATAATGAGAGCACAGAAAAACTAAACTATTGTAATTCTGAAACATAAGTTGTAAAATGAAATATAATTTCCGATGGATAAATGAATTTCAAGACAGAATGAAGCGAAAAAATCCATGTAAGACATATATAAAACGGTATTATACGAATCAAGATCAGGTTACAATTGAGAAAAGTACTTAATATTTAGAGGATGGTTTCTTACTAACTGTCCATATAAATTTTCTCAAATTTTAGTATTCAGTACATTACTGTACGATCTTTCTGATGACACATACGTTTTTGCGGTAAAAAGAAAAAAACCCGGGTTTTTTTCGATAACTTGGACCCAAGTTTTTGACGTATTATTGCGTAATAATCAGTTCACGGAAGAACTAAACTATAGTGATTCTGAAGAAAAAGAAAATGTACTCTTTAATATAAATATAATATAATATATATAATATAATATATAATGTTATAGGTATATATTTATTCTTATACATAAATATATCGATTTATATTGATTCAATTATTCGGCGATCATAATAAAAATTCTTTCAATTGCGTTTTGTGAAATTGACATGGATATATTCTTGAAGTCATTTTACCCAGATCTGCAAGGATATCATTGATTACTGCATTCATTGCATTTTGTCTACCTGAAATATTAAGACACGAAGATACTGGGCAGTTGGCATAAGCTGAAAATGATTTAAAACAAATTACAATATTTAATATTACATTACTTTTCTTACCGTGCTTTTTTGAATAACTCGTGTAGGTGACTAGATATTGTCTCAGTTCCTTTCTCAGTTTTCGAGTCGATTTTAAATTTTTTGACTAAAACACCTTTTCTCTTGTAGTTTACATTTTCTTTGCAATAAAATGCAAGATAAACAGTATCGGACGCATGATTCTCCCACTCATCTGTAACACATCTAACATGTGCGTCATCAATCTCTGCAACTGTGTCATTTTTGAATAATAAAGCGGTATAGTGTCCACTGTACATTTCTTCGCCATGATGTAATGCACACGCATGTAATTTGTATTGGCATGGTTGGTCTGCGATTACAGGAATTTGCGTTTGCAAATGTACTTTTGAATGTAGCTTTCTTAAAAACCCACCAGAATTTTCAAACCGTATGAACATTAGAATCAAAACTTCAGGTAGCGATAATATTCTAGCAATCCGTCTATGCTCTGTCTCTCCTTTGCAAGTCTTGCACTTTGATTGATACTTATACTCCTTTAAACTCTTATAAAGCGAATCCGACACATCCGCGATTTCCTCGCCTAACGGAATGTATTGGGTCGTCATTGTTTCTGGAGCATTCGTTTCTTTTCCTCCACAATTGCAACAAACCTTTGTATATTCCAGTTTAAGTTGAAAATGAAGTGTAAGGACATCTTCATATCTCTCATCACGAAAAAGAAACCGAGTTAAACTCTCGTGTATATCGTTTTGCGTGTGTGGTGTGTAGTCAAAATCATCTTGAAACACTTCGTGCAGTTCTTCTGTTAGTTTTTCAGCGCTCTTATTATTACGCAATAATACGTCAAAAATGGAAGCCGAATGTATCGCAAAAACGCTCGTTTTTTTTCTTTTTACCGCAAAAACGTAGGTGTCATTAGAAAGATCGTACAGTAATGTACTGAATGCTAAAATTTGAGAACATTTGTATGCACAGTTAATAAGAAATCATCCTCTAAATATTAAGTACTTTTCTCAATTGTAACCTGATCTTGATTCGTATAATATCACCTTATATATGTCTTACATGGATTTTTTCGCTTCATTCTGTCTTGAAATTCATTTATCCATCGGAAATTATATTTCATTTTACCACTTATGTTTCAGAATTACAATAGTTTAGTTTATCTGTGCTCTGGTTATTACGCAATAATACGTCAAAAATGGAAGTCGAATGTATCGCAAAAACGCCCGTTTTTTTTTCTTTTTACCGCAAAAACGTTGGTGTCATGAGAAAGATCATACAGTAATGTACTGAATACTAAAATTTGAGAACATTTGTATGGACAGTTAATAAGAAACCATCCTCTAAATATTAAGTACTTTTCTCAATTGTAACCTGATCTTGATTCGTATAATAGCGCCTTATATATGTCTTACATGGATTTTTTCGCTTCATTCTGTCTTGACATTCATTTACCCATTGGAAAGTATATTTAATTTTACAACTTATGTTTCAGAATTACAATAGTTTAGTTTTTCTGTGCTCTCATTATTATCAATAATACGTCAAAAATGGAAGTCGAATGTATCGCAAAAACGCCCGTTTTTTTTCTTTTTACCGCAAAAACGTTGGTGTCATGAGAAAGATCATACAGTAATGTACTGAATACTAAAATTTGAGAACATTTGTATGGACAGTTAATAAGAAACCATCCTCTATGATTGTAACTTGTTCTTGATTAGCATAATGGCATCTTATATATCTTTTACGTAGATTTTTTGCTTCATTAAACCTTTCAGTTAAATTTTGAGCATCTTTGGCTATATATTCAGTTTGATACCATAACTAATATTATAATTGTCTAATCTCTAATGTGTCTAATCCTCTTGAATAAATGTGTCTTTTAATTAAGCAGGCATAATGAGATCATCTTTCTTTCGCATTTTGTTCGCTTAAGTGCGTCTATTTTACATGTCATCACTGTTTTAATTGCTTTACTTTAATAGCAGGTCAACCTTCTGTCTTCTGAGTAATCCCTTAATGCCTAAGCGCAGGTTCCATCGTCTGCGCTACAAACGCATCAAAACACGGCACAGCACATTGTATTATTTTGTAGAACAATGAAATCATACCTTCATATAAACAGAAGTTTTAACTTCAATGCAGTGGATGGAATAGGCATGCATTTTGTATGAAATGCATAAATTTAAATTGCACAATTAGGATGATAACGTGGGTATATATGTCAACACCATGTAATATTGTAAGATGTTTTTGCAATGAGTCGTTGCTGTTGCCCTGAAACATTCAGCGTGTAACGTCTGCGTCTTCAACTGATGTGTACTTTTGGATAGATGGGAAAATACTGTTCTAAATAACGTTTGAAACGATCTATATATGCGTGTGAAAGTTGCGCCAGTTTAACTTGTAATCCTAACCTCGTTGGACCATTGTTTGTCATATGGCAATAGTACGTTTGATTTGTATGCACATCTACGCTAATTCTTGTTGTAGCAAATGACTTTGGCAAATTGTAACATTGATAGCGTCGGTGAGAGGATCATATACTAGTTAAGTCTTTTGTATTTATATCATAAGGACATTTTTAATTTGAGAAAGGAAGCAAATAATCCCGAGTATGTTGTGACTGTGCAGCCCAACGATGCACGCCATTTGTAAGGCCGTATTATTCTGTAAAATATAGACGTATGCACAGGAATTGAATAAAACATTTAGTTATGCCATATCTATGCGGGTCAACAACTTCTCACACAGTGCCCAAAATTAATAACCAATTTACTCTGTAAATCTGTATAAAATCGACTGCTTTGTTCTAATTACAGTCTAGCAATGCATAAATAAGCTATACATCTTCGTATTTATAAAGTTTAAACGAAAAAATGGCTAAAAAACCTGTTATTATTAAATGACCAAATTCTACTTTTGAATGATTGAACACAGTTGAATGTGAGGCCCAATCTGAGGCCCAATCTGAGGCCGAATCTGAGGCCGAATCCGCGGCTAACTTCACAGTGGTGTTAAAACCTCGTGTTAATGTGGCCCGAAAATACAGACAAGGGAACGAGCACATGCATCATGGAGGCTGGGGAGAATCAAGTAAACATTGAGTAATTTACGATGCATTTTAGTCTTGTCCCCAGGGCCATGTTGCGAGCGTCTGCGATCAGCTAATCTGTAATAATTCCATGTTTAGTAAATCCTAAACACGAATTTAATCCTTAAGATTAGATTTAGTATTAAGGTTAACCTTAATCGACCATAACCATAATCTAGGACATAATCCTAATCTAATTTCAAAGATTTGGTGTATACGGTAGTAAGTGAGCATGCGTGCCTTTTACGGTGAAGAAATGACAAAAGGCATTCGTAATATGAATGAAATATCACAATGATTTCCAAACAGGTTTTTTTTCATAAATTTATTAACAAAATTACTTCAAATGTGCAAGCAAAGAGTAAAAAACTAAAAAACTATCTAGATATAAACTAAAAGACGTGTACATGCAGATGGTGGTTCATCGTTTAACAGTTCTGAAAATAGAAAACACAATTGTTAATTAGGTGAATGTGAACAAAATACTTGCTTATTTATTTGCTTATGTGTTAACATACTCACTTTGACAAGAATGGCTTGTACGTCTCTCAGTCCAAGACGAAATACTGCTGCAATCGCATTTACTGGAACACGATATAAACAACCTAACTGTATGATGGTAGCTTTCATTCTCTCGTCGATCCCTGGGAAAATTATGAATATTATGAATATCTCATGAATATTAATAATAGATATACATAGGCATTGTCATGCGCAATCTGATAACCAAGATGCTTTCAGTAACATCTCATTCATAAATAATTTGACTATGGTAGCAAAGGATTTTTATTGCACGTGTATTCCTCGCAGATTTGCTTTTTCAAGTCATCGTCATCAATGACGCATTTTTCCTCGCAATCGTCGGCGAATGGGAATGTTTATTCATTATTTGGCTTCAGTGGCGTAGCCAGCCTGACAATTTGGTCCTGCTATGCAAATTTCAAGTCATTAGAATTATTCGTTTCTTTAGAAATTCATTGCTTTCACAGTCGAATTGTCAGACTGGCTACGCCACTGTGAAGCCAAATAATGAATAAACATTCCCCCAATAGGCGTCTAGGTAATTGGCCTGGTCCAGTGTATAAATTTCAAATTATGATAACCACTGCACTCAACTAGCTGGGATTGGCACAAACAAATTTCACAGTTTCATTCCTACCTTCACGTTTCTCCCTGTCTTTCTCTTCGTCTCTCATTTCGACACTTCGAGTTTCCGAAAAGTTGAATTTATTCAGCACTAGGAATATTGCTAACAACGTCAGCGCGATTCGAGCCATCTCAGTTTTGTAAGTGAAACTTTTCTCGATTTTCTCTCTTATCCTATATCAAAAGATCAAAAGAAGTCAGACAACTGAGCGATCCACTAATATTGCATGGTAACCCACCGCGCTGGTAACTGACCTCTCTTCAAGCCAACACCAACCAACTAGCAAACTCCCAGTCGTAATGGACAGTTAAGTATATATCAAGTGAGGGGAACTAACTGTCAAGAGCATATCAAGCATAGTTTCCAGGCCGTTCCGGTTATTAAGGTGGCTCCCTACAATTTTTTGAAATATTGAAAACTTGTGGTTTTGATTTAAAATTTTAGCACGAGATTTCTTGGTAAGGAAAAGAAATTTCCCAGATATATTAACCAACACTCTAACAGTCAGAAATTGCCCATAAGCATGACGTCATTACCGTTGTTATGGTAACAATGGCGATTCAATATGGCCGACATTTTACCTATTCATGCATTTTACTCGAAAACAAGTTCGGTTACCCCAATTTTTTATTTTATAAAAAGTTTTCTTACAAAAAAATGGAAAATATGAACCAGTTAAAAAAAATTCTATAGAGCCAAAATTATTAAAAATGAAAAAACGTGATTTTTCGTTATAGAAATTTTTTGGCTCTATAGAATTTTTTTAAACTTGCTCAAGTTTCCCATTTTTTTGTAAGAAAACTTTTCATAAAATAAAAAATTGGGGTAACCGAACTTGTTTTCGAGTAAAATGCATGAATAGGTAAAATGTTGGCCATATTGAATCGCTATTGTTACCATAACAACGGTGATGACGTCATGCTTATGGGCAATTTCTGACTGTTAGAATGTTGGTTAATATATATGTGAAATTTCTTATACTTGCCAAGAAATCTCGTGCTAAAATTTTAAATCAAAACAACAAGATTTCAATATTCTTAAAACTGTAGGGAACCACCTTAATCTGGGTTGTTTTAAACTTCGCTTCCTGGAGGATGGAAAATAATGCCGTCCTGCAGTAAATCCTGCAGCAAAGTAGTCTAAAGTACATCAGTGATTAATTTGAAAATTAATTTCGTTTGAAAATTAATCCCTTGGAAGTTTAATCGTGCTGGGATAATCAGTTTTTTAGTTAGACATGAACCCTGTAGTGACGTATAATAGCATGTTTGATCCCCATAAGCTAAACCAATCGACAATTATTTCTGCCTAATCTGAAAATATTTCATAATGATTAACTGGAAATCAGAATTATGAGTTACTTCACTAACTGAACAAAGATAAGTACCCTCACCAAAACGACCTCCCTCTCTCTAATTTCTCAATTCTTTGACTGCCTCTTATTCAATTGATTCTTGAATTCAACGTTGCCTTCTTCAAACATGTTGAAGGTGGCCTTTTTATACGCGATAACTGTCCTGTCATACGCCCGGAGTGCGATAAATATTCGTGTATACGCAATTCCGTAAACAAGGGTGTTTTCAGGGTTACCTACGTAATCCATAAATGTCAGTAACATGCGTAAGTGGCAAGTTTACGAAACCTCAAAAAAAATTTATATTAAACATATATTTTTTAGTAAAAAAAAGACGCCTAAGAACAAGTTTTCCACCAACTTCATTTAATGGATTTTGACATTTTGTTTTTCAAATGTTTTGTCCATGTTGCGTGATCCGATTTTGTTCATTCCCAGCATCATGACATCCCCCAACCTCTCTACGTCATCTCGTGACCAACAATCAGATTATCTCCGTCATGACGGCATCAGTGGGTGAGGGGAATAAGAGGATCTTTCATTCTATGATGGGATATCCTTAAGTTTTTTGTTTCGGAGGCGCATCATTGAACTCCCTTATTGCAACCCTTGAAGCACTGAGAATATCTACATATTACTATATCATATTACCATGGCATAGTCAATAACAAATTAGCCTGAATTAATTGTCGTAGGGGAAGTAAGTTTTGCGATACGAATAGGATGGTTTGCTAAATTTATGAAGTAATAATTTAACTGCTAGGTGTTTTTACTGTTGATCAACGCACTATAACCATTGAAACAAGAAATAATTTTTGTTCTCTTTGTTGTGTTAAGAACAAATCCAGTATATGCTCTTTTATATAGTGTTAAAACCTCGTGTTAATGTGGTCTGAAAATACAGACAAGGGAACGAGCACATGCATCATGGAGGCTGGGGAGAATCAAGTAAACAGTGAGTAATTTACGATGCAATCTTTTCCGGTTTGGATTATCCTAGAGCATGACAGGATATTCGCGAACCCGGAGCCACGAACCCGGAGCTGAATATCCTGTTATATCCCGGAGCCTTTGTTTCGCCAGAGGAGTCGCGGGCTCGGGGAACGAGATTGTCTACGATGCATTTTAGTCTTGTCCCCAGGGCCACGTTGCGAGCGTCTGCGATCAGCTAACCGTAATAATTCTGGTATCGAATGGTATTGATTACTTCAATTAATAGCCTGGTATCGAATGGTATCGATTACTCAGTAAAGACAGTAATCGGTAATCGCCCATCAATAGTTTGAATTGTTCTTGTCTTTCTTTATCAAGACCATAAAAAGTCAGGCAAAAATAATCTTATTAATTTATTTATGAACTTCAAGCGAGAAGAATACAATAACTACAAGTAATTACTTAGTAACTACAGCAATATTTTTTCTACATCAAGGTAATATCTATAAGTGAATACAGTAAATAGTTGTAAAGCAAATAAATACAGCGAAATGCTCTGTAAAACGTATAGTTCATTGATGCTATACGCGAGTCCCGAAGTCTGGTTCCATTCGTGGTATTTTTCAACAACTCTAGAAAAAAATAAACCAGAAAACAAGTTCAGTTGGGTATTTAAATGCTAGGGATTTATGTATGTATTTAAATGTCCAGGATATCTCATTTTTCAATCTTTAAGGTCAGGAGCAAAACGGTTTGAAAACTTTGAAGTGACAAAGAGTTGACTTTGAGTGGAAGTTAGTATAGATGTCGAGACCTTAAAAAACTGGTCCTTTAAACCGGGAAGACATTTTTGTGGCGGAATATCCATGCATTTCCTCGAAACTCTTGGGTACGAGGTTGGCGTTTCCTCAGCTCTTAGAGTTACACATATTTTTATCATCTTCACTTACTAATTCGTCGATAACCGCCTGAACTTCGGCCACAGAGAGGTTGAGAAAAAATGCAATTTTAGCAGCTGAAAGTCCGAAGTCGCAGACAAACGTTTTAATTTTCCCCCTCGTTATCTCGTCAATCCCTGGGCATTTTGGTAGAATGGTGTTGCAATTAGAGATGACGTCATTGACTGCTTGCACTGGAAACGAGATGCCAGCGGCAATGGTGCTCGCTGCTATATTTTTGCATTTATTGTCCTCACAAATCTTCTTTTTCACACCCTGGTCCTCGATGATGCATTTTGACGAGCAACTGTTTGCAATTACGTAGCGTACAGTCTTCAGTGGCTTTTCAACATCGTCCATGATATCCTGGATTTTCGCTGATTTACAATAATGCAGGTGACAAATCTTCTTCACATTTTTGCTGGAAACTTCGCAAATCCCACATTCTGCCACTGTTTCTGCCACCTGAAAAAGATGTTATGAGGGTTATGAAAAAAGTGTTCTACGCCTATTTTGACGACTGGTTTGCATCCTGAAAGCAAACCTAGCAATAACACATGCCTCGCTTAACTCGCTTTTATGACAACTTTTCAATCAATGTCTCTCTCAGTGCCTCTCGAGTCACAATGCCATGATTTCACAGAATTCCTCGAAATACAACGCTTAAAATGATACTCAAATATAGGCCTGAATAATAATGATTTCAGCAGAATTTCTGGAAAGTACAGTTTTCAAAACCGTACTCAAATAGGCCTGCAGGGGTAACCAAGATTCCTCGGAGATACAACGCTCAAAACAGTACTCAAATAGGCCTGAATAAATGAAGGTAATTTCAACATGATTCCTCGGAAATACCGTGCTGAAAAAGTGTCAAATATTCAAATGATAAGTTAATTACTCGACTTTCTTTCAAGGTAACCCTCTCTGCGATTTTAGCGTTCGTGTTGTAGACGCAGTGAAGGAAACAAATGAGGTTTTTCGTCTTAGGACTGAGAGGGGGACAGGTGGGGAGAATGGTGCGGCAATTCGGTATTACGTCATCAACAGCTTGTTTTGGGTACTTCACTTTCTCAGCGATGGCACTCGAAGTTAATCCTTTGCATTCACTCTCTTCACAAATCTTCTCTTTCACGTCCACGTCGTAAATGATGCATTTTGACGAACAGTTGTTCGCAATGACAAACTGCACCGTAGGTAGTGGTATCTCAACATCGTTTACTATTTTTGTTATGTTCGTAGATTTACAGTAGTGTTGATGACAAATCTTTCTCACGTCTTTGGCCCTGACATCGCATATCGGACAATGAGCCTGGATTACCATTTCTACCTGAAGAAATATAATAAATCAACGATTATTGCTTTACAGTTTACTGACCCATGTTTAATACTTTTAACTGAGCAAATGAGAAATGGATTTTTGCTCATAGCCCATGCGGACAACCCAAGAATGATTGTTTTCTAGTCATGTTTTCTAAAGGTGGACAAATCAAGAATTATTGTTTTCTAATCATGTTTCCTAAAGGTGGGCAAATCAAGTATGATTGTTTTCTAGTCATGTTTCCTGAAGGGGGACAAACCAGGAAACATTGTTTCCTAGTTAAGCATGTACATCAATGTATTTAGTTACCTGGCTTTCCTTCAAGATGGCATGTGGGGCAATTTCTGGAATAGTTTCAAAGGAACAGTACAGAGTACACGACGTTCTTATGGACTTGGGAGTGATCTTTGGATCAGGACATCTTGTCAGGAAGTCGGCGACCATAGCAGTTGTAAGTTCCTGTGTATAATTTAGGAGTTGCGAAACGATGGTATTATGGTCCGTGTAACCTTGATAAAACTCATTACAAACACGATACAAAAGGTCAGGACTGTTTAAGAGACAGTTTTCGTTCCATCCCTCGTGTTCTGCAAACTTTGTGAGGATTTTCCTGAATTCTTTCATGGACGTGTAGGGTACTTGTTGATCGTTCACACAATCCCTTCGGTTCAGCTCGTTCTTCTTCACCGCCACCTCGTAGAACAAGCGTTCAAACTTGTCTCTACCCGTTTGGCAGTCTTTTAATACAATGTTTATAGCGTGGAGTTTGTCTCCCAGACAGTCATATTTATATCCAACACTTTTCAAAGCGTATACGAGCGATTTTTCAAGCTGCAATGTCTTTTTCACGCCAGCCGCGGCAATGTTGTCGATGAAATGCTGGATAGTATTCGCCGTCGCGGTGTTCGCATTTTCAGCATTAAGAGTGAGATTCTTGATTTCTTTCAACCAATCTGTAGTATTTTCACTCGCGAGAATCTCTTTTACTTTATCCCAAACCTATGGTGAATATTAGTATTAGCATTCACCATGCAGATTTACTGAAGCTACTATAGCTCAGACATAAATTTAAAACCGAACTAATACAGTATATTTAAAGAGATATTGAATTATACCTCCTTAGAATGAAACCACATAACTAATGATAGATTAATCATTGTCTTTAGCCTGAAGCCTTAAATCTTTAATGGTATAGGTTTATCAATTACCTCAACTTTAACTTGTCTTGCAATTGGTACAATTTCAGTAACTCTTGTTTTCTCGATTTTGTCACTCTGTAGCGCTAGTTTGTACGCTTTATCCTGCATTCCGTTTGCTAGTGATTTACAGGCGTCTATTTGCTTCCATGAACTGTATATGCTCAGTGCTACATAAGATAAGTCATAAGGAAGTAACGGGTAAGATTTGGAGGACATTTTTAAAGATTGATCATGTGGAAGCATTGTCATGAATAGTTGTCATTATGGTAACGATGGTGATTGAGCCTGACCACGTGGTGATGAACCTGGTGATGAGCCTGACCAGATGGTGAATGGTGATGAACCTGGGGATGAATAGGTGATGAACCTGGTGCCGAATAGGTGATGAACCTTGCGATGTTAACGATGATAGTAACCATAGCAAGGTTAATGTGGTGGAGGACTGGGGGTGATTAATAAAGTGAGGATATGCATGTTGACAGCGATATTGAGCAATTCCACATTTGCACACTTATAAATTCCGCTAAGCATCACTAACCTGTTATCGCACCGTTAACAATTCCGTTTATGGCAACTCCCCATTTGCTAGGTTTCTTTTGTGCAAGCTGAGCCTTGTACTCCATCTTTGCGCTTTGTCGAATTTGTTTATCGACCAGTGGGTTTTGAATACTGCTCACAAACGCGTCCAGTTTCATAGCTCTCGTGTTAGTACTGCCCTTAAAAGACTGTTTTGCTTTATTTATGACATCAGCCCGCATGTGCTTGTACATCTAAAAGTTGATAACACATTGCAATAATCAAACTTTCATCAAGATTTCATTGTGCATAATAGCTAATATAATTATGTCCAAGCTCAAAGCAACCCAGGCAGCTTTAAAGGCAGGAAAGAGGGTCAATTTCTGGCTAATATAATTATGTCCAAACTCAAAGCAACCCTGAATAAAGGCAGGGAAGAGGGTGAATTTTTAGATTTGTCCAGTCTTTCAACGCAGACTCAATATGAAGAACACTCATAAGTATTCTATCATGCAGAAAGATTATTTGCATTCTTCAGTGAAGCTAACTTTTGCACCGTAAGATCTTTTTGTAACTCACCTTGTTGATAGCGATTCGTTCCTTCATCATTTTTATCATTTGTGTTCCCAATGGCAATGCAATGCTCAACGCTAGCAGACCATCGTCTTCCCATGTCCATTTATCGAACATGCCTTCCACTGCCCCTCTTCCAATTACATCATTAAGAGTGAATCGATAATTTCGCAAGAGAGACTGCAATAAAAAAAGAACACCGATAATTTTGCTGATTTTAAAACCTGCTTTTCAAACTAATTTTTATTCTAATCTTTCTTTTATTGTTTATCAGATCTGATAATGATAAAATGATAAAAAACTCATTACCCAGCAAGGGACGCACATATTATGATTAGACCTATGATTAGATGTTTGTTAACGCAGAAATTAAGGCCACACCACATATTTACCTGGATTTCATTAGTTTTGCTTAAGAATTTATTGGTAAGGTTTCTATCCCTCTCAATCATTTGAAACATAAAACGCTCAACCTTCCCATTGATATTTTCAATAGCTGTAAATATTCTCTTGAGATCAATATTTGCGCTGATTCCATCTGTCGCCAGTTGGTACGCTAAAAAACGACAAACACTTTTCATTTTTGTATCATGAAACTTTACTTTTTCATTTTTGTGTCATTAATAAACTTTCACTTTTTCATTTTTGTGTCAAAGCCCCCCTGGGCTTCACTCAGTATGTGAGACGTTTATCCCACCACGAACCCCTTTATCCTGAACCTTCCACCCTCATCCCCCTTTAACCCACTGTAACAATGGCTTCGTTTACGTACTATCAGATGCTAATTGATCCATGGTATCCAACTTTGCCCTCATATTTTCTTTCTCTGTTTGCATATAGTTATCATTTACATCGGGTGTGGTACAGACATTTGGGCAGGTCACATAGCGGCAATGTAGTGTTTTGCAACTACTTGGTTCATAAGTGTTGCATTTTGTGATTTCTGTATGGATGGTGACGCCTGTGCTTCCTAGGAAGGATCCCACCGCTGCATATTTTAGGGCGTTACCCCAGGCACCTGCGAAAAAGAAAACAATATTCATTAAGGTAACTTGCTCTTGGTTTTATAACTTTCACGAGTGGTGATTGGATTTTTTTAGTCCCATTCCTTTCCCCCCATTTTAGATCACCTGAATTGCATAAATGATAAAAGTATTACGCCACTGACTTACGCTTTTCTCTGGAATGAGCCTCTACTGATTTGGGGATTTCGGGAGCTAAATCAGGTGAAAAAAGATTGTGTCACAAGATGCTTGCAACCTGTGGACATCAGTTTGAGAAATATGAAGGTTTGTAGTGGGGAGAAGGGAGGCACATCCATAAATGCAATTATTTAACTTTTACCAAACTGATTTCGTTTGGAAGCGATTGTTTTGTCAATATGTGAAGCCAAATAATGAATAAACATTCCCCCAATAAGTATCTAGGTAATTGGCCTGGCCCAATGGATGAATCTCAAATTATGATAGTCACTGCACTCAACTGGGATTGGCAGAAACAAATTTCACAGTTTCATGCCTACCTTCACGTTTCTCCCTCTCTTTCTCTTCGTCTCTCACTTCGACACTTCGAGTTTCCGAAAAGTTGAATTTATTCAGCACTAGGAATATTGCTAACAACGTCAGCGCGATTCGAGCCATCTCAGTTTTGTAAATGAAACTTTTCTCGATTTTCTCTCTTATCCTATATCAAAAGATCAAAAGAAGTCAGACAACTGAGCGATCCACTAATATTGGTAACCCACCCGCGCGCGCTGGTAACTGACCTCTCTTCAAGCCAACAACTAACTAGCAAACTCCCAGTCGTAATGGACAATTAGGTTTAATATCGTAAGTATATGTCAAGTGATGGGAACTAACTGTCAAGACATATTATATTGTGTTCGAATCAAATCGCATTTCCCTTGGGCTTGGGTTTAGTAAATTATTATGGGTTGTTTTAAACTTCGCCTCCTCGAGGATAGAAAATGATGCCGTCCTGCAGCAAGGTAGTCTAAAGTTGATCAGTGATTAATTTGAAAATTAATTTCGTTTGAAAATTAATCCCTTTAGGGAGTTCTAATCGTGCGGGGATAATCACTTTTTTAGCTAGACATGCACCCTGTAGTGACGTATAATAGCATGTTTGATCCCCATAAGCTAAACCAATCGACAATTATTTCTGCCTAATCTGAATACATTTCATAATGATTAACTGGAAATCAGAATTATGAGTTACTTCACTAACTGAACAAAGATATCTGCCCTTACCAGAACCACCTTCCTCTCTCTTAATTTCTCAATCCTTTGACTGCCTCTTGATTCTTGAATTCAACGTTGCTTTCTTCAAACATGTTGAAGGTGGCCTTTTTATACGCGATAACTGTCCTGTCATACTCCCGGAGTGCGATAAATATTCTTGTATCCGTAAACAAGGGTGTTTTTAGGGTTACCTACGTAATTCATAAATGTTGTTAACATCATTACCGTCACGGCAACCATTTCCGTGGCAGTTCACGAAGCCTAAAAAATTTTATGCATTCAGTTTAAAACATTTTTAGTTAAAAAAGACGCCTAAGAACAAGTTTTCCACCAGCTTCATTTGATGGATTTTGACATTTTGTTTTTCAAATGTTTTGTCCATGTTGCGTGATCCGATTTTGTTCATTCCCAGCATGACATCCCCCATACAACCTCTCTACGTCATCTCATGACCAACCATCAGATTATTTTCGTCATGACGGCAGTCCAGTGGGCGAGGGGAATAAGGGGACCTTTGATTCTCTGATGGGATATCCTTAAGTTGTTTGTTTCGGAGGCGCTTCATTGAACTCCCTTATTGCAGCTCTTGAAACACTGAGAATATCTACATATTACTATATCATATTACCATTGCAGGGTCAATATCAAATTAGCCTGAATTAATTGTCGTAGGGGAAGTAAGTTTTGCGATGCGAATAGGATGGTTTGCTAAATTTATGAACTAATAATTTAACTGCTAGGTGTTTTTACTGACTAAACTAGGCTAAATTAAGTCAAACTTCTTTCCATAGGAAACAGATTTACCTTAACTTAACTAATTAATTTCAAAAAACTGAGAGAACTTCATGTAGTCCGTGTTTCTTCATTTTACGTGTAGTACATGTTTGCAATAGATGCTTGAGGTTTTCAGAGAGTAATTTATATTTCTTTTTGAAACGAAAACCATACGCATTCCTCTTTTGAACACTCTTGCACGTGGCATTGATTTCATGGTACAAAACACGCTGAACGTATACATAACAATATTTAGGAATGAGGTTCCTCTCCCTCGCATTGCGTGACTAATTTCCCCTAGTCTAATATAACATTTTAATCAATTGCTCCTTCAGGCTCACTCACACAAATAATTTAGGCATATTTTAGGTGTATTTCCTTCCTGGGAGGAAAACAGCTCAAGTGATCATCGTATATTTGCTGTCAAAACATACACCGCTTTATAGATAAAAATTACCAATATATAGCTTTATATACATCACCATTACGTGGTTGCAAATTTCCATCTCCCTGATGTTCATTTTTCCCTCTTCGAACTAGCTAGGGGCGTGTTCTCATAGTGTAAAGACACTCTTATTTGACAAATTTTAGACCTGGCGCTTCATTTTTGTCAACTCACTATAACCATTGAAACAAGAAAGAATTTTTGTTCTCTTTGTTGTGTTAAGAACAAATGCAGTATATGCTCTTTATAACGCTTATAACAATAAACACTGCGCGTAATTGATTGAAATGGGCAACAAAACCTCTTTTTTACGTGCCACTTACGAGGGGAAATCTCTACTTATATGAAGTATCCTCGCTGGAAAAATTTCAGTATGACCGAACTAACCAAAGTTACAAAACTAACTAACCATTAACTAACTAACCAACCGAACTAACCATTTTAACTTAAAATTAACTTTAAAATTAACCTTGACTCAACCACAAAATGCTAAGCCTAAATGGGGAATATTGTGGGGCAGATTTGACCGGTGATAAGTCTATTAGTGAACCAATACATTGTAATAAAATTATAGAAACAACCCATTTTAACTTTGTCCACGCAAATTTCACACGTAAAAGCTAAAATCTAATTTGTTGTACAATCGCATGCTACAGATTGAACAACGTTATGCTTGAAGCAATTTTTATCTATCTTGCAAAATATAGTGTTGAAACTTGAAACCTCGTGTTAATGTGGTCTGAAAATACAGACAAGAGAACGAGCACATGCATCATGGAGGTTGGGGAGAATCAAGTAAACAGTGAGTAATTTACGATGCATTTTAGTCTTGTCCCCAGGGCCACGCTGCATGCGAGCGTCTGCGATCAGCTAATCCGTAATTATTCCTTGTTTAGTAAATCCTAAACATGAACTTCCTAATCCTAATCTAATCTCAAAGATTTGGTGTATTTAGGATTAACTGAGCATGGTGTTTTTAAGACGTCTTTAGCATTCCTGCTTTCTACGGCGAAGAATTGACAGAAGGCATTCGTAATATGAATTTAAAATATCACAATGACTTTTAATCAGGGTTTTTTCATAAATTTATTAACAAACAATTACGCTAACAAAATTACTTCATTCATGCAATGGGCATGTGCAAGCAAGACTTGAAAACTAAAAAACTACTACAGACTAAACCGGCTGTCCTACACAACTATGTTCGTGTAGATAATTTGTACAATCAGACCAGTCAGTAAAGACGCATACACGCAGATGACGATTCATCGTAGTTAACAGTTCTGAAAAATAGAAAACACAATTCGGTTAGTTAGGTGAATGTGAACATGAAAATACTCGCTTATTTATTTGCTTAAGGCCCTGTTACACGGTGCAATTTTTCTTGCAACTTGGAATGCAATTCTACTTTTGAGACTGATGTAAATTTAGCAACTACCAAACGTTTGTCTTTATACACTCCATGGCGTTTCTTACACTTACATTTTGAAGTCTCTTCACTCATTTACAACTCTCAAAAGTAGAATTGCATTGCAAGTTGCAAGAAAAATTGCACCATGTAACATGGCCTTTATGCGTTAACATACTCACCTCGTCGAGAATGGCTTGTACTTCCTCCACTGTAAGACTAAACGATGCTGCAATCGCACTTGCTGGAACACCAAAAGAACAACCTAACTGTATGATGCTAGCTTTCGTTGCATCGTCGATCCCAGGACAATCCGGAAGAATCGTGTCGCAATTAGGAATGACGTCATTCACGGCTTGCTCTGGATAGCTGATGTCAGCGGCTATGGTAGCAGCGGATTTATCGTTGCACTTGTATTCCTCGCAGATTTGCTTTTTCAAGTCATCGTCATCAATGACGCATTTTCCCCCGCATTCGTTGGCGATCACGTACTCCACCGTTGGAAGCGGCAGTTCAACATCGCTCACAATGCTCGTGGTGTTTGCCGATTCACAATAATACTTGTGACAGATTTCTTCTGCTTCGCTCCCGGAGTAATGGCATATGGGACAATCCTCTATCACCTCTTCAACCTGAAGAAATATTGGGAGGAAAGCTTTATTACACTTGGGAAAATATTTCCATTCAGCCTCAGTTTTCAACATTGCTTATTCGGGTCCAAATCGGGTTACCCCACCTATTCAAATCCCCTTGAGCCTGAACTATATTTCTATCTTCCTCCACCGACCTTTTTCCCTATATTGCTATATATTTTTTAAATTATATTCCAATAGATAATATGGAAACTTACTCGAGTGTCTTTCACGGTGACAGTCTCTGCAATAGTTTGGGTAGGAACTAGGAGACAATATAAGAGGCAAATTTGGCCTTTTGTAGTATCGTCAATCGGGGGACAGGTCGGCAAGATGGTATCACAATTGGATATGACGTCATTGACTGCCGTCTCTGGATAGCTGACGTCATCAGCAATGGTACTCGAAGTTATTCCTTTGCATTCGCTGTCTTCACAAATTTCCTCTTGCACGTCTTCGTCATAGATGATGCATTTTGAAGAGCAATTGTTTGCGATAACGTATTCCACAGTTGGACGCGGTAGTTCAACCTCGTCCATGATGACGGTGGTATTCACAGAATCGCAGTAGTGCTGTTTGCAAATCTCCGTCACATCTTTATATTCAAAGTCACAAATTGGACAATCCTCGATCACACTTTCTACCTAAAAGAAAAAAAAGTTGCGGTCACGCTTTTTTGCCATCATCATGCATCATGGAAATTCAGGTCGATTCGGATTTAATGAATATAACGAAAAGCTGGTTTTCTTGGCCATGTTTTCCAGGCCGTTCTTCGTGAAGATATAAAAATACCTCATTGAACGTTCGTCTTTACTATCTTACCTGGTACTCTTTCAATAGTGCTTGAGGTGCGATTTCTGCGACAGTGCTGTACAAGCAGTACAGAGTGCATGTCGTCGAAATGGAAGTGGGGGTGATATCAGGGTCGGGACATTGTGTTAGGATCGTTTCCACTACTTCAAGTGTGACATCCGTGTTATTCACATTCTCGACGATGGCATTGTTGTCGAAACCTTGCAGATTTTCATTGCAAACCTGGTAACTAAGACTAGGACTGTTCAATAAACAAGTGCTGGACCAGTCCCCCTCGTGCTCTGCAAATGCATCAACTATCGTTCGAAACTGTTCAATGGACGTGTACGGCACCATATCATCGTCCACACAGTCATCTCTGTTCAGCTCGTTTCTGATAACAGCCACTTCATTGTAAAGGTTTTCAAGGGTGTCGTCGCCAGCTTTGCAGTCGATTATAACAGTATTTATAGCGTGGATTTTATCTCCTAAGCAATCGTACTTGTAACCGATGCTATCCAAGGCTTCAATGAGGTTGTTTTGCATTGTCATTGTTTCATCAACACCAGCCGCTTCAATGTTTTCAATAAAACGATCGATTGTGTCCGCTGTCGTGATGTTCGGATCTGCAGCATTAAGTGTGAGATTCTTTATTTCTTCCAACCATACTGTCATGTTTTCACCCGCGAGCATCTCCTTAACTCCTCCCCAGGACTAGAATGAGAGGATAAAAATTAATTTCGCTCAAGATGCAGAGCTTCATATGCGGCTGATTCATGCCAATTTCATTCTACATGAAAAGGCTGTTAATACTTCACACACGATTAAATTGCCCGATCCAGTTGACTTCTGACCATTGAAAAATATATGTGGAGTATATACCATACTTATCAATTACCTCAGTTTGAACATCTTCCCAAAGCGGAAGAAGCTCGTTCTGATTGATTCCCTCGATTTCGTCCCGTTGTTCAGCTATTTTAAGGGCCTCATCTCGCAGGTTGTTTGCAACATCAATACAACTCCATACTGCTTCCCATATGCTCCAAATACTTAATGCTGTGGTACATAGAAGAAAGAAAAGTATTAGCTTTTGTTAACTCTATCAGATAGTAATCAAGATTCTGACAACAATAATTAAAATCATGATAATGAAAATTATGTCGGTGATGATGATGACAATGATCATAATCAATATGATGATGATATTATAAGAATAATGATAATTATATTTGTGATGATGATAATTATATTGGTGATTATGATAATCATTATATTGGTGATGATGGTAATCATAGTAATGACGATGTTGATGATGATGAAGATTTACCTGCAACTGCTGCGTTCATTGCTAAATTTAATCGTGTTGCCCATTTGTTTGGTGTTTGACGCGCTACCTGGGCCTTGTATTCTAGTTTGGCACATTGTTTAAGGTGAGCTTTAACATGGGGGTTTCGAAGACTTTTCACCCACATATCATGTCGGAATGACTTATAAAGACTGCCTCCTTTTTGCGCGTCAACTTTTGCTATAAAATCAGCTTTCATCGTTGAATACATCTGAAAATGGTTAAATAAAATATTGTTTGAATCGAATGGTGAAGGTATATAAGGTTACAAGATAGTATTTTCATAGTTCAAGCCAAGTTTTATGCTCTCATGCTGTTATCCCGCTAACTATCAAACTATATTGCCACACTTCCTGTGTGTCAATGATCTGTCAATCCAGCGTATGTTAAACAGTGATTAAGGTTAGATTTAGGATTAAGGTTAACGTTAGTCAACCATAAGCTTAATCTAAGACCTAATCCTAACCCTAAGTTAATCTCAAGGATTAAATTCGTGTATTTAGGATTTATTTACAAAACATAGTAGCATTATTATCATCAATTCATCAAAGACCTCAGCCTGCAGAAGAATTGTTTAAGAATGATACGTTTCTCGGTTACCTTATTGACGGCGTATCTTTGTCTAACCATTTCTGTCATTTTGGCTCCAATCGGCAAAGCTAAAGACAGCGTTAACAGCCCATCTCCCTCCCAAGTCCATCGATCAAACATTCCTTCAACTTCACCTCTTCCAACTATTTCGTCAATGCTGAATCGCGCATCTCTTAATAAAGCCTGAGTTAAGGAGAAGCATTTATTTAGTGGACTTTTGATACTAAAAACATTAGTGACCCCCCCCCCCCTACCCGGAGTATACTGCAGTGGAGTTAGGTTATGTGGGGTATATAGGGTTACTACGTTATCACATTGTAATTGTAGAGGGAAGCTTGCTTAATTTTTTACCAGGGCTCCCTCAGATTCCGTTTTCTCACTGTCTTTATTCTCAAAGTTTGAATGCAAGGGTAACTCATGGATGGCTATAGCTACGGATAGTAAAGAACCAAACCAAAACAGAATTTCGTGTTTTAAAGGAACGCTCCCTGTATGGCATTTTGAAACTTTAAAATCAAGCTTATACCTGGATTTCTACTGATCTCGCTGCATATTCTGCGCTGACGTTACGATCGGCTTGTGCTAAGGCGTACATGAATCGATCAACCTTGCCATTAATGTTATCTATTTTATTATAAATCTGTTCCGTTGCAAGACTCACACTTTGCGAATCTAATGCCAGTTGCTGGGCTAGAATATAAAAAAACAGCCGTTTACTTTCGTTAAGCGTCGATTTCCTGTTTGGCGGTCAAATAAGGACAGAACAGATAAAGCATAAACACTACTAATATTCATATCACAATATCTAAACTACAACTATCCACTCCGCCCCTCCCAACGAAACGGTATTCCGAACGAAAATGTTTTGAAACTCAAACTGAGTGGTTGAAATTGTATAACAGTTTATGTGACAGTGTAGTAACACATATACCTGTCCTTCAAAATGGCGATTTTCGAGGACCCAGAGGAATTTAAATTTTCTCACTTGGCGCCTCGTGGGCGGCCCCCTCCCCCCTCCCCGCCCCCAATTCCCCCCCATTCCTCAACATCATTCTACGCCCCTGCTTTCCACAACCCACCCCTGCTGTATATGATGTGCATCGTGTTCATACCATTCAATGTTGTAATGTCCATTGCATCAAGCAATTCATTAATTTCGACTTTCTGTTCTCGCAAGTATTCATCATTGTCATCAGGTGTTTTACAAACATCTGGACAATCGTAAGTTTCACATGATGGCTGCCTCTCGCATGGCACCGGATAGAAGTCGTTGCACTTTGTTATCTGTGTGTATATGGTGACACCAGTGCTGGCTGCAAAGCTTCCTTCCGCGGCAATTTTAAAAGCAGCCCCCCATCCTCCTTTAATGGTAAAAAGGTGAATATTAGTTAATGGATCAACCTGCCTCTTATAGCCAACCATGCAGTACAAATAACATTTTATTAAGCGTGCAGTTCGACTTTTCAAAATGACGTTTTGGATGAGTTTTCGAGCGTTTTAATCCTCTTTGATTATACGTGCTTGTTTGTATATATGCAAGAAGATCATGGCATATGAGTAAAATTTGGTTCAGTCGACCGCCATGAAAAGACTTGGTGGTCTCGGTGGTGATATTGTTAGGAGTTTTCTTTATACGGTTATTACGGTATATTGAGACGGCAAACAGTTCACGCTTTTGTATAAACACTTACGTTTTTGTCGGGAGTGTGCCACTGATGAACCTGTCTGGTTTCTTGCAGCTGCAGCTGTCTCTAAAACGTAAGAAAGATCAAAACGGCAATTATAGAGGCATCGTGTGGTGCAGAATACCAGCGGCCTGAACTGAATACCAAAGCGTACCATGCATAGCGGCCTATATGTCCTCATGCTTTGCATGGTTGCTATCGCTCGCATTACCTTCATGATCGCGTTTTTCTTCTTTCACTTGCTTTTTGGCCCCTTCAATGCTCCGAGATGCTGCAGGATTGTTATGATTTAACAGCAGAAATATTGTTATCAATGCTCGCGTAAAACAAAACATCTTTCACGCGAAGTAAAACTTCAGTCTTGCGATTTCTTTATCACCCTAGAAAACACAAGCGTTAATGATTCGTCTCTTCTAGATGAAAAAGATTTTTACTAAATTTTAGCCACATATCACATGCACATACCTAATCAGGCGCGACTTTCAAATTAGGAAGCACAGACGGCTGGTCTCCCTCTTTGTGTAAGTGAATATTGTTGTGACCATCTGAATGATGGACGTGTATTTATTGAGTAAGGCAGGGGAAATGACTGTCAGCAGAATGTTGTGTCATGCATTGCCATTTTTATCCCAAGTGCAGAGGAAATGGCGCTGAATTGTTATTTCCAATAAAGCGCGCTCACCGGCGTTAATTAAACCCTTTCCTTAAATTGACCAATATTCCTCATTCATTCCCTCAATCCCTCTTCTTGTTTAATTTCTATTAAAATTTTTTAACATGAGACACCTAACAGCGACAATATTTTTAAAGGAGAAAATATTCTCAAATTAATTATATTTTGCAAATACGGAAAGTGGGTTTTGGAATTCGTCTTTTCACATTGTTTCGTTTGTTTGAATCCATGTGTGGGATAATTGAAAGTACGCAAAAATGGCGGAAGTTCGTCATTGCGAGAAAGGCGAGTCGCGGGCTCGCGGCGCATTTGCGTGTTGTTGGTAATAAAGGCGTTTGTACGTCCACGAGATTTCAAATTAAAAACTGTATATTAAATAACTCTAAATGGTTCAATTTTTCTTCTGAATACGCATTCTGCGATCTTTTAACAGCTCATCATACACGTCTGACAGCTGCCTAGAGCTGTTTGCGATAAAGATTATTTCAATCGCCCAACTGATGGTTGGATTTCAGTGAACCTCCTTAGATATTACCATTGAAGGCCGTCACTGAGGCCACACTTAGCTTACGCCAAATGCGAACGAGATTTTAGAAATAGCGCATAAGACTCAGGTGCATGTATATATGATATGAATATTGTTATGAGATTTTAGAAATTAGCCTGCGAGCATGCTTATGCATAAATATACCACACACGGGGGGGAACTAAAGCAAATGCAGTACTGTTTTATCAATTACACAGTGCGTATCATACGTCAAAAGTGAATTAGATTTAACAAAATTGGATCTTGCATGTTAGCTGGATCACATGCACGCATGTTTAACTTTAGTTCTATCATGCATGCTTCATTCGACATATTAAGAGATTTTGTACCAAATAGTGTCAATCCATCTTTTCAATTCAGTTGAGACGTCACAGGATTAGCACGGCTCAAGATTAGATCTCACTCAAGTCCCAAGAGAAGAGTCCTCGAGTTTTAGTTGTCATAACGCTAAACTATGAACCAATGAAGTGAAGATTCACATGCATGCAGCGATCAGAACTCGATCAAAAATCATATTCACTTATCAAAATTCATCCCATTTTTAAAAAATAACTCATCCTTTTTAAATTGAACAACATTTTCTTTCAAAAAACCTGGTATTATATCTCAAGGCCTCGTTCTCGAAATCCTACTCTGCAAAATCCACTCAATTCATCTACATCATAGCGACATGCAGGGGAGGAAATTTGATAGGCCAGGAAATCAAAGTAGTTATTTGTTTTGCATCATAACTATTGCTGGGCAGTGCATAACTAACATCTTTGTCTTACGTAGACATGCATTCTAAATTAATTTTGTTCGCCTTCAAGCCCACCCACGCGAATAATTTATGGCATATTTTTCCCGTACGTTTCCCCTGTTTCAAAGAGGAATTGCTGCTTGCAGATGGCTGCCAAATTGTTATCGCATAGCTTAGTATATTTGTTCTCGAAAACAATGATTTTGTGAAACTCATATAGCAACATAGCAAGGCAAAATCACGTTGACTGACGAAATATTTTCAAAAACGTTGCATACTCCAGTAAACATTCATCCTCCTCCTCTTTTAATTATATTTCATTACAACATCAACGGAAGGATGCTGAATCTCAATAATGATGTGTAATTCTTCGAGTGTTTTCGTGACAAGAAAATAAAATTAATTTTTACTTGTCTTCAAGATCAATCAAGATGGATGCTTTTATAGTCCATTGACATGCATGTAATGTGTGCATCACTCAAGGCACATACAGCACTGTTTTTATCAATACACTGCCTACACATTTTATACGGTCAGAAGTGAATTGGGTATATATACTACAAAACTACGGCGTGCATTTGAACAGATCATTAGCCTACACGCCTTAATTAACAGATCATTAGCCTGGTTTTTACAACGTACTTTTCATCAGCCCAACCTACATGGCCTGCTTTCAACCGTCGCGTTTTTTGTGCGTACATTAACACACGTAAAAGTTTAAATCATTTAAATGATACGCAGTATGAAATCAACGATTGAATAGATGCATAGGGATGGATTCTGTTGGTGATTTGGTGTATTTTCTCTGGCATAAAAATATTTATACAACAACTTAGAGGGTTGTAAGCTTTTCCGTGCATGTACGTACAAAAAACGCGACAGTGGAAGCAGCCCCAACAGAACTGGCTAATAAAGTGGGCCTAACTCTCCTGGCAAAAAAGAATTCGTCACCGTTTAAGCGGTGTGTGAGGGCATTCAGTTTCATATTTTGTAATATTTCAATATGACCAAACTCTTAACCAAACTAGTTAACCAACTAACTGACCGAACTTACCATTTTAACTTAGAATTAACTTTAAAATTAACCTTGATTCAACCGCAAAATGCTAAGCCTATAAGGGGAATATTGTGGGGCAGATTTGGCCGGTGATAAGTCCATTAATGAACCAATACATTGTAATAAAATTATAGAAACAACCCATTTTAACTTTGTCCACGCAAATTTCACACGTAAAAGCTAAAATCTAATTTGTTGTACAATCGCATGCTACAGATTGAACAACGTTATGCTTTAAGCAATTTTTATTTATCTTGCAAAATATAGTGTTAAAACCTCGTGTTAATGTGGCCTGAAAATACAGACAAGGGAACGAGCACATGCATCATGGAGGCTGGGGAGAATCAAGTAAACAGTGAGTAATTTACGATGCATTTTAGTCTTGTCCCCAGGGCCACGCTGCATGCGAGCCTCTGCGATCAGCTAATCCGTAATTATTCCTTGTTTAGTAAATCCTAAACACGAATTTAATCCTTAAAATTTGATTTAGAATTAAGGTTAACCATGGATAGTTAAAAGACAAGCTTTCAGCTATTTTAAAAACATGAAAAACGCGTTTCGACCAATCAAAATGTCCCTAAGCACCCCACGTGACTATAGTTTCCTATCCAGTGATTTTATTATCCCCTGGGTTAACCATAGTCAACCATAACCCGAATCTATGACATAATCCTAATCTAATCTCAAAGATTTTTGTGTATTTAGGATTAACTGAGCATGGAATTTTTAAGACCTCTTTACCGCATTACTGCTTTCTACGGTGAAGAATTGACAGAAGACATTCGTAATATGAATAAAATATTACAATGATTTCCAAACAGGGTTTTTTTCATAAATTTATTAAAAGACAATTACGCTGACAAAATTACTTCATTCATGCAATGGGCATGTGCAAGCAAGACTAAAAAACTACTACAGACCGACTAAGCCGGCAATACTACACACAACTATGTTCGCGTAGATAATTTGTACAATCAGACCAGTCAGTAAAGACGCAGGTGACGTTTCATCGTAGTTAACAGTTCTGAAAAATAGAAAACACAATTCGGTTAGTTAGATGAATGTGAACATGAAAATACTAGCTTATTTATTTGCTTAAGGCCAAGTTACATGGTGCAATTTTTCTTGTAACTTGCAATGCAATTCTACCTTTGGGACTGATGTAAATTTAGCAACTACCAAACTTTTGTCTTTATACACTCCATTGCATTTCCACTTACATTTTGAGAACTCTTCACTCATTTGCAACTCTCAAAAGTAGAATTGCATTGCAAGTTGCAAGAAAAATTGCACCATGTAACATGGCCTTTATGAGTTAACATACTCACCTCGTCGAGAATGGCTTGTACTTCTGCCACTGTAAGACTAAACGATGCTGCAATCACACTTGCTGGAATACCAAAAGAACAACCTAACTGTATGATGCTAGCTTTCGTTGCATCGTCGATCCCAGGACAATCCGGAAGAATGGTGTCGCAATTAGGAATGACGTCATTCACGGCTTGCTCTGGATAGCTGATGTCAGCGGCTATGGTAGCAGCTGATTTATCGTTGCACTTGTATTCCTCGCAGATTTGCTTTTTCAAGTCATCGTCATCAATGACGCATTTTCCCCCGCATTCGTTGGCGATCACGTACTCCACCGTTGGAAGCGGCAGTTCAACATCGCTCACAATGCTCGTGGTGTTTACCGATTCACAATAATACTTGTGACAGATTTCTTCCGCTTCGCTCCCGGAGTAATGGCATATGGGACAATCCTCTATCACCTCTTCAACCTGAAGAAAATATTGGAAGGAAAGCTTTATTGCACTTGCGAAAATATTTCCATTCAGCCTCAGTTTTCAACATTGCTTATTCGGGTCCAAATCGGGTTACCCTACCTATTCAAATCCCCTTTGAGCCTGAACTATATTTCTATCTTCCTCCACCGACCTTTTTCTCTATATTGCTATATATTTTTTAAACTATATTCCTATAGATGATATGGGACTTACCCGGGTGTCTTTCACGGTGACAGTTTCTGCAATAGTTTGGGTAGGAACTAGGAGACAATATAAGAGGCAAATTTGGCCTATTGTAGTGCTGTCAATCGGGGGACAGGTCGGCAAGATGGTATCACAATTGGATATGACGTCATTGACTGCCGTCTCTGGATAGCTGACGTCATCAGCAATGGTACTCGAAGTTATTCCTTTGCATTCGCTGTCTTCACAAATTTCCTCTTTCACGTCTTCGTCATAGATGATGCATTTTGAAGAGCAGTTGTTTGCGATAACGTATTCCACAGTTGGACGCGGTAGTTCAACCTCGTCCATGATGACGGTGGTATTCACAGAGTCGCAGTAGTGCTGTTTGCAAATCTCCGTCACATCTTTATATTCAAAGCTACAAATTGGACAATCCTCGATCACACTTTCTACCTAAGAGAAAAGGAAGTTGTGGTCACGCTTTTTTGCCATCATCATTCATCATGGAAATTCAGGTCGATTCGCATTTAATGAATATCACAATATTTCATTTCTTGGCCATGTTTTCCAGGCCGTTCTTCGTAAAGATATAAAAATACCTCATTGAACGTTCGTCTTTATCATCTTACCTGGTACTCTTTCAATAGTGCTTGAGGTGCGATTTCTGCGACAGTGCTGTATAAGCAGTACAGAGTGCATGTCGTCGAAATGGAAGTGGGGGTGATATCAGGGTCGGGACATTGTGCTAGGATCGTTTCCACTACTTCAAGTGTGACATCCGTGATATTCACATTCTCGACGATGGCATTGTTGTCGAAACCTTGCAGATTTTCATTGCAAATCTGGTAGCTAAGACTAGGACTGTTCAATAAACAAGTGCTGGACCAGTCCCCCTCGTGCTCTGCAAATGCATCAACTATCGTTCGAAACTGTTCAAGAGACGTGTACGGCACCATATCATCGTCCACACAGTCATCTCTGTTCAGCTCGTTTTTGACAACAGCCACTTCATTGTAAAGGTTTTCAAGGGTGTTGTCGCCAGCTTTGCAATCGGTTATGACAGTATTTATAGCGTGGATTTTATCTCCTAAGCAATCGTACTTGTAACCGATGCTATCCAAGGCTTCAATGAGGTCGTTTTGCATTGTCATTGTTTCATCAACACCAGCCGCTTCAATGTTATCAATAAAACGATCGATTGTGTCTGCTGTCGTGATGTTCGGATCTGCAGCATTAAGAGTGAGATTCTTTATTTCGTCCAACCATACTGTCATGTTTTCACCCGCGAGCATCTCCTTAACTCCTCCCCAGGACTAGAATGGAGGATAAAAATTAGATGCAGAGCTTCATATGCGGCTGATTCATGCCAATTTCATTCTACATGAAAAGGCTGTTAATACTGCACACACGATTAAACTTGCCCGATCCAGTTGACTTCTGACCATTGAAAAATATATGTGGAGTATATACCATACTTATCAATTACCTCAGTTTGAACTTCTTCCCAAAGTGGAAGAAGCTCGTTCTGATTGATTCCCTCGATTTCGTCCCGTTGTTCAGCTATTTTAAGGGCATCATCTCGCAGGTTGTTTGCAACATCAATACAACTCCATACTGCTTCCCATATGCTCCAAATACTTAATGCTGTGGTACATAGAAGAAAGAAAAGTATTAGCTTTTGTTAACTCTATCAGATAGTAATCAAGATCCTGACAACAATAATTAAAATCATGATGATGATTAAAATTATATTGGTGATGATGATGATAATGATCGTAATCAATATGATGATGATATTATAACAATAATGATGATTATATTGTTGATGATGATATTGGTGATTATGATAATCATTATATTGGTGATGATGGTAATCATAGTAATGACGATGTTGATGATAATGAAGATTACCTGTAACTATTGCGTTTACTGCTAAATTTACTCTTGTTGCCCATTTGTTTGGTGTTTGTTGTGCTACCTGGGCCTTGTATTCTAGTTTGGCACATTGTTTAAGGTGAGCTTTAACATGGGGGTTTCGAAGACTTTTCACCCACATATCATGTCGGAATGACTTATAAAGACTGCCTCCTTTTTTTTTTTGTTTTGCGCGTCAACTTTTGCTATAAAATCAGCTTTCATCGTTGAATACATCTGAAAATGGTTAAATAAAATATTGTTTGAATCGAATTAGAATTGAATCGAATCTCAAAGATTAAATTGTGTGTTTAGGATTTATTTACAAAACATAGCATTATTATCATCAATTCATGAAAGACCTGAGGCCTGCAGAAGAATTGTTTAAGAATGATACGTTTCTCGGTTACCTTATTGACGGCGTATCTTTGTCTAACCATTTGTGTCATTTTGGCTCCAATCGGCAAAGCTAAAGACAGCGTTAACAGCCCATCTCCCTCCCAAGTCCATCGATCAAACATTCCTTCAACCTCACCTCTACCAACTATATCGTCAATGCTGAATCGCGCATCTCTTAATAAAGCCTGAGTTAAGGAGAAGCATTAGTGGACTTTTGATACCGAAAACATTAGTTCCCCCCTCCCCCTAGAGTATACTGCAATGGAGTTAGGTTATGTGGGGTATATAGGGTTACTACGTTATCACATTGTAATTGAAGAGGGAAGCTTGCTTAATTTTTTACCAGGGCTCCGTCAGATTCCGTTTTCTTACTGTTTTTATTCCCCTGAGTTTGAATGTAAGAGTAACTCATGGATGGCTATAGCTACGGATAGTAAGGAACCGAACCGAAACAGAATTTCGTGTTTTTTGAAACTTTAAAATCAATCTTATACCTGGATTTCTACTGATCTCGCTGCATATTCTGCGCTCACGTTACGATCTGCTTGTGCTAAGGCGTACATGAATCGATCAACCTTGCCATTAATGTTGTCTATTTTATTATAAATCTGTTCCGTGGCAAGACTCACACTTTGCGAATCTAATGCCAGTTGCTGGGCTAAATATAAAAAAAACAGCAATTTACTTTCGTTAAGCGTCGATTTCCTGTTTGGTCAAATAACGACAGAACAAATAAACCATAAACACTACTAATAATCATACCACAATAAACTAGCACTATCCACCCTAAACTACAACTATCCATCCTAAACTACAACTATCCATCCTAAACTACAACTATCCATCCTAAACTACAACTATCCATCCTAAACTACAACTATGTCAGTATCACAGTTCTACCATAATCACAATTATTGATGATGTCATTGTCATGATTGTCATTATCATTGTCATCATTTTGCATCATGATCACTCCGTACCAATATTGTCATTATAATCATGATGACATGCATGATCAGTGTCATCGCCAGTATTATTATAACCACCAGCAACCACAAAGGGACCCTTGTCCTCTTCACCAAACTTTCTTTCTCCTTCCACTCAAGTACATCATTGGCGTTGGAAGTATGTGGGGGGCGAATAAATATATATGGAGGAGGCCGAATATCCCCCCCCCTCCCAATGACACAGTTTTCCGAACGAAAGTGCCTTGCAACTCAAACTGAGTAGCCGAAATTGTATAACAGTTTATGTGTAGTGACACACACGTGTCCTTCGAAGTGGCTATTTTCGAGGACCCGGATCAATTAAATTTTCTCGCTTGGCGGTTCATGAGCACCCCCCCCCCACATTTCTGTCCCCATTCCTCAACATCATTCTACGCCCCTGTTTCCACAACCCACCCCTGCTGTATATGATGTGTATCGTGTTCATACCATTCAATGTTGTAACATCCATTTCATCAAGTAATTCATTAATTTCGACTTTCTGATCTCGCAAGTATTGATCATTGACATCTGGTGTTTTACAAACATCTGGACAATCGTAAATTTCACATGATGGCTGCTTATCGCATGGCACCGGATAGAAGTCGTTGCACTTTGTTATCTGTGTGTATATGGTGACACCAGTGCTGGCTGCAAAGCTTCCTGCCGCGGCAATTTTAAAAGCAGTCCCCCATCCTCCTTTAATGGTACAAAGGTGAATATTAGTTGATGGATCAACCTGCCTCTTGTAGCCAACCATGCAGTACAAATAACATTTTAATAAGCATGCAGTTCGACTTTTCAAAATGACGTTTTGGATGAGTTTTCGAGCGTTTTAATCCTCTTTGATTATACGTGCTTGTTTGTGTGCACGCACGAAGATCATGGCATATGAGTAAAATTTGATTCAGTTGACCGCCAGGAAAAGACTTGAACACTCAGTCTCGGTGGTGATATTGTTAGGAGTTTTCTTTATACGCGGTTATTACGGTATAACACTTCACGCTTTTGTATAAACACTTACGTTTTTGGCGGGAGTGTGCCACTGATGAACCTGTCTGGTTTCTTGCAGCTGTAGCTGTCTCTAAAACGTAAGAAAGATCAAAACGGCAATTATAGAGGCATTGTGTGGTGCAGAATACCAGCGGCCTGAACTGAATACCAAAGCGTACCATAGCGGCCTATATGTACTCATGCTTTGCATGGTTGCTATCGCTCGCGTTACCTTCATGATCGCGTTTTTCTTCCTTCACTTGCTTTTTGGCCCCTTCGATGCTCCGAGATGCTGCAGGATTGTTATGATTTAACAGCAGAAATATTGTTATCAATGTTCGCGTAAAACAAAACATCTTTCACGCGAAGTAAATTTTCAGTCTTGCGATTTCTTTATCACCCTAGAAAACACAAGCGTTAATGATTCGTCTCTTCTAGATGAAAAGGATTTTTACTAAATTTTAGCCACATATCACATGCACATACCTAATCAGGCGCGACTTTCAAATTAGGCAGCGCAGACGACTAGCCTCTTTGTGTAAGTGAATATTGTTGTGACCATCTGAATGATGGACGTGTATTTATTGAGTAAGTCAGGGGAAATGACTGTCAGCAGAATAATGTGTCATGCATTGCCATTTTTATTCCAAGTTCAGAGGAAATAGCGCTGATATTGTTTTTCCAATAAAGCATGCTCACCGCGCGCGCTGATCATACCCTTTCCTATTATGACCAATATTCCCTCATTTTATTTTTGTTTAATTTTCACTAAAATTTCTTAGCATGAGACACCTAACAGCGACAATAATTTTTAAGGAGAAAATTTATATTCTGCAAATACGGAAAGTGGGTTTGAGTCTTTTCACATTGTTTCGTTTGTTTGAATGCATGTGTGGGATAATTGAAAGTACGCAAAAATGGCGGAAGTTCGTCATTGCGAGAAAGGCGAGTCGCGGCGCATTTGCGTCTTGTTGGTAATAAAGGCGTTTGTAACGTCCACGACATTTCAAAGAGAAAACTGCATATCTTTATCATGCATCTTTTAACAGCTCATCATACACATCTGACAGCTGAGAAAAATCCTGCCTAGAGCTGTTTGCGATAAAGATTATTTCAATCGCCAAACTGAGTCAACTGACGGTTGGATTTCAGTGAACCATATCTCCTTAGATATTACCATTGAAGACCGTCACTGAGGCCACACTTATGCCAAATGCGAACCAGATTTTAGAAATAGTGCATAAGACTCAAGTGCATGTATATATGAAACGAATATTGCGATGAGATTTTAGAAATTAGCCTGCGAGCATGCTCATAAATATACCACTCACATTCAGGCGTATAGGTTGTTGTTTTGAATCGATATTGAAGGGGGAACTAAAGCAAATGCACGCAGTACTGTTTTATCAATTACACAGTACATTTCATACGTCAAAAGGGAATTAGATTTAACAAAATTGGATCCTGCATGTTACGATGACATGCATGTTTAACTTTAGTTCTGTCATGCGTGCTTTATTCGACATATTTAAGAGATTTTGTACCAAATAGTGTCAATCCATCTTTTCAATTCAGTTGAGACGTCACAGGATTAGCACGGCTCAAGATTAGATCTCACTCAAGTCCCAAGAGAAGAGTCCTCGAGTTTTAGTTGTCATAACGCTAAACTATGAACCAATGAAGTGAAGATTCACATGCATGCAGCGATCAGAACTCGATCAAAAATCATATTCACTTATCAAAATTCATCCCATTTTTAAAAAATAACTCATCCTTTTTAAATTGAACAACATTTTCTTTCAAAAAACCTGGTATTATATCTCAAGGCCTCGTTCTCGAAATCCTACTCTGCAAAATCCACTCAATTCATCTACATCATAGCGACATGCAGGGGAGGAAATTTGATAGGCCAGGAAATCAAAGTAGTTATTTGTTTTGCATCATAACTATTGCTGGGCAGTGCATAACTAACATCTTTGTCTTACGTAGACATGCATTCTAAATTAATTTTGTTCGCCTTCAAGCCCACCCACGCGAATAATTTATGGCATATTTTTCCCGTACGTTTCCCCTGCTTCAAAGAGGAACTGCTCCTTGCAGATGGCTGCCAAATTGTTAGCGCATAGCTTGGTATATTTGATTATTTGTTGTCGAAAACAACGATTTTGTGAAACTCATATAGCAACATAGCAGGGCAAAATCACGTTGACTGACGAAATATTTTCAAAAACGTTGCATACTCCAGTAAACATTCATCCTCCTCCTCTTTTAATTATATTTCATTACAGTCAACGGAAGGATGCTGAATCTCAATAATGATGTGTAATTCTTCGAGTGTTTTCGTGACAATAAAACAAAATTAATTTTTACTTGTCTTCAAGATCAATCAAGATGAATGCTTTATAGTCCATTGACATGCATGTCCAGTGACATCACTCAAGGCACATACAGCACTGTTTTTATCAATACACTGCCTACATTCTATACGTCAGAAGTGAATTGAGTATATATAATACAAAACTACGGCGTGCATTTGAACAGATCATTAGCCTACACGCCTTAATTAACAGATCATTAGCCTGGTTTTTACACCGTACTCTTTTTATGAGCCCAACCTAAGGGCTGTTCTCCAATGTCGCGTTTTTTGTGCGTACGTAAAAGTTTTAAATCATTTAAATGATACGCAGTATGAAATCAACGATCGAATAGATGCATGGGGTTGGATCAACAACTTGGAAGGTTCTAACCTTGCTCATCTTACATCAAGGTTACAATTTGAATATCATAAATTAGAGGGCTAAGCACATTTTCCTTGGAAGCGACGCCCAAAACAAAACTCGGCAACGCAATTGGTTGGCGAGAAAAATCGTCGCATAAAGAATAGCCAATCACATTGCCGAATTTCTTATTCGCGCGAACAAATTTCCTTAGTAGGGGAAACAGCAGAATTGCAAAAAGCTCTTTTTATTTTAAGCTCATCAGCATTCGGCAAAACATATTTCTTTGTTTCCTGTGTAATCAGATATAACTAATGACTTTAAAACAAAGGGAAATTGTGTGTTTAGCTGATTGATTACTTGACGGCCCTGTTATAAATCGCGCTGGCAGAGTTAACTTTCACATTTGGGATCAGCTTTGGGAAAGAGGTTTTTAAAAAGAAGACCTAGGAAGGAAAGTGAAATTTGGGTAAGTGTTTTATTAACTGTGATTAGCTGTAATGTACGTCGCCGTTCATTTATACACTAGTAAGATCAGTTTAGAAAAATGTTTTATAAAAGTTTAAAAAGTTTGTTTAAAAAGTTTGGGTGACTTGCTGATGTTACACGGTGCAATTTTTCTTGCAACTTGCAATGCAATTCTACTTTTAAGAGGCGTAAATTAGTGAAGAGTCTTCAAAATGTAAGTGCAAGAAACGCCATGGAGTGTAATAAAGACAAAAGTTCGGTAGTTGCCAAATTTACATCTCTCAAAAGAAGAATTGCATTGCAAGTTGAAAGAGAAATTGCACCAGTGTAACAGGGCCTTTATTTATCGTAGAGAAAATCTACCAAACATTTCACATTTTGACCAAAGTTCAATAAGATTTAAGTAAATATATTTACAGCGAAGTATAAATCCTGGCATAGCGATCGAACCATCCGTAGAGTTGATTGAAAATCAAAGCCATCGTGTCTATATAAGTATACAATCTACTGTAGGGGAAATAACTTAATTTTAGAATATTCAAAATAACATGCAGAAGAGGAAATGCATGTATAATAATAACAGGAAATAACCCTAAGAGTACACAAAGTCAAATATACATGCAGAGAGGAAACTAACGCACCATGAAATGTTAAATAAATATATCAATATCAACTGATTGACTAATTCAGACTGTCCTTAGCTACATAGTACATCCATGAGTAGTGAAAGGCTCTCGCCGTCATACTCCATGCCTTACCCACAGAATAACATATATATAAATAATATATATATATATACATATATATATATAAAATATATATATAATATATATATATATATAATATATATATATATAATTATATACAATCACTAATAAAACCGAAAATATGCTCCTAACTGCACATAAATGTTCTTTAATTAAAGTCTTTACTTTTTTTTTATTAAAATTGTGACTGCATAAATTTGACTATATTGGCATAGCTTTTAGCTGGTGTGCGTGGTTTTAGTATAGTATTTTATCTGCAGTGTCAAACGTTTATTTCCTGTTATTCACATTTCAAAGATCGCGATGTTTCGCCATACCGTGACATTCGTGTTGATTTTTTTGGTTGTAAATCACGACTTCGCTGCTGCTCGAAGCGCTGCATTTGTTCCGCAAACACCTTTGAAAACGGTGCAGAAGAGATGGATTAAAGTCGACGAAAATACAGAAGGTAGCCTATATTGTCTATATAGGTCGGCATTTGCCGTTTTTTTTACTGCATAAAGGCAAAATTGAAGCCTGAAATTCTCGCTCAGATTTGGTTTGCTTTGCCGAGATTGCATAAAGTATCACTTGTCTCAGCATTCTTTGCATGCTTTTAGCTACTGAAGGAACAGGTTCCTTGAAGGAAACTGGTGTTGTTGAGGGACATTCCAGGGTGAAACGCGGTTAGTTGGTAATTTTATACTATTTGAAATTTTTGAAACTTTAGGAGCCGGTTGTTCGAAAGGCGTTTAGCTCACACGATGGATAAGTTCAAAATGAAAAAATTACCTATTTATTGTACAACTGCATGAGCTGACATATTTCGATGTAAATAGTTCAGTTTTTAATGGAAGAACATATTTAATGCATAAGATGTATGAGAGTCATTTTTAAACTTTGGCCTTATCCACCGTTTAAGATAAACGCCTTTCGAACAACCGACTTCTGTAATCTGTATAATGGTTGAAATCTAGCTATATCCTAATATATTCTAAATTTATCATCCATTTTCAGGACGAATTGGAAGCGCTATTAAAGCGGGTTTATCTCTTGGTGCTGGAGGCTCGTTTCTTTTCAGTACCGTTTCTACGGTGAGCAAAATGCTGCGTTTCTACCTATTATATATACCGCGGAGCATATTATGCGCCCTATGAACTATCAGTCTATCTTTATCCATCAGTCTATCTTGTTATGGCAGTTGAAACGATGGGTTACACCGCTATATTGATATACAATGAAGGATTTATCGGTTTCAGTAGGAAAAGAGTATTTGGCTAATATACTTTAATATACTGTCGAGATCAAATTTTGGCAACCCAGTTACAAAACGCTTCTCCCGGCAATTTTTAGGTATACCACGCCATACGCAAGTGCAAAGATTACCAACCGCGAAAATGTGTAACTGCCACATGTCGTTATCTTACTGATTGTCCTACCAGTTGTCATGGTCCAGAAACTAACAGATTGTATGTAAAATATGAAAAGGAGGAGGTGAAAAGGAAATTAGACAAAATGGATGCAATTCAACGCGATGGTAAAGCTGTAATAAAACAATTTGTTATCCACTGGCATCATTGCTATCCATTGGCATAATTTGTGATCCATTGACATCATTTGTGATCCATTGACATTATTTGTTATCCACAGGCATCATTGTTATCCATTGGCATCATTTGTTATCCATTGGCATAATTTGTTATTCACAGGCATCATTTGTTATCCACAGGCACCATTTGTTATCCACTGGCATCATTTGTTATCCACAGGCATAATTTGTTATCCATTGGCATCATTTGTTGTCCACAGGCATAATTTGTTATCCATAGGCATAATTTGTTATCCATTGGCATAATTTGTTATCCACTGACATCATTCGTTAACCACTCGTGCCATTGGCATCATTGTTATCTACTGACATATAATTATTAAACTTATAATTATATATACTTCGTGTTTAGCCTTCAATCTGGCGACACAGGCAATCTCTGCAGGTTTGAACAACCAACGCATCTTTGCGGAGGTTGACAGAATCAATCAGAAAGTTGACGAATTAATCTTCAGTATCGCACGAATGGATGTTAGACTTGCGTCGAAATTCAGAAACAGCAGCGTGGCCATTTCGGTAATATATACACTGCGTCATCAGAATGGCAGCTCTTAAATTTAGCAGATAAACAAATAATATTGGGAATTCGTATTTTTTCAGGGGTTGATTAGAAATCAACGTCTCTCGTTGGATGAAATCGTCTCAAGCACCGAAGTCGCGGGAATCTTTGATAAGTGGACTTGGGATGGAACAGGCGTTTTTGTACTTTCTGCTGCACTGCCACTCGGTCTACACGCATTCACTTATTTCAAAGAACGACACGCAATCAACCAGGTATGTTTCCATGGTAATCTCGTTCCCAGGTTCATCAGTTTTCTGTGTGCTGTGCGCCCGAGAAGTCCGGCCAGAGCTCGACAAGAACATTAGTGCCTGTATTCAAAATAGTGATAGTGCATGATAGAGATGGAAATTTTGTTATTACTGATCAACGAGAAAGTTCTTTCTTGATCAATGGAAAGATATTTAAAATAAAACGCTGAAAATCAAGCTCTTATGTGCGACTAAAAATACATGTCATGGAAACCGTTATGAGAAGAAAAGGTCATGGAGACAGTTATGAAAAGCTTGAAATCTCCCACTTAATGAGTTTGAGTGAGCTTTTAGAATACAGAGGCCGGTTGTTCGAAAGGCGTTTAGCTTAAACGGTGGATAAGACAAAGTTTAAAAATATTCCTATACATCTTGTAAATGACTACTGAACCTGCATCTTATGCATCAAATGTTTTCTTCCAGTGAAAATTGAACTATTTACATCGAAATAGATCATCGTATATTCTCAGGTTTATTCTTGTTGGCTATGGTGGTAGATCTACTAAATGAGGTATTTTTTTTATTCGATAGATCGCCAAAAATCTTAAATCAGATTTCGAAGCTCGTTTTGTGAACCAGAGAACGAGCAGACTCAACCCGAACGCCAAACTTCATAACAAATTTGCAAATGTGCAAGGCTACACAACGAAAGATATCAACAGACAGCTCAAACAAACAGCCAAGGCCATTCATTTATCTGACAAGGCGAACAGACGGGTCTCTAAAGTCGAGAAGATCACCAATAATGTTATAACACCACTTGTCAATGCCATCGTCATAGGTGAGTATGTGATCGCTCATGCCCACACTAGCACAGTCTGAATTTTGGCCATTACCGTGAATGAAACTGATGCTGCATCTTTTACTGGTAAATATATTTTTCTTATATTTGTAGCACTTTCCGTGTGGTCAGCCTACACTCAGATTAATAACTGTTATGCGATTGCTGACGATATGCAGGATACTGCCAAAAAAATGGCAGAGAAAGCCGATGAAATCGAGGGCTTAAAACAGACACAAGTAGACCCATTGTTGAAAAATGTTACGACACAGGTAAAATAATCTTTAATTACATTTAAATATCAAGTTTTCGTTCTACACCACTCAGTAATACATACAGAGTGTCCCAAAAACCCCGAAAACTATTGAAATCACCTATAAAAATGTGGGCCCAAGAGTGTATAAATGTTTGACATAAGCATTTTTGTGCATGATGACAGTAGAATTTTTTGTACTTACAAATGAATTTTATCAATAATATTATAAATGGCGATATTTGAATTTACAACTCAAGCACCATGACTTTCGACACGACCCTCTCTTCTAGAAAAGTCGTGTTAATCCACACCGGCAAAAATTCGCTGATCAATTCAATCTATGTCTATGATAATGTTTTAGGCGTGGCCCAAGGTTCGAGCTATGATGAAAAGCAAGCAAAGTACTCAGTGGTTCGAAGAAATTCGAAACCTTACGATCAATGCCAACACAAAAAACGCTACCGTCGCAGCTGTCATAGTAGATTTCATTAACAGGGTCCCAACTGCTGGCTATAACTTGCTTCTTAATTTACAAAGAGAACTCATCATCGCTTTGAAGTCCATTGACTACGAGTATTCTTGTCTGGCAGACAAGCAACACGCCATATCGACGGTTCTAACCGACTGTAGAATTGGTCGTCGACCCTTCCCGGCGCTCTACCAGTATGCTACTGGCAAACACAAGTTGAACCGGGATGGTTGTATTGCTAGAGGTATATTCCCATATACCAGTCAAGATCAATTCTTTACGATTTTGAATGCCACAGCGACTCATCAAGGCTGGTACAGCAACTGTCTCTTAAACAGTGAAGATTTACTTTATCGTGTTTGCGCTGAGAAAATTAAAGGTAATGTCTTCGGCAACCCATATGGATATTTCTAGGAGAAGTGACGGTGATAAATGTTAAAACATGCACTATTATTCTATGTCTGTATGTAGTATGAAAAGTTAGATCAAATTTGGAAATTTTTTAGTATTTTCTTGCAGGATATACAACGCCGAAAGAAATCGTAAAGCAAGCGAACAAAACTGGTTTAACGGAAGATATGGTCCCACACTTCCTGGGGAGATGCCCACCCCCAAGAATCACACCAAAAAGCATAAAGGACACCTGCACCCTGTATTGCGCATACCAACCAGTTGCTAGCATTGCCAAAACAGCTGTCTTACTTGAAAGCCAAGTTCTTGAGATCATGAAAACGTGTCCTCTGTGCGAGGTTTCGGGCAGAGATTTGAAGAAAATCTGTACTTTGTTCAAATGCACTGGAGAAAACGCGACGACCATTGAAAAGGACGTCGAAATGCCTCTTCCAACCGTGAAATTTGTAATGGCAAACAATTGTACAAAATGTAACCTGGACGACCCCATAACACAGAAAAGGATTTGCGTAAACTACAAATGTAGAGGGTACTCCTCGGCAGCAAATGCAAAAGATGTTGGATTGATTGAGTCGGCTGTAAATGATATCCTCCCGAAGTGTGATTCTGTTGTACCTGATTGTATCAATGAAGTCAGCGAAAAAGACAAGGGAAATATGCAATTTCTACATTGCTCGTATGGTATTTCTGCTGCACGTTTGGTCGGTTTTTTCAACTACAAGGAGGAGCTCATCGCGCGAATACTCGCTTTGAAGGTAGGTTGTTAAACGTTTTTAACTGCATCTACAGCCGGTAAACATTTTCAATCATTTTGTTTTACTTCGTTGTTTATGTAATATCTGCGAGAAATGTCACACTCCATGTTGCAAAATGCAAAGGATCTTCCTAGCAATTGGCTATAAATGTTTGAACAAATCTCCACACAGAGAGCTCAATATGCTGAACAATAACTGTACATATTCAGCGATGAATCGTGACAATTGACCAACAAATTCATCATTAACAGTGTATATACGATCATTTTCCCACTGATTTTAATATTCCAGCTATTTATTTATCACTAAAATAACACCACAAGTTCAGACAACTGAGCGTTAAATATATTATGTTAATCTGTTTCAGCCATGCCCGACCTCAAATGGATTTGGTGGATTCAACTTCGGAAGATAATTTCATTAAAAGAAGCCTGACTTCATTATCTTTTTTTCTGTTTATTAATTTCCTAGCTAATGTAGTCTTTTTGGGTCAGCCTCAGCCCGCCATCTGCGACTATGGTCGGGGAAAAGAAAAGTTATAGCTGCTTGACCTGCATTATCAATTCTTATAAAATAACATGTATATATGTTATTGTCAAAAAATTTACAGTTGTTTTTGTTTGTCATTTTGTATAATTTTTTTCAGTAAAATTTGTTAGAATTATCAGAGAGAGTCCATTTGTTGTTTTTGTCCCAAAAATCTTCATTGCCAGCTCAGAACCTCAGAATATCATCGCGTAGAATACACGCAAATAGGCATTTCATATATCTGGTCGTTTCCCGCGTGGGCTTGCGTGTTGGTTATGTTACAGGTTTCCATAGAAACTATCCGTATTCGTTATATCCCGCGAGGAACCGTCCATATTCGTTATATCCCACGCGGGCTTGCGTGTTGGTTATCACGCCCTTATGTTATTGGTTTCCATAGGAACCATACGTATTCGTGTGGTGTTTACTGTAGTGATTGCCCGTAAATTTGTTAGGAAAAGCTTTACGGCTAATAATGGATTTAGCGATTAAAACGGTACAAACACAAGCGTTTTTACTCTGAAAACAAAATTTGGATGACCTTTTTACTTGGAAAATGACAAAGAACAAGAGTTTTGAAGCATCGAACTGGTTCTTAATTGATTGACGCACGCATTAGAACACCAGTAATTGCAACTAGTTATAACACCAACAATGGACGATTTTGACAACGAAGGTTGGTCTCATGTTCATCATGCCGCGTTTAGTGGCTATCAAAAAAGCATAACACGCTTTGTCAGATCAAATCGTGACCAACTTGATCTTTTGACCAAGGACGGGGAACGTAAAACCCCGCTGTTGCTAGCTTGCAGCAATGGACAGGTAGAGGTTGTTCGTTTTCTTGTGGAATTGGGTGCAAATATTGTCGCTTTTAATGCCTCTGGCTTTGGGGTAATCGAATTAAGCGCCTGTTCGGGCCATCTTCATGTGTTAGAGTATTTCTTAGAGCTTAATTCACCAGAGATCAACGTTTATATGTCTTTGGTTCGCGCTCTTGATAATGTCAAGGGAACACCTTTGCAAATCTCTGCATTGCGGTCTCTCACTGAACTCTCAACACCAGAACGTTTGGAAAGTGTTTTGAATTCAGGATCCATCGACGCTGTTGTTAAAATCCTGGCCATGCCGGCTAGCGAAGATGATGTAGTTATCAACAGTTTGCTTTTTTTTGACAAAATTATAAATGTCAATGTTGAAGTGTATGATTGTTTGAGACAAGAACATGCTGTTAAAGCCCTTGTTGGTCAACTTAATTCAGAGAACAAACAAATTTATTCATTGGGAGTGAAAATACTTGCACAACTAGCACTGGGTCATGCCCTGACTGTGGAAAAGGTAACAAACAATAATGGCATTGATGCTCTTGTTAAAATCCTTGAGAAGAATATGTCTGACAGTTCTGTTCTACTCGATGTTCTCAAAACTTTGTCATCCTTTTGCGAAGCCAGACCCAAAACGCAAGATGTTTTTGCTGCAGTGGAGAACAGTTTTGGTGTATTAGTCTGTTTGTTGAGAGAGTGTAAGAGAAGAAAAGTTCTATCATGTGTTGCAAGAACCATAGCATTGTTGGTGAAAGGGAACGAACGTAACCAGGACTTGTTTGTTGACCAGGATGGTATACCTAGCCTGAGGCAAATTTTGGTGAAAACAAGATCCCATGATGCCAAAATGGCTGCTGTTTTGGCAATTAAGGCAATTGCGAATAATGGGACCATTGCAAACCAAGAGTTGCTACGACGCCATGGTTGCGTCAAGGTTTTGATAACAATGTTACGTGAAGGCCCACGACATGATGAGGTCCGACAACTGCTTGGTGAAGCATTGTGGGCCATTGCTGGGATCGAAATATCCCAAAAGTACTACATTGCCAAGAATATTGGAATAAACATTCTTATAGAATTTCTAAAAACTTCAAACCATTCCTTGAATTTCATTGGCTCGGCAGCTTTGGTCGTCCTTGCTGAGGATATACACACAAAACAGGATGAAATTGTTGCTGCATCTGCCACTCAATTCATGATTCGTTTGATTGCCAAAGATAAAACCCCAGAACAAACTGTTTTGAGCATCTTTAGAACTTTACGTGCAATCTGTATTCAGACAGGATTTCGTCCACATGTCAAGGGACAAGGGGTGATTGTTGCGGATGGTGGGATTAAGTTTCTTGTCCGATTTCTGGTGCATTCTAGGAAACCCGTTGCCCAAGCAGAAGCAGCATACACCCTGGCATGTATTGCCCTTGGCAACCATGATACAAATGCTGCAGTTGTGGACATGCTGGATTTTTCACGCTTGACTGATTTGATGTTGCATGGGAATAACGACACACAGTTGATTGTCGCACATGCACTAGCTCTGTTTGCCTTTAACAACACACACAATCAAAAGTGCATAGCTTCATCAGGTGAAATTTTGTTCTCAATGTTCAAACAACCCTTGGACTCAGGTGACTCTAAGACTCAGGCGAAGACAGCATTTCAAGTGGTGGTCTTGTCGAGAATTTTCCCAGACGAAGATCAAGCTACCACATCAGCTGCTGGCATTCATAAGCTGGTCACTTTGCTCCAACAAGATGATGAGGACCTCCAAGATATGTGCAGCAATTTCATTGCAGGGTTATCCCACACACGCCCAGGTATCCCAGCAGCCTTTGTGTCCATTAATGCTGTTCAAATTCTGGCAGGACTTTTACCTTCGCAATCAGAGAGGGTCAGATGTTGTTCAGCAATTGCACTGGGTTACTTGAGGCTAGACAAAAGTGGCCAAAGACAGTTGCTGAATGTCTGCAGAAGCCAACCACATTTGTACAAAATTCTGTGCAGTTATGCAAAGAATGTGAAGCTTTCGCAAGAGTTCATTGAAAGATGGAAGCACTACTACAGGCTGTCTTGTTTGCCACCAATGTGAGTCTAAATATTTCAGAATTCAGGATTTTTTTATGGGATTGCAATTCCTAGAAGGCTTGGACAAGGCAGTGTATATGCGATTATTTATTATAATAAGTGATAATTTTTTTTATTTCAGCAAAAACTCTGTTTTTTTGGTCAATCAATCAGACAAGGATGAAAGGAACACAGTTCAAAGTTATTCTAATGAAGTATTCAGTGAGGCAAGTGAGGACAGTTTGTCTGAAGCATCTGAAGGGAATATGCCATTTTCATTGTTGTCGTGAGAGTTAGGGGCCCCAGTCATCAGTAGCAATTTTAAGATATATTATGAATACAAATTATTTATCCAGTGTTGACACATCAGCAAGTGAAATCGGAAATATCTATCAGAACAAAAAAAAAGAAATATTTCATAGTTTCAACACTTCATTGCACCAAAAACTGGGAAAGAAAATCTACGTTCATATTGTTTGATCAGACTTTGCTAGTTGGTTACAGTGCATGTAGTATATTATTTTTATCTACCATTATAGTCAGACTGACTTGGTCATTGCATTATAACACTAAATTCTCAATAAATAGTCAATGCTATTTTGTTAAATTTCTTTGTAACTCTCTTCTACATCATTTTGTGGTGTTTTTTCGCTTCCTTCATTTTCTTGCCCAATTCCAACCTCATCTTGCACTGGATCATTTTGTAGAAAATCATTGAGTTGTTGCTCAAGGTCAGTGTCTTCATCTAGTGTTATATCCTCCAAGGATTGTGACGGTGGAGTGCCAGCAATTGGCTCTATAAGAGAACAAACATTAAACTCAAAATTTTCTGTAGATTTGCTGATTGCAAGCAATATAGATCAAGGAATCAGTTCTCTCAAAAACAACAGTTTATATTCTCACTTTCTGTAGCACCGTATTGTATATAATGTTGCATTTCTTCCAGGAATACATCTTCGTAAACTTTTTGTCTTTCGGCAGAAGCTTGACGCTCAAGTTTTTTGGTTTGGGCATCTTCAATTGACTTCTTCATTTTGAATTCCTCTATGTGACAAGAAGACAGGTTTATGACACAATATTTTAGGATAATTTATTTTAGAGGACCACTTACCTTCTAACGTATTGTATTCGTACCTAGAAAGTAACAAAAACATTAATAGTTGATAAGTCCATTGAAAGAATAATTGCATTATTACTGTTGCCTGCACTTCGTTTCATTTGTTTCAACATGAAAAACACATTTAGTTTAGACTCAGAAAACATTGAACCTGCTTAATAGACACAAAACCATCAGAAACTCATATCTAATAACAACTTCCAAGTTGAGCAAGTAAAACTTACTCCAAATGTTCCACATATCGATCTAGAATCTTTGTTTCTTTCGCCTTCCTTCGTTCCAAGATATTTCTAACCGATGCTTCTTCAAATTCTTCAACAAGTTGTTCAAACACGTCAATTTGGCTGTGAATGTTTTCTATATTGTATAGATCAACAAACATGAATCAGTAAGTACAAATAGATTTGAAGATCTCTAAAACTTTGATTGTATTTTCCTTGATAACCAAATTGTACTGACAAGTAGAACCTTTTCAGCATGTTGAGAATCCAAAATAAGACAGGCTTCATAACGCACCTATTTGTTCAGTTGCAGCATCAATTTTTTCTAGAACTTCTGGCAAAAAGGAGAGCTCCTGATGAAAGGACGTTATTGCCCTGTCCAAGGCTGCACATCTTTTCAAACTATCTAAAATAACCTTGTCTGTTTCCTGTGGAAGGAAAGAAGATGTCCTTTCAAAGGTAATGTATGAGCATGTCCAAATCCCTCAAAAACAGGCATGCATATGCATACATGTATGGGAAAGTAAGTGCAAGTGAAAACAGTTATTACTTCTGCTTTTTCAGCAATATCTTTTCCTTTCCAATGTATTTCAGCCCAATTCTTATAAAACCTTCAAAAACGTACAAAAATGTAATATTAAAAATCAGATGTAATTGTAATACAATATTTTTTCCACTAATTATGACATACCTGGCAATTATTTCTGAGCCTGCTTCCAGGTTGCAATCAAAGCACTGATCATTGCTAAATAAGAAGCACATCGATTACAACAAGAAAATATCAAGTGAAAGCGTGATCTAAAATTTAATCACCTGTTTACATTTACATCCTCTGCAATTGTAAACGCCGCCTTTCTAGAAATATACACGGATTTAATGTGAGAATCATCAAAGAACTTATCAAATATATAGCAATCAATTTATGCTGCAATAGTGCAAACCTCACGAGGCGCTGATTCGCTGTCTTTGCCTTTGTGGAAATCGATCGTAAACTAGTAAAATATTGGAGCAAAAATGAAATAGTGAACTATATGAACAGTCAAATAGTGAGTACAATGGCAAAACAATGAAAACATTATATGTTACAGGGTGGAATATGTTAATACGAAAACTGACCCTTGGGTAAGATCATGCTGTACATCATAGAGCCTATCTTTCAGATTTCCAAACATTTCATTTCACATAAATTGACATAATACGAAAGTGAAGTTTGTTTACAAACAAATCTACCTTTAATTTTGAAATGACATTCGAACCGTGTTTCCAATTTTCGTTTCCAATGAAAATATTTTGATAGTTGTGGAAACATGCAAAATTTCCTATGCTTTAAAGATACACTGATCTATAAATATAAAACTGTGACACTTCTGACTTCTTTCAATATGGGTTCCCAAACAGAAGCCCAAGTTCAACAAGGGAAAAACTCGTTTTCGACTGGATTAATGCATGTTCTTCAGCCATCTATCGAAGCTCTTGATAATAAAGTGAATTGTGTGAGGTAGGAAATCTGTCGTAGTATTTTTACTTGTATTTTATATGTGGTACAACATATAGCTCTGTATATAAAATATAGCTAATAGCTAGTTAACAGACTACATTATTAAAGTAAGGTAGCTGTTTTTAGTGTCTTACAAAAAAACATCTTAGAGAACCTTAGCTATGACCACAGTTAATGGCCTCTGACTATGCCAGTATGTGATATTTCGTTGAGAGGTGTTGCCAATGGGCTTGGGGTTGGACCACCATTTGACCATCCTGCAGCTTATAAACTGGTAATTCTTTTGTTTTTAGGCAAAGCCAAGTTGCTCTAAGAGAACAAATTGATCACCTAAGTGAAGGTTTATGGAAGATACTTCATATTTTTTTAGCTGGTGGTTGATACCAGAGGTGTTTCTTTTAAGAGATGTCCTTTCATATCATATATCTGTTGTTTCCTTTAGATCTTCTACAACTAAGTGATTGCCAAGACTTACCAATTGATCTTGAACCATATGTGAAAAAACTTATTGGTTCAAGGCGAAGAATTATGCTTGTAAATAGCATACTGCAGAATGCACAGGTAAACCTTTTGTGTAAACCTCCCAACCCAGGCAAACTTGTTGGATAGAACTGAGATTTTCATCTTCGTATTTCCAACAGGAAAGGCTGAAAAGACTTAATCAAAATATTACAAAAGAAACAACCAAGAAAAAGGCAGAATTTAGTCCACCACCTCAAACTTAAAAAGTGAATGTGTATATAAATAGCATAGTTTACAGGGCCATCTCTTTTCAGGGAAGGAATAGAGCCTGCATAATGGACTAACTACAGGTTTTCTTCCACTGAGTTTTGCCCCTTGCTTACAAATAGATTAAATTGAAAATTTGGGGATGTCAACCCCTCCCCTCCCCCCCCACACACACACCTGCCCCCTTTGTTCTTGATCTTGTTGTAAAAAACAGATAGAAACACTATATTTCTAGCCAGCCACAGTCACAGACGCACAGTATTAAATTAAAAATATTCGTTAGCCTCCCAAGCAGGTGGAAAAAATTAATTGTTGTAATAATAAATATTTTTGAGGATAGTATTAAATTAAAAATATTCCTTTTCCTCCTTTTCTGTCATCATTGGATGAGTCAATCAACAACTGGTTGAAACCATATCCAGGCTTAATACTCCTTGACCTTGATCTTCCGACTTTCCTGAGGCAAACAGTGAATCTCTCTGTTAGCCAAGGAACTAACAACGCGCGCGCATTCCGTAAAGTTTTACTTCATAGAAAGCTCAGTAATGCGCCAGAGTACTAACGCGCGATATTTACTGGTATGCGCGCTGATACATGCCGCGCAAATTATGCAAATATTGAGCGACAGGGATGCCAACATGATGAAGAATTACGAGATTTTACCAATTGATAAATATACTTCGGTGGCAAAGAAACGACAATTTCCAAACGGAAAAGGTGAGTGGAATGTGTCTGGAAGTAATCTCACAACAGTAGTGATAATTGTTCAGTATTGTATGCAATATACGCCACATAATATAAGTCAAACTATTTGAACGTTTCGCAGCTGGTCACAGATACCGGTTGTAATTAGAGTTGATAACTTGTAGCTCGCTTTTTATAACGTTAAGCATACGGCAGAAATCGTAATGCAAATTGCAAAAGATGATTGTTGTGAATTGCGAACTAGTTCGAAATATTTACATGATATAACCAAACAAATATCGCTTTGTTGTGGTCTGATTTTATATCTGCCTTCGTGTCAATTCATATCTCTTTAATTCCGTCTGTGTCAAGGTAATTCATTCAACAAGGCCACCTTGAGATGTTCTAGCACTTAGAGATACAGATTACGATCTATCAAGACTTATCAAAGCCAAGACAAAACTGGGACGACCTACAGCCATATTGTACGGTCAAAAATCAACACATGTCACCCTTGATAATATATTTCAAGTTCCTTGAAGTTTCTATGCGATTTCGCTCTGTGCTAGCATTGTGCTTCAAATCAAAGGCTTTTTGTTCTTGTTTTTTTTTTACTGCTACAGTCGACGTAAACCTCGAAAGATTAAAAGGAAAACTATTTCGCCATTGAGGATCACTCATTACTCTCTTCAGCCGGCGTCTTGTATTTGACGCAAATCATGCAAAGGAGATAATATCACGTCTGTTGGAAAGCGTCCAAAAAGATACTGCGAAATTAAACCCTATTATTGGTCCAAAAATTTCTTGAATTAATATAATCGGATAATCTTCAAATAGCAAATGTTCTTCGGAGAACACGGGTAGCTTTTTGAAATAGCTAAATAGTCGAGTTGTTTTCACGAGCTTGATAAAAAGAAAACCTCTTCTTCAATCATATAAATTCAGGAAAGTTACAATCTTCCTGAATGAAAACAAGCCTTGGATATTATTTAAATATTTTGATATATTTGTTTTAGTCGTAGTTAACTGTGACTTTGAGACTGATTGGTGTGGTTTTCGAAACCAAAAACATTACGATCAGTTTGACTGGACAAAAACAAGCAGAAATACGCCAAGTTCAGGGACTGGCCCAGAACATGATTTGTCTGGAAAAGGTGTGTAGCAATTTATGGAATTATGCATTTCAGTTCAAACAAAAAGCCAATTTTCTTTGCCCAGAACAGGCCTATTTCACCACAGTATTCGTCTCTTCTATCGACGCTTGAGCCATTCAATAATCATTTTTAGGCTCGTTTATTTACATCGAGACTTCATCGCCACGACGCATTAACGACACTGCAAGATTACTCAGCCCAAATATTCCACCCATGATATATTGTTTACGTTTTGGATTCCACGCAAGAGGAGAGACTATTGGTGCGCTTGTGGTATCTAAAAGAGATCTCGATGGCAGCCAAATAAGGATACTGACAATTAATCGACAATATGGAGAAAGTTGGCAGTTCGTTACCGCACAAGTTTTGCATCATTCTCGTTTTAAGGTAAGCTCCAATGATCGCCGTCATTCAAATGATTTCTGCGTCATTCTCTGTATATGTTTTTAGTTATCGTTTGAAGGAATTCGTGGAACATCATACAGCGGAGATATCGGTCTGGATAACATCACATTGACCGAGGGAAGATGTGAAAATATCAGCCGAAACAATGAAGGTATACGCTCTTTAATGTCCTTTATTTCATCTTTAATTTATATAACTTACAAGTTAACTAAATCCATAACATTTCATCACCTCAACTTTCGTCTTTCTTCCATTAATTTATTGATTCGTCTTCCTCAGATGAATGTGGTATTGGCTATCCAGGATTAGGTGAAAATGCAAATCCTGTGCATACCTGGCCTTGGCTAGTGTGGTTGTCCCACAGCAGCGAGTTACAACCATCGTGTCCCGGCGTTCAACTCGGCCGTCACTGGATACTCACAACTCGGGAATGTGAGAGAATTTACAATGGCCATAAAGGTATTTCAACGCTGTGTATGTTACTACGACCTGCAAGGTTCCAGTTCAGATTCAAAAACATCGCAAATTCAAATTATCCACCAACTATTTCTTAACACAGTTAACAAGAGTAAAAGGAGACGTTTTGCCGAAACATTACAGACTGCTGGTAAGATTTTCTGCCTAAAATTTTAGGTGAACTATTATTTTGGAGAATTCATGCAAGATTCGGCTTGATTTGGCCGACTGAGTTGTCTCTAAATTCGCTTTTTAGTTCTTTTAAACATAAGCACTTCAGCCTCATCAAGAGTGAAAGACAACGTCTGCCTTCCTGCATCAATTCCGTTGCAAAATCGTGTAACAAGCTGCTACCTATTGGGTAAGCGAACTTAGGTGACTTCATTCCGAGCGTATTGGTATAGATAACCACGCATGTGGGTTCTATACTCACTTGGTTACTGCTGTTCCACGTTAACAGGGATCCCAAGCATTAGCTATGAAAAACGTTTGGTGGAATTCCCTGCAATTATTCTGTCTACAAGAAAGTGCCAATATAGAACAGCCTCTGCAACAAACAATGATCTTACACGGTCGGTTAGTACCCAAATCGAAATTATTCGTAAATGCATGTGTTTATCTTGATTCTTGACTTGCATTACTTTTCATTCATTTCACCCTGCACTTTCACAACAAACTACAAGAATAGATGGAAGGATTAAAATTCTCACCGATCTATTTATATTTTCGTAGCTTTGTATTAACTCAACCGTTCCGGCTCCAGTTTTAACGACAGTCAACCGCACTACGGGTATCTCGTATGCAAAAACAAGATCATAAATCGTTGGGTACTGCAAGCCATGGGCCCGTTTTCCAAGTCGGATTTCACCGAAGATGTATTAGTTTTAGAAAGAGCTTCGTTCCACGTTGATTGGATTGAAAATACGACAAAGCCCTTCATCAGAGCTCCCATGAATATTACACGCCGTACTGTTCCCGCTCCACCAAAAGGTATACACTAACGTTTACAATTGTAAATGCTGAGTGATTTATCAGAGGAGTGACTGCATTTTTATTAAGTAAAAAGTGAAAGTATACCCCCAGTATACCTATACAATCCGTAATGTACATCGAGACACTGATTTGCATTGTTACTGGATGTACTTACAGACGTTGCTTAAACCAGCAATAGCTATTCTTTGTGTATATATCCTTTCTTAAGGTAATGTACCACATTATTTTCATTTCATTTGCCATCCAGAGCCATTAACTGAAGGTTTCCAGATCATGGACAAAGCAAGCGAGGAATGCCTCACATTCTTACCAGATCATCGAAGATTAACCTATACACCTTGCAATGATTTGAACATCTCTCAGCGCTTTAGATGGACGCGAGAATATCAGTTGGCCTCGATCCACGCAGACTTCTGCGTGGAAAGTGTTGGAAATCGTGCGCATTTCCTGCGCGGTTTTCGTTGCTTGAGTACAGCGGTCAGACGACGCCAAAAATGGGTTTGCAAAGGCAACGATATATACAATGCTTACTATAGAGGTTATATCACCACGAAATCTAGCGAGAATTCTGGGCTTGTGCGCTTAAGTCGAAAACACGAAGAGATCGCCCATTTTGTGATTGCTGGAACAAACGATAATTTGTGCTCTCTCCGGCCAGTTGGTGAGTGAATTGACTGTAATACGACAGTATTAAACCCTTGGGCTACACTTGAAGAAGAGGTTGTTTTAAGTCACAGTGTCTGTTGATGGTAGAGATCACATTTCTAAGTACCAATCTGATTTATCCTTTCGTTTCTAGTGAATGGTGTCTTCGAATGTGATTTCGACCGCCATCGTATGTGTGGTTTTGAAGGCATGGATAGTACGGCCCAGTTCATGTGGCGAGTTCCTAGAAGAGGCTCTAACGATTACAAACAATTTCCATCGCTAACCTCCAAAGGTAGCATTGCTTATTTCCCTCATCAATATTTAGCATTAGGTTGCTTGCAGTCTGAAAACTAGCTAAGAATATTCAGTAACAGCTCATAAACGACCATAATTCTTCTTCATAGACGAATATTTTAGAGTGGTTCGACGCACCAATGTAGGCACTCCGACGGCAGATTTACGGAGTCCATCATTCCGTGGACAACACTGTGTGCGGTTTCAGTCATTCGTACATGGCTCCGATTCCAATAAGCTGAACGTTCTCGTCGATGGAGGCGGAAAAAGAAAACAAATTTTCCAAAGAAGCGCCAACAGTGATACAATTTGGCGAACTTACAGCGTCACCATTGCACCTGAGGCCTGTGAAGTTTTCCAGGTAAGTTCCCTGCGTGAAGGCTGACTGACTTTGCTCAAGGTTTTCCAGACAATCAGACCAAAGGAATCTTAGTCTTTTAGTCTTTGTGATTTGATTAAATGCCAGCTATCTCTAAATGTTCCTATTGATCCTCACTTCTCGCCCACTCCCCCCTCAATTCAACAATTTATCCCACGATTCCTGTAGGTAACTATTGTTGTTTCAGATTGTTTTTGAAGCTGTGTTCTCGGAATACAGAAACTCAAAAGTTGCCATACGTGATATTGTCATTTCTCCTGGTGTGTGTCGCTCGCGATGGCAAAGTGAAGGCAAGTACTCGTACACTATCGGAAACTCTCGTAACATCCCCGTGCGGGTTCGTGGCTACTTTTCCACCGTTGTGAATTTCAGACTTCACTCTTACTAACACTACCATTCATGTTACTGCTAGTATCACATCTAATTGTACTTTTCTTAGACAGCGATTGTCCCAATGGTTGGTCGTTCATCGACGGGAAATGCTGGTATTTTCACGACACCAAACTCACGTGGCACGATGCATCCGCTGTCTGCAACATCGTGGACGCAGAATTAGCTACACCCTCCGGCGTAGCAAACCAGGTCGTCCCACGCGGAAGGCTCTTGTGGTTCGGAGCAAGAAGTTGCCCTACAGGTAGAATATACACAGTCAAGGGAGCGCCATATAATAACACATTCATGTACACTACCCCCGTTTGTCTTATGTACAATATTCCTCGTAATGGTGCAGAGCTGTTTCAACATGGCCCATGTGATCTAAAACTACCATTCGCTTGTCAGAAAGGTAACGATATTTTTATTTGGAACTTGTCCTGTTCTTTAAGACCTGCATTATCTAATAGTAGACTGACGGCGAAGTATTTCTATTTCAATGTATTGGTTTGTATTTAATAAGGACTTGAACAAGACATCTTCTAATGGCCTCGTTTTTAGATCCAATTAGGAAAACAGAGGTTACTTGTGGTTGGAGGAATACTTCAGCTGTTACTGATCGTCAATGGCCGTGGCATGTTATGATAGTTGAGTATAATGGTTGTGCATGCGGAGGGACAGTGATAGCTCCTGGATTTGTCGTTACCAGTTCTTTATGCTTACCGCGCGCCTGGCTACGGAATGTGCAGGTAGGTCGATGGGATGAATACTTGATGGTGTTGTGTGGTTGGATGTGATGTGGTATAATGTGGTGTGGTATGGTTTGGTGTGGTTTGCATGTGGTATGGTGTGGTGTAGTGTTGTATGGTGTGGTGTGGTATAGTTTGGTGTGGTATGCATATGGTGTGGCGTGGTGTAGTGCTGTATGGTGTGGTGTGGTATGGTGTAGTGTGGTAAGCATATGGTGTGGTGTGGTTAGTATGGTGTGGTGTGGCATGGCATCGCATAGCATTGTATGGTGGTATTAAATGGTGTCATATGACATGATATATAGCAAGGTATGCTTTTGTAAAGAATGGTATGGCCTAATGTGGTACGTATGGCATAGCAAGGTGTAATAAGATATGATATGATGTAGTATCTTTCATTTCTTAGTTATTTTGGCCAAGTTCTCGCAAACTCATACGTAAAGTCAAGAAGATTGTAAACCATCCTCTCTCCGGAGTCAAGTCGGGCGACAACGACATCTCAATCGTAGTTTTTGAAGATGATGGTTTTCTACTCGGACCTTCAGTTAACTTCGCTTGTGTCAGCCGAATCCCAACCGCGCGTTGGACTGGTGGCGATTATAACTTCTTGAAAGGTTTGTTTGAGGATTCAGCCCACCTGCTGGGGCTTCGCATGCCAGCATTGGTCATACATTGGCATTGGCTATCCAGGATTAGGCGAACCTAACACAACGAACTAACCTGCCATACAACTCAGCCATTTCTTGTGTTTTTTCCAGAAAGGAAATGTGCTGTGCTTGGATGGGGAACTTTCAAAGCACCGTATAATTCATGCAATTCAGAGAAATACAAAGTACATGAAGTAGAGGTGGTCAGTCGAGAGGAATGTGGCGCATATTATGGGCACCATATGATTACAAAAAGAATTATTTGTGCCAAGGCAAAGGACGACACGTCTTGGGAATGTCTGGGAGATACTGGAGGTAATGCTTGCGGCATTCATGGCAAAAAGATTGTCTTTCTATAATCAGTTTAAAACAAGCACACATTGGATAGTTGAGCAACGTTTTAACCATGGATGAACTAGGCTAGTCTATCTGCTTTCAATCCAGAGTCTATGGCATGCAGCGAAGAGAATACTTCTTCCTCTGACCAATGACCTTACCAAGATAGATAAAATTGTTCTCAGAGATCTGAAACAAACATTGTACATCTTTCCTAGGTCCACTCGTCTGTGAAATCTCGGGGAGCTGGACTTTAGTTGGTATAACCAGTTGGGGCGTTGGTTGCACCCCAACTAGAAAATATGGCATCTACACAGACGTAGCGGCAATGAAACCATGGATAGATATCGTAACGAGAGAAAATCAATAATTTTTAAACAAAAATGCCGTGCGAAAACTTAATGTTTAACATTCACCCTAAAATCATGCCCAATGTGCCAAAAACAAGGTGCAAAAATTCTGGATTTAGTGCTCAGGGGCAGAGGGGGGTGTTAGCACATAATATATAGGAGGTCTAGATAAGTTTAAGAATGCTTAAAAAGGTCTAAGAAAACCTACCGCTGGTTGAGAAGGATCAGAGATATCCACCTGAAAGTACGTATCTGCCCGGCCCTCAATCCAGTCAACGTATTTTTATATATATAGTCAACATGAAATAGGGGCTCCGTAAGGATTTCGCGTAATAACAGGGGACCGGTGTGATCATCTAGGGATTTTATCGCAATATAAACATGTTAACATAACCGAAGGGCCGAAGCATTCTTCATGGACAAAACAAAAGTTCAGAAGTTAGAAAAATGTTAAAGATATACCCGAGTTTTCCAAAAATATCCGTTTATTTTACCTAGAAATTATCTTTATCATATCTAACATATAATGTGCTCATGCTGGGTTAATCCTCATTTGCTCTGTGTTATTTTTTCAAAGTAATTTGCGTTAATGTGATATTTGCAAATATGGTTGACACTTCAAGTTTATATTTTCAAACCGTTCCTGGTTGAAACCTTTGAAAGGAAAAGCAAGCTCATTTTTTGACGATGATGGACAGCTTTAATCCTGTGCTTGCTTTGGAAAACGCTCGTAGTGCTGAGAACGAAGTTAAAATACTCGAAAAATGGTGTCGATTTCTAAGTCCCAACAACGAACAAGTTGTAAATTCGGACGATGGTGATGCTGATGCAGACTCAGATTGGTTAAGGAATTCTAATGATGGAGACGTTATAAACCCTTTTCCTGATAAAACACCTCAAGATGTACTCAAAGAACAAGAGTGTTTAAACAAATTCACTTTTTATTTATTCGAAAGACGATACGGCTGGTCTGAACATTTAATTCATCTAGACTCGGCCATAGCAAAAGAAGGATCTGGCCATTCTTGTTCGGGACGTTCATCCTCTTTGGGGATTGAAAGCAAATCCAAAGGACGGATTAATGAATTATTAGATGATCTTTTAAAATGGCAAGTATTTCGTGGTTTTGTAGGTGAAACAGATCTTTTTCAAATAAGGAGTTATGTTTATATTTTATTGAAATCCATATTTGTTTGCTTGTCCATCACGCAGCTAGACTAAGACAATGTTTTCATATTAACACCTCATAATGTATGCACAAGTTGCAGATTAAGCGATGTAAAAATTTTGGCTGGCAATTGAATCTTTAGAGGTTTCCAACGAACTGAAATTGTCTTGGAAATGTATGAGCACTCAAGATTGCTAATGGCCCATAGTGCTATCAAGCACTCTTGCTAGTGGCCCCATAGTGCTATCAAGCATCCAATAATAGGCCCCCTGTAGTGACCCAAGACCCTATTTATTTCCACCGGTTTGTGGGTCCACTTCTCTTTGGAGTGGTTTGGTCATTAGAGGAATATGTTTTGCAGTTTCCATAGTCCAATACATAGATTTTAACAGAACTAATTTATAGGGGCTTGTGAATTGCTGTGATCAACAAATGCAATGGTTATTGCACCAACATATTAATTTTAATTCACTATTATTTGTTTACATTTAGGTATATCTGTCAAAAAGGTCTTTCAGTAAATTTACTTAAAAGCTTAACACACACTCTCTCAAAAGGTGGGCTGAGATATTTCACCATCAATTTCATAAAGATTAATAATGCATTTTGAATTGCTACAATTACATATAAAATTTTTTATTTTTCCATTTTAACACACAGCATCCAACTTTCCGGTTGTCCGAAATCAAACTCTCATTCATATTCTTGACTGGTTAAAAGTTGCTGCGAAAGAAGGCTTTGAGCCAACAACATTTTCACTTGTTAAGGTATGGTAAAACACTGATATAAAAACCAGATATTACCATCACAATTTTAACTATTATGCATGACCTGTCACTGCATGCATATCATACTAATGTAGCAACATTTATTATTATATAGGATCTCATAGTGACCGGTTTGACGGATGTTTGGTCAGCAATACGAAATGCATGTGCAGCCAGATTGTCACGAATCATCGATAGTTTCACAATCCCACAATTAGAGCATTTGTTTCTTGAATTAGAACAGGTTGGTGATGCTGAATATTCTCACCATTACTTGACTATACATATGGCAGCCTGAGCCAGTCAGTGCTGTATGTATATTCAAGCATAATCATTTTGTATTTGCAGATTTGTAAATGCAAGACTTCCTCTTGGCAAGCTAAGGAAGGGGCAGTTATGGGTGAGTTGTTGAGATGCCTACAGGGGCTAAATCAGTCCAACATGAAAATCCATCATAAACTTTCTTACAGGTATGACAACCATCATAAGAAGTTTTCATGCTAGTAATCTGCCAGCAACGAAGTCTGATTCATCATCTTCGCCAAAGTTTCAAATGACGGTTAAGGTAAGATTGCAGAGAATGGTTAATTAAATAAGGCCACTGATCTATATATACTAGTTGGAATATATAGATCAGTGGGCAAGATCATTACATCAGTCATTACATATAATGAAAGGTATACCCACTGAGCTCTATAGTTCAGTGGTCTGTACCAGCATAGTTTATAAGATTGCATTTCAATCATTTCTGGGGTTTTTTAGTTTGGTAAAGAGCATTTAATGAAGCTACCAGAATTCATCACAGATTCACTTTACACTGTTGTATTTTCACTGCTTGCTCATCCCCAAGTGAGCATAAGAGAGCATGCTTCTAAAGCGTTCACCTCAATTTTGTCACGATCAGAATCTCAGGTAATATTTCAGGACAGTCTAGGAATTTAAGTAAATTGTATGCATGTCTAAATATTGCAAAACTTTCAATCACATCCTTCCTCTGTCTAGTACATTGAAAAGTCATTTCGACAAGTCATCATCCATCTCTGTAAAGGAACTGGTATTGACATAAGCAGTCAAAAATACGAAGTAAATCTCAATCTTTTTAGCTTTATAATTCTTAGTTCTGTCTTATCCTACAACTAGATATTTTTGGTCAGATTACAGTCCTTCTGTTCTGCTATCTTGAAAAGCTCATGAATTTAAATTTGCTGCTGAAGAGTTGTTTAAATCTATTTGCAGTTTTATTCTGTTAATGTTTCTTCTATTCCGCATTTTCTCCGTTCTTGTTATAGAAATTACCGCATCACGCTGTTCTCCGTGAAGACTTCACATTTCTTGACGCATACGAGGCCCAGGGTCTTCTGGAAGTCAGCATTTTTCTCATCAAGGTAGACAACACAACAAAACGCAACACAACACAATACAACGTTATTCTGCATTATTTATTTTACAATCTATTTTACTTCCAGCGCATTCCCGTCAATCTTCTAATGGACCGTTGGCCATTGTATTTCTCTACATACAATTTATACCTGATGCATCCTGCGTCGACGGTGAGACAAGCCAGTAGTGTCGTCTTCAAATATCTCGGTAAATATCTTAACCTCATGCATCTTTGTTGATTTTCCAGCGCAAACTTTCTGTTTGCTTAAAATGTATGCTCTACAAACAAACTGCCTCCGTTTTTCTAAAACAATTCCTCTTTAATAATTGTTGGATATCCTTATCCTTTAGTGACCAAGGATTATAGTTCACCAAAAATCTTGAAACTTGTTCTACAGTGTCTTTGTGATCATTGGAAGGTTTCCACAGCATCAGATCAAGTGGCTGGGATAAACAAGGTTTTGTACAGCGAAACATATTGAACTGTAAAAAGTTGAACCGATTTTTGTGACGTTTTATTTGGGTGGATATTCGTAACACCATGCCACGAGATGATTTACGTTAGTTTTTGTGTTTCAAATAGAGTGCTCGTTGTAAACAAAAGATGCCAGCTCATGGTGGTAGCTCGTGTTGCGATTGCCAAGAATATTGTTCGGAGACGTGCCAAGCCACTTGGAAATGTAAACGACCAAGCATTAAAACCATAAACAAAATAATAAGAGGTTAGTGTCCAATATTCTTAAAGGATGAAACGTGTAAATAAGTTTGATGAACTGAAATATGACGTTCTTGACCTCCTTTCATAGGTCTCGATGAAGAATCACTGGAGAGTTCACTATCGTCGACTTGGGAATGGAGAGAGGGGCGTTTATTCGCATACGAACTTATATTAAAGTATCTTATCACTAACCACATACACTACGTCTTTCCTTCGTACGCATTTTCGTATTCACCTCGGAACGCTTCGTGTTCCGTCGACGAGGCCCTCCTGAAAAGGTGAGAACAGCTTAAAAACCGATTGACGCGCTACGTACATTTCGTCCTAACTGGACTGTTCTTATTGAGGATTATAAAAGTTTTCCCGCCAAAAAATTGGTTGATTCCCCGGTCATTCTCATGGCTTCGTTGCTTTTTCAGAAATCGGTGTTTGTACAGCCAGCATTCCGTCCCGACATATACCGGGAGAGACTCGACCTGTTCCCTTCCGGCTTCGATGGAAGTACCGGTAAAGACTCTTTATAATCTCTCATGGTAGCGAGGCTTTATGGATGCAATGATATTAATTGTGAAGTGTTTACTATTACAGGAGGAAGGCTCAAACATTCCTGGACGATGTAGCGCTCCTGGCACCAGAAAGGAAGAGGTTTAGTTCATGATAACCAGAATATCTTTGCCATGCATAATATAAAAGCGCATTTTTACACATAAAACGTCTAATACTTCAACAATTTTCTTAAGGTCGAAACTTTAACTTCAAACAACCTCGACTTGGATAAGTATGTTATACAGACATTCTGTATTGTAGAATTATTATATATCTTAGTAGTTTGATATTTTACCTTTCAAAATCTTACCATAGGTGCATACAGCACACACACATACACGTCAGGGGCTTGCCTATTTCAAACTTCATGTCTGAATTTCAAAATAAATATCTCTTTTCAGGCCACGCAAGCGAACCTCTTCGTTCAGCAAACCCGAGATTTCACCGCCTCGTCTTGTTCGACAAACTACGGTTGCTGTTTTACCTCCAAGACCAATCCACACCCCCTCTTACAGAAAACAAAACGACCTATACTTCGTACGTCTACTGTCTTATTCATCTTATTCGATTTGAAGCATTTCAGGTAAAAATGACACCGGTTAAACTCGTAAAATTGATTTTTCTAGGCTGACTCGATGATAAACAAAGCAAAACTATCGGATCAAACAGAGGTAATCTGACTTTATCGGTTGTGTTTCCTCTATGAACATACAGTAGACATATTTCCAAAATAATTTGGTGGGTTTTACCTCAAGAAAGGAGAATACAAACATATAGCGGAAAACGACATAAAAATTAAAGGCTATATATAGTTGCAAAAGGGATAAACAATATTTGTTAATTCATGCTTCGTTTTCATTTTTTTCTTTCGATTTTTTGTTTAGACAAAAAGAACAAAAAAGAAAAGTCTAGCTTCCACTCATGAGAAGTGAGTTTTCCTTGGTTACGTCACGAAAATGTTTTTGGTTTGGGAGGCTGGTTTCCATGCTCTCAATAGTCAAAGGCGATTGGCTCAGGAGAATGAGGCTACCCCGCCAAATGACGTAATTATCATCAGGATGTGTTAAAACGCTCTCCACCAACAACCTATTTTAACTTTTGATTCAGGTCAAAAACTGAAAAAGATGGGAAACGGATCTCATGCAAACGTTTTGATTCGTTTTATAACATTTTAACCCAGGTTTGATATCTAAATCTAATAATGTGTATTGTACCTTGTCTGTCTTGTCTGTCTTGTCTGTGAGTTCCCAATCTTTACAATCTATCGCTTTGCGCTGATTCTTGCAGATTCTTTTTCAAACAATTGAATGTTTGGAGGACAGCAGATGGGAGTTACGAAGAATGAGTCAACAGGTGCAGTCATAATGCTTTGTATTTCCCTGTTTCGCAGCTGAAATTTTTGTACGAACGCTACCGTAACCTTCATTTTGATTTTCTTAGATTTTGCCATTAATAACGGAAACTTTGCGCTGGTTCGATATCTCCATTCTTGAAGACTTTTGGTCCAAATACTTGTCACGTGATAATGCATTGCTCTGCTATTCTGCTTGTATCGCTCTACAATATTCCATTTCACACGCGGGAAAACTGCGTCAGTTCATCGATCAACCTCCTGCGACGTGGAAGGTTAGGATCCACTGACCGCCATAATTATTATATACTGTGTCTGTATATAATAGCCTGCGAGCAGGCTCCCTTCTCCCGCCCCGAAAGCCTGTTCGTAGGTGAATGAGACTATGGAATACAGTATGTCGTTATCTCGTATCGTTTGCAAAGAGAACTGTCATATTTTACAATGTTTTTCTTTTACGTACATCTTGTTATAATTTCGTTATGATCGTTATATTTTTAGGACATCGAAAGTTGTTGCAGTTCAGCAATGAGTGTGTTCTGTTCCGTCAACAATGGACTTCAAGCTTGGCTGCCCAAGGTTGCTATGATAAGTTGATATAATTGAAAATATTTCTGCTGTGGACCTATTTATTGAAAATCCCCCCCTTATGTATTCCCATTCTGCTCCCCCCCCCCTTACAATGAAATATAATCTGTGATAATGGCATATATAATTCAGTCTGTTTCTCAATTCTTCAGGTCACCAGTTTGCTGCAAGATGTTTCAACTTACGATAGAATTACAGTTAGCGCGATGGAGGTCGTTCTAACAAGACAGGCGTTTCTACCTTTAGATTCGCATTCTAAAGAGGTTTGTTGTACCCGAGGCCTGGAGCAGAGCTAGGACCTCGTATACGTCACGCCATTTTTATGGCTCCTGGGGCCAGTTGTATCAAGCCCGTTTAGCTTAAACGGTGGATAAGTCAAAATGAAATAACACTCTTTCATCTCTCTTGAATTCTTTCATCTCTCTTGCTTTCTATTTTGAACTTAACCACCGTTTAAGCTAAACGGGCTTGATACAACCGGCCCCTGCAGTTTATTCAATTTTACTGTTGCATTCAGCTTTGCTTGTGATATTTGCAAGGCATATAGGAGTAGGCGAGGAGTTGTCTTCTGAAAAGTTTATTTTTTGTATAGAAAAATTTTACAGACTCTACGGTGTGTGACGTTATTACTTCACTCTTCCTCAAAGCTCATCCCGACAGTCCTTGTGGTGAGTTTAAGTGTGGCGAATTTTAGGTTTTTCTGACACTGATTAGTTCAGTTTTCAACTGTTCTTCATCCAATACTGATCCAGGATAGTGCTCGTTTAGGCCTAAACGATTTGCACTTGTCACTCCATAAGTTTCAAACCGCATTTCCTAGAGGTCCTGGAAAGATCCAGATTATTCTCACTACAGGAGGAAAACTCAACTCAACAAACTTTGTTTGCACTTAATAGTGTCAAGCTCTCTCAGTTCTAAACTTTCACTTTTGATGTCCAACATGATTTATCCCATGTTACTACAGGAGAGGGAATGTGGGGTCAAGATAGTCAATTGTACCCAAGATACACAATAAATCTTTCTATCTCTGACACCAAACCTTATTTTCACAATCATTTCTATTTTAGCGCCGTCCATGAAGAATTCCCTGTCACTCCAATCGAAATGGGATAGAAAACTTCATTTCCCAGCTGACGAATTTTCATGGTACTGTTACAAAACAAATGTTCACAAATTACTTTGTAAGATCACTGATGTAATTCCTGATGATGCTTCGTTTTTTTATAGCCTCTCTTCCAAAGGACTCTCATTACCTGAACAGGCAAGACAGGTATACATGAATTAGTGACGATAAAAATAATCATAGTATTTACGTTGCAAAACTCTATTTCCTGCGGAAAGTATAAACATTGTTCTTTGTATAGACTGAACGTTTCCTGTTCCTTGAACTGCATAGCTTGTTTGGTCAGTTTCTTGGAAGTTGTAGACTAGACGTACAGGTAATGAAAACGAGAAAAAGGTCCCTTTTCTGGGAATTACTAAAATGACCGTTGTCATGTATCTAAATGTATGGAATTTTGGGAAGGAATCTAAACTTGTGTTCATGCATTTCATAGGTTGTTATGTTGCCAATTTTGGTGCATTCTGTTCACTCATTTTGTGATGACACTGCAATATCACATTCTCTTGTTCTCAGGTGTGTTGATATAGTCCCAGTACTTTGCCGAACGACTTGTATCCCCATTTATCACCAATCCTCTTTGTCCCCCCTAAGAATCCCTGAAAGACAAGAACTACACCGTATTCATAACTACTCATTCTCAAGAAGCCATATCTCCGTTTTAAAATTTTTATTTTGTATTTTTCCAAGTATCACCAAAGTCACAGACAGCCTTCGGGATAAACCAAGTGCCAAACACAACAAACATACGTTAGTAATGCTCCGTATTTCTGTTGTCCATCTTAGGAATAGCCATGACTAGTATTGATTAATGTTTTTATAAACCAGGAATACAAACAATCTTCTTCTTTTTCTGGATTTGGCGATATGGGAGTTTAGTTTTCTCATAACGCAAAGGGTAAGTCTATGATTGTTATACTTCGTGAGATATGGCCAGATGTGGGACTCGCCAGTTTTAATACATATGATTATTTCTTTCAGAGCATTGATCTAGCCGTGTTGAGGCAGTTACAGGAATTATTTTTGACTGTTTTTGAACACATCGATCAACCAAGTCATCTGAAAGATCTCTTCCATGCTGTCAGTACAAGACTGAATTATGTAGGTGTTTATGTTTATCAGGTGTAAAAACTGTTTTCCTCTAGAGATTTTTGAAGGCTATCCCCATTTTGTCATGTAATATATAGTTAACTAGTCATCCCAGATAAGAAAGAAATGATACAGTATGCTCACTCCAGTGGATCAGCTGTATGTTCCGTATACTGAGCTCAGTCTGCTCAGAGCATTATCCTTGGAAGTGATTTTATTGCAAATGATTTTGAACATAGGAACCCGACATGGTGCGTTTAATGAACTCGGATGAGGATGAGGATGATGATGTACCTTGGTCGGAACTACAACTGTTATCCAATGATATCCCAACAAGTCCCGTTACTGAATCCCCATTGCTTCAGAATGATAGTGACGACGATGATTTGCAAGGTAATGATTCGATGATCTTCATATTTGACCATGGTAAAAGCGTTTTTGACAAGAACTGTTCCTCCTCCTCCCCCCGTATAGACGAGTCCGTGGATCGCGTCATTCAAGAATCTGTTGCCTTAAATCGTTCCAATGATTCATTGGTGAACGGAGGGACGGATGGTTATGGCCGTGAGGAGAGTGGTGCGGAGTCCGATGAGGCATTCTCTGACTGGGACAGCTGCGAAGAATTGATCCTGGTAGGCGCTATTCTTCACTTCAAACGTATCGTAACTCCCCGTTACGATACGGCACGATACGATGATCAAGCGATGTTCTGACATTAAGATTTGATTTCGCGGGCACTGTTAAATAGTAATATAGTTAGTTTTGATCTAGTGTCCTTTTGCTGCGATTTTCTTCTTTTGAAATATGTGAACGAGTAATTAGTTACGAACTCCCTGATGTATAAGAGCTCTTAATTGAACATCAGTAACTGATTCATTCGTTCACATCTATCAAACTGCATGAGAAGAAAATCGGGCCTTAAAATGCTATTTTCATCAGCCGCCTCGCTATTTACAAAAATTTAATTTTCGTACCGTTGTTGTGTTAGGACAACGCTAGAGAAGCTATTGGTGATTTTATCAATCATCTCTGGATGGTGTTCAAGAAAAAAGAATACGGTATGGAAATATTTGCTTGTTTCGTTGCATCAGTTCGCCGGTAAATCGTGCATTTTCTTTTAAACCAGGAACTGCATACTTCATGCAAGAATTAAAAAAATGCGGAGAGGCTGTAGAAATGGTCATACGAAGGTATGTAAAGTGCGCATAAATCGGGTTATTTTTACTGAAATCATTTGCCTGTCTCCCTGGCTACCCTTGAAATTTCTAGTCCCGTGAACTTAATCTATGACCTATTCCTTAACCTATTTTAACCGTCAAAAGTTGCTGCTAGATTAAAATTAACTAGCAAAAAGTGGTACCATGGTGTAGTGTTTAATTTAACTCTCCTGCGGTTATTTTTCTCTAGTATATTGGATCCTGATTCCCTCAAGAATGTTGGGTGTTGAGTGTACTGTTGACAACTCTTTGTGAGGTTATACCAGTACAACATTATTAGTTAGGCATGGCAATGTTTTCCGATAAATGAATGAATTTAATATTGTTTTTAAATATATAGAAAACATGAAATATTTATGAAATTAATATATATATATATTTCATTTGTACAGCTATTTACAAAAAAATAATAAATGTCGCAAATTAATGTCGAAGACCGTACGTAGCCACCTTAAATTAAATTCACAGGTATCGGCCGGGGCTTCCCAGTTCATCCCCCCCGGAAATATCACATTCATTTAAACCCGAGAACTACTTGAGAAGAAGCATTTACACCGGAGCTAAGAGAATATGGATGTCTAGTATTGTGCAATATATATTGAAATGAATGCCACTTCTTGGTCAGCAATTGTGGTTACCTGCCAGTCGATAAATCACTCTCATGCCGTCCAAAGTGGTAGGTTGTGGAAGTATTTTTTCGTCTTTATGTAATATAAACATGTGCAGGCTTATATTTTGTTTATAAACTTTGGGGACACCGTAGGTCCGTAGCTGCATTGAATGCCTCAAGCTTTCAAGTGTTAGTACTAGAATCGACACGAGTTTACAACCTCCCATATTTTTATTCATATGCACTCTATTTTTAGTAATTCAAATTGAGGGCTACTTTATATCTTTCACGATTGCTAATTGATCTGCCAATGCTTCAACTTAGCCTGAAACATCTCTTTGTAAACATTTCTGATCCGAATCCATAGGTAATGCTGTTCACTTTTTATGCACTCATACGGCGGTAGTAAAATAAAGAATCGAGCAGTCAAGCCGACGGTTATTTTAAGTTTTTAACTTTTATATGTTGCCACGTCGCGGACATTGTCAAAAAATTTTACAAGCTTGAATAGCGAATCTTAAACAATACTAGCTGTCAATACTTATATATTCAAATTATTGTGCATTCATCAACAATGCATTTGATGCATCGATTAATAATATTTTTAACATAATAACGGTGTTCTTGTGCGACCAGTTAAGACAGTTCAAAACATTCAGCCTTTTGCAATGAAATACAACAAAATTAGGGAAAAGATTTTTAAATCCATGTTTGCCAGGTGGTCCTATGTAGTCATGTACATGTATTCATGCCAACAAAAGTTACAAAAGTAATCTGCAAAATGTAGCAGAGAAATACTATACGTATGTTTCCTCCAATTTGGATCAATATGATTTATTTAAAAGTTACCTATATTCATTACATACATATATAGTTTTGAACTTAAGCTATTACAAATGCATTTTATCTCGTTGTTGCAACCTGTCAAAATATAAGTTGGGCTCAATCATGCTGTTCAAAAAGATAAGTTAACATTCATATAAACATATATCCTGAAAATTCCTTAAAATGTGCCATTTTTAATTCATAAACAAATTATCTGCCTTGTGAGAGTGTTTTATTATTAGTGTTATAAAGTTTCCTCAGTATACTGGGCGTTTCCGTACTGGGTGGACAGATGTTGATCAGCCAAGTAGTCAATGTTTTTTTTTATGAATTTTCATTACTAGAGCTTGATCTTTATCTGGCCAAAGGAAGAATACCAAAAGATGTTTTAGTTCTTGCAATTGATGACCCCAAACCACGAATTGGTAGCGGCAGTGCCACGCTGAATGCATTGCTTGTTGTTACAGAGCATTTAAGTGCCAGAGCTGGTTACACAGTATGTGTTTAAGATCATGGATATTGTTTAACCTCCACCTGTCTCAGTAAACTTTCACATATATTTTGTGTAGTTTTTAATAGATTACTTCAAATGTGTCATTAGCATGAATCTATGGTATTCTATAGGTTGTAGAAGCACAAGTCTTAAAAAATGCAAGAATTCTTATACTACACATGGTAAGCATTGTTGTTATTAAACAAATTCCAGTAAGATTCTCCACAAGGCTCAGTTTCCTACATTTGAATTTATCATCATATCTTACAGGGCAGGTATTTCCCTTTTTCATCAGTTGGACGAGCATTCACAGCGCTACCTTGCATGCGTTTTGATCCAAGTTACTCTGCTGTACCAGAGGATTTTGCCTCAAACTTTGAGAGCCTTTTAGTCACCTTAAGCTCAATTGTAAGTATTTGTAAGCATGTATTGTAAGTATATATATGCTAGCAATTCAATCAATTCTCTATACATTCTTGAGCAGCCTTAAAAATTCCATCAAGATTTTTGCCCATTATTCCTTCTTATTTCAGCTTGCGGTCGACTCCCCGCCTGGTGTTTGGGTCTGCAGTACCGACATGATGTTGGGCATACCTCCAGAGATTGGTAATGTGATTAAAACTAGGGGCACAGTTAAGGGGAGTGGGGGTTGCACCCACACCAGTTATATATTCAATGCTTTTGGTAAAAAGAGATAGGGTAAACTCCTGAAGCTGATAATTGACAATGACCAATATATATAGAATAAAGCACACCCATTTAGTCAGCTACCCTAAAGGCCTAAACCAGCGCCCCCCCCCCAGTATGATGTGCTTTCTACGGCTCTGGCTAAAACGGTTCAGAATTAATAGCTTCCCAATCATGTACATTTTTTAATTCAGTGTTAATTTTTTAATTTGCCATTTTAGTCATTGACTGGTCGGATGCGAAAGGTGTGCGTATTTTTTCAATACCATCAGAAGTTGATTATGCACGTGACCACGGTGTGATCCAAATGGGAGAAAATGTATGTGGCTTTGTCTTGTGAAATAGTCTAGAGCTTCAAGTATGACTGAGATCTTGGAGTTATCATGCAGTATCTCTGAACTGCAGTACCTCTGAACAAATAATTAATATCAAATATGGTGTTTATTATGCCATTATGTGACTTTATTTGATTTCAGAATGATGTTGAAAATATATTTTACTTGGCGTCAGATGAAGAAATGAAAAAATGTAAACTCAGCACTGGCTGTGTACCAATTGTATGTTATCTTTCTAAATATTTGTATTTTTACTGGTGGCTATATTGTCTTTAGACCTCATGCAAGTTTTTTATCTCTTTTAGCCAGATGATCTAAGTTGTATTACCCAGGGGCTGGTTGTATCAAGCCCGTTTAGCTTAAACGGTAGATAAGTCAAAATTAAATAACACGCTTACATCTCTCTTAGCTAAATGAGTCAACTTGAATATCATATTGCATTGAATATGTAGTTGTAAACAGTATCTTTGTATTAAGGTTAAAAACATTTAGTTTGCTTCTTGAATAAAACGATAGACGTGCTTTCTATTTTGAACTTAACCACCGTTTAAGCTAAACGGGCTTGATACAAACAGCCCCAGAATGCTCCCAGTATAATAAATATTCTGATCCTTCTTGCCCTTCTAACCTCCCTTCCTAGGCGCCAGTCTTGGTGTACGTTAGTACGGAAACAGCTATGAAGTTCTTGCTTATCATAAATATTTCACCGTTGGACAGCTGTACCTATCTTGGCTTGGACCAGGGCGGACAGCCATGTCAGGTACATGTAATTCCCTTGTGAGTTCACAAGACTAAGCACTTATGGTCAGTTTATCATTCACCCACCAAACAGTGGCAAATCCCATCTGGCAGCCACGTGGTCACCACCACTAATCAAGGGCCTGGTTTGTTAAACTTCTAACTACATTTTGCATCGTAAAATCGTGGTTAACTCCAATATACAGGAATCTGTTTGGCCAATCCTGGGGCGGTGGGGCTAGTTGTATACTACATTTTGCATAACTATAGCATCAAATGTGGTATAACAACTGCCTAAATGAGACAAAACACTTCTCGACGTTTCGACCTGAGGGCCTTCGTCAGGAGGGTTAGTACATTTTGCAACCGTACAGAAATACACGACTCTGATTGGCCAATTCTGTCCTTAACTGCAGTAAAAAGTTAACTAGTCTTATAAAACTGCCCCCTGTCCACTTACTATAGATGCGTTTTTTTTAAGCTTGCATTCGTATGGGATATTTTACTACTCATGGCAAAGAATGTGAGCGAATCAGATTTCGTCAGCGGCGATCGGAGCATGTCGTATGGTCGGAAGACTCTCGCGGATGGCTCGATTGCGGAAACGCGCCGGAACATGAGCACTAAAGATACGTCTCAAGAGTCCAGATTCTTCATGAAACAAGCAAGGAAAATTTTATGGCGGGAACTTCGCGGGACCCCACTTAAGACAGGTGAACTTTTGAGTAAACATTCTCGTTCTATCTGCTTATCATTGTTAGACGCATGTCATTATTTCCCTCGCTATTTATAAAGGTCACAAGGTCTCTCTAACCAAGGACACGCGGCCAGATACGTAATGAAAAACACTTTTTTAATATTTCTTTCGTAGTATTGCTTGATGGAGCTTGTTTTGACTATATGTCGGCATTCGGAGCTAACCACAGACGACAGATTTTGGACTGTCCTTTACAGCATGTTGATATGAACAACAACTTGCCGTTTCAATACAACAGGACGGTCCATAGCTACTTTGAGGTGAGCTAAAAGTTAGCCATCAAGTAGGGCTGGCCTGTAAGGGCCTGTTCATCGGACTGACTCGCTTTTGCTGGCTCGGAGATCTCGCTTTGTTCAGACGGGATCTCGCCAGAGCCGAGCTGGCCCGGTTCCATATGAATGCAATTTTACAAACATTGTGGAATAATTAATACAATGTGAAGCGAGATCCTGGCATTGCCGAGTTAGCCCGGCTAAAACGGCTGTCCCATCCCATATGAACAGGTCGGTTATTTGACTTGTTAACTGCTATAAACAGGCCCTAAGTTGGAAAAAAGGTTCGAATATATTAAAAAGTTAATCATAGTGTTGTTTGTTTTGTTTTCCATTGAGTTTTTTTTAAAGAATTGGCCTAGTATTCCAGCTTCTTCACATCGTATATAGGCTTCCTCTGATATCAAAATCGCGCTGTTTTTATAGACAAATTGCAAACCAGACGAGAACTGTGTTATCATAAACAGTTTATTGGCGGACCAGGTTGAAATAAAAAAAGATTGCGTTTTATCGCATTGTCGTATCGACGTAAGTTGTATGTTTTGCTGTTTTTCAAATTTAGTATTTGATTCTAAAACGTCGACTTGACAATGTTCAAAAACTTAGGTGATAAAAGGTATTGACATTTTTTAGGGGCCTATAACTGTTCATGAAGGATGCATTTTGGCAGCTATTTCATCCGATGTGATCACAGTGAGTATGTGAACTTATCGAGGTGTTTCGTTATAGACCAATCAACAAATTTCTTTACATCCACTAACCTAATTAGAATGCATAAATTTGTACTGCTTGCCGATATAAAAAGGCACATTATTTACCATTTTATATATGAACGATTTAAAATTTGGGCATTCTGGTTAACTCTGCCTGAAAAATGTGAACAAATTTGCCGATTAAAGTGAAGTGATTCCCTCTTGTTATGTGGATGAAAAATCGCAGAGTCGAAAGATAAGAGTTTCTGCTTGTGTCAACGAGAGTTGAGCTTTATTATCATAAAGCGCATGTTTAAAATCCATATTCTAGGCCACTCTGACGCGTCATTTTTCCTATAGGAGTCTTCAGTACAGTACGAAATACCAGAAGATACAGTTCTACAAACATTCCAGCTCTCCATGGCCAAAATAATCCCACAAAACTTGCAGAAATCACATGCCATTCGCATCATGGTCGTGTTTGGTGTCCACGACTTCTTAAAAGTACGGTTGATAATTTACCATTTAATTTATCATCAATTTTCAATGCAATTACCACAAACTCCCATTGTCTTAAAATTTCCTCTCATTTAACCAATGCCCAACTAGTATGGAAGTGCGAAACTAAACATTTTATAATTTGTTTCAAGGTTCCCGTATCGGATTCTCGTAGCACTTACTGCAATAAATCCTGGAACGAATTTTTCGCCAGAACCGGAATCCGAGCTAATGAGCTGTGGGGACCGGATCTAGTGAGTCTTTGAAACCTTACATCTTTTCTCGTGCAAAGAAACTGCATGTCCTAAAAATATCTACACTTTTCCATGACATCATTCAACGTCTTTATTTTTCTTTCACGCCTGTAGTTAGTCAAATCTAATACATTCGTTAACAACAAGACTACTGTATTGAGAAAGAAATAATTTCCTTGCTCTTGCTTAGAGACTTTCATCTCAAAAAGCCTTTTTTATTGTTTAGTCTGAGCATGAACAGTCGTTCTTTAACGCCAAGTTATTTCCCTTATTTTACCCTGGAACTAATATTGGTTTACGTGATATGTTGTGGCTGAGAGGAGCGCCATGTGCCCATTCGACTGATGCTGTGAAGAAGTAAGCGATATACTTCGTTTTGAGCGCAACTTTTTTGCCTTTGAGGGCGATTTTTTTTTTGGCTCTTACGGCACGTCACCCCCACGACTTTCCAAGTTTTTCGTGGCTTAAACCTACCCCCCTTCCCCCCACCCGTTATTTGCCAAATTCTCTTTTTCTATGAGAGGATTTTCGTATCAATGAATATGAGTTATCTATTATAGTTGGCGTTCATCTTGGCGACTGTCTCTCAAAGAAATTCTTGATGCGATCGACATTTCAGCCGAATTTGAATGGCAACGGTAAAGCTGCATTTTGTCGCTTTGATGTTTGCTTTTGACGTGTTTTCGTTTTCTTCCTAAGCGCATGAAAGCAACGTGTATTTTTCCGTTCAAGGCGTTTGTATTACGAAGTCGGGCGAAGGAGGATGAAAGAGACGCTGGAGGGAGCCAAAAACAATTGTCTTCTGCCATTTTTCAAGAATTCTGTCGTGGAAAACTATGGTCTAGAACTTCTAAAGGAATTAGACAATGGTGAGACTTCAACTTTCTAGTTCAACTCTTCTGCAAATCATGTCAGTTTCCAGAACTCGCCTTTAACCAGGCGATCTAAAATGGCGAGAAAGCGCAATACTAGTTTTGAATTACTCTCGGTTGAGACAACTTAATATCTTTTGAAATGTTCTTTATTTCGGCTTTAAATTTATATCAGAGCTATAGTTCGTATAACTGAACATAATCACAAAATTTTGACTGGTTTCAAAAAGAATAACAAAAGATATAATCGATTAAATACTGCAGAATGAATTTCTATTTCGACAACTCTCCTTCAACAAGGAGTCTGCACCGAATTTGATTGGTCATACTCGGCTACCTTTTAGTTGCCTGCAATTCTGGTTCAGCGGACTGTGTTGCGAGAACGCTCTCGTGTATTGCTGACGTGCTAAGTGAAATGGCCGGCGATAAATCGCGGAGTGGCCCTGCCGCAAACGAAAGTTGGATGTATGCGTACCGTTTACTGGAGGTAAGGTCTTGAAACGAGAAAACATCGACGGGGTTTTGAATATGCACGGTACTCGTAATTTACCCTCCTGTAAATTGACTCAAATTTGTTTTAGAAAAGGGATATAAATGCTGGTATAACGGAACTGGCCAATCAGAGGGACAAATGGTTAGGAAGGTGGGTCATACTATGAAATATTTCTCCTTTTATAAATGACTCTAATCCATCCGTGTGGCTGACTGTAATCTCACATGATCGTTCTTCATCCCTCATTTTTTGCTCATAGATCTGACCTGCTCATTCGTGCAGCCCGCCACTATGAAGGAGCTATGCAAATATTGATACGACACGCTGTAATGACAGCAAGACAGGTATACGAAACCTTATTTTCACTGTGTACCATCGATTTAAACATTTTTCAATTAAATTCTACAGTTTCACTCATGTTGATGCACGAGATGCTCTTTCAAGCTGTGGTGTTAGGTTTAATTTAATGCAACTCAATTCAATTGAGTCTATAGTTTCAATTTTCAACTTTCTAGTTTGTCCAATTTTCGCCAAAATCCCAGCCGCCCATTGGTCAGTGGTTCATCGCTGAAACCCCAGCACGCATCGACCTCTCAGGAGCCTGGAGCGACACCCCACCTGTGACGTATGAACACGGGGGAGCGGTGACTAACATCGCTATTAAAATCAGAGGAAAGGTGAAATACAATTCTGTTCATAATATTAATTGGCACCTTAAGATATATATATATATATATATATATATATATATATATATATATATATATATATATATATATATATATGACGAAAAATGCTGAAATTGCAGCTAGGATTCATATTTAATTGTTAACTGACGAAGATCGGAGGTTTCTGATCGAAACGTCTTTTAGAACTTTTTATAAACGTGATTACGTTTTCATATAGCTAGTGACAAGAATTTTTAATCATATATATATATGTATATATATATATATATATATATATATATATATATATGTATATATATATATATATATATATATATATATATATATATATAGACTTCAATTATAAACGAGTAATTAATTTTTTTTATTTCTCCTTTGTAGAAACCTATCGGTGCCAAAGTTAGAAAAATCCACGAGTAAGTCAAATATAAATTTCTAGCAAACCGCGTAGTATGCTTGAGAAACGTTTGCAAAACTGATCAGTCTTCCATTCCAGGTTACAACTACTGCTAGTGATTGGCAATGGTAAAGACGCAATCAGGCTAACAGTTAACAAAATATCGGATCTTCAAAATTATTCAAAACCTAATGCTCCAGGTTAGTACGAAGATCTGTTTCGCCATGGTTGTTTGAGATTGAATCCTGATTGAATTGAGAACCCGATGACTCCATATCTCGCCTGAATCGCACACTGGACTTGATCTATTTTAGTGATCTTCACTTTCCTAAAAATTACAAAGAATCACGCCATCAAAATCATAACACTGGGTTCTATATGATTATTGATCACTGGACCACTAGGGAAAAGTGTAGAACTACACAGAGTAGATATATAGATCCGTTTTAGCGTCCTATGTCATATCCACTTTTCTGTATTGTAGGTGCTCTACTTAAGGCGGCTGTGTGCTGTGCAAACATCATCGATCTTACCTCGTCCAAGACTTTACAACAGCAACTTAAAGAAAAATATGGCGCTGGATTTGAAGTCCAGTCTTGGTCAAACCTTCCACAAGGATCGGGTCTTGGTGCAAGTAGTATCCTCTCTGGTGCCTTGATGGCTGCATTGCTAAGCGCCGCTGGAATCAACTATGATACGGACTCCCTAATTCACGCGGTCTTACATCTAGAGCAAATGCTAACGACGGGGGGTGGGTGGCAGGATCAGGTCGGGGGGTTGTTGCCCGGAATCAAGCTCGGACAGTCTGAAGGAAAACTCCCGTTGAAAGTGGAGTCAGAAGTGTTGAAAATCGATGATCAGAAAATGAAACGTATTGTGGATCATTCCTTGCTCGTTTTCACTGGAAAACCAAGGCTGGCGAAGAATATGCTGCAGGTGAGTTTCCTTCTCTTAAACCTTCAAGAATTGCGCTCAGCGTTGCTTACAATCGCCTTATTAAAGTGTATTTTTCATACGCCATGTTTGTTTAGGGTGTTATCAGAAATTGGTACACGCGCAAACCTGAAGTGATAAAGACTGCTGACTGGATTGAAAGCAATGCCAGGGATTGCGCTCAGGCTTGTGTCGAAGGTAACGGAAATAAGTTTTTCTACCTTGAAAACCTTTTATCACAAAACTTGTGTGACATTGTGTTCGACCACTTCTGGGTATCCCACTCCTAATTCTATGTTGTTTTTGTTATTTTTATAGGTGACGTCAAGAAAATTGGAAAATGTCTAAGTAACTCTTGGGAACAGAAAAAAATCATCGCTCCCGGTACTTCATGTTATCTCAGTGAAATAGGTTGAAGAGTGAGCTCAGCTATTGTGCTTATTTAAATATTTCTGTGTCGTTAGGCTGTGAACCTCCCCAAGTAAAAGAGCTGATCGACGTTTTGAAGCCTCATATACACGGTACGTGATTGGCTAATAGTGCCACTGCTTCCTTGTTGTAGAGTAATAATTGTTTTAATTCTTTTTATTGCTTATTTTGTTTCTTCGTCTACAGGATTCTTGCTGACGGGTGCTGGGGGCGGTGGATTTCTATACGCCATCACTAAGGAAGCGAAATTTAGCGAAAAGGTTCCGGAACTTATAAAAGGACTGGGGGTAAGTTATCCCAATCTCCCATCGCCGTTACAAACTCCGATACACAGAGCTTCATACCCGCAATACAATGCTCTTATAGCCACAATTCACTGCTCTTATACCCACAATTCAGTGCACCCCATACCCACAATCCAGTGCTCCTCATATTTTAGACCTAGCGTAAGCCAGGCCCCGTAGGATGAGCCACTGGATTGAATATTTGAAATGACTAGCTCGGGAGCCCAACAAGAAGTTACATTTCATTGCAGTAATATAATAATCGATTCCGTTTTCCACCAGGGTCAAAGAAGTGAAGAACATTACAAACTAGAGTTAGACGAGGAAGGATTAACAGTTCGGACCGAATAATACATCTGGAGTGATTGAAACTTATTAGGAATTTGCGTGTATTGATTTTAGAATTATATGTTTTTATCCGTTATCCACCCATACATACTTGGATTGGGCCAAGAAGGGATATTTATGAATCAAATTCATCATACACAATAAGAGTCTAGTTAGGGAAACTAGAGATTTACTGTATTCAGGAAGATAACATTAGATACATACGTATAGTGTATCATTATCTAAAACCTTCTCAGTAATTCCTAAAACTCATAGAAATGATGAGATACGTGTTCTTCTCATTGTTCTTGACAACACGTGCGTCTTCAACCTTAGAGTTGCTTTCTACTGTCGCGTTTCTCATACGCACATAAACCTTATACCATAGGCGGCCCAAAATTGCGCGATATTTTTTCGCGCGAGAAATTTTTCAGGTATTTGTCAATATAATGTAGTAATAATTATTATACCTTATTACATCATATTGACAAATTACCGAAAAATTTCTCGCGCAATTTTGGGCCGCCTATAAGCGCTTATACATGTCATATTTGAAAAAGCTAGGCGAATAAATCGAAAAAACTATATACGCATTTGTGGCTGATCAATTTAATTTAACATATGAACTAGTTCAAAGACGTTATCTGGTTGAAGTTATGAATTATTCTGCTCAGCATTTCACGACATTTGTCTTCATTTGCTCGGTACTACATTTATGCTGACAACACCGTCAAACGAAGCATCGATCACTAATAATCTTATCTTTAATCAACTTCTCACTTTCTGTCAAATCTTATCTTGATTTGATCACGTGTGTATTAAAAATCAATAAGACTAGCAAATACGGATGCGTCATTTTGAAACGAAATCAACGGCTGTAACTTATTATTATGCAACCAGTACCGAGGAACGACATGTTTTTAACTGTTAATTTCTATATTTTCTTTTAATGATTTCATTCATTTTGTTGTAAATTTAATTGTTCTGTTATCCATTGTAATTGTTACATTCCACGAACAGAACGGTTTCAAAATGGTCCGTGTTTCGATTTCACTGATGAAGGTAAGAATTTGGTAGCTAAACTTCCGTTCCTAGATTCTGAATTGTTTTTATTAAACATTGTTTTCAACTAACGCGTACACCACACAATCGTTTGTTTGGTTCTTCCTCCTGTATATTCGAGTTACATAAAAATTAGTGTTGGTGAGAAATACCTTCCTATACGTCTATGCCTTCTTTTCAATCTATGTTTGGTCATATTTTTTTATCTTCCTTCTATAGGTCCTTATTTTCTCGAATTTTGTGATCCTTTGTTGTAGTGGTAAGTTGGAAGGACATATACTTATGTCTGCCACCAAGAACTGCAAGGTTTAGAAACCGTAACTACATCTGCATGACTACACGTAACTACAATTTTTTGAAACCATTGAATCTTAATGTACGTGATGTGAGATAAATTTGGACATGCCAACAGAATTTCATCACTTTTAAACACTTGACATATCGATCAACACTTTCGAAAAAGCTACGTCGAATTGTGTAGCTTATGAGTTCGTTTGCATCGTCAAACGTTTTCTCTGCTGGGAGCGGGTGCATGCATGCGGCGGGCTTTCCTAACAGCAAACACCAGGGGAACGATAACATGCAATGGCGTTTAAAGGCTCTTACAACGAGAAACAAACGTATTCTGCCAAGTGCGTTATACAGTGGCTATGTCTAAGTAAACAAGGAAGAACGAAGGTCTGTTGTGTTCAAGTGCAAAAAAACAGCCCGACACAACAAAGCCTAAAGCTAAAATTTATAAAAATTACAGTTTTAGGTTGATTAAACTGTTGCAAAAGCGAGGTAGTTAGCTTTGCCTTTGGTTTTAGCACTGCCTTTCATAAATTATACATGCGGTACAATAACGCTTTATAACTTTTAGGCGATTGTTTGTTTTTCCATTGTGTGTATAAGAGTTTGAAAGCAGCAGTTGATATTTTATCTGTTTATTTTGGGCAAAGACGTTTACACAATTTTCGTGCGTACATCCTTATTTCCGAGTTTCAACTTTCATCTTTCTCAACTATAATCTCTGCACGGTTGTGTCATCCAAATAAACACGGGTGTGATTTAATAAAATACAATTAGAAATCTAAACGAAAGTCTTTTCAACATTAAGAATACAATTTCTGCGATCTTAGCATATGCACGGCAGGTGAAAAATGCCTGTTCAAAAATATTAAACATTGTCAGCTAATTGAGTCCTGAATACATGATTAAACCTTTATTAATATAAAATATGCATGTTTTTTACACGAGATACGGTCGAAGTTGTCAATCTTGCTGATTTTCAACTAAATTAAAATAAAATGAGCCCCTGCAATCTGTGTTTGTTTATCAAACACCCCAGCGTCAAACGCTGGGTTTATCCAATTCTAGAAATAAAAAATAAAAAATTTACCATTGATCTTTTCTGCTTCGATAGAGGTTTTAGATAAAAAATCCCAACACTTGATATACCTGCTTGCTCAAGCAGAGCTGCGTATTTCTGACTGAGTCAACTATAAGATTTAACTATGCAAAATGTAGTTAAAACGTTTTATACAACCGGCCCCTGAATCTACAAAGAGGACTTAAAAGTCAAAACAAACGTGCTATCATGTGTGCATCACCAGAGTACCTGACGAAAACATTTAATACTTGACCTTACTGGAGCTGAGCTGCAGTTGTAAATCTTAGACCCAGGACCCTCGCCTGTACTATGACATATATGCATTTTATCTGTAGCTAAAAATGACACAATAAAGAAGGTAAAACACCGGATCAACACCACTGAATGTTCGTGGAAAATTCGTGGTCAACGTTATTTCTATGGCAACGTAACCATGCACGAGTTTCCAGATTCTTCGTACAACAATGGTCCTCACAAGTATGGGGTTTGTACGTTCAAACTTGGTGAAGTTCTCAACGTCACTGCACAAGTTGATATTTGCGGAAGACATTCCTTAGCCATCGAAAGCAACTCAAGTATCTTCATTTCTGCCGCGTTGATTCTCGATTGGTCGCCAGAGCGAAATCGAAGTGACACGTGGCTTGGTGGTTTCTGTTCACGTGATTATGACTTAAACGAAACATACGGTATGGTCATTGTATAATGTTGGTACATGGTACTAAGTGGCTGCTTTCCCTTCTGGGCAGTTTATTGCATATTTCTGCATAAAGAAACAGCACACTTTGGTGTCCCTTTTAGTTTTCTCATCATTCTATTCAAACGCACGTTTGTAAACAGTAAAGAGTGCAGTAAAGTCAGTGAAAGTGCTTCGTTACTTTAATGTATTCTTTCGTTTGTGATTTGGTCATAGGCAATGGTCCTGGTGGGGGAAGTTGTTATGGAAGCGCAGGGCATGGTGGGATGGGATTTGATTTTAAAAGAGGAGTTAATGATATGAAACACGGCTGGCGTTACGCTTTTAATAATTCAAACATGCTGTTGATTGGTGGAAGTTCAGGTCAGTCATGTTTTAGAGAAAGTTGTGCAGAAATTATATATACTTGATGTGTGGAGTGTCCCACACCAGAATTAACGAGGTGAATTCGGTATTGAACATGTTGGTATTAATAATAGGTGGAGTCGAGAAGAAGGGGTCAGGTTTTTCCTGTGGTGGAGGAGCTATTATGATCTCCAGTGCGGAGTCCGTTACTATAGGTAAGTTATGTGACTGTGGAGTATTATCTATCACCTGAATGGTTGCGATTTCTTCCCTGTTTAGTAGAAAGAATAAACTGTCTTCTTGAATTTCAGATTCCAATATCTCTACAAGCGCTTTCAATTTAAACACGAATGATAGTTGTATCTATGGCGGAAGTGGTGGAACTATTATAATCAAGGCTAAAACTGTATGTTAGACTGTTTTTTTTTGCATACTCATATACTCATGTTAACAGACCTGTAAAGACAATGGATTTGAAAAGAAATTAATCTTGCACAACATGAATATATGAATATGTGCCCCCCCCCATGGTACATGATCGTCTCTCGGACGCCACTGGTTTTGCAATGACTATTGTAAAATGTATTTTCAATGTATTTTCAAATTGATTGCTCTTTAACTTCGTTGCCCCCTGAAGGATTTCCAATAAGATTGTAGCTAATAAGATAGTGTTATCGGACGAATTGGGAGTCCTGAGTACGAGCAAAGTGTTGTAAAGAAATGTAGTTTAATTTAACGAAATACAATTACGCTTATACAGTCTCTTACCAGATTCATCTCCTACCAGATTCTTCTCACCCCTAACGCCAAACTAGTAGCGAGAGGATCCGAAGCTCGATCAGCAGGGAACCTTTCCTGCTTTACCGAAAGTGGATCAGGAGGGGTAATCGTGATCAATGGGACATTCATTGACGGTACCACTCCTGTTCCTAGTGAACACACCAATCCTCTTCCAAGAGGTCGTAGAATTAGTTACGGAGTTGTCATAGTTAATGGTAAGCCTGCTAGATTATCTCGTTTTCGATTAATTCTCTAAGCAGAAACTGAACTTGTTGTTATAATTGAATATAATGTACAGAGGAATTTGCACATCGATTCTGCTCAGAACAACACGGGGCCCGCGAATAGAAAAACTGCCTAAATTTTGAATGTTTTGTATTTTTCTGGACACAGACTTGCAGACAGCTCGTCGTATTTCAAAAAATATAACAAAATGTAAACAAAGTGTTACATTGCGACTGGACATAACCTTAGGGGCCGTTCACATGAGCCTCGTTACCGAAATTTAACGAAGCATAAAATGAACTTAGAAGTATTGAAATAAGTCTTTTTGAAACATAACAATCACATGATATTGTTAGGATGATCACACGACCACCATAATCGTGTTATTTACTCATTTCAATACCTCAAAGTCCATTTTACACTTTGTTAAATCTCGGTAAACGGGCTCATGTGAACAGCCCCTTAAACGACTCGTTATTATCAGTACTGCATGGTTCCTATCAGTCATTCTGATGATTTTCTAAATTATCTCTGCACAGTGAACAACGTTTGGCAATAACATTCGCCAAATAACCTTTGATGTTCGACTAGTTTATTTGAATATTTAAGCCTTATTTGACACTTTTCTTTTTTTCCATAGGAACAAGTAAAAACAGACTACCTCTACCATATAAGAAAAATCGAGGTTTGTGACCATTCTATGTACAACATATCTCCTAGAAATTACAAAACCAAATAGTAGTCAAATACAAATTACAAATACATTACCAGTTCTGTCGAATTGTTGATAATTCTAAAGTGTTGACGATTTCTGGAACAATATTTTGTTTTGTTTTCAGTAATAGATTGGGAATGTTACAGGGGAGAAAAAGTATTCAACTACAGCGTTCTACCCGATTACAGCGTACAACAAACTACGTGCAATAGTAGATGCAAGGATTGTGGTTACCGTTATGCCGTGCTTCACGTGAAACTTTGCGCATGCGTAAACGACCTGGGTGATATGATTAAAGTTAATCGATCAAATTGCTCGCTTAGGTGTTTTGGACGCGAGCAGATGATATGTGGAGGTGGCACCAGATATTATGTAGTACGTAGTACTAGTAAGTATATGTTTAGTTGTGAATTGTTTAGGTATGTCCCAGTATAGGCATTACATTACATAAACATTTATAAACGCCTTTATAAACGTAGGGCGTACACAGAGGACTGGGTATTAGTCCAAGCTGATCCTGGTCATCTTCAGTAAAAACCTAATTTGGTAAAAATTTCATGTTCAGAATCTACGAATATAATCCTTGATTCTAATATTTTAGTATAAGTAGGAATAGGGTCAGGTTTAGGATTAAAAGTTAGGATTCTGAAACTTTGATATTTGATTCAAGGTTCCAAATAGGACACTGAAAACAAGACATGTATAATAATGAATGATTCGTTTATTGAATTTGATAAATGCGTCCTTTCCCTGTCTTTTAGATATCTATCCGAATGCGACCTTAAATTCGTCGAATATCTCCACCCCAGATTCTTGTCCACGAAAAACGCCTGCTACAAACTGCAAGTACCAAAACATGATTACTTTGCTACCCTCTGTCGCCTCTGCGGGACTAGCAACATCCACGAATCCTGGAAATTCTCGTTCGTCTTCAAAACCAACAACATCCACGAATCCTGGCAATCATCATTCGTCTTCAAAACCAGCAACATTCCCAAGTGCTAATACTTCTCCTTCACCTTCAAAATCGTCAACAGCTTCGATCAACAACGTCAATCAATCGTCAACAACTTCGTCATTTACTAAACCGTCTGCTTCTGCCACAACTAAAAAGGTGAGAAAATGTTTATCAGAAAAGGTAAAAGAAAGAGAAAGCTTCACTACTGTTCTTCGCATCTGGGAAGAGTACTTCCATTTGTACTCAACTATACTACTAAAGAGACACATATTCCTGCTTTGTTTCATATGCTGCATGCTAACGTTTAATCTAATCTAATTTTTCACACAGCTTCAAGATTTATCACAAGTCAAAGTGACTGCAAATAATTCAATGAAAGTCCTTAAAGAACTTTTAAACTTAACGGCAGAAATCTTTGCCCCCGACGAGCTCAATATATCGCTGACAATTTTTGAGGAAGTTGTGAAAAATGATGCCATTTCTCCTGGAAGTAAAGCGGAAAGCAAACGTATTGGGAAGGTAAGGGCTTCGTTTTTAGATAGATTGTTTTTCTATAAAGTGAATTGGGAGAAAATAGTAAAGCATAGCAACAGAGAAATAAACTCGTAGAAATAACAGCGACCGAAAAGGCAAAAAAAAGACTGTTGATAACAACAGAAGTCAGCTGTGTCAGGACAAGTGAACAAATTTGAAGCAACTACAAGTAGTGATTCAATCGATATTTAAATCTTCTGTTGTTATCTAGATTATTCTTAACATCGCTGAAAATCTTCTAAACAATTCCATCTCATCATGGGGTGCTTTGAAAGCGGTAAGAAGACATGCATTCTATATTGTGTTCATATCGGCATGTATATTTCTCTCATGCAACTTTTCTTTTCATCCCAGAGAGGAAAAACAAGTTCCGAAATAGTGCTGAAAGTTGTGGAAGAAGCTGCTGGGAGTCTAGGGAAGAGCCTGGCTGTAAACGATACGATTAGTTTTAATACTTCTCATTTTGGTGAGTCGTATCACTCGCATGTTTATTGCATTGTCGTCTAGCTTGGTCGACGGACTGCAATTTTCTTCATTTCAAATCTTCATTTAGGATTACGAATAGACAATGTGGATCCTGTTCATTTTATCAACCAAACTATTGTTTTCGTTGGTCTTAAAATCGAGGATAAAAAAAGTGATCAATATTTTGGAAATGACGAGGAAGCTTTCATACCCGCCGTTTTACCAGAGGCAATTCAAGGTGAATGCAGTCATTCTTGATTTGAGAATTTTACCAAAAGACATTTTAACAAAGTACGTTTTTGTTAAGGTGCTGGCCCATTCACACTTCACTTTTTAAAGTATCGCCCCCACTCCGTATTGATGAACGCTAGTTTAAAAAACAGGTAAAACCGATGATAATTTGTAATTCTCGTAGAAAACTTACAATTACCTGCTGAAAATGAATGCCCTGTCCATGTCTTTGTGCTGTTTTAAAGCATAATCTTTTCGGTGATCAAATTACAACAGTTAGTCGGTGCTATCCACTATAAATAATATTATATTGCAGTTCCACAGAGTCAGTCTTACTTTCCAACATCATCTCACTATCCATCAGTCGTCCTTTAAAGAAAAGGTTGAATGACAACGTTGTAATCAACTTTCCCATTAACAAGGTTGGGTTCATCGTACAATTTTATATGTCCAAAAGAAGTGGTTTTGTTACTTTTGTACAATGAATTGTTCCTGTATTTTTCCGTTACTTTTAGATTCCCACAAGCAACGCAAAAGCTTCGTGTCGTTTCTTGGATTTTGGGAAAGAGTACGGACTCCATTTGTATTAGTGAGATTTTCATAGAAATCTCGTTATATTTCCATGAATTTCTTACTCTACTTTTAGATCTGATATATCTTGGTCGTCTGAAGGCTGTGTCGTTGGCGAGGAAAAAGATGGGAGAACAGCATGTTTATGCAATCATTTCACAAATTTCGCTGTTCTTACGAACATTGAAGAAGTTCCTGTGAGTGAAATCAACTTCACAGTCTTCACTCCTATTGTCACGATTATTTCTTTCCTGTTTGCGAAACAGCATTTTGATATTTATACGATCAATTTTTCAAACATCTTTCAGCTTGATGAAGGTCATCGAGAAGCTCTGAGTTGGTTGACATACGTTGGCTGTGCTATTTCTTTAATCTGTTTACTTGCAACGTTATTTATATTTGCTGTGATAAAGTAAGTACACGCTTTATACAGGTTCATCTTTCAAGTCTCATGCTGAAATGAAGCTGATTCTTACACAAATACGAACCGTTGTTAATCGAACAACCACACAAGCGTTGCTGTCATCAATCCTGGGACAATATCGGACAGTACATACGGTTGTTTAATTTTCCTTTGTTGCAGGACGCTAGTGGTTTCTGATCATATCTGGATTCATTGCAACTTAATCGCGAGCCTAGTTTTGGCGCAAATTGTCTTTGTGTTTGGTATCAAGGCTACTGAAATCAAGGTAACAGTTAACTGGTCATATCACCCAACTGGCTGACCTGCTTCAGGTGACCTACTTTTGGAAGAAATATTACTTGAAAATTGAAATCGAGATCTCTGCCATAGTCAAATACAATGATGTCAGTGAGCTTAGATCGAAGTAACGATAGGTTCGGATTATTGTGTAGTTCATAAAGGGAGCCATATTTAACTGATTTCCTCAGGTTGTATGCAAAGGTGTCGCAATCGCTCTTCAGTACTTATACACGACTGCAATATTTTGGATGTTCGTTGAAGGAATTCATTTATATCGCAAAGTTGTCAAAGTTTTCGTGAAGTCAAGCGTCAAGAAATATTATTATATTTTCGGATGGGGTTAGTATATAAATTCAACTATCAAACCAAACCGTCCCTTTACATATTTTAGGTGCCCTTTTTACTAAGCCAAAGTGCCCCTGGAAGCTGGTGCCCCTCCCAATCTCTGGTGCCCCCCAATCTCCGGTGCCCCCCTCCCCAATCTCTGGTGCCCCCCCCAATCTCCGGTGCCCCTCTCCCCAATCTTTGGTGCCCCCCCCCCCAATCTCCGGTGCCCCTCCAATCTCTGGTGCCTCCCCAAACTCTGGTGCCCCCCCAATCTCTGGATGCTTCCTACGCCTCTGTTGCGCGAGATTAATTCGTCATTTATTTGAAGCTATCATTGTTCATTGGCAGGTGGTCCAGTTATCATTGTTTTCATTTCCGCTCTTTCGAGATTTGATGGCTTCGGGAACGAAAAGACGTAAGCTTTGCATTGCTAAAAATAAATTGTTTTAACTTGATTCCGTTGAGAACTACGTTTACGAATGGTCTGCGTGTATGCACTATGCCATTACAGTTTTATCATAGAGTGTTTTATATTACTTTCAGATGTTGGCTATCAATAGAAAAAGGATTGATCTGGGCTTTTGTTGTACCTGTTCTTCTTGTTGTTCTGGTGTGTATACACAGGGGGGGTGGGACTGTGAGGCTGTGATGACGGATTAGGGGGAGGTCTTTTAAAGGTGTACCTCCCGGGCCCTCAAAACTGTCCAGAAGGTTTCTCAACTTGCTTGGTTTTACCCTAACGTGTACCCATAAAAAAAACTGATGTTCTTTCACAATTCCGATCTACGTACTCCAAAATACTCGAATGGAGTGTGTCACAATCTTTATGAATTTTAACTTTTGTAAACAATTTTATTTTTGTTAAGTTGAATGTAATAATTATTGTGGCTGTTATTCGTATCATGCTTGTTGCAGTGGACACAATGCCACAGTCAAACGGTCAGAATTCAAGTATCAGGTAGCGACATAGAAAACTATACTCTTATTGCATACGAACCGCAGTTCAACTCAATCTTTGCCATAAACTGCCATTCAAACCTGACCCTAAGCCCTAATGTATCAATCTCTCTTTTGTTCTTGTCCTATTTTGCATGGTCTATAGTTTGTTTTCTCTTTGTTTGAAGAAATGGAGTGAAGGGTGTCATCTTTCTCTTGCCAATCCTCGGTTTAACTTGGATATTTGGTGTCGCGGCGGTAAATGATGCTGCGATTGTGTTTCAATATATTTTTACAGCACTCAATTCCTTTCAGGTCAGCTATTTTACAGCAAGGATGATTCCCAAGAAATGTCTAAAGTATATACGTTTAAACCTTTATATTTTTTTCAGGGTTTCTTCATATTCTTGTTTCATTGTGTTCTAAACAAAGACGTAAGTACGGATATGCGGCTGTTGCCTGTCGGCTCTATGAAAAATACAGCCACATGACCATATGCCGGGTTATTTCTCGGAAATTCATCTTAACAAAGTTATTCCAACTTGTCTGTCCAGGTCAGAGCTGCGATTAAAAAACGTCGACTGAAGAAAACGACTGTCCAACGATGGTCATACGAGTCTAGTTGGAAATCAAAGGTTTGTTTTTGCACTCGAACTTTCCATGTGCCGAATTGAATGCAAATGAACTTAGACAAACACTTTAGCTCATTAACCGTTAGGTTGGACACATGAGAAGTTCGACGTCTGAAACAGACCTAAAGCCTGTTTTCCACTAGCGATATTTTTCGCGCGAATCGACATTTTACTTTTGTTCCAGAGCTCTCAACTGCAACCATCCGGAACAAATTGCTCAAATACAAAGGAATAAAGTCGCTTCGCGCGAAAAATATCGCTAGTGGAAAACCGGCTTTAATAGCATGCATATATCAGCTATCATTCAGTAGAGGGGCCGATCTGCATTCATAGATTCGGTATCGTTTTAACATTTTTGTTTTTCTTTAAGGAGCAAAAATACAGCACACAAATGAGCAGAAGTTCTAATCCTTGTGTCAGGAAAATTAAAGTAAAGGCTTCACCAATGACATCCGGGTAAAACGAAAAGTCTTGTGTTCCTAATTGGCTTTCTGTTTCAGTTTACTGATTTTTTCAACATTTTTTGATATTTTGTTTTAGACGCACCACCTCCTCTGAGAAGTAAGAAGGGAAATACAGGTTTAATTATTATATGTTGTAGATAAAACTCTCATTGGATATTATTCGTAATTTATACGCCTGTGTAGGGCAAGGTAAAAATGTCACTGACATGGGGATCTGAACATATTTAAGACTTTAGTATATTATAACATATTACATATACCATATCGAGTAAATAGGAAATCGATGATGCGATACATCCTAATTTATCCTAACGTGAATTTTTTAAATTCGCGCAAATTGAAAAGCGAATTTGCAGTAGAGGGCTGGGAATCAAGAATAGATGGGAATAGGAAGCTTTGCAGTGCATCATGGGTCTCTTTTAGGTAAGAGCTTTTTGCAGTGACCTTTGACTCTAGTTCACGTCCTTAAAACAGGCCCATAATGCACCAACCATTTGCCATCATTCAATTCAGACTTGCAAAATAAAGGTCGCGTCTTGTAGAAGTGCTTAAACGAGTGTTTTTGCGTCTATTTTTTCTCCCGTATAAATGGCACTTATGTGATCTCAAAAGTTACCTGATCCCCTGGAGTTCCCCCTGGATCCCACACAAACCCACCTTATTTGGTAGTCGGTAAGTGCCGGTGGGCGTTCGGACGAAGCTCGGACAAAGGTTTCGATTGCAGTTGAAATGAAAAAGTTGACTTGGCAAGAAGGTTTGTAGTCGATGGCGAATTCAGAAGCAAATTTATCAAGTGACTTTGATATAGATGAGGTCATAAATTGGGATGAACAAAATTATTCATCCAAGGTTATTATTCATGTATTATTTGATGAGGAAAACACAAAATATGTACTGGGATACAAGCAACGTAGGGACTAACCCGACTCGATAAGTAGAAACGGACGCCAAGGGTCTTCTTAAAACATTCTAACACGGATCTTTTCTCGTTTTAAATTCACTAGCAAATAGGCTAAAAGCCGAGGTTATGGTCCGATAAATTCTTCGGAATGATAAGGACCTACTATTTTGGAAAATTGATAGCCAAAATGCTAAACACATAAAGGCGTTTTGCCAACATGAGTTGTGCACGCTATCAACAATGGTGCATCGATTTTAAAGGTAGATTTTTGTCTTTAGTCCCAAACGTTTTTCGTCATTAGTTGATGCTAATTTGAAGATTTGAATACTATTTAACAGGACTTAACTTGGCTCGAGACAGTTTGAAAGCATTAGGCTTATGGGGTTGAAGAAGGAGGTTGCTTTAGTATAGAATCAGCACCGGAAAGGTAGCCATATTTTTGAACACAATTTTTTAAAATTACAAATCTTCGATGTCACGCAGATCCGATAGAAAATGTTTTTCAATCCTTCGACTAAACGTAAAAAGAAAGCAACACCATTCGGCTTTTCCGATAAAAAGGTTAGTATTTTAAAGGATTAGGGCAAAAGAAACGGCAATGTTCAAATGTCTTCAAGCACGAGGGGCGACTTTCATCTTCATGTGTTCAATAATTCACAAGCAACAATTCGACAAACATCGCTAATTCGTACAGCAATATAATTTCTTAAAGGCTGATATGTGCGTATTTTTGAAGGCAGCGTTTAGGGTTTATTTATGGGCTTAGAAAGCATTTTGAAAACAACCGAATACGGAGTACATTATTCTATTCCATTGCTAGGACACGTCTAAGAAGCGCTTGGCGTCCACGTAATTTTTTGTATTTTAACATGTATTTTAGATTTTTAGTCATAACCTGTTCAATATATTGTACTTTAGATAATGAGCAACTAATCTTTTGGTTTATCGCTGTTTTTCAGCTATAATTGAGGCAGAAATGAGCAAATTCCAGAAAGAAATTTGGGTCGTAAAAATTTCGCAAAAAATTCTTTGTTGTCGACCATAATTCCTGTGTCCCACCCTTGATTTCCATATTTGGGCATCTTCCTGTTGAATGAATATTTTATATTGCGTGGGATATAACAACCGGGCGTGAGCCAATCAGATTGTAGCGTGGTAACACAGTGTTTACTAACAATATACCCACCTGTCGGAGGAATTTAACAGTATATTAGAATATTGAATTTTAACATTGACTTTGTCAAGCAATTTTCTGCCCAAATTACTTGAATTCAATCAAAAGTTTGGTTTTATGAATGGTGTGCTACTAATAGGTTTTTATTTGATAAAAAGTATTTCCCTGCAAGTCTTTCTCTTTTAGCCATTGATAGTAATTTGCAAAAAACTTTCACTTTTGTTTGTTCCTATGTTCTGGCTGATAGCAGTAGATTTCTCTTAAAGCATTGTGTACAATTTAGATATTTTCTTATTTTAGAGCATTGAGTATCAACTGCCCCAACTGGGCTTGCCTAATGATGCCAAAACATCACAAAATACAACCCTAACCAACCTGGCAACTAGCCAAAAGGCTGCACTTCAAGGGGCACAGGTATACTGAATTTACATATTTAAATTATTATTCCATCCATCCTGGTCCAAACCAAAACACATTTTAACCACAACAATGTTTATTTAGAACACTGGTTCATTTTATTCATCATTCTTTGCGGCTGGAAACAACCCTTCTGTTGTCCAAAACTCAAAGAACCATGGATTTTCATCACGTCAACCAATGGTGTCCCCAAACGCGCTCTCGTTTCCCTCAGAGAACATTAACATCCCCTCCCTTGCTACATCAAATGCATCATTGTTACAGTTCACGCCGAACATGGTTGGACAGAACACATCCTTAACCAATCAGTTGTGTGTACCATCAATGCAAAACTCCAGTAACATAATAAATGATGATGTTTCACCATTTGATGATAGCGCTGATCTGATCGAAGGTCCATTAGATAAAATTGTTGATCAGATCATGGACCGTCAGATTAGCGAACGAGAGTCAAGTTCATTTGATGATGACACTCCAGTCATAACATACAGTAATCGGCAAGCAAAAGCACCACAGCTTGCCAGTACCATGTCATCATCAAATGTACCATCAAGAAGTGTTCTGTCACCAAATGCACCATCAAGGAATGTCACTTCACCTAATGTCCCATCCCCGAACATCCCCATGCATAGTATCCCATCACCTAATGCTCCCACTCATCAAGTGCCATCCCCTAGTAATCATGCGCAAAACATTTTATCACCGAACCCACAATCAAGGAATATACTGGTACAGAACATTACCACCACCAAAATTATACCCCCCAGTATCTCACCACCAAATATACCATCCCAGAATACAGTATCACAAAGTGGCCTACAGCCTAATACTGCCCATGTCTTCTCAACCATCCAAGGCTTGAGCTCTCAGGCATCTGAAAAAAACATCTCATCCCAGTCGCATCCTAAGTTCAGACAATCATCTGTGGCTGTACCATCAAGTATGGTCAATACTTTAGGACACAATACCACGAAAGATCCTTCACCATCTGGTTTGAGTTTTGGACAGGGTGATTTAACCACAAATAATTTATTCCAATCAAGTCCTGGTCAAAGAAATAGCCAGTCGTATCCAAACTTTTTATTGCAAAATTCCAACCAAACTTTAATCCAGCAACCTTCTGTAACCTTCTCACAAAGTAACCAACAGTCAAAACCTTACTGGCCGCAAAACGGCAACAATCTTGATGATTTACTACGAATGCAGGAGTCAATACGAACATCGTCGCCAAATGTGGAACAAGCGGAGTTTGGGAACCAACTTGCGAGATCTTCACCTAACTTCACGTCTGTTTTAACCAATAAAATCGTCACTGAACAATCACAGAATAATGTGCCATCGTTTATCACCACAAATATTCCAACTGTGAGACCAGCAACCCTCTTTCAAGACGTGAATGACATAACAAATGACTCACACCTAAAAATAAGTGCTGTGTCGTCTACTGCTAACTCTACTAACTTGAACGTTGCAGGTGCACAAAATATGAGCCAAGACATTTTGCAATTTTCCAACCGAACGACGGAATCCAATCCCAAAAGCGTTTCAAATCAAGTGCAAACAACTTATCCCGTTCATAATTTCCCGTCAAATATTGTTTTATCTTCGTTACCCGGTAGTCAAAATGAAAATCCATCACTTAGGCAGCGGGAAGTGCTTGTGGCAACACAACCATTAACCAGCCCACGGCAACAGACGTCCACAAACGGGAACCAATTCTTCGTTCAAAATTCTTCAGACTTAAACCAGGCTTCGGAATTGAACAGGGGCGATGGTTTGTTTTCCAGTGTTTCACAGCCGCTAAATGTCGTGTCTAACAGTTCGAGCACGCAAGGAAAGCTGGGTGTAACGGTGGAAACACCATCGCAATCTGAACAAAACAAACCTGTCTTCACTTTGGTTTCGTCTGCAAATACATCTCAAGTCATCTCAACGCCGCAGGCAACGTTTTTTCAAAGTCAAGCAAACTCCATTTCAAAACCGGCTGGAATAACCACAATTAAGATCACATCTCCCGGAACCAATACGGCCGGTTTCAAATACCCCACAATCGGGTTTAGTCCCAACCCTGCACAACCCAAGGCTGTCTCAATGCAGCCGCCTCGGGCGTTAGCAGTCCGACTCAGAAATATCGCAAACCCCACGACTTCGGCCTTTCCAACTTTCCGATTGAGGCAAGCTAATATGGCTACCAGTACGAACTCTCCAAACACGAAACCTGTGGTGTTCACGCTTGCCCCAGGCTCCCAGTCTGCTCTGAAAGCACTCCCAAATAACCTCAAGGATAAACTAGCTGGAAGGCAGGTTATATTCTTGCAACAACCGAGCGGGCAGCCCATCAATACGCCTAAACCGCAGCCGATGAAGATTGTGTTTGTGAACGATGGATCTATTGGTCAGTTGGTCTCTGGTCCTGTGAAATCCAAAGCACCAATCTCCAGTGTGCCAACAGTAGTCAGTGCTTCTCAAACACCAGGGTTGACTGTTTCTTCAAATATGATACAATCGCCGACAGACGGTGAGTGAATGGTAAAGTTGTCATAAAAGGCCGCAAGTAGTATAAATTTCAGTGTAATCTCAACAGGGAAAGAATTTTTTAGCCCTGAAGGGCCTGGGTTAACCCGGAAAAACTGTTGTAGAAACGTCATCACCGAGTAACTGTGTAAACTTATTCTTTCCACCTTAGGCAAACGCTCTCCACCTACTTTGGCTGATCATGTCCAAGATGCGGGTTCTCCATCAAGCGTAAACAGTGCCGATAGCGATGTAATCCCGATTGCATCTCTCAAACACGACGAATCGTTCAACAAACAACTGAATGAAACAAACGATGTAGCCGAACACAGGCGTCGAGGGAAAAAACGCAGAAAAGACCCAAACAGACCAGTCAAGTATGTAACTTATTTAGATCAAGAAATCTCCTCCTGTCCTCCGAAATTATAGCTCAACGGTTTCTATTTCTTCTAGACCATTGTCATCTTTCCAAAGGTTTTTTCAAGCTACACAACCGACACTTCGTCAACAAAACCCTCAAGTACGCAAGCATTCCTACGATAATAAATTGACTTTATTGACCTTTAGTTTGATAAAAACATTTTAATAAAATACACAGCAATACTAACTCTGAACATAAACGTTTTCATAATACTTGTCAATTTCAAGAAATTAACATGAAAATGTTTACGTTGGGGGCTATTTTATTTAAATACTCAAAGATCTCGCGATTTTTAACAACGTTTTGAATTGCCCCTTCAGGCAACGTTTGCAGAAGTTTCAAAAAGTATTAAAGCAATGTGGGAAAATTTATCTTCGAAGGACAAAAAGGTGGGTTTTTTAATCTTCTAAACTTCACTTAAAACATTTCGAGTTTTTTCAAAAAGTTTCGTGTATTTTAATTTTAGGTTTATCAAGATGCGTGGAGGCTGGAGAGGGTACAGTATAAGAAGGCAATGGAGGAATATAACGCCAGTTTCAATGAAATTGACTTAGTAGACGCTCCTTCACCGAAGTTGATGAAAAGTGAAACAAAAGATGATCTTGCAACAGGTACGTGAAATGATAAAAAGTGATTGGCGCGAAAGTTCCCGCCTGTTTTTGAAGCGGCATTTAACCTGATTGGCTAATTGATCTCACGTCAACCAACAAAGATTACGAATTTCAATTTGCTTCGATTTTTATTGGCTTTGCATCTTAAATAACAGTCTGTTTTGCAGTTCCGCCAGTTGATATACATCTAAAAACAGAAAATATCTCGATAAAAAAGGAAAATATATCAAGTCCCACCCTGAGCAGCTCTACGACGTCGTCGGCGACGAGCGGTACGATGCCTGCTCCCAGGAGCACTGGAAAACCGTTAGCGATGATGGCAGAGATGGCAAACAAAACGAAAATGGCGTCAGCACAAGCGGCTGCTGCTACAAAGGCAATGGGAATGACAAAATCACTTCACTCTGGAAAGAATAAACCCAGTAACGGTGTTGACGACAGCTTAGTTCACGTGGCCAAGGTGAGCCGAGGTTCTGCCGGTGGGGTTTTATTGAAAGCGGTGGGTTGTGCCCGGGAGTGGGTGGGAGTGAACACACACTGGTTCGTGGGTTATATCTAGCTTGTTCTTTGATAACACTCTATGACAAATTTCCAGTAAACGACTACATCAATAATAGTTTTTTTAGTTAATACTAGCAGTAACTGTGGATGGATACATATCGGCGTCAATCGAACGTTAATTGAGGGGGACCATATTCATGTACTCTGCTATGCCTGGCTAATTTCTTTTGAGAACAATTTCACTTTCAATGGAAATAAGCCTGGTATAACAGAATATATGATTACATTCGATTGACGCCCATGGTGGATGTGAATGGTATGATTGAACACTATGTTCTCTCTCTCTCTCTCAACGCATACCAACTTTGTTTTTGTGTAGAAAAAGGCAAAAATTAATCCCATACCAAAGAAATTGTGCATAAGATCGCACTGTAGCAAACCAGCTAAAACAACGAAGGAACGAGGAACGATGTTTTGCAGTGATGATTGTATCATGAAGTATTGTAGGTGAGTAAAACAATAGTTATTCACGACGCCGGGGAAAAAACCTAGGACAAGAAAACCCGGGACAAAAACCCACGCATTTCAATACCCAAATGCCAAAGAATACGTATTATAATTACGTATTATTAATACATATCCATCTTTTATTTATGCCCTATAGCTTGCTTTTTGCTGTGGTCTTCACAAAATTCTACAAAACACTTACAAAACTGTAATTCCCTTCAATTCTTGATTTCAGGGGTGTATTCAAATCTTGGGTGGAAACCAGGCGACAGACGTTAAAAGGAGCCACGTGAAAGTTTTCCGTGTTCCATAGCATAGCTTCAAATTTTTCCCAGTAAATATATATATTTCTATTTTGTTGTGCACGAGAGAGTTTGTTAAAAAGTATTTGTGTATTTATTTTCCCGTATTGAGAATCAGATTCCGCCCCTTGAATTTTGTATAAAAAATATTAAATTATCATAAAATATCTGTCGTAAAATATGTTATGCATGGTTTTGACATGGAGATTTAGGGAAAAAATCTTAAACGCGATTGTATTTGAAATGTTAACGAAAACTACAAGAATTGTAAAAAAGTTTATAGAACGAAATGGTTGAAACTTGTTAAACAAGATCTAAACAAGTCAATATCAAGAAATAAAGAACAATTCGAGACATAATTTAAAAAAATATTTAGCTAGTTTATATCAATTGGGAAGACCAAAGAAACGGTGCTTTTTCGGAGCATATCGTCCTAAGTCGTCGTTATAGTTCGTCGTGGCTTTTCGCCTGCTGGGGAAAGGAAAAAATGCGATCAATGAGAGCAAAAATGCGAGAAGGCCAAATCAGAAAATATTTGTCGTTTTAAATTATTTTTACCTTTTTCTTTTTCCTTTTACATTCACAACTACTTTTATCGTCGGTTGGTTGGGCAATGAACTCCATATCGTCATATTCCTTCGGTTTCGTTTTCTGAAGTTTGGCAAATTTCTATAAAAAAACAATCCAGTATATGGATGAGAAACTACCAGAGCGCATTCGCTGAAGACACCGCACGACACCGCACATCAATCCTTATCCACGATCAACCCTAATGATCCACCTTCATACATAATCATCCTCCTTGTCATCGCTAGTCATCACCCTCACACAACCACTATCACCAATGCTTGGTCTTCGTAACCATCCCAATTTACGAACCTTTAGTAGCACATAGTAATAGCAATATATATGTTCTGGAGTGAGCCTCTCGCGGACGTATTCCCGTGCTTGCAAAGCGATTTTCTCTGCCTGAAAAGAGGTAAATAATCCAGAATAACTGCGGGGAAACCTTACCATTACCACAGTCATCTTCACGAATGGTGAAGTAAGTAAATACCGCACCTTTTTATCATTGGCCATTGCCCAGTTCAGATTCGGCTCAAGATCGCTCAAATCTCTTTTGAAAGGAATGTAATGTACCCAAGGTTCGAGTTCTTTGTAAAAATGTTCATAATACTCCGAATCCTGTTTGAAAACTACCGAGTCTCCTGCCAACAGATACGGGAGCCTGTACGCAGCCACTGTCCCATCGATGGTTATCTGGTACTTGTACTATGAAGGAAGATTTTTCAAGAAATTGAAACCTAATGGCAGTACGGTAAAGAAGATACCCCCCGTATCCTATCTTTGGGATAGTTTGAAATAAGCTTGCGGAAAATTTTTACGAGCAAGATAAACTGCAATCACTTAGATATTGCATAAGTAACATTTTTTGTTCAAAGTGTTCCGTTCAGAAAATGTTATCACACTGGAGTAAGGCGCTCCCTAAAACAGTCTAGATTTGCCCCGAAATCATCCGTGTACCTTGAAGAAATCATAGAAAGAGACATGCTGTCCTTTAGGGCCATATTTCGCCTCATCGTAAGGGAAAAAGAAGAAGTTTGTCAAGGCTGCATCGTAAAGTTCAGGCTTTTTTCTGGCCATGACAACGAAATCTAATCGTTCCTGTCGACTGTCTCGCCCGCGCCAAAATGCTTTGGGTATCTTGTCCTGCCATTTTGGGCCAGTGTTAGCTTGCACGGATTGCATACTCAACGAGATTCTGAAACAGAAAACGAAGGAAAGGGTTCCATGGATCATCTCTAATATGATCTTGCTTGGATGCAATCTTTGATGTCCAAGAAAAAACCACCTAAAATTGTCTAGGTGATGTGTATGTTTAAACTATTTTTTACAGTTTTACCTTCCCAAAGTTTCAGTAACAGATTGTGTTATATCATAGGTTGGCATGACAATATCTTCTGAATCTTCGGATCCACACCAGGAGAAAATGGGCAGCGGACTAGAGCGTCTTTTCTCTAAGGGCCAGTCACCAAGGTTGACAAAAAATTCAACATTTGGTAGTTTTACCTATAATACGATTGTCAGAATTTGTTTGAATGACAACTGCATGACAACATACAATGGATAATGATTTAAAATTCATTTTCACCTTGCGCATTAAAGAATACAACCAGGAATCCATGAATTGAGCAAACCCAACATGTTTTCCAAATGTTTTGCGATATATCTTAAAAATGAAACAATTTTAAATCAATTCAGGTGACAAATTTTTGTACAGGTTCCTCTAGGAGGTCACCTATAGCGCCTGGTAAAGGTAAGTTTTACATACGAAAGATATTATTACATCAGCATACTTTATTTTTAATAATTCGATAGTGAACAAGAGCATGATGCTGTCCAAATCTCTCTATGGCTTCTTTAGCCACTTTTCCACGATCAATTTTTTTGAACTTGGCAAGATCCTTGTCAATCTGTTTGTACGTTGCTGGACATCCCATAGCTTCGCTCCAAACGCTGCTGTTTTTTTGAGGGCAATCACAGTTCTCATGGTAAAATTCTAGGACAGAAATCATCTGGATGAGAAGGAATCACCTCCTTTATTACCATGCAACAAATTGCTGTATTCAGCCTTATTTTAACTGCTAGACTTCCTTGAAGTCCTTGAAGGGTTACCTTGCAATACATAAGGTGACTCTGCTACATCCTTTCCATTGTATTTAACATTAATGAAGAGCTCGTCAACACTCTCGTATGCTCGGTACAAAACAAGAAATGAGCCATCGTGACGATCAAGCACTTGCCTCCAGGCTCTTACTCTATCTCCACCTCTCCTACTTAATTCAACCTGGAACGTGTTATCTCCTGGGGACTCTTTTAAACTTTAAAAAGATGAGAAAAGTTAGAATATTGTTCAATACAATGAACATTTTAATTAACATAATTCTCAGAACCTTTAGGTTGAAGGATTTAGAGCTGATATTTATATACCTATTTTTTACATACTACTATAATATATTATCAATTAATGATTTGATCAGATAATTGACCTTCACCCCAACTTAGTAACAAATTAACAACAAGTCCAATTATCATAAATATAAATGAAGCTTTAAAGAAAACAAACCAATCAACACCTTCCATGTGTGAAGAGATCATTACGCCAAAATATAACATACAAAAATATAATATTTCAAAGATATTTTCGTTCCACCACAACTTACAGCAACCGTTTTCACAACGTACAGCATACGGTTTGCATTTTGAGGCATTGCAAAGGAAAGATTAAACAACTAAATGCCACTTACAGCTTTCCGTTTTTATCGGCAGCATGAATAAAGAAGTATCTTGCAGGTAGTACGATATCTGTCCTTAAACCTGGACCCCAAACTTTGGTCTTTTTTGCATTAGGTATGCTGGCAGACAAAGCGCAGGACGCGACAAGGTAACATGATATCACCACAACAGCCCGTATATTCCTATAAAATACGATCATAGTTTCAATTCTTTGCTTACGTTGAAACTCAGTGAACGACTACATGCCTGGCGCATACATTTGAATATATTGCACAGCAGGTCCGTAGCTGAAAGTGAGTTAATATCCCATTGGTTAATATCATTGGTTAATATCAAGTAGGCATATAGACATCAAAGGTACCGACAGACAACACCTGCACGGTATTAGGATAGTATTGGATAAAAAAGGACATCATCCTTGAATACATGATTGTGAGGGAAGGGAATGGATAATTTTGGGCCTCTGACCGAATGACGAAATTCAGCAATGGAGGATACAGCAGAGGAAGGTTTGAAAAATCGCTTTTATTTTACGTTTCTTTTCCGTTTTCTTTTGTACTTTACTCTTTTATGTACACTAAGCATCGTATTATCACGGTTTTTTTTTTTTTTTTATTTCTCGCTCGTAAAACTCTGCATTTTGAAACCTAATTAGTATGCGATGTTTCTTTATTAAATGATAAAAAGACTGTTGTTTATGTTCAAATGATGGATTTCGTTCTTTATTTATTAACTCTGTAGACATTTGTCGTGTTTGTCGAGCTGAAGGAACGAAGGAGAAGCCGCTGTATCATCCGTGCATCTGTACTGGAAGCATAAAATACATACACCAAGAATGGTTTGTTAATATTCAATGCTTTTAATACAATTGACTTAATATTTACGAGAAGTTTCTTTCATATATTTATCTTAGTCGGTTAGATTTGATATCATACATCAAATTAGCCTGCAACACAGACTATATATTGGGGAAGAAAATTTAAAATGGACTGAGATTTAGTTTCAATTTGGTCTTTAACTTTTAATATTCTGTTTTAATCATATGAAGTTTTAGTATAATGCAGCCATCTGTTTCATCCATTGTCATGTTTTTTTCACAGACAAGCAGCTTGCTTTTTAAAATCACTTTAAAATATGTAAGCACAGGGTGTATGTACCTCATGTAAACTCTACCCTGGGGATATGTCAATGTTTACAAACTATATAGTCCAATATTTAAAGATCTTCCCAGCCGGTAGCACAGGAAGTTCCTTTCAGAGTACAAAGAGTGAATGCTGGAGGCTAAGGTTTTCTAATTTAAGAGCTTCACTGATATGGCCTAAAAGGAAATCCTATATCACTTTGCTAAGAGGAATCTAACTTTCCCCTGAAGTTTTAAGGTTTAGGGAGTTTCACCCTGATTGTTAGCAATTGTATACATTAGTTATTTTTCATTATTTTTAATTTCCAGCTTGGTCCAATGGTTAAAACATAGCAAAAAAGAGTAAGATTTCTTGTATTGTATTGTATTGTATTGTATTGTATCATCAGGGCCGTAGCTAGAAGCTTAATTGGGGGGGGGGGTGTATATTCATATATTCATCTCATGCCCAACTGATTTCTTTTGTACGTTATTGTTCCTACAGTATATAAACATGAATATATGAATATACTCCCCCCCAATTAAGCGGTCTAGCTTCAGCCCTGATTATTATCAACGTATTATTGTATTGTATTATTATTATCAAATTCATGTCGTTTTATAAAGAGGGTATAACTCAATATTCTGTTATGTATTCCAGATATTGTGAACTATGTACTCATCGGTTTACATTCAAACCAAGTATGTGCAATTGTTTGTTTTGTGTGTTTTTACTATATCTGTATCTTAATTAACAGTTATACTCTAACCCACATAAATGAATGTTACCTCCATTTCATTAAATGTAACTTTAACCATTAGCCAGAGCATACACCTGTCATGTAGCCCCTACACATTCACATATGTTCTTTATACATCCACATATACCTCCTATACATCCACATATACCCCTATATATCCCTATATACCCACACATGCCCCCTATACATCAACATATTCACCAATGTACCCCCTGCCTGGTGCTGGACATATATGTAATCATCATATCACACAGTGCTGGAAAGAGTATCTTATTTTTGTTCTTCAAACATTTTTATTCATCAATCATGCTGTGTTTTTGTAGTTTATTCCCCGGACATGCCAACCAGACTCCCTGTCACAGACTTTGTGAGTGGTTTGATACGAACCATACTTCGGGCGATACGTTTTTGGTTTCATTATATCCTAGTGGCTTTTGCATGGCTTGGTATTGTGCCACTCACAGCTTGTAAGTGCAAGATACCCAGGCACGGATCTAGAAGCTTAACTGGCGGGGTGCATATTCATATTTTCAAGTTTAAATAAGGGTAACAACAATCGCTATCAAAAGAAATCAATCGGGCATAAGAAGAATATATGAATATGCACCCCCCCCCCAATTAAGCTTCTAGATCCGGCCCTGAAGATACCATTAGTAGTATCATAGCAATTGAGTCAATGAAAGTGTGTTTATGAAATGTTTGTCTGTTTCAGATCGAATCTACAGATGCTTGTTTGCCGGCACTCTGAGCTCTTTACTGACGTTGCCACTGGACATGCTATCAACGTATGTGTAAACAATCTTCAATCTTAGTCATTCAAAGTATCCCTAAGTGGTACTAACAAAGACTTTTCAGAGAGATTGCTTGCATATGGAGGCTTCTTAATGAAAATGAATTATCATGCATACTACATTTAATGTTTTATTTAGTGAAAATTTAATACCAGACTGTATCAAAGGAAGTTTCGTCGTCGCATGTACACTGTGTGCTTTCATAAGTCTTGTCTGGCTGCGCGAGCAGATTGTTATGAATGGTGGACCAGCTTGGCTTGAGCCAAGAGAAGATAACGCTGCTGCGGCTGCTCATGAACATGGTGTGGAAAATCCACCCAATGAGGGTGATAACCAGGTAAGAAGGACTCATTGATGTAGCTATCTCTCCCTGGAGCAGCCTTCATGCCCTCTTCTCTACTGGAAATTGCATTGTCACACCCCAAAGTCAGATCCCAGATAATGAAGTTCGCCCAAAATGGACCCAGATTCACTCCTAGTTGAAGGATATGTTGTTGTATTCTAGGATGCAGGCGAACATGGGCCTGCAGATGGTGGAGAAGATGGACCAGCAGGCAATGATGGAGCTGCTCCAGTCAATGCACCAGAAGGTAAGATCAGAGTTACTGTAGGTAGATGATAAATTCAGGCGATTCCTTCAATGTTTCCTGGTTGGACCTTTGGTCCAAGAATATTCCATTACTACCATTTTCTTAACGAACTATCCACCTTTGAAGCATGAAATGCTACATGATAGTGAGATCTAAAGGTAATGTAATGTAATATGCATTTTCTCAAGATGAGAACAACTGGAATCCTGTGGAATGGGACAGAGCTGCAGAGGAGTTGACCTGGGAGAGGGTGAGAAATGAAATGGAATACTTGACTTCTTGTGTCTTCTTGTATAAGGAGGAATTACGTTTTGAAATAAGCTGAAAATTTGTTTACAATTTTCAAACTAAGCTAATGGGAAGGCATGAAAATGTAAACAAATTTGCTGATTGGTCTGAAATGAAATTCCTGCAGCTTGTTGAAACTTCGAAAACCATTGATACCTATAACTTATGATCATGTTATTCTTTCAGATGCTTGGGTTAGATGGATCCTTACTTTTTCTGGTAAGATATGAAGTTTAGAATATAAACTATATCCTATAAATTACATCACACATGAACCATGCTATATTTTGTCAGCCTGAAGAATGTCTTACGCTGTGTGATTTTTTCAGGAACACGTGTTCTGGGTCGTGTCTTTGAATACATCTTTCATATTAGTTTTTGGTAAGCATCATGTAGCGAAGAAACTAACTATTTAGAATACCTGCTCAAATTACCTTCATTTGATTGGCCTTCGTATACGATGAGTATCTCAGCCAATCAGATTGCCTAACAGCTCGTATACGATGAGTATTTTAGCCAATCAGATTGCCTAACAGCTCGTATACGATGAGTATCTCAGCCAATCAGATTGCCTATTATAACATACATTATGCATGTGGTGGTAAATGAGAAGTAATCGCACTCGTCAGCTTCACAAAGTTATACATAATTTCTTCAACAGCGTTTTGTCCCTTCCACGTTGGCCGTTTTGCCACCGTCTTATTGTCTCTGGAAGATATGGTAAAGACAGTGAATTGCTAGCTATCGCCTGGGGCATCTATAAGATCTTCTCTTCGAGCAAATCTGCCTTGCGAATTAACCTATTGAAAATCTATTTTAGGTGAAGTCATCTCACCTGGACAAGCTCCTAACTACAGTTCTAGGATATATAATACTCGCAGCAACCTTAGTTTGGTGTCATGTATCCTTTTACTTTAAAAAAGTCTTTATAAACAAGTCTCCATATTTTGTTCAAATTGTTTTCTGAAGGCGAAATCTTTGATAACTCGCAGTGTGTGTAGTCTGTATTTATTTTGTTTTCTTCTTAACGGTTCTCAGAGCATGGCCTCTCTTTTTAAAATGAGAAAGTAAGACCTTGTGTTCTGCTCTTTCAAATTTGTTATATAGGTGATATTAACGCTTTTCTTGGTATTTTCACAGAGCAAAGCGAATCCTGGGTTTGTGTTACATCATCGTAAAGGTGCGTTGTAAAACTTCCCAAACTTTTTACCCAGGGTCTTTATCTTTACATTAACCCTCGCATCCTGGGCCGTAGAGACGAGGTCGACCCTGAGCACAAGGTTGAACCTTCTTCAGGATAGGGTCGCAGCTCCTTGCAAAAATGATTTTCATTGGCTGAACTTTACAATACATTTCTGTTTCAACCAATAGCATAGCATAGAAAAGCATTATCCAATTTGACAAAAGCTTCCGAGCACTGCGACATGTCCCCTTCTTCAGGTGTAAACGCGAAATATTTAATTCTGTTATCGGCGTCATTTAGGTTTCTCTTCTAATGGTCGTTGAAATTGGTGTCTTTCCTTTGGTTTGTGGCTGGTGGCTTGACATATGTTCTTTGGTACGGTCGAATAAGTCTTTATAGTTTATAAAACAGTGCATGATGCAAACAAATTTTATCAATACTGTAGACGTAAGGCATTATAATTCGAATTTTGGCAGTGTGTTTAACTCTACGGCTTGATTTATTTGTCTATCGTGTTTTATTCTAGCCATTGTTTGGATCAACGTTGAAGAGCCGTCAGGAAGGATTCCATTCGGCACCTGGTAGGTCAAATACAACTGGCTTTACCTCTCCATAGGCCTCTGCTCATATCGGTTTAGAGATCAAGATATTTTGACCAATATCTCACGATCAGGGGCCGGTTGTATCAAGCTGATTTAGCTTAAACGGTGGATAAGTTCAAAATAGAAAGCGAACTAAATAATTTTTACCTTAATACAAAGATACAGTTTACAACTACATATTCAGTACATAATATTCAAGTTGACTCATTCAAGAGAGATGTAAGAGTGTTATTTAATTTTGACTTATCCACCGTTTAAGCTAAACAGGTTTAATACAACCGGCCCCAGGTTAATAAAAACCTTGATATTCTATAGGAACCTCGCTGTTTCTTCATTGGCTGGTCGGAATGGTATTTGTTTTCTATTTCGCCTCATTCGTGCTTTTGCTACGAGAGGTAAGGCAAAATCCTCCTGTCCAAAAATCTGGGAACTCCTCAAGTTTCAAGATATCAAAAAATTACATTCAACATTCAGGTGATCCGACCAGGCGTGTTATGGTTTCTGAGAAATCTAAATGATCCAGATTTTCATCCAGTTCAAGAGGTCAGTTCGATGCATTTTATTTGCTCGAGCGAAATTTTGTGTTTGTGAGTGAAACCAATTCTTTTCTAACCAATAATTTTAGATGGTTCATTTGCCGTTGTACAGACATGCTCGACGCTTTCTCCTATCAATGGTGAGTAGCACCTAGATTACCTACCATTTACCATGAGGTAAATGAAAAATCGTGAAACTGTGTTCACACTAAACCATGCTATTCTCCCTAGGTGGTGTTTGGCACGACAGTGATGCTCATGGTTTATCTTCCAGTTCAGTCCATCAAGCAAGTGATGCCCGTGTTTCTTCCGTACAACATTCGCCTCTCCAGGTACGAGATTGAAAGATTCGATGGACCAAAAGGAACGTTAAACAGCAATTTTAGATTGATTTAGGCTCCTGCAACCACTTAGTTGGGAATTGAAAAAAAGCTATAAAGAATTTTGTGCATGCAGATTTTACAAATGTAGAGTTTCCAACGCAGGTAGATTTATCAAAATAGTAGTTTGTTTATCAAAATAGCATTTTGAGAGGGAGTATTTAATAGTGGCTTCTCTCAAAATATCCTCCAACAAGCTCTGGTTAGAACATTCAGGTAGTGTGTCTTACCACGCTGCACTGTTCTTCAAATGGTTCGCTTCATCATGTATTTATTTCATATCAACAGCGAGGTGCCAATGAGCGAGTTATCTCTTGAACTACTCCTGCTTCAAGTAATCTTACCGGCGTTACTAGAGCAGGGTCATACGCGGCAATGGTTGAAAGGCCTGGTGCGAGGATGGGTTGTAGCCACGGCCTATTTATTGTAAGTCATGTATTCGGTAATCGATTACCCTGCTCATATTCCAATACTGATAAATCAGATGCTATTATTAGTTTTTGATGCTTAAACATGGGTAAAACTACATTTTCCCTTCAGAGATCTTCGTTCCTATCTTCTTGGTGACGTGTCTTTGGATGGCGTGGAAAATGTCGTAAGTAGAGTGAACGAGCTTTTGAATTGAACCAGGATTTCACATCCAGTGAAGCGCGATATTAGAAGCAATACAAGTAATGGCAGATATTAATGTTTTTGTACACGCCAACTGCCAGGGCAACCTCGTACCCAGGGTCTTTCTTTCTCGTGGGGAGAAAAGACTCTGGGTACGAGGTTGCTGCCAGAGCCGGTTGTATGAAATCTGGATGGCGCTATCCAAAGGATAGTGATTATTTTCCGTCGTAGCAAATGATAAGGATGAATCAATTTTGTTTTGTCTTAGGTGCATTTCAACAATGACTATCGGATTGTAGCAAATCCGCCCGCATTGCCCGGTAATGCTCCTGCACAACCAAACGCAAATCAGGCTCCACCACCTCCCGCGCCTGGGGAATTCCGTGAAGGTGGACGGGTGGTCATTCAACCTTATATCCGACCCGACCGTTTCACCATCAGGGTAGGTTTACCCGGTATACCCGTTCGTTGTTTGTTTGTTTACTTGTTTGTTTATTTGCTGCAGATTATATAATGTTTTTATTTTGATTGTTTTAGATAACTTTTCTTATTGTGTTTATGTGCCTATCTCTGGCTGTGTCAAGTTTTCTTTTCATGACTCTCCCAGGTCTGTTTATGGTGCATTACTAACAAATATTATTAATAATATTATAGAGCTATCCATAATAAATAAAGATAGTTTAGCTTAGGTTTCCAGTCCTGTAGTAACACTGGATCAATAAGAGTTGGTCCTTACTTGACCTCTAGGAAGAACAGTTTAGGACTGATAGAGCTACCCAGTGAAAATTAAATTTGTTTAGTTTAGGTTTTCTCCTGTAGAAACACTGGATCAATAACGGGACCTCTATAGGAAGAACAGTTTAGGACTTATCTCTATCAGTTATAAGAGCTATCCAGTATAAGTAAAGTTAGTTTAGTTTAGGTTTCATTCCGTAGTGCCACTGGATCAACCTCAGTAGAGCTATCCAGTGTCAATGAAGCCGGTTTAGATCAACTTTAGTCTCTCTCATAATCGTAGTTGCTGTTGGTCGTTTCGTAATGCACCTGGTAGTTTCTGGCATCACAGTTCATGAGCTGTATACAGCTGCATTTGGTCTGTACATTATTTGGCTGCTGTGTCGAACTGCTAGTATTCTCATATCCTGGTTACCACTGGGGGTGAACGGCATCGTTGATAAGATGAAGAACTGGACACTACTGGTATGTAGACAACGAGGGTGCTTCTTTTTAATGTGTTTGAACATTACCTGAGGAGCTTCATGCTAATCCTAATGAAATGATTATACTACAATACCAGGACCCGAATTTTATCTTAGTTTTTAATCCAAGATCTTACACTTAATCCTAATCCTAACACTTTGTCCTAATCCCACTTAATCCAATCCTAACACCTAATCTTAACACCTAATCCTAACCCTTAATCGCACCACTTATTCTTAATCCATGATCATCGTCTCCGGGAAATTGATGTGACGTATCAAACGATGTATTGTGTATTTTTTCATTCCAGTTCTTGAAATGTGCCGTGATTGCTGTGTTCGTAATCGGAGTCATTCCATTCTTGCTTGGTCTTATTTTTGAACTGGTTGTTGTCTCGCCTCTACGAGTAGGCATGGACCAATCTCCGCTCTATTTTCCAGCCCAGGTAAGGGCTACAACTGGAAATGGTGGGGGCCGGAGGGCTTGGAGAAGGGGCAAGGGGGAGCTTGGGAGGAGAGGAAGGGGGGGCACTTGGGAGGAGGGGCAAGGGAAGGGGACTAGGGAGGAGGGGGCGTGGAGGAGGGCTTGAGAGGAGGGGGTGTGAGGGAGGACTTGGGAGGAGGGGCAAGGGGAGGGGACTAGGGAGGAGGGGGCGTGGAGGAGGGCTTGAGAGGAGGGGGTGTGAGAGAGGAGGGAGTGAAGGGGTTAGGAACAGAAAGGGTGGAGGGGCGGCGAAGGTCTCACTAGCCTATTGGCATAGAAAACGCTCGGCACCACACACATTTCATTGTGTACTTCTACCATTCGTTTTTCTCTGAATGCAGGACTGGGCGCTAGGTGTTCTTCACACGAAGATCATATGTGCCATGGCCATGATGGGTCCTGAATGGTGGCTTAAAAGAGTCTTAGATCAGGTCGGTATTGCCTTCACATTACTTCATTGACGCGCTTGTAAGATCTTTATAACATCGTTTACATCTCTGTGCTGCTTTCCAGATTTACCAGAACGGTCTTCGTGAATTGGACATGACGTTTATCCTCCGAAAACTCATCTTCCCTGTGACGATATGCCTCATGTTGATGATAACAGCGCCGTATGTTGCTGCAAATCTATTCATACCACTGCTAGGTATGTGGAAACATAGAATACTCGGGATCTGTAGGAACCAGGTCAACCAACTACCTGAAAAACAAATTTCCCAAGTTTCCAAAATATCCCTCCCCTTTCAACTCCCAGACGCCATGCAGAAAACATGTTTTGTTAACTGGATGTAGCGTTTTTTCTATGAGCGAATCGCTATCCAGTTAATAGTATATATATCAGTGGGTGTAAGTCTCAGCTAGTCTATAGCTCCATCCAGACGATTTCATTCCTCCTGCTAACTCTTTTCAATCAATCAAATGTCTCTTCATTACAGTTCCATCTCGCGAGATCCAGCTTCTCTTCATACGTCAAGTGTATCCATTTCTTCTTGCTGTTGTCTTGCTTCTTGGAGGTCTGGTCTTTCAAGGAAAGCAATTTCAAAGATTATATGAACACATCAAAAATGACAAGTAAGTCTCGGGGAATAATTCTTGGAAATCAAGAGTGTTTCTGTCTTTCCACTTGAAATTTTTATTTTCAGACCTAAGGCCAGTTTATACGCTTGAATTTTACTGCGATTTTGGGTGTGAATTATTCCTTTTGACCGATGGAAATAAGTGAATAGTTATGCATGCTTTGATGTATAGGCGCCTTTATTTGAACATCCTTAACTTATTCACTCGATCACATCTATCAAAAGAACAAAATTTGCATTCAGGGTGATTAGAATAGAACAAGAATCCGTTGTAGCCTAAAGACCCGTTTACACTTGCAATTTTTCATGCGATTTTCGTCTTTTGATAGATGTGAACGAGTGAATTAGTTACGAATGTTCAAATAAGAGTTCTTATACATCAGAGCATTCGTAACTAATTACTCTTTCACATCTATCAAAAGAAGAAAATCGCATATAAAATTGCAGCAAAAATCATAAGTGTAAACGAGCCCTAATTAAAACAGGTTCTCCTAAAAAGGGGGCAGAATTAGCCTGCGTGGAAGGCTCATTTCCCCGCAAACAAGGTCAAAATAATAAAGGTTTTGCAATAGCTTATGCAGGCGAAAAACAAAACTACTGCCAAGAGGATATTACGCAAACGCTTAAAGCTTCTCAACGGTTCACCCAAAGTCTTCCCAGAGTATTTTTATCTTCATCCTATTTTGAAACGGGTCTAAATTTGTTACACCACGTGTTATAGCACGTTGCAACATGTTACAGACTTACAGCCACGCCAACTTGAGCAAGTAATTGACCAGGCTCATGTTTTACGTCAATAACCTTGGCCCTGTCAGCGATAGTAAACAGGAAAGGGTTGTCCCTCAAAATAACATCCCATTTTCTTTTTTAAAATTTTCGTCGGTCTTATCCGAGAAATTGCATGCACGCCTTCTCGAAAGGTTTTGTTGGAATTATATATGTGTTTTGTTTTGAAAACATTTTATATGTTTTCGTCAGTGTTGAAAGGAGAAGTTGTGTAACCGCTTCTATGATATTCTTAATAGGCAAAAGTAAACAGACACACCCAGTGCGCTGGGTGTAGTATTAGATAATGCAAGTTAATCTAATTAGAAATGCTTAGCTTTTACTAAAAGGTGGTTCTCGTCGATTATCTTTACTATAAAAATACAAGATGAGGGACAGACGAAATCCAGTGATTCACTTTTCACGCGAATTAATCGGTGACCGCCATCACACGCGCGTACCCTTTCTCTTTCCCAGCCTGGCTAAATATCTTGCATAACACTCGTAAAAAAAAACTAAACTAATTGCCAAATTTTCACTATTGATAAAATATGTATATTTTGGGGGGATAATTTTAACTATACGGCAAGGTCATGTGCTTCTTCCGGTTTGACCTTCAAATGCTTACTGAGGTCTTTGTGTGATTTCGTATAGCGATAAACGAATAATTATTTTCAATATCGATAAAGAGCAACGAATATCAACTCTACCTAAAGATACCCCGTTCCTTTAGCCTCCACGTGTTACCTACACACAGACTGACACAGTCAATGGATTATGGGTCGTATATGAAAAAGGGGTGAAATCTAATGCAGATGTGCACTGTATATGGTATTTTCGAAATGGTTTTTTTAATAACGATTCGATACGCATAAAGAGGGATATGTGAAGCCATTTTGCGAAATAGATCGCTACATATTAGCGGTGAAGCTGATTTTCAAATATGTAGATATGGCGCGTTTGAGGAAAATTTTCGAAATATATCTGTATATACGCGTACGGTTTTAAGCCTTTGGCGAAATATATAGGTTTTCGTATGGGTGTTTTAAATGCGATTTTCGAAAACTCCGTCAGTTCCTTGGCGGGTTATAATTTGTTAAAATGTCGATTTTACAGTATTTTTCTTCGTTTACTTCGATCGCATGGAAACAATTGCAAATATTTTGAAGAATTTTGAAAATTTGGATAAAAAGATAATCTATTTTCAATTTCGCACAACACTATAAATAGAGGACAATCAAAACATTTTAGGATTAATCACTTTCCAATTATCTATTAATTACTTGACAATTCCGCGCCGTTCACAATGAGACAGACGTACCAATTTCGTACAATTCCCTCGGGGGATGATCGTCTTTGTATATGATGCTGACTAAGGCCTCCCGCATGCAAGGTTCGCGTCATCAATAAATAAGCGAGGTATTGCATTCACGGTTGTACAAGTAGAACCAGTCGTCGCCTTACTTCATGTAGTCAAGAAGTATAAGATAAGATTCATTGACTCAAAACTCATATCGCTTTGAATGGATAAGATTTTTACATATAGAGATATATCTCCATGGTTATAATGCCCCAAAGAATTTTTTTCGCCAATTGTCATGCTAATTTTCCAAAAATGTTTTATTAAATGAGATGCTTTTAATAACTTTTTTTGGGCTCCCACACGCTATATGTATATAGACGCTCGTGAATAGTTATGAAGTGCGCAAATGTTTGTTTTTAAGCAATATATATAAAATATAAATATATATATAGTATTTTATTTGAGATTTCATTATTTCATGATATCTGCATTATGTATTTCAAGTGTTGTCTCGATAACAACATTTTAATTAGATGACGAATATCCGCCATTTTTGGGGTACTTTCAATTTTCTTAAATGCGTTTAAACAATAACAGCAATGTAAGAAGCATTTTTCAAGAGTCCATAGACCATTTGAACAATAAATTAAGCCTAAAATTAAAGACAGCCGGGTCTTGCGCTCTGACAACTTAAAAAAAAAGTACCCCAATAATGGCGGCACATTCGGCATCGTGAGAAAGGATAATTACCCCCGGTAATCATATAAAAAACTCTGAAATTATTAACATGCGTGAAAAGGTGCCGTTTGTCGCGGTTTTCGAACGACTGGCAAACGGTCAAGGTTAGCACGATATTGGAACCTCAGGGATATTATATGTATATCTCTGTCGTAGACGATCCCGCGTGAAACGTTTTTTCTTTATATTATGAAAAAAACCTGATTAGTCGTTAATCTTTGGTACACTACATGAGTTGTTTATTCCGGCCTTTTGCTAAATACTGACCAAAAATATATTGATAGATATTTTTTTTAATATATTGGGATATCTCTTACTGCATATATTATATATTCGCACGATATATTCGCTCAGTAATGATATATGTGCATTTTCATTTAGTAATAGTACCAATCTTCGTAATTCAGTCGTCTATATAAGATGACCATGCATGCATACATTTTACTGGTAGAAATCCCCTCAAATTTTTCTCAATAATTATAACATGTTTCTCTTAGTACCAATATGCATTTTTATTGAAGGATCCTCGGTGCATGATGCAGTCGTCGAAATGACCACAAATTTTCAGACCAATATCATACTGACCATGCAACATTGCTTGTGGTTTCCGTGCTCGCTGCAAACATGCGAAAATCGTACATTCTTTTGAGGTCTCCTTTCATTTCGTGACGATGCGACTGAAAATACCAGCCAAAATACTAAAATAACAAGTACCAATTAGTGGGCGTGAGAGACCATTATTTTGCTGGCTTTTAATCTGGATGTGCCGAAGTCAGAACGCATGACTTGGTTCGTGCACGCGTCCTCCCTATAAAGCATGTGATTTGTATTGACGTTTCGTAGCGTGTCTCCGGTAAAGACGATAAAAAAAAATACCAGCACAAAAGATTGCAAAACACAACGACCAAGGTCACTTGTACATAAATAATTCAGTCGAAAATTGTTTGGAATGTGTACAACAGCCATTGTTATTCTTTCGATAGAGGAATGAAAAAAGTGCTAGGATTGGGATTCTGATTCACAACATCCTCTGGAAGCTTCCCTGCGATCACAGTCTTAATATGCATGCATTAATTTCCCAAAAGCGCAATTCCTGGAGAAATTTTGCATGGTCATGCATGGATGTCATTATGGTGCGAGCGATATGCCTGATATTAGTTAGTGTTTGTTTTCTAAGTCCCATGCATGCAACTTCAGTCTTCACTTTATCAAATAACCTCACGCAGATAGAAGACTGAAACGGAAATAGTTGTAGGTTTGCTAACGAGGTTACCGGCTCTTAAAAATGGTGTATACTTAAATGCTATTTGGCTAAATACATAAACATCGTGATTTCAATGAACTTTGCCATTTTACAATTAACCTCACGAAATCTGATCAAACCTGGCTCAAAGGACAAACAAAGCACTTCTTCGTCACATTTCCCCAGTTAATTTTAGCTGTCAGTTTATCGTATAGGGGGCCGGTCGGAAGCTCAAGTGCTTCTCGCATTTAGATATAATGTTCACTGCGAACAAACACTAAAGTAGAAATTTCCGGAAACATACTTTGTTTTTGTGACCATGATTTGTAATGCGTGCGCGAAAGTTCTCGCACGCCATTCCTTCGACGTCATCCATCATTCCTGAGCGCTTTCCAGAAGTTGGGTGTTACAGTAAGAACCAGCATGATGTATATATCGTCACGTGAATGACGCGACAGCTGCTTGTGCAAACTTGCTTGATAAAGGGCAGTTTATTACAAAGTCTGAAGTACACCCAACTCGCATATTTTTTTCGAAAGAAAATATATAATCATTTGTGTCAATTATCGAGTAATTGGGGTACTATAATATGGTCACTGAACAGTCAGTAGAACGAGAAACGAGGATTTTAGGACTATCATTCCGCTGTCTTCATTCTGAGTCTTTGTCGCTTTTTTTTGCCTGGCTTATCCTTGTATGTGCATGTGCTTCATTTCTGAAATTTCTAAAGATAGCTTGATATTCATTCGCCATCACATGATATTTGCATGCGATGACTATATATACAGATTTAACGATGACTTTGAATTTAGCCTTCAAAATATATCAAGTAAAAGTATATTGAATCAGATCCATGCTATAGTATATACAATGAGTCTACTACCTAAGCTATACACTATCATAGGTCTGAACTCTATCTTATATTACACGATAGGTTAATCCTTAGACTCTGATTATGTTATATATTGGGAGGAAACTCCCAATATAAATTTTATATACTCATGCAAAGCTTCTCGCGTGTCCTGAAAACGATTAAGGCTGTGATATGTTTAATTGTTTCTTTAATCTTAATTAAACAAATAAGAAGATTACGGTTATAGATTTGCACCATGCAGCAAAGCTGTTTTAAAGACTTATTCACAGCGACATAAGGGGCTAAGCAAATGTTCCCATGGCTAAATCCTGTCTTAACTATAAACCACAAAGTCTTTCCCCTCGAAATATCCCAACAAACGCGTGCAACTATGATTAAGAACCTCCAAAACCAAATGTAAACTAAAACAACACATTCATTTTGCAGGTATTTAATTGGAAGACGTTTGGTAAATTACGAACATCATTCTGTGAATACACAGACACAGTCAACGAACAACACTTAGAGCCGAGTCAGTCTTACAGAGTCAATGAACATAAAGACTTTAAATATATAAATATATAGTGAAAACGAGAGAAGAACAATAAGGCGGTCCTTTGTGGATAACAGCTAGTGTATAGCTCAAATTTTACATGTTCTCTTTTGAAGAAAGGTTGTAAATATCTAGCATGCAGACCGCAGACGCGATGTCTCGATGCTATTCCACTTGGCTGGCATGCGAATCCCAACTCTCTTCGACTTCATTCAGCGTGAACTGATTACGTTGTCGTTGGGATATCAGGATTACCAACGTGCCTATAAAATTGTAAAGTTAAAAAAAACTTGTGTGAGAAAGAACAGCACATTCTGATTCTATACGATGTAATATAAATGAAATATCCTTGCATGCAAATTTGTGAAAATTGTAACTTGAAACGGATGCATGAATTGAATGTGAATACTGCGAAATGGTTGCAAAACCATCGCAGGGTAAACAAATTGGTTTATTTTATACATTATATAATTATTTCGTGAATTAAAGAGACCGATAGTAAGACGCTAAACGGGCAGTTCCCACAGAAGATTTTCACATTCGGATGTGAAGCTTGTTACTATAAACATGCAAGCATGCTTGTTGGTCGCAAGATATTTCTGTTAAATCTATAGGATTTGCCATTCGTGCACCAAGACGAAAAAATGTCATTTTGATGTTAAACAGGCATCGTCTTGTTGTGAAACAATATGTTTATGATTTCAAGTCAAGTCCCCTTTTCCCATGACTATTTCAGTGTTGCGAATAAGAATAGAATATGATTATGAATTTGAAAACTGATAATTGACTATCATTAAATACCAATGTATGTATTGCAATCAGTTGAAACGTATATAATGAAATGTTTCTGTATATAGGTCACAAGTAATTGTACATTTCATTTGTATACACATAAGTATAGACTTGTGTCAATGTCATGTGCTTGTAGTTCTCTTGTGCACTTCTTCGTGAGATTAACCATTCATTAACAGTCATCAACCAAGCCCTCCACTATAGTTCCGTCTATCCTCCCCTTATTTGTCTTAGTACCCTAAGAGCAAACGCCTCTACAAACTCTCAAAGAAATTTCTATACCATGACAAAGCTATATACCATATTTGTCCTCCTCTTATCCAACACATTTAACAATGCATGCAAGTAAAACCTTCGTAATACAAATATATACTTTATTAGTTCATATATAAATCATATATGTTTATATAGCCATAAAAGTACTGGTCTATATTGTTTTGTTGCTTTTCATGAAAGTTTTCTTTCTGTCCTAATATTTATTGTACATTTGTAAATCTTGATTCATGCAGGAAGGGTTCTATATTTCCTCGACATATTTAGCTTTCGGAGTCAGTTTTATCTTCGTAATCTATTTATCAAGCCGTCTGAAGCGTTCAGTATTTCGAAATTTAATCGGAAAGTGCACTCAAGATTTCTTAATTTTTAAGTTGGAAAATCCTCGATTTCATCCATGTGAATATAAGCCTCGCTGTAATGAATTTAACTTGAACAACGTACTAAGGCGTGTCGTTTGTCTGTCGATGGCTATATTAATAGGAATTGTTGAAAAGCTGTGCATATCTTAAAAACCGCAGAAATTCACATGTAATTTTTGCTGAAAAGAAAAACACCCTCACACGATTCATGAACACAAAAATATAAATTCAGTTGTATATATTATAGTTATGAGATTTCGAAGAAAATTGAAAAATATAAATTGTCCCATGTGTATCTTGAAAAGCTGTTTGTTCAAAAATATATTTATGTCCATACAAATGTTATATATTATAGCAGAATTATATAGCAGTATACCCTGTGTGTGTTTACCCGCGCAGGCTTTTTAAATTTCGAAGAACTTTCGATTGCCTCCTTAATCTTCTCTATATATTAAGATCTATTTTCGTTCTCTAAATAATCGATGTATATGTATTCTCTCTCATGGAACCATAAGGGTTTCTGACCAGAGCCCGAAGGGCAATCGATTAAAAAAGAAGAAATAAATGCCATTGGTGTTGCCAGCAATGCATGGCAATACAATTAAGTAATAACTTATTTCGCCTAAAACCCATCGTGTGTACAAGGAAAAAAGGTAGTTCATACATTAATGTGGGCAATTCAATGCAAGGTCTAAAGTATATAGGTTCAACCCCAAGTTTTCGATAAATTCTCATCTCCTAAAGTTTTATACCTGCATGATATTCTGTGTCATATAATCTGAGTTTATAACGATTTGTGGCCCAGCACCGTTAACCTTAATTCAACAATTATAAAATGTGTTGTGCTCGAGATGGAATAGTCAAGCAATAGATCTTGTATTTAACTGCAGACTGCACACGAAAGAACAACTATATCCCATCTTAAAGTTAACAGGAAGCGAAGATTATTGGGCACTCAAGACCTAAAAGACACAAGTCATACAAAATCCTGACATAATCTAGATATATTTTATAGTTTTATACTTGGCATGTTCTGTATAAACTTTTCTACTTCGTCTTCGGTTTGGAGCTCAACTTTCATGGGTATACACACAGGGTGAACAAGGACACTTGCACTGCTTCAAACCATGAACGATGTGATGTAGAGTATTCTAATACGTCAATCGTCATGCCGGAATACGGCACAAGTGTCCTTTTCAAAGTAGTTCAACTTCGAGATGTATAGCAGACATGAGACATAAAGACAGCAATACATATCAATGGTAAATGTTATATTTTAAACTGATTCAAACTCCTGAATAGTTTGCACAATTGAAAAGTTATCTCAATTCCTATCGCGAAGAATTGTAAATGAAAAACATATACGATTCAGTGCTGCTATCCAAACAAATCACATTGATAGTTTTGTTGCGGCTTACAAGAAGGCAACGAAATCACTCACATCAAGGAATTCATGTTGTGGCTATACTGATATAATGAAAACTAAGGAATGTACAATCGATGATTACAGGCAACAAAGTAATGTGTAATCCAAGTCGAAACAAGTCCTGATGCAATGATGAGTGTTGTACTGCATTGAGCCATGAAAAAACTAAGTGATTCCCTTGTAACAGAGGAAATATCTCCATGCGTTTTATGTCGTAAATCTAAACGTTCAACGACACATTTGAAATGCATTCTTGCAAGTATTTAGAAAAGCTGGTATACAAAGATGTACTTATCTTCTTTTAAAATCAAGTCTACAGGGCATGCAGTCTATATGTGAGTTTATACCAGATGATTTTGCGAATTGTTTATCATGCAGAGATGTAGAAACGATAAGATATAATATATATATTTCAAGAATGTATACAATAATGAAAAAGAAAAAAGAAAAGTATAAACTTGCTGTCATGGCATGCATGATTGTAAGTGTAACCCAATCATGAAAGTATATATTTCATATAATATGTATATATAAAGTTTTGATAGTGCATGCTTTCAATGATTGTAATGAATAGATTTTTGCACAAATTGTTCGTCTATGAAGGCTCAGACATATAACTTTTGCTTTGAAAAAAAATCGTAAATTTATATTCTTGTCCCTACAGTCAAACCCCATGCATATGGACTCCACACGATAACGAAACGAGTGGCCATAAATTTTAATATATACTGAGAGTTTCTCATGAAGTGAAACGTTTTAAAGTTTGAAGAGGAATTAGGTCCAGAGAGTGTGGAAAATGGAGGAAACTTTGTATTCATGAATCGATAAGAAGAAGAATTTAAGTTCCATGCCTTGAAGGTCGAGTGTGAGTGAAAATATTATGAAATTTGAAGCTTGTTGATTGGAAGACAATCGAACGTTGTTTTCATGGAAATTTTAACCGAATAAACAACAAAATGAGTACTGTACCTCTTTCCATCTACCTCTCTCCATCCTGAACCGGGCTGGTAATGATAGTAATTCGAAGCAAGCATGACACAATCTAGACCTCCACTTCAATGATAAGCTGAGAATGTGCATGTGTCTATTGTGTGACTTAAGTACGTTACAATGTTCGGGAAGTGCTTGAAATGTGCAAATATGACAAGAAAATATGATATGCAAAGAACGACAGTAGAAAGTAGGGTGGGTTTAAACGATTCTCAAAAATGAAGCTTCGAGAAAGTCTATCTTGGGAGGTTCTCACTAGATAAAGAGCTTTCGATCATTCTGGCGTGCCGGCGAATATTCTAGTTCGCCAATTGGCATCCGGAAATACGCACAGTCTTAATGGAATATTCTCGAAGCCACTCTCATAATTTATTCATGACGTATTTTGTCCGGAAAAATGATCGCGAAAAGTCGTCCGGTCTCGTAATTCTTCCAGACCATTCGTTTGTTACTTTCGATCACAAATATGTACATTAGTTGCCATGGGTTTCACTTCTAAAGCATTTCACAATCAACAAAAAAAAACAGTTTTAGAACTTCATTGAGTCGCTCCCTAAAATAAACTGCAAGACAAAAGCCTGTATACTTTATTCACACACACAATCAGCTGTAATTTCGTGAGATAAATAACTTAGTGGTGACTAAAAAACTCCTTAGTGGTGACTGTCTTTATATATGAATATACAGTAGTTCGTCAGTACTGTTTGCTCAAAGGAGAACCCGTCGTTGGGTTGTCTCAAGTTGCCCTTTCTAATTTTGCAATAGTCTATTTAGTAGAACATGGTTCAGTCGATTTTCTTGGGATCTGGTTTTTATAAAGTGTTTGACCCTATTCTCAAGTTCTGGGGCAAGTTAGTAGGGAAACCCAGTATATTACTGAATACCGCAAATTGATGTTTCAAGGACAGCATTTTTTTTTTTTTTACTTTCTGACGAAATCGATTGGGGTTTCAAGGTGTTGAGCGACGCGCTATTTCGGCAGACGTTCGTGGCATGTTCGAGGCGCTTCGGTGGCGAGATAAAAATGGCTTCTAATCAAAACACTTGTAAATATAGTTAACTACCCTTTGCATGCATGATCAGCTGCCATTGCCTATTTTTAGAAGGCCATTATTCGGATATAATCTAGGCTTTGTGATGATGGCAACTTCTTTGCTTATTAATGCCTGCGCGATGCATGCTGGGAATTTGCGGTTAGTCACGACCCCGACGCATCGCGGGATACTTGGTATATAAACTGATAGAAAAATGGATGAGGATATTTGTGATATGAGTGTGTTGCGAGGCGTTTATACAGACATGGACAATCGTACTTTAACGATCTCATCTGGTGTCCCCGCGTTCCTTGCGAAGCTGTGGAAGCTCGTCGAGGACCAGCAGTCGAACCATTTGATATCATGGAGTCCCGTAAGTGTGCGATTTCGGGCGATGCATTTGGGAACAACATGGCTTCCGAAATTTGTGTCCTTGTAACTTCGCGTCACGCACCGCAAATCTGTGGCTAATCCTGTGCGTTTTCCGCGTTTATTTGTAGGACGAAACGAGCTTCATTGTCCACGACCAAGTCACTTTCTCACGCGACATATTACCCAAGTATTTCAAGCACAACAACTTTGCCAGCTTCGTACGACAACTGAATATGTGTAAGTTTACATCAGCATGATATCTAGTACGCTTTATTTTGAAATATCGAGTGTTGATATGTCGAGTTTTTTTTCCTGAACGATAGAAATATATTATTTCAATGATCGACTATATTTAATAAACTCAATCCTTCACCTAGTGGGTAGTCTTTAAAACCAAATGATTAATGGAGGCCCTGCAGTTAAACACTTTCGGAGTGGGTGCGTTCTACATGAATTGCTCTCAATGTCGTTTATGAATGCTTACGGTCTTAACAATGAAGAACGCGTTGCGAAACATTGCAAAGTGTATTTATTAAAAGTGCTGCTCTTCGGTTGCATTCTTTAAATTGATTTGCTATTCAAGTACAATTGTACTTCTGTTAAATTATTTTACAAATTATGGTGTTCGTGCGAACTGTGATATTGATTTAATGTTCAGCGTAAATCCTGTGTCACTGTTTCGATATTTTGTTTTGGGTAATTGAATAGTTCATGTTTTAATATTGCTCAATAATCGTTTCGATCGGCTTCACTAGCTTGCTGTTTAACACAATGAGCTATTATAAAGTTAATATTGTAAATTTCTGTGTATATATTTTTGCTACTTGAAAGGAAGTGTAAAAATGGAAACTTCTGTGGACAGTTTTCACAGAGGAAATGGTGTTTCTAAAAATATTCGATACCAAAGACCAAGATGAATTATTCCATGGTTCATTTTGTATAAATGCATTATATTAACAATAGTGAATCATTACTTTCGTCACAAATTTTTTACCTTACCGCAACTGGCGGTCATCCTGAAATTGCAACTTGCCGTAACTCTGGGCAACAAAGTTTTATATTGTGCTGTTTACTGCCCTCATGGTAGGTTAATCTAACCTTCGCAAGAAATTTTGTTCATCTTTTGAAATTTGGCTGATTCTCGCAAATGAGTTTGTGGACATTTCCTTCAACTGAAAGTGATCGATAGTTTGAAAATCAATATCGAACATTGTAATTCATAAAACAATTGCAAATTATATTGAAATTAAAAAAAACTTCTATAATGAAATATCTTATATAGATCTTAAGAGTTGCTGTGTTTTTCATGCATGCACATTTGCCATTGTCAAAAGTGCATAAAATTTGAAGTGGACACTAATTGAAGCTAAGATAATCATTCATAGCTGTACACACCTTGCTACCTTATATAGACCAACTATATTGGGTCTATATTCTGTCATTGTCATGGCAAATTAAACTAATTTATTTATTAGGACTAGTTTTATGAATAATTGTATTCAACAGTTTGTATTTGTAACTACACTATATGTGCATAATATAAATGGCAATTTACATCCATGTAATTGATGTAGTGGGATGCTGTTTTCTCTTAATTGTTGCATCAGAATGGCAATAGGCAAGAGTATTTCACTGCTCTTTTATACCGATCAAATTAGTTTTTATTTATTTCTTATTTTCCTAAGAGTGTAATGTTAATGTAACATTATTCTGCCACACATTTTGTCAATTTCAAGTCCAATCACTTATATTAACATTCCTTGTCTGCATTGAATTATTAAATTATTGCTTTGTAATGAGATCAAAGTGCTTGCATCACATGTTTTCCCTGCATGTTTTTTCCCAAATACTTCCACTTTCTGTTTTAAATTGATCGTTCCCTTTCCTCCAGATGGCTTTCGCAAAGTGGTTGGTGCCGAACAGGGTGGTTTAAAAGCTGAGAAAGATGACTGGCAATTTCAGAATGCCAACTTCATCAGAAGCCAGCCACGACTGCTTGAACATGTGAAACGAAAGGTACTGTACCCCTGGAGATGCAAATTGTTTGTTATCTTGTACACGTGACAAGTCTGTTAATAGTATCATATATTTAAATCATTAATTTCATTTCAGTCAACACCTGACGACAAGAAAGTCAAGGGCGAGGAATACAATCGTGTTCTGACAGACATTCATCACATCAAAGGAAAACAAGTGGATATGTCTTCGAAATTGGACCAAGTAAAAATGTAGGATGATATTTTGACTCATGAGAGGGGAAAGATGGGAACATTGGTGATTTAAGGTAGTCCTATTTGATAACAAATGTTTTATTATTTAACAGGGAAAATCAAACATTGTACCAGGAATTAGTTGACTTGAGACAAAAGCACGAAGAACAGGAACAAGTTGTCAACAAGGTAGGTTTTTAGTTCATTTAAAACAACTTGGTTGAAAGTAAGCTCAGGGTTAAATGTCATTTTTTTTCTTTATTGCACAACAGCTGATTCGATTCCTGATGAAACTCTTGTACTCAAATAATGGACTCACCAACAAAAGGTAATGTTACATTTGATCATCTGGGTTTAGTTAAATCCTAGTCCACTCAGTGATTGGCCAATTCTGTCCTTATTAACTACAGTTAAAAGTTAACTATTCTTTTGTATAACTGGCCCCTGTAATATTACAATATCTTCCTATAACCTCTCATTTTGTTCCAATAGACCATTGATGTTGCAAGGACCAGAACATATCAACCCTAAAAGGCCATGTCCTTCAGGGGTGAATATGGACAATGCTGGGACGTCACAGCAACAACAACAGCAGCAGCAACAACAACAACCACAAGATTCTTACAACATGAGGGTAAATGTTAGTTCTTTTGTTTCAAAAAGCATGAAAAGAAATGAAAGATCAAATTTATAGTTCCCATATAATTTGTAATCAACAGTTTGTTGCTTTTTTTATTAGTCGCCACCCAGACCAAGTGCTATGCCTATACCAGCTAATAATTACCCAGGTGAGTAAAATACTCAGAGTTGAGGGATCCATTGCTATTTGACTTGCTCCATTCTTTGGCTAGACAACTTGATAAACATGTTTCTCTTTGCAATTGGCATGGAATGTGTCGTCGCCCTAACATAATACTTAGCAAAATACCTCACATTTTTACCATTTTTACCAGAAACATCAGGCCCGGTAATCACTGCAGTGGACGACCCAGAGGAGTATGTTGGCATCTCAATATCTGCTGTTCGGCCGATTGTAAACGAGCCAGAAAATCCAACCAGCAGCAGCACCGAAGAACCATATCAACCCCTACGCCATCTGCCAATCCAGAACCAAAACACAAGTCATTACCCAGAAGACTACAATAACATACCATCACAGCCAAGAATAGTGCAACCCTCAGTGCAAACATACAACCCTAACCCGGCTTCAACAATGTGTATCATGCCAAGCCGGAATACACCAACCACTGTGACATCCTCCCAAGCCTCCAGTATCAACAAGTATGTGACTCTATCTGACATCAAAATTAATCTAGATAATGCCCCCTCCCCCTTAGATGGTACCTTCAAATGGTACCCAAAAAATGCCTGGCATCAAATGGTACCCAAAAAATGCACCCGTTTGAACTGAGGGTTATCCATCCACTTACCCACCCACCCAAGCTTCCCTTGTAAACCTGTCCCTGGTCTAATTTGCGCGTTTGTTTTAGGGAGCAATTACAAAATCATGTCCAGTACATCGAAGACAATCTGTACTCGTTTCAAAACATCCTTGCTGGTGGAAATTACAGTGATACGGGCATGCTTGATGTAAGTCCGCACGCATGCAAAGCCTCTTCAAGCACTCAAAATCAGCTCAAATCTCGCATTTCGCATGTGCTAAATGCATTAAAAACATTAGATGGAAAGGCATATCGGTCGTCGTTTATGAACACACTTTCAAATGCATTTGTATTGTATTTCGAAATTTTCACAGAGGACTAAACATTTCAGTAATTTACTGTTATCAATATGTTTGAAAGTGTCCATAAACGACAACTGATATGCCTTGCCATCTTCTGTTTTTAATGCATTTAGCACATGCAATATGACATCACTTTGTCACGTTAACTACGCACGTGCATTTCCCGGATTGGACAGTTGTACAAATTAGTTAGTTCCTGTTATGCTAATTGCCCTCACGTCTGACTACATTTAGGACCTGTTAGATTCCATCGTGGACGGACGTAATTCCCCGCCAAGCCATCCCGACAGAGGTACGTTTGTTTTGTTTAGCAAACATAAAATTAACATGATATTATTGCTGCGTAAAGTAGTGAATTTTCTTCTTTATTTCCCGGGTTTGTGCCATGTTCAATCGATATTATTGCCGTTGTTTTATGTCATATACAATCGATATTATTGCCGTTGTTTTATGTCATATACAATCGATATTATTGCCGTTGTTTTATGTCATATGCAATCAATATTATTGCCGTTGTTTTATGTCATATACAATCGATATTATTGCCGTTGTTTTATGTCATATACAATCGATATTATTGCCATTGCTTAGGTCGTGATCCGTACCAGGCCTCCCAACAAGCAAGCGAGGTATCATCACCACCATCGTCCTCGGCACAAGGGGGGCCCCGTTTCAACCAGCAGCAGATTCCTGGAAAACACATCAACTGGTCAGTCACGTCTATGTTGCCAGATCAAGACAGATCTTCTTCAAGAAGATATTGATGTCCCGTCAGTCCAAAATTGTGTAGAATAAATTTTATATATGAGTGTATATATGAAAATATATACAGGATGGCCCCATTTTTACCAAAGATGGTTTTGAATTCCCACGAATTTGGTTGATTTTTCCAAACCATGTGCTCAGATAACATTTTTCAACTTCTTCTGTATTTTCGTACCCATAAAAAAGACGATATGAATGATAACCAGTCGCCAAGAAAACAAAGGAAAGTAAACTCAGTTTGTTTACTTGGAAAGCATATTGTAAACTAGTACAATCAACAAAAATGGCGACTGGTTACAGATTATGCCGTATGCCTTTTAAGACAGATAAATACATGTGCATTCAGGCATATTTTTCACCTTATTTCCATTTCGTTTGTGAGCACGTCGTGCAAAGACCTATGTCTATGTTAATCATCTGTCTCTGGTATAAATCGGGCCGACTTTGTATATATTGTATATATAGAGAAAGATTAATTCATATATAAAACTATCCGCGCTCTTAGCAAGAGTATAGAATATTAAGAACGTCGTGATTCATCGCCGATGAACACCCCTGGGTTTGCTGACGAACACACCGGGGCAGCATTAAATCGAGGCGGACGATGGTAAGGAGGTGTTGTAGATCATCAGACTGGCGTGGAATGATAGTCCAGGGAATTACTCAGGGGCCGTAGAAGCGATGTGTGGATGTCTTAGATGTGTCAAGTTGATCCCAAACTCGATTTCTCGTTTCTGTAGTGGTTGTGCTCGAAAGTGATATAGTTTTTCTTCGTTTTTTAATGGGCTTAAAACGAAGCTTGTATCGAGGCTTGTATTTTACAAGGAATCAATATGCAGTCACAGGTGCAGGCTACTTGTGAATTATTATTATAGAACACACATTCTTCAAACAATTGTAGCTCGTAGATCAGTTAGATAAAGACTATATAAAGATCATTGGAAAATAAAATGAATGTAAAATACAATATTCGTGACGTTTTATTCATGACGGTACCATTAACTGTTTTCACGGGTATTGATAATATCGATTGACCGGTCGGGTAAACGGACTCTAGTATATTTGACCACGGTTCACCCGAGGTTTGACCCCGACAAATTTTTGCTGGCGTTCTTTAAAATGTCGCGTTTACAGAACCGTCCTGGTCACAGATGGTATGGCTATGACAGGCAAGGAGATAGGTATTCTCGACACACAAATGTTCGTCCGCACGGCACTGACTACAGCTACGAGAAACCGCGGAGAATGCTAGTTGCTGTTAAAGAAGGAATGCTGCATCCTAAACCACCATCATATCGTAGACTAGATATGGATGAATCGTTGCACAAGCTCCCCATAGAACACTGTAGGACGTCCACGTCGAGATCAGTCGGTAATATTGAGAAAGAGAATCTTATATTTATAGTTTTTCGATACTTTACAGGAGAGGTTGTTGGGAAACTGTCAATGATTACCATCAGTGTTCAGACTTCAGTCTTCTTCATTTTCAATTCAGCCTAAACTACATGCCTTACGAATTATTAAGCCACAACCACAAGCGTTCACAAATCAATTCTATGCATCAAAACGTTTTTATCTAAATATATTTCATAATTCATAAAATATAACTGCTGGTAAAACTCACGGTTGCTTTGACAACCGTGAAGTAACAACATCGAAGCCAGCAGGTCATAGACATAGTGGTTTAGTCCTCCTGACTTATTAAATTAAAACATTTGTAGGTTCAGCAACGGGAACACTTGAGCATTTTTCAAAACTCTGTTCCCTTCAGAATATTTGTATAATCATGCAGAAATGTTGAACTGCGACTTGAAGTATCGTCGTAAAATATGTATACAAAACATTTCAATCATCTTGCGTCAATAATTGCCTTTATCTCCATTGAAACGCGCGCGCTAATTGGTCCAAAACCTCGTTCAGTGGATTATTTTACACGGTCATATTTGTTTTGGAAATAGCGGAGTCTTGAGGCCAAACATTGCGAGAGCTTGAACCAGCTGATAAAATCAGTTTTTGTCGAGCGATAAAATGTATTACAGTTCGCAAACACAGTTCCCTTCGTTGGAAGGACCTAAATTTAATCGTGGAACGGTAATGCTCGCCTCTGCAAAAGAGGGACTTTATCATCCACACTTGCCGACCTTTCGACGTATGGACATGGACACTGTCTCTGAGAAACTACCTTATGAACATTGTAGAACGACTACAAACCTTACCAGAGGTATCCTATTTTAATTATCCCAACTGTTCATCGATTAAAATCAGCCTTGGAACATGAGTAGTTAAATGATAATTTAACTGTATCTAACTTATTTTATCGTAGGTTTTATCATGTCCTGTTTGTTTATAATTTTTGGGGTTTTTTCTGTCTACAAACAGACGATTTTCGACATGCTGCTGTGACTTTATTCAGGAAGACGAAAGAGCCTCTTCGAGAGGAGGTGAGAAAACTATTTTTGTAAATACATTATGCCTAAAGATGCTATAATTGCAAGCGGATAACTTGTGAGAATCGGGACTGGTTCATTCTACAATGAGTGTTGCTAAGGAAGCATTCTCGTTACTAACGTCTGGAAATTAAGCTGGAAAGAGCATCGACGTTTTTAATATTCTTTCGTTGCAAATTTCTTTTTAGTTTAACGTAGAAAACGAGAGCAAACAACGTCCAGCTACGGATTATGGTCGACCTGAAACAAGGTCTTTGCATGAAGCGTCTCGCACCAGGTAAATATTAAGATGTATACGAAAAAGGTCTTCAGATAGCGATATGAATAATCAGTTTGATGATATTGTTTCTTGATGCAGTCAAAGTCAAAGACCATACACTAACTCTGGTTTTGGAAGTGATCTGCGAAGGATGCATCCTGATAAGTTAGGAGAACTCTTCCCGGCTTTTCGCAGAGGTATCAAATTACTCCTTTCTACGATTTTCCGTTCTCCAAAGAATCGTTTATCTTTCCAAAACATTTCGAAGGAATAATAAAGCTCTTGTTCCTTCATAATCGGCAGCATCTTATTTTCTTTTTCCCCGGTGTTTAGAACCAGATGAAAGCTCTTTTTCCAAGAGATACAAGTTTCAATACATTCCACCTCACGTGCGTCCGGAGCAGGTGAATATATATTACGTTAAAAAAGTCGAGCTTCATCAACCTCGCAAGCCAGATTCTTTTACCTACGCTCCACGGCCCACGCTAGAGCCTGGCTTGCGAGGATGGAGCTTCATTTAAACAAGGTAAATTGTGAATTTCCTCAAGTCATGAGTGTTGACATTTCGTCTCCTCACCTCCTTATAGTATTCGAGATTTCATTTTGTTGACTGGACTGGAATCAGACCGATTCCTGCCAATACATAGTAAGCTGATATTTCATTTCAATCTTCTGACGAGATTCAATAATATTTTTAACAATACTAACTTCTTATTTTCACTTCTAAAGCTCTCGATACAGGGACGCCCACCCAATGTACAGGTATATTGCCTCATCCGTTTTCATATACAATAAAAAAGTTTCGCTTTCATATGCTGAATTTTCACATTTTGCCTTTGTTTCTTTTTGCAGTGAAAATATCGCTTCCAGATCGTGGAAACCTTAATATATCAATCTGAATCCAAAGGAAGACTTTTGAAAATAAACATTTAATTCGTTTGCTGTTTTTGTAATATAGATTAATCATTAATCTTTATCACGTTCACTTTTGAACCTAAATAACTTCGTGTTTGTTTTGGGTCTTCAATTTATCTGGGGATCAGTCTACAATCCTAAACAATACTATTCAGTCAAACTACTGCTTTCCAATAAAGCGCCTGGGTACGAGGCTGGTAACACCATATAATCCAGTTCAAGACTGGTTTACGGATGTTGTAACCGGGATAAATTAGCATAAATAGCAAACCTAAGGTTGAAGGTCAGGTTGTGGTTGAACATTGAAGAATCATTATTCGAAACCATCGACCGTTGTACATTTGAACATGCAGAATGCAAGCAAATTTCTTACAAATTTCACGAGTAAATACTCGTATTTGGGACGATGGAAGCTCCAGCCAAGAACATATCGCTTCGACAAACTTTTAGCAAGGTAAACTTTAAGTATTTTGCATAATTTTCCGAGGCATTTTATAAGAGTGCACTCGAGATAATGTACTATTAAATTACAGTGATAAAATGCTCTTCTACAAATGTTTCTACTATACAAATCTTCTATTCAAGACCCTTTAAACTAATAAAAGTATCATAGTCATGAGATAATGTTGGTGGTCTTGTTACTAATCTTGTGCTTTGGTGGGCTACATCCAGCAGGATGACCAGATTTTGTCATTTTTATGCCAGATTCGGTCGGATGCACGTAAACAGCCCCACCTGATTTTATTAATTACAAAATTTATTCCAGGAGGGGGAAATCTAACAAGATTTCAGCGGCTTAGCGAATATTGACCAGCGTCTCACCACCACCACCCCTGTCTTTGTACATCAGTGCATAGCCACAATCAATACTTAAGGAAATTTAATGTTGTTTATTTAAGGAAAATATCAAATGAAACCCCAGTTGTGGAAAAGGAGGCAGACCTTCCTTCATCCAGTCAAATTGTTGTCTGTGGTGGAGGGATTGTTGGCTGTGCTGTGGCATATCATTTGGCAAAACTTGGTTTGACCAATGTTGTCCTTTTGGAACAAGGAAGGTAAGCAATTGAGAAGAGAGTTCTTTCTTAGTATGAAAGGAAATGGGAGGGGGGGCTTCTTGTTTCAATGTTTTGTAGAATCTGTATACATAATTTAGTAATGCCATTGGTAGTTTAAATTCACTATATTAAAATACCTACAAAATGGAGAATTATATCAGTACTCTTTGAGACAAAAATTCATTTTCAATCAAGATTCAAGAACATGCATATCTTTAAGAGTTGGGCTCCCTGATTTGGGAGCACCATAAACTTAGGCCCTGATAAGTGTAGATTAGGTTGTAAAACAAGGTTTTAGCAATTCATTGCTGGTTAAAAAATAACTTCCTCTTGATTAGTTTAGCATGTGGGACAACATGGCATGCTGCATCACTTCTTGGTATAATGAAAAACACCTCAGTTGAGACTCTTTTGGCAAATTATGGTGTTGAATTATACAGGGATTTGGAGAAGGAAACTGGACTGGGAACAAGTATGTAATACTTGGGTTAGCCAAATAAACCAAGGACAGCGGAAGATTGTTAAGTGGGAGGGGGCAGAGCTAATTTTACATGTATTCATGTTAGCAGACCGTAAAGGTAATGTTACACGAAATATATATGTATATATAATTTCAACTTTCAAGGCTGGAAACAATGTGGAAGTCTTTCATTGGCTCGAACACAGGATAGATTGACTTTCTTAAAACGTCAACATGGAAAGGCTAGGTATGCTCAAATGCATTGTTTTCAGGTGTTAGAATGAGCATTATTGTCTTACTATCTTACTATTGTTGTATCATAAATTCTAAATATCACCATAGGGCCTTTGGTGTTAGAAGTGAATTTATTTCCCCAACAGAGGCTGGGAAGAAATGGCCTAACATGAGGACTGATGATCTTACGGTTAGACATTCTGCATTCAAACTTTGTGCCTCTGAAATGTTAATAATAGCTAGCAGAATCAGGTAATTTCTATTAATTGCAGGGTGTTTTGTGGTTTCCTGATGATGGTGTTGGGATGGGAATGGACATAACTCAATCATTAGCAAAGGGTGCTAAGATGCTTGGTAATTAAAATATAAATTAATCTTGAATTAAACAGTTATTATAGTAATTATTGTTTACTATGAGTCCAATTGGTAAGGAGGGGGGGGGTTGGTGGGAGTGCAATTGGTAAGGAGGGGGGGGTTAGTGGGGGTTGTTAAGTGATTAACCTCCACAAACTGTTGATCCACAAATTGTTACTCTTTCCTGACAAATGGGGGGACTATAAAGATTTTTTTATGATAATTTTTAAAGTAATTTTTTGTGTGTTATGCTTAGGTGTTGAGATTCGTGAAGGTGTTACAGTAGAAAGTATTCAGACTAAAAACAATACCATCTCAAGCATCACCACAAATAAAGGCAAAATAGACTGTGAAATCTTTGTCAACTGTGCAGGGCAGGTACTTCATATAATATCAACCCCAAGTTTTTAATAATAAGTATGTTGATAATGTACTAAAATTGGCTTCATTTTTATCTATGTACAGTGGGCCAGAGAACTTGGTTTGGTAAGTTGGCAGTTGCACATATTTTATTCAAAGGCTTTCATCCAAGAAAATTGATGATTATAAAATTTTTCGCAGAAAAGTGAGCCCGTTGTACACGTGCCACTTCATTCGGCGGAACATTTCTACATAGTAACAAAACCATTACCGGAAATTGATCCTATGTTGCCAGTACTACGAGATGCTGATGGCTGGACGTACTTCCGAGAATGGAACGGAGGCATTCTTGCCGGGGGCTTTGAGCCGAAAGCTAAACCCATCTTTTATGATGATAAGATTCCAGAAAAATTTGAGTTTCAACTGTTTTCCGAAGACTGGGACCACTTTGGTGAGTTAAATCATTGCACTGTGTCTGACGCTGGACGATTTTGCTTTCCAGTGGATAACAAACAGCCAGGGATGACTTCGCACTGTAACGTCTTGTGGTCTTCTTGAGGGAAATCATTTCTTATCAGCATGAACTGTATCGTTTAGAGGTTCTCTTGAAAGAAATCATACATCGCTTTCCGCCGATTGAGAATGCAGAAATACGTCAGATGGTGAATGGACCTGAGAGTTTCACCCCTGACGGTAAAATTCTTATCGGTGAAGTTCCAGAGGTATGCAAAAATAATGGGGGGGGGTGTGTCTTGGAGGCAGGATGTCTTGGGGGTAGGGTGTCTTGGGGAGAGGGTGTCTTGGGGGTGTCTTGTGTTTTAGGACCGACTTTTGTAAAGGGTGTATCAAAAAAATTCGAATCGAAATTTTTCGTGTAATAATGCAAAATATATTTGACAAATTTGGTTGATTTTTATACCATTGTGAAGTTCATTTATTTCTCTTTCAAATGACACGTTGTACGTGTAATTTAGTTGAAAAGTGAAGGAGTACTGGTTCGACAAAAAAAGTTCATAAAAATCACAATTTTCCGCAGATGGGAATTGGACGTTTGTTTTCTTGATAGTTAGTCCCAAAGGGCTTTAAAATCTAATTATTACTGAAAACGAAAATGCAAATTTATCGCAAAAATTCTGCTTATTCAATGTTCAACGACAGCTTTGAGGAAGACAATGCCTCAATTAAGCACGGAACAACGAACATTTATTGTTTAAATTTGCATTTTCTTTTGTCTGGAGGTCTCACTTCGAATTCCCAATTGGAACAATTTTTAAAAGACGATAACTCGGCCAATTTTGGTCGTGTCGATATAAGAACGGTATAATCGCAAACTAAATAAGCTAATCTTTGTCGCCATATAAAAATTATATCGTTTACTTTAGAATTTATTACACAGCAGCCTGTCAAAGTTGGATTCGAATTTTTTTGATACACACTGTATAGCGTCCGTGCTCGATCAAATTTATAGTTCCAGAGTAGGGTCAGAGTCATACTAACTCTCCTGACGAAGGCCCTCAGGTCGAAACGTCGCGAAGTGTTTTGTCTATTTTAGGCAGTTGTAATAATATACCACATTTGATGCTAAGTTGTTTGAAGACGCTGCCACGCTGCTCCCTGGTTATATTGAGACTTATGATTTTGCCTTTTTTTCATTACAGATTGATAATTACTATATTGCTTGCGCAATGAACTCGCGTGGTGTGGTCAGTGCTGCAGGGATTGGCCGCGCTCTAGCGGAGTGGATTAAGAACAAGAGTTCGACCATGGACCTCTCGTCCATCGACATCAAACGATTTTCTCCTTACCATAACAACAAGACGTACCTCCGAGACTCAGTCTCGAAAACTGTTGGGTACCAATATGCTCTCCCGTATCCAGCCAGTGTGCCTCCTGCCCCACGCAACATGAAGTCTTCACCACTTTACGATGCACTGCAGACTCAAGGTGCTTCGTGGACTTGCGTCATGGGATGGGAATGTCCCGCGTGGTTCTCACGCGATGGCATCGGTGAGTGTTTAGAGAGCAATCTCTTGTACCGCCAGTTCCGCCAGGAATTCGTATAGTTTCCAGGGGCGTATATAGACTGCATATCACATTCACATATTCATGTTTGCATACCGTATAGGAATAATATTTCGCATTTCTAGACCCACAGGGCAACTTTGCAACATTCGGCAAGCCAAAATGGTTTAATAATGTGAAAACTGAAGTGGAAGCATGTACCTCTGGCGTCGGAGTTGCTGATATCTCTGCTACGCTGAAAATTGAAATAACCGTAAGTTTGACTTCACTTCCACTTTAAAGTTTTTTGTTTTCATCGTGCCCATTCTAGTTTCCCATTCCCATTTTCACCTCATCTATTTTATCTCACAGGGCAGTTCAGCGGTAAACTTGCTCCAGTTTTTATGTTCCAACAATGTCGACGTCCCACCCGGCATGGTGGTTCAAACTTTGCTTCTAAACCCCAAGGGGGGGATTGAAGGTTTTTCTACGTTGTACAGACTGACGAATGACAGGTAGGTTTGATCTGTCATGCGAAAGATACTCAAAATTCAATGGCTGAAATGCCTCAATAAGAGGCTGCACATCAACTTTTAATTTAATTTATTTTAGATTTTATTTGATCGATTCCATAAAACAGGCAACGAGACTCCTTTCTTGGATTTCTGACTATTCTAAGAATTATGACGATATAACAGTGGCTGATGTGACGTCACATTATTCAGGCTTGTTTCTGATTGGTCCAGCATCCACGGAACTTCTACAATCGCTTACACAAACGTCATTGGACTCTGAAGATTTCCCGCTTAATTCCATAAAGGTACAAATGAGAACATGACTAACTTCACTAATGTTTCCCCTAAACTGTTGCTCCTATAGATCCACCGATACCCAGAGATAACCTTCTACATACAGCACAATATATCTATGAAAATAACGAATCTTTTTTTCTTCCTTGTCAGAGAATCGACGTAGGTTATGCTTCTGATGTTCTTGTTGCTCGGGGTAGCGACGAGTGGAAATTGTTCCTGTCTCCTGAGGTATGTAAATATAATGTTACCAATCATTGCTCTCGAAAAGCTAATGTATTTTCAATACTAACTCTTCTCAATAGTTAACAAGCTTGTTTTTCAACTGTTGCATAGTTTCTGCGAAATCTGTACAACCAGTTTGCAGAGTCAGGCAGGAAACACAATATTACCAACGTTGGACTTTATGCTTTGAATTCTATCCACATTGAAGATGGTATTCCGGCCGTTGGTGCTGAACTAACCCAATTTGTTTTACCTCAAAATGCTGGTTTGAATTCACTGGTTGATCTTTCAAAGGTATGTTTATTATTCTTTAAAAATTAAAAGAAACCAAACCAGGAAACATTTTTACTAAGCCATGTTTTCTGAAGGTGGAAAAAGTAGGGAATAATGCTTACCCATGTTTCCTGAATATGGTCAAACCAGGAAACATAGTTTCCCAGCCATGTTTCCTTACGGTTGACAAACAGGAAACATTGTTTCCAACATATTTACTCTACCAACGTTCCAACGATGATTTCGGATTTGTCAATTTAGAAAACGGAGTTTATTTCCGACCTGGACATTTTATCACATGCTTCCTCAAACAAACGTCTCGTACACGTCAGCATGCGTTGTCATGACGATGATAATTTTCCCTGGGGAGGCGAACCATTGCTGCATGACGACGCGATTGTTGGTATGACAACTTCAGCCGCCTGTGGTTTTAAAGGTAACAACCCTGTTGCCATGGCTACGATCGAGCTTCCCGAAGGTCGTGATGACGTTGCGGGCATGGAGTTCGAGATAGAAATAGCCAATCAGCGTTACCCAGTCGATGTTCGCGTTCTGAGAAGCGAGTGACTGAGGGCGATTGGCTTTTGTGGATGTGGGAATTAGGAGTTAGGCTGTCTAATTTTTTAATTATGACTGAATACATTAGGGAAATGCGATTTATTGGAAACAAACGAAGCTTGGATAGCGTCAGGAATTTGAATGATCTCAAAACTAAATCAAGATTACGGGAGGGGTCAAGATTAGCGGGGGGAGGGGGGTTAGTGATTGGTCAAGTTTCTTCTAATGTTAAGTCATATATTAGCGTTGAGGAAACAGTTCTTTTTAACTAAATTATTAAAATGATCTCAATTATTCTTTATCTTGCCCATCGTGTTAACATTACCAGTTCATCTTCTTCAATCGTTTGACCGGCATTTTCATTAAAACGGTGAACTGATCAAAACTTTAATTCTTTTCTTTTTCTTTTCCTCGTATTTTTTTCGCATTTCAATTGTCTTTAATTTCGCTTCTTCCAGCATTTCTCGCTCTTTTTCTAAATCCAGTGTCTCCTTTTCCATCAACCACTTTTCGTATCGTCTTTTAGCAATCAACTGCCTTTCTTCTTTGCTCATTCCCTCGTTTTTAAAACTCGAACCGGCGTCTTTCACGACCGCCATGTTGTTTTTATCATCAAGCCATTCCTCATACGTCTTCCCTTTTCGTTGTTCCTTCCTCTTGGCTTCTTCCTCGGTCGCTCGCTGCTTCTCCAGCGTCAACATTTGAAGTTTTCTGATGGTTTCTTGTTCCTTGCCTGTCAGCCAAACTTCGAACGACTTTCGCCTGTCTTTTCGAGGAGGGTTCTGTGGTCGTTCTATTAAGTTTTGCAAAACATTCTTTCTCGCTTGTGTGCAAGAATCATCCAATGACCGGCTACGCAAGCGGGGACGAAAGTCTTGAAACTCTTCTTCAGAGTCTGTTTTCATTTCTCTCGGTTCGCTGTCAAAACCATGGTTATCTGTTGAAATTTGAAAAACAATGACTTCATTTATAATATATTTATAATTACCAGCTGTTAAAAGGCCGAGCGGTTGCCCAAATGGTTTGTCTTTATGTACAATAATTCTTAACAACATACCTTCACTTTGTGTCGTGTTTCCAACCTGCAAGTCCAATCGTTCATCGCACGAGTTGTCTAGTTCTTCCGCTGACTTACTCAAGTTCATCGAAACTTTGGGTGTTGTTAACTCTGATACATCAGGGGATACCAGTGGTTTCCTTCTGAGGAAACACGGGCTACTCTCGCCAGGCACGTGAGGCAGAGGAAGCACAAGAGATCTTCGCCTCGTTGATGATGGACTACGTGGGCTGAACTCCGTTTTGTTCGGATCCCGATACATTCTTAGGCTCCATGCAGGCGTCCTGAGTACGCCAAGGGATCTACGCCGATTGTTGGGGGACACAGGAGGTGTTGTGGAGCACGAGGGGATACGGAGTGATTTAGATCCCTCACCCATCCATCCATTGGTCAGGACTTTTTGTTGCCGTGACTCGATGACCTAAAATATAATAGGATTTTCAGTTTAATAAACGAGGCGATTAATAGAGAAAAATTTCATGACGAATTACCTCTGATTGGTCGATAGAAACTGTATGCATATCGTCTGGTAGTTCATTCTGAGCTATTGCAGGAAAGCTTGTCAATTCTGGTAAAACTGTTACACGTTCCCTAACGAATTGCTGCCTTCCCGTTTCGATGCAAATTTCTTCAACTTCAATTATATCATCTTTCTCATCACTTGGTCGAACATCAAACATGGATATTGGTCTCTTTCTTTGTCGAAGCTTTGGCGATGTTAAAGGTTTATAAATGCACGAGTTCCCTTTGTTTAGGAAAGCGCTTTGCTCAAAAACTGATGCTTTCGGACGCGATATTTCCTCTAGTGCAGGAGAGCTGTCTTCAGTCGCTGTCGGGTTCTGTTCGTTCTTGATAGTGACATGCTCCATATTCCTAAATGGAAGATGTTTTAGCGAGTTTTGATCGTGCTGCCAAAAGTCTCCGTCGTCTTGTGTGTTTCTTGTCATTTGTTACAAGGTTGTCAACCTTACCTTGACGTGTCAGTTGAGACCATTTTAAATATCAACTTTACAGATTTGTATCGTCGCTTGTTTCCTGTGTTTATTAGCAGAAATTAGACTTTTTGAGCTGGTATCTTCCTTAATTTTCTATTAATCACCGACGATGAAGATTGTAGCAATATTGGAGTGGCTGAATGAACTTAAAAGGCTTTAGTCTCCTGTTCAAGCGAGCGAGTGTTGCAAGCCGAACTATTTAAGTGTTTACACAACGAAATATATAATTCGTTTTGTATAACCGGTTTAATCGATTCCGGTGAGGTTCAGTATTGAGTTAGCATGTCGTAATGACGTTTACTAATCACCTGGACAATTGGTCACTAATAGGTCGGCGCCATTAAAGATTAAGTTAGCTTTAAGTAAATTGTTAAGAGTCGTGAAGATTTGACAAATTAAGGCAATAAATAATCCTGAGGTTTGTTGAACTTCGCACGAAAACTAGTGTTGTATGTTTTTGAAAAAGATTTTGTACATTTTTGTCAAAAGAATACACTGGCGAAGAAACCTTTGGACTCTGATGTCTTGTTTGTAATGTTTTTCTGATTATGAAATTGATCTTTGGTAAATATTGACAGAGGCACTGCTTGATATTACCGAGAAATATTCGTAATTTGTTTAAGGCCTTGTAAATTAACCGTTAAAAGAAATCGGGATTAAATTTGGCTTCCGAGCAGGCGTCCTAATGACAGCCAAAACGGTCGTTGCTGGAATGATTGGTGACTCCAGGAAGGAAAAGGCTGTCTAATGATGCTGAAGGTGTTGGAAGGAAGGATTTGAAAGGTGAACGGGAAGAAAAAACTGAGGTAGTAGTCCCAAAGGTAAAAAACTGTCCAGTATATAGCTGGCCTTGAGACTTCAATGACAGTGAATGGTAGTTCATTCACGTCAAGTTTCTGTGACTGCCAATGTTAGGGTTGTGAATCAAGGAAGTAAAGTAAGTATACCCAAGGACGATCCAGTCAGATTGGCAAGAAAAAGAACATCCACTAAAAGGTAGTTCTAGGTATTTGCGTGTTGAATAAAATCTGGTCAAAGTGTGAATAGATGCCGGTCTTCATCTGTGACTAAGACAGGGGGAAAAGCACCTGTTCTTGATATGCTTCAGTAAACCTCTTCACAACAGACTTTTGTTGGTAAATATCAAGCTTGTGTCACAAGACGACTGAAATACAGAAATGTAACGACACATATTAAACGTCGAAGCAGGATTGCATAACTTATAAGAATTTGTTTTATATACAAGAAGTGATAAAATGATTCAAAGAACAAGTTGCTCATTTTCCATGAAGTATGTACGAATATTTGAACTGACATGAATACAGTTTGTATTTCGTATCGTGCATAGCTATATTCAGTAGTTATTTGCGTCAGTTTGTGGCATTTTTACTATATTTTAACTTTGTAGAACGTACTTATACATATTACATAGAAATATATTATTTATCGTTTTTGTAAGATGTGTGATACAATTTTTTCTTTCGTCTTTGTAGATTTTTAAACCGAGGGAAGCGCTACACATTTCTTGTTTTTTTGGCGACAAGTTTTCTTAGTGTTAAAATAACGGTAAGCTGTCAACTTGTGTTTCATGGATAAGGTCGTATTCGCTAATTTAAAAAAGGAAACCAGAAAACATTGAAACCAGACTCTTGATGCAATCAAAAGTCATTACAAGTATTTGAAAGCTGTTGTTAAACTTACGACAGCATTATAATATTACCACCTGTTGAACCGATGAAAAAATGCAGGTTAATTAAATGCCATTGGCATTGCTAAGATGGCAGTAAAAATACATCTGTGTGTAACTTCACGTGGTTGTGATAAAATACTGTAATTTCTTATGTTATTTTTACAGGACAAACAATATACTTGGCATAACTTATACTTCTTAATTAATGAGTATAAATGCAATTGTACCCATTTCATATTTAGCCTACGTTTGGGTCTTCAACTTTTGACACACTTCGCCTGGGCGACCAAATAACCAGTGACGTGCTGGAGGAACTCAGAGCGTTTCAAGCAATCCTCACGCAACCCATCGCCATCGGCCTGCTTGTCCGAGGAGGGGTGGGTCCCCCTGGACCGCCCGGTGCCTCGGGTGACAGGGGTGAGAAAGGTACAGTTGGGGACAAAGGCTCGGAGAGTCTAGAGCCGGGAACTCCGGGCTATGAAAAAATTTATGATAGCGACGTTAAATATGCTAATGAAGAGAAAACTGATCGCAGATATAATGGTAATGTGGAGGCAGATGACCAAAGGGGCGTACAGCGGAAATACGTATCAGATCACGCTTCACCTGAGGTAAGATCTTTCAGGAAAAATCTTTAGGAAAATCTAAGAGTTTAGGCGTTGTTTAACTTGTTTTGGATATATTTTGTCTTTAGAAAACAAAAATATTTTGCGAAGGCGAAGAATCATGGTTAGGTTGTGATCATGACGAGAGAATAAACATTACGAATGCATTCTGGGGCCGAGACGATTTCATCACGTGTTCCCAGAATGTCCCTAGCAACCACAGTACACGTCAATATAGCCTTGACTACGATCGCGTTTTAATGAAAGTGCGGGAAACATGCAACTGGCGATCACGTTGTGAATTTTTTGCCACCCGATTATTCCTCAATGATGTCACTAAACCCCAGGTGTACAAATACTTGCGGGTTGTATACGAGTGCGTTCCGGAGACTTACGATGACTTCGGTGCTCAACGGGGGAGAATGTCGAGTAGAGACCGCGTTGTAGGACTGTGGGGTCGAGACAAAAGCAACTAGCAAAACGTTTAATCCATTTCCATTTTTTTCGTTTTTAGAAAACGTGCATTTTAACGGTTTTAAGTCTGGTAACTGAGATAAGTTTAGTCCCAAAAATACACTTAGTTATACCGTTGTTGGCGGCGATTATGGTGCATGTATACTAAATACTGACTTTAAACCATGTCTTCCAAGTAAACTTGTGCACGTGACAATTACTGAGTATAATACAGTTACATTACAACAATTCATTTTATCAATTGTCATAACTATGAACAAAATAAACGTACACCTATTTTTCTCTGAAGGTAAAATGACCAGTTATAGAGACTTTATTGTGGGAGAAACGTGAATATCGTAGTTTGCATTCTCCAAACGAAACACAACAAGATGAACCGTAAGCAAATCTTCAAAACTTAACAGGAGTGCTGTATGTGTTGTCGGACGACGGTTTGTAAATTTTTAAATTTTAGTGTAAGTTTAGAACTAAGAACGATCTTAGGTACAAATATTTTGAATGATTACAGAAGGTTATGGCCGATTCAACTCCGCCTCTAACATGGCAGCCATATCGTTTCCCTCATCATCCCCGCTATTTGATCCACTGCTATCCCCATCTGAACTAAACTCTCCCATACTACCCTCCTCGTCTCCATTATCTTCCACGAAATCCAGCTTGCGACGTTTCGACGGGCTTCCTTCATCCTCGTTACGATTCTGTTTGATTGTCGAGAAATTTCCTGCGTTGTCGGTCGTGCAATCCCCTTGAAAACTTCCATCAGTAAGATCCTCGCCCAAAGAATGCTCACTCTTCAACATATCATTGCCATTCTCTGTAGAATTACTAGAACTGGAGACACTTCCTAGAATTTGTTTATTACTGTCTTCTTTATCATCTTCATCCTCTTCGTCGCTGGATCTCATCAAATCTTCCACTTCTTTGTCCATCGCTTCCATTTCGCCTCTTGAGAAACCCAAAAACGGATTCAAGACAATTTTCAAATTATCATCAGAGATGTGATCGACTGTTTCATCCGATTCATCTTCCTCTGTTATCTTACTGTTTTTAGAACCCGTCTCATCACCAAGCTGGCGTCTTGGTGTACTTCGCCTGGACGATGTCGGAGTGTCGTTCCTTTGAGCTTTGTATTCGTGATAGTCCTCAACCGGGAACAACCGTTCGTCCACCCAATCCCACCGCTCTGCGCATGTCCACAGCCAGTTCGGATTGACCAATCGAACCGCGGGAGATCTTAACGCCTGACAAGCTTTCTCGGTGCCTGGTCTAGCAGCGATAACATGTGTCGTGCGTTTACTTCGTTCAGAGGTGTTTTTTTGAGTCAACAAATCCTTGCTGACATTTGCTCCAAATTGCTGTGCAATTTTCCACGCCTGGCTTTCCTCGTGGGCCGTGTTCGTCGGTATAACGCCGGTGAAAACGATGTTCGTTCCTCTTAAAACATTTCGTCGCAACTCGGGTACGATACACCTCAGATCTGGTGCAACAGAAGCCGCGGCATCACCTTTCTCCTCTGCTTGCTTATTCCAAGCAACCACTTCGTAGAAACTGTTGTGAATTCTACGAAGTATATCTTCCAAGTACAAGAGGTAATCGTCGTGATCCTCGATATGGTTCCCATCTATAGTATCCCCCACGTGAGATTTATCGGAAACCTGTGTGCTAACATTGTCGTTCTCTTTCTCGGAATTATGACCATCGTCTGTTTCTTCAACATCCTCACCATTTGACTTAGATTGTTTATTCTCTCCAGCGACAACTTCACCATCCTTATTTTCTTTCTCTTCGATAGGGTTTGACTCCAGTTGGTTCACTTCATCAACTACATTCCTTTCACTTCCACCACCTTCCAACTTATCTTCCTCTGTTGAGGTATTCTCAGAAACATCAGATACATTTTTCTCAGAATTATCCATCGAAGTTTCTGTGCTTTTCCCGATAACCTCTTCACTCTCCTTATCCATCTCATCAGCATCCTTTCCATCTTTGGAATCTTCGACGCCAACCTCAGTGGCATTCTCGTGCAATGGTATTGCAGAGGGGTGTGTGAATGCTTGTTCCGATCCAGGAGGGGCATTGATATCCCCAGTTCCTGTGAAATATCGATATGGCTTGACCGTGACTAGGTTTGGAGCACAATCCCAGATATCTTCACGATCATCTATGATACATACCATTGAATCATCACAGGGAAACAGAGCTCTGAAGAAAATATTTCAAAACATCAGAAATCTTTGCAAATCCTCGATTTTATCTACCGCACATATCATAAGATTAGTTTTATTAAGCTGGTATACCAACCATTTCACCCTCTAACAAACCTGAGATCCCGATATTTTGAAAACATATCAAAACTTTCATCGCGTGAACGGATTCTCTCAGAGAACAAGACACCGGATGGGTCCAGCATGCGTGCTATTGTGTGGGCGTACATCCTTGAACCCATTGTAAATATGTGCAACTCATAGCACTTCGACATATTCTCTAAGAATTTTTTCCAACCAGGTCTGAACTTTGTGTGGTACCAATTGCTTTGGCCATACAGTTGAAAATGATAAACATCCTATAAAGAGAAATTCTAATGATGGTCACAACCTCTGCAAATCTGGGAAACTAGAATAAGTTTGTTTGTACACGAAAATGGGTTTCAATGACCCATGCCCTTGTACATTATGTTATCAAAGTCATTCAGATTTTTAGACTTTATTATAATCCTCCAAATTCTATCCATTCCAACCTTCATATCTGGGTGAACATTTTCAGTTGTTGTGTGAATCAATGTTTGATCCAAATCTACAAGAAGCACTAGTTTGCCATTTTTCAACAAAATCTCCTTGTCCTTTCTTGCCAAGATCTCTGCTTCCTGAAAGTGGAGACAAAATGTCAGTTGTACAATCTCACATTGGTGTGGGTGAAATAGAAAGAAATCTGACCTTTTGGCTAACTCTGAGCTCGGGAATATTATGTACCAAAGCAACTGATGCACTGACCGGCTCCTTCAGCTGCCCTGGGATTCCAGGTTCCCTGAAAATACCAATATTTAATTGTGAAATCAATCACATGCTGTGAAGACGTAAAATCCATAACACCTACTGTCGCAAATCTTGACCACATTCCGCACACATTTCTTTCATAACAATTTTGTGTTCACAAACATCAAGCAATATCACAGGTTGTCTGAAATGCATAAACGATACAGTTTAGGGGGAATTGAACCTATTGCTAACTGGAAACAACCCCAGTATTGAACCTATTGCTAACTGGAAACAACCCCAGTATTTTAATTTTACTTTAGTTGAAGGTGCATTTACACATAGCAATCTGTTTTGGTGCTGGCCTGACATATCACTTGGTGTAAACATACCTCTGTTGCTAATGATTTAGCAAACTGTGCTGATTCGTTTTGGGACACCTGTATTTCCCGCCCAAACTCGCCCAGCTCAGTGTGATAAATACGAGATAAATACGCAAAATATTTTATATCATTTTCGCTATCAAACCTGCTGCAAGTGCGCAAAAGCATATACAAACATACAAAATCCTCTAAATGAAATCATGAGACTACAAGCTGGGAACAAAACATTGCGTCGATATATTTACAGACCCCGGTTTAACACGCTCTCCTTCGTTGACCAGCAAGCGTTTCACCGAACCGCCAAATTCAGACTTCAATTTTGGAAGTACAACTATCTGCGATTCTTTGGGATTTTCTACAGCTATTTTCTTGTACACGGCAAGAATTGAACCTTTCGAGATCTTCTGGTTTGCAGATATTTTCCATTTCAAAAGCTGGCAAGGAGAGGAACGAGAGAGTACAAGTTCGTTTTGCGCATAGTCTTGAAAGTTTTCCGCCATTTTGAGAACGGATGTCATGCAGTGACTAGTGAGTTGACCCGGGTGTATTTGACCAACGGGCCCGTTTCCCCGGGGTGGTACTTCAAAAAAAGTCTTTTTTCTAAACTTTTGCTCTTAGTTTCTATTTTTTTTCTCTCAAGATATATCTTCTTATATGTTCTGAGAAGAATTGCTATCATTTAAACTCGGGGTATATAAAACAAAGGACTTTTCCATCCAACACGGATAAAAAGTCCAACCCAGGAAGTATGCCCTGTCGCATTTTGACGTATGTTTTTATAATTTCTTCCAAGAAGCGCATGGTTCTTCCCCAAGTCGTTTTCCCAATAAATGGCATAGTTTTCCAACTTTTGCCGACTTTCTGATTAATAACGTTTACGTATGGGGCGGAAATAGTCGCGATCTGTTTAGACGATAAAATGGACTCTGCAAATGAAGACGCCGCAAGGGTTTTAAAAGGAATACTAAACATCGGTGGAATGCTTGGCTCAGGTAATGTATTTATTCAATATTTCAATTACTTTCACTTTAAAATATTATGATTAGAACTAATGGATAGTGTGATGTGTTAAGTTCAGGACATGCGAATTGTGTATAAGTGTTATATTAAATGTTTTAGTATTAATAATGGAGCTGCGTTTAATAATACTGATGACACATTCCAATGCGTTCTTTTGTTTTATTAAATTATATGTAGCTAGTTTAATAGATAGCCACCCTGGCTGGATTATTGGCAAGGTCCTTCTTGCAATGTTAACTCCATTGAGTATTAATATGATTGTCCCCTCTGCCATCTTTTCATCCAGGAGCTTGCCAAAGTTAGATAAAAATGACCTTGTTGAAACCCTCCATCCTGCCTTGTCAGTTGTCAGAATAAAGACATTTCAAACAATTCATCCCAGCCAACTAACCTTGTGCTATTGTACAATGTTCTAACATCTTAAAATTTCAGATAATGGACAAGCTTCATCAACACATGATATTGAGAGTGACAGCAATAGGTACGTAAGTTAGGTCTTTTGTTTTGGCCTAATAGTGCAATGGTTGTTTGTAACACAACTTGTTGTTTTGCAAATTATATTTTCTTCATATTTTTTGATAGGAAAAATGGACATAAATTTGTTGTAAGTTATAAGATAGTTTCTTTGTGCACAATACTTTCCTATTTTATTCTTGCACTTCTCAATGACCTTGCAGTGTTTTTTTGGCATTGTATTCTAATATTTATAATGTTCATTAAATTTCAGGAAGAAAATATAACAGAATCAATTGATTCCTACAGTGACAGAGAATCTGATACATTTCCTTTGGACCCTGTCCGTCAATTTGTGTAAGTTCAGAAAATTATGTTGTTAATAATAATATAAAAATATAGCATTTTTGTACAGTATATACATAATGAAACATGATGTTTAATACAATTAATCCTTTTCATTCAAGTCAATCTGTTAATTTTGCAATGTTAACTTAACTGATAAAAATGTCAACTTTGATTTCAATTAGAAATTTTTCTGGGGATGAGCAACAAGGCAGTGTTGCAATATACGGCAATGAAGTGCATGTCACAGCCGATGAGGTTGATGCTAATGTTACTGGAAGCAGCAGGGTATGTATTTTTTATTACATCCTGTTTGACTCACTGATCTATAAGTACACTGGATGTAGCAACTCTTTCAGAGAACCAGAATATGGAGAAATATTACCTTGATATCAGACATTGATATCAGCTCATCGCTCTTAATGGCCATTGTTGCTGTGTCAAATCTATTGTGAGATCAGGAGTTGTCTGGTGTAGGCTCTACACCTACCGAGTGTAAGTCTTTTTCAAAAGTTGTGTCTATCTGTAAATTGTAGATAAGGATCAACCCAGTTGTGAATTTTGACTGGGAATCAAAATACTACAATGGGAACTTACTTGGTGTTTCATCAAAATATATGGCCTATGTTATAAGAGGTATGTTCTGTCATTCAATGCTACCGATGTATGTAAAAGATCTCTTAATTTCATTAATGAACCCTTTTTTAGCAAAGTCAGGTTACGTATTGCGAATCCTGAATCGTAAAACTGTTGTGAAAGCCCTTATCAAAGGATTCACAGGCAGCATTGAAGATGTGTCATTTTCTCATGATAATTCTGACCAGCTTGCTTGCATTGATGCTGCTGGTGATGTGTTTGTGTGGACAATATCAGAAGATGACAATCAAATAGAGTATCCTTTTGGTAACTGATGAATACGAGGCAGTTGATTTGGGCATTTGAAAGTCCTAAAATTTCAATAAACAAATTATTTTCCCTGAGCCTGTCCAGCTATGATTTGAAACTGCATGTAAAGAGGGAAAACAACAAACTGCCTGAGCCCTCGTCAGGAAACCGTATTGTGTGGTGTCCGTATATTGTTGATGAGGAGGAAAACGTCTCAGAAAAAGTGCTGTCAGTAATTGTTGGACAGGTTGCGGAGGTGTTGCATGTGGATATGATTACCAAGAAATATGGGAATGTAGTTGATGTGGAGGACATTAAAAGTGGAATCTTAAGGATACAGAATGGTCATACTAAGGTAAGATACCCCTATCCATCCACCTTATCTATCCTAATCCATCCTTATTCATCCACCCTTAGAACATTGTAGTTTAACTGACAGCTTCTATCTCTGGCTTTACCAGCTCTACAACAAGCTGAGGCTGGGAATTTTCAATACATTCAAATGTTCTACTTTGTGTATATTTCATGAACATCACCGACATCACCCTCGAATTTTTTGAATAGTTTATCACGGACATTTCCCTCGCCCCAGACGGGAGTGTTTTGGCCACAGCTAGTGATGATGGTGGAGTGAAATTTTGGCAGTTAAATTTTGAATCGGCTGACGCACCATTGTGTCTACATGAATGGCAGCCTCACGAAGGACAATCCGTGTCAAGATTGATGTTCTGCGATAATCATTTAGCAGAAGATAACAAGTATGTAACATGATGAGTCATGTTTAGGCCCATCTACAACTTGCAATTTTTGCTGCAATTTTAAATGCGGTTTTCTTTCTTTGGTAGATGCGAATGAGTGGGTAAGTTAGAAATGTTCAAATTAGGGCACCAATAAATTAGAGCATTCGTAACTACCAGCTCGTTTGCATCCATCAAAAGGCAGCGTCTATCTGAGTTGCGGGGATCCACGTTTTCCATCCAAGGTTTTGTTGTTTTTTATCATAGAAGTCCTTTTTGGAGGTTTTTGATCACTGGGGCAAAACGCAACAGCGAACTGAAAATATGGTGTACTGTCACGTGGTCCTGTTTACAGACGATAAAGTAGGAGACATTAAGAGATATATCATTATTAAAATCGCCAAATTTCTAACAAATTCTTAGGCTAATCTTACATGACTTTACATATTTTAACACTGTTCATCATCTCTTGATTTCAGATTTAAACCACCAGCATCAAGCCTTCCGTGAGTTGTTAAATCTTCAATCGATTGAATCTAAGTCACATTTAATAAACCTGCTGAATTTGTTGTCCAAATTGGCAGTGTTCAAATTCTGCTGTTATTAGAGAAAAATGTCTTGTCAATTTGTCTTGTCAATTTGTCTTGTTAATCCATCAACTCGCAGTGTGCTTGAACACTTCATGAATTTATATGTTCCTTCGTCTTATACTAGACAATTTTACTGCTCATGGTCATCGATGTACATCCGCATAGCTAATCATTTGCATTCTCCCTCCTCTAGTTCTGTTAACCCCCCTCCTCTGAAACTCAAAGCAAGTTTGGATTTGTCATCGCAGTTCCTCGTGTTGTCTGATATTGACCGAAAGGTATTACTTCTTTCTGAGTGAACTGTTATTATTTCTCAGTATCGCAGTCGCTCACCTCTGACGTCACTCGTTCCCAGGTTTTGTTCGTGTTTCTCCTGCACCAAAATCTCGACGAGGGCAAAGCTCACGTGACCTCTGTAGCGCATTTTATTCTAACTCAACCGCTGCTTAGTTTTGTCATATCTGAGGCAAAGACGTTCAAGGCGTCGATGAGGGATAGCATGGATCAGAATGGTGATAGAGAGGATCATGAGCAGGATGAAGAGGGACAGGAAGACAGTGAAGAGAAACCCATTCCCACAATTAGGATCAAGCTTCATTGTATCAACCCAAAGTAAGACTAAGTGTTTGGTCCAGTGTAGGTATTTATGTACAATGTTCCCTCTTATGTCGTTTTTGTCAGAAAAAAACAGCATCTTAAAGTTAAACATGTCGGTCCAGTTGTAGGTTTAATATTCAACTAAATCTAACTGTAACCTAAACACAGTCAATAGATCTTTCTCATACTGACGTCAAGCGCGGAAAGCCTGATGTTACACGAAGTTTGATTAGCTCGTTAGTTTTGTCATTTTGTGGAGCCAATCAAACCTCGTGTTACATCTGGCTCTCCGCGTTTGACGTCATTATGAGAAAGATATAATAAGAATTCCTTATATTCTGTTCTCAGAGCGATGCAGGAGATGATCGTCCAGTATTATCCGTACACTTCAATACGTCCCGTAACACCAACCAGTCTTGCTGCCTCTTCAATAACAAATACTGAAACAGGTGAGTGGAATTTCCTTAATTCAAGAACTGCACCCCGAGTTCAACACAATACTTCTATGAATTTTGCACTGTACTGTATTTTCCAGGTATTCAAGATGGCTTATCTGATGTGAGTGGACTGGACACCAGCCTGACCGAGCTGGAAGACACGGGGACTAGGTCTGACAATTCAACTCCCAGACTCATCGCTCCAGATGCGTTTGTGACCATGGTTCCTAAACCTGTTAAACCGATTTCCAAAGGTGCAAAAGATATCGCAGTGACTCAAGCGGCCCCTGCTAGTGTGACGAGCAGCATAACATCAGTAACTTCCATGAGTAACTCGTTGCTATCCGAGGATGTTAATCAACCTCGGGGGGAAAAATCACAAATCGCGGAGAGCGAGTGTAGTTTTAAGACATGTGATGATGTCACCCTTCAGGATCACTCCAGTGGTGCGAATTCGTGGCTACTAGGGGAAACGTCCCCCCTCGGACCTCCCCTCCCGGTATCTCCTGATCCTGCAAAAGTACCTTTTCCCGCTTTTAATACCGAGATACGGGGGGTGAATGAAGCTCCCAAAGATGATATATCCGCTATTGCTCACAGCACACCGATGAGGCCACTTCGTACTCTTGATGGTGATGAAGACAACGATAAAACACCGACAGGTGATGACGAGATTACCGTCAAAAAAGACGACATTTTGTCCAGTTCTCCACGAGACTCGCCGTTGTTACCTCAAGGCCACAGCCCCCCGGGTGAAAAAGGTGAGGACGAGAAATTAATGTTCGCTGAAGGTCACGGTCAAGCGGGCTTTGATTCAATCGGAAGCGAACGGTTTTTCACGAAGATGAAAGATTTCACGAAGGTGAGCTCTTTGCAAACACCTGTAACTGGACAGCGAAATGAGACCGATGAAGGCTTGAGCAGATCACGTAAGCGAAATACAAAGTAAGTAATGTGGGCTGCTTGTTTCACCATAATATATCACGGAAAATATAGTGTCAAAATATTTTGCCGTCTGTCAGCGGCAAGCTGGAGAGGTGGACTATATTGGGTGTCTTTGAGGTACAATAGGGGACCTTAGTTGTGTTTTTAGTCTTACAGTTACTCCTCGCAAGCAAATCGACATCCCGCCGGACGCCAGAGAGCAGGTGAGTTATCTGGAATGATTTTAACTCTCCACTTGTCTCGACGATTACTTTAACCAACTATCTTTCCCTGCCAGGCGCCACCAACGAACAGCGCTGCGCTAGATGATATTCGAGATGACATCAGACAGCTGAGAGAATTACTGCAGGCTCAGCAACGGGAACAAAATGTAAAAATATCGGACGTTCTGAGGGAAGAAGTAGCGTCGTTGGAAGGCGCCGTGTCCTCGAGCCTTGGTAGCATCCTTGCCGAACATAACGCTGAACAGGGTGAGTGTGGGCTCGGAATTCGAAGAATCCACTAATAATGGCTATTTGTTACTCAGATTAGGTAAGGCATAGCCGGTGTTCCACTCGGCGAGGCTTGCTGACAAAACCATTACTTTACTAGATCAAATGTTTGAGAAATTCACCCGCGACAAGAATGTCAACGAGAAACAACGTTATGAGAAGATGACAACTTCCATAACCACCGCTGTGTTGAACAAGGTTGAAAAAATTGTCAAAAATGAAATCAGAAATTCCGTTGGCTCAGGTGAGGTCTACAAGATCATAAATACTGTGTTTCCCCAGTGAATCAATCCATCCACTCGACTCACCAAGTACTTAATATGCCATGCAAGTGCTAAGAATCTTCACTTCATTCTTACATGACTTTTTACAAGGTTTTCAAAAAATTGCGCCCTCGCTCCAGGATGAGCTTAACACTGTGATGACACAGGTATGATTAGTTATGTATTATAGCAATTGCAATCTGGCGTGATTGCATACTCCAATTTTTTTTCTTACAGTCCAGGATTTTTCCTTGTAGAAACTTAGGGTTGCGGACGAAGTTATGAGGGAAAGCATAGCAAGAATGGTCAAGGAAAAGGTATACAATTCAATAAAATGAAAACATGAATTGATCGTATCCTAAATAACAATGTTTTTATCTGGTTATGACGGCCAATAGTGGAAGAATTGGTTTTCCTACGAAGCCGAGTTCCCGCTAAAAACATTGTAGTTTTAGCAGATGAATAAATTGTGAAGTTACTTTATTTTGTAGAGTGTACTTGATGCGATAGGTAAAGCGGTCGGTGAAGCAATTCAAGTGTCATTTTCGGCAACTATGAATGATTTCCTGAACAAATCCATGCTGCCTGGTTTCGAGAAAGCGTGTAGAGCTATGTACGCGCAGATTAACACCGCATTTGAGAATGGAACTAAGCAATGTAAGAGCAAAGTTTGTTTCTCGTTTGTGACAGGAAATTCGTAAATGAAGTCTCTGAATTTGATCGGTATTTCCTGCAGACATTCAGAACTTCGAGAGCTACGCTGAAAGTCGTAAGGAGATCGAGAAACAACAGAAGGACACCATCGTCGATCAACTTCAGATTCTTGTACAAAACTTTCAAGTTGCTTCCGAGAAACTCTCGACCAGCATGTCGGGAAGTTTATTGGAAATGATGCAAACACAGTTAACGACATCGATGAAAAAGTAAAATAATTTTTTCTACGTTTTTCGCAAGAGCAAGTGTAATCTAAGAGTGGATGTATAAAATCAAGAACTAAAATCTACTGTTCTCAACTCTAGGCTGCAAAGTTCATTGCTCGAGCAACTGCAAGAAGATTTGAACAAAAGTCTTCAAGAAACAATACAGAAGGAGGTCACGAATGTTTTGATAGAGCAAAGTGCTTTTAGTGGTGAATCTAAGGATCAAACAAAACATAGGAATACACAGGTAAGTTGTGGCTTCTATACCTCCCTTTACCCCTCTCTATCCTTTCCTCTCTCTGCCTGCACTTCTCTCTCCCCCATTTACCCAATCATTTTCTTTTTAGCTTCGTATTAAGCAACTTATTGACGAGAGAAACTTTAGCGGAGCATTCTTAGAAGCATTAACAGCAGGAGACTTGGAACTTGTTACTTTGGTTTGCCAAGCATGCGATCCGTCAGAACTGTTTGGCCAAGATCCATGTCCTTTCAATCAGCCTACATTGCTCTCGTTAATACAGCAATTGTCAGTTGAATTGTCTTCGAATACTGAACTAAAATACAGGTATAGGCCGTCAATTACATGCAGTTGTAACTGAAGCTGGTTGTATAGAATGGTAGTTAACGTTTAACTAGAGTTAGTGAAAGATTTGGTATGTTAACTGCGATTTCACCACGCAAAATGGAAATAACAGGTTTATTCAACTGTGCCTTGGAGCAAATGTTTGCCCTAGTAAGGCAAGGATTGCGGTTTTATATCAGCCATTGCAGCTATTGACGTCATTACCTGATTTGACATTCGAGGCTAAGTGACTGTTACGAAAACTTTCCTTGACTTCTTATAATTCCTGAAATATTTTCCCTCTAATGGTAACTATATCTCTTTTGAATCGATTCATAGATATATAGAAGAAGCAATCCTGGCACTGGACACTGAAGATCCAGTCACAAAAGAACACGTTGATGCTATCCTTCGAGGACTTTGCGAGCAAATTAAGGCTACAAATCATTTGCTAGCTCAAGATGACTCGACTAAGCCGCTGCAACGTTCTCTAAAACGACTCTACATGGCTGCCATGTCGTTGATCAAATAGAACTAACTTTAAAATATTTCATTTTTTGCTTTTCGTGACAATTGTAAGAGTTGTTTACGTTGAACATATTAATGGCCTTTACGGTTTGTAAGTAACCCGGATACAGATAACAGCCCTGCACTCAGGCATGGAGACAGAATTGTAATATTGATTGATTAATTACAAGTCCTGCTACACACACCTCCACATCTTCAAGAGACTCGCCTACTAGTTTAGTGTTTTTTTTGAGTGCAGTTTTCAAACTTATATGAATAAAAGTGTAAAGTTTAAAGTGTAAAGAACATTCTTCTGAGAGATTTCATAAGCAACCAGAACCAAGTTTTTTATAAATCTGTACCAATTACAAATACTGTTGTTCAACATACTAGTTTATAAGCGGTGCGCAAAACTCGTTAAATTAAATTATTGTTCACGTGAACCACCGCGTGTGCTGCAACGCGAGACACGTGATAGGCACATGGATAGACCACCCAAACAGCGAAAGATCAAAACAATATACCATTAACTTTCGCAAAAAGAATGGCATATATATACGACATGTATATGTTCATAGACAGGTAAATGGCGTCATTCGACCATCAAAAGTTTCTCGGAATTAACTGTCTTGTTTTGGTTTTTAAAGCGAGCGCCGTCTCTGATTGGTCAGTTTGATCACAACAAACCGCATCGGGAAATTATAATCACTCATTCGCAAATCAGTCATTCAAAGTACTCGAGTATTTTGTACAACTGTGGACGGTGAATCGGCACTTTTTCTTTTGCATTGATTTTTTAAATCTTCTCAAATCATGGCTTGTATACAATGGGCACAGCCCGAACAAGACAGTCAATCGCATCGGACGTGGAGTAATGTAGTCGAAAACCCAACAAAACAGCATTGTAGTGACAATAAAGTTGTGTTCAATAACTTCAATTCGCGAGCCGCCGAAGAATTCATTCCTTTAGAAACGGGTGGAAACGCAGCTGATGTATTAAACCAAAGTACTGGGAAAGATAACAAACTGCTTAAAAGAAAGCTATCAAATTCACAACAGAATAACAACAGTCATGTCTCATCTACAGAGTCCGCATACTGCACGCCTTGGAAGTCTAAAAATTACGTTCAAGATCCAACCGGGTTTGTATATTATTCCCTAGATTCCTCCGTCATTTTAGCTTCTTTCAATGCTAAATCAACCCATTTGCCTTTCAGTTTAAACGAAGAGATACACGATTTTCTAAATTACATAAAACCACGGCCAGAAGAGGACGCAATTAGGCGAGATGTAGTCGAAAGAGTCAAAGCAGTTATAAAACAGCTATGGTCACAAGCGAAGGTATGCAATACAAAATTTGTGCACTGATTTGTACTCTGATAAAATTGAAGTTTTTAAAACGTTGTTTATTGTAGAATTTGTCTTGAATCAAAAGCAATTGTGTTTATCCCGCAATGACTCAAAAATATTTTTAGGTGGAACTCTTCGGAAGTTGCCAGACAGGGCTTTATTTACCAACGAGGTAAAATTTTTCAGGAAATTGATCTTTGTCCTAATTCTACTTTAATATACCTTAATAAAGTATACCCGACACTTCAGAAAAACGCGAGCTTTTAAAGGTTTTACTTGGCTATAATGAATACTTTGATGCCATTTGTACTGTAATTGTTTTCTTCAAAATATTTTGATAGCATCAAAGAGATTTTGTTATTAATGAAAATGACCTTTTGATCCCCGATATTTTGCAAAATGATGTTGAAAATTGTCTGTTTATAAATGTTCGTTTTCAATGCAGTTCAACAGCGTGTTGTTTTGGTTGATATGTAACTAATTTCTAATGGCATTTGCTCTGAATATATTTAGTGATATTGATCTCGTTGTTCATGGTAAATGGGAAAGCCTACCATTACGTACCCTTGAAAATGAGCTTATTGCAGAGGAGATTGCAGATCCAAATTCTATCCGTGTATTGGACAAGGCTGCTGTATGTAGTTACTATCAGAAATTCCAATCTTATTGCCTTTTACAAGTGAAATACAGTGATCTGGGAGTGTGTATTAATTGTTAACAATTAACTTCACTGGCATTGTTCCAATTTGCAGCAGTTTTATGGCAACCTAGTGTTCACTCAGGAATTTTTTGTTTTTTACATTATTTCATTTACTCAGCTGAGTAATGTGGTTCTCAGTTAAGGAGGCTTGGATCAAATTGCATCTTAAAAATTAAAAGCCCTTTCTTACAACTCTGACCCATGTATACTTGAAGTGACTGCATGGCATGCCCTTCAAATGCAAGCTGCCGTGGAAGTGCTTTATTTCCCCTAACCAATATTTGAATGAGTGTTTGTCACAGTTGGTTGCATGCTGTATTCAAATCAGGTTACTTCAAACCCTTAATGAAGGCTTTCTATGCAACATCTACAGGTTCCAATTATCAAAGTTACAGACAAAAAAACGCAAGTTAAAATCGACATCAGTTTCAACATGGACACCGGAGTTCAGAGTGCTGAAATGATTAAGGTAAATTGCAGATTTTTAGGCCATGGTGATTGATGTTTATGCATGAAAAATCACTGTATTATTCATGCTGTACATACAGTGTTTACAATGTCAGGAATCAGTTACCGGGTACTAGAGAGTTACTGACAGTTGATGTGTCAGTATAAGAGAACAACTCCATTTTATCTTTCCCAATCTAGAGTTACATGGATAAATATCCTGCGTTGCCTTATCTAACGTTTGTCCTGAAGCAGTTTCTGGTGAACCGAGATCTTAATGAGGTTTTCAGTGGTGGCATTAGTTCATATACGGTTGTGTTGATGATTGTCAGTTTCTTTCAGGTATGTCATCCATTCAGGATGTTCGTGTCATAATGCAATGACATATCACATTCTCTTTACTTAACTAATGAGGTCTTTGCAATATTCAAAATCTCTGGTCTAATAATATCTGGTTCCAAGGGAAGGGGGTTAGCAGCAAGGGGGTGGGATGCAGGCCAGTTGCCTGGCCTTTGTTGGCATACAACCAGGAATGTTGGAATGTATGCATGTTTGAAAACTTTTGAAAAATGAGAGGATAAGGTGTTACCTAGATAGTAAGGACCTCTCAGTAAAGAAACTTCCATATAAACCAAACATGATTTAAGCACTGCTTTTTCATTTTTGTACATAATTCCCTCAAAAAAATCCATCCCTGTTCTGATAAGAATGTGGTACTACTTCCAGTTTGAACAACCTGAAATGTCCTCCAAATCTTTATCTACCTGGCATATAAATAACACTACTGTTCACTTTCTTGAAAAATCAGCATTCAGGACATTTTCGAAGCACCAACAAGGACGTGAACCTGGGTGTCCTCCTCATCGAATTTTTTGAACTCTATGGCAAGAAATTTAACTACAATAATGTTGGCATACGAGTAGTTGGGAATGGATCGTATTTCAACAAGGAATTGGTAAGTAAAATTCAATCATAGCAGTTCAGAAACCATTTCTTATATTTCATTAAGCATGCATGACTTCTGAGTGGTATATTTTTACAATAGGTGTTGGGAAAATCGCTTGCAAACACAACTCATTTGTGCATTGAGGATCCCTTAACAAAAGGTATCATCTCGAGATCATTTGAATGTCTTGAATCCGTATATGTACTGCAGTATACCTCATTATCAACCCTTGTACCACACAGGAAACTACATTGGTAAAGGATCTTTTCGTATCAACGAAGTTATGAGGGCATTTGAATGGGCCTCAAGCATACTGACCCATGGCGTTCTACACAGTATGTCAGGATATGAATCCTGGTAAGTTTCTGTAAATGACTTTATTAATTGCATTGCACCATGCATATTTTGTGTCTGAGATCTCAACTATTTCTCTCCCCAAACTTTGGTAATGCAACTCACTTTGACTGAGATTGTATTTTATGTTAACTCTCATGTGCAAATAACAAAAGCATATCCTTCCATCAAATGCATTTCATTGGCAGCGATCGAATTTTACGTATAAAATGAAATGCTCGTTACTTCAAGTTTGGCCAACTCTCACAGGGTGGGCACTTCAGATCTTTAAAATCATTTAAAACCAGGGCCGGTTGTATGAAAGCTGGATAGCGCTATCCACCGAATAGTCTTTTCAATCGCTTTAAAATAACCTGTTGTTCGGTATAACTTTGATTAAACCTTTTATACTCCTGAATTTGGGACTCTTTAATCGTCGTTAGGTTTAAAAGCTGTTTTTTTAATGCTTTTCCAACATATTTACAACGGATATTTACACTGCAATATGGCAAAGAAACTGCCATTTACATTACAACAAAAAGACTGCGTGATATCTTGTCTGCAATTGATGCTTTTTGAGAGCTTTTTATGGTTAATAATTGCATTCGTTTTTTTTTGTGTACGGTGGTACATTTTTTCCTCGTGTACATGAAGTCTTAAAGTCGCGTAAACTCCAAAGTCTCCATGTTGAAATTAGGTGGGAAAACGCCTGTACTCAACGACGTCATTTTGTACCGTTTTACAGTAGTATCTTAGGCCGGATAACACGGGTTAGAAGAGAAGCGGTGGAACAGCGAGAGAGAATGCTTCATCTCTCCCCGTGCATTTCTCCAAACATACCAAGTTACGCGAGCGTCGCCACACGAAACACGACGCGAACCACGACGATACGATCGATACAGCACGACGCGAAAACGACGGACTCGCCGTCGAAGTCCGACGGCGCGTGTGGAAATTCTCAGTTCCTAAAAGCACGGCAAAACGCCACGCGAGATGGCGACGAACATAGAAACGGTGCAACGGCGAATCGCCGGATTCACAGAAACTTTAGGAGTATTGTGAGCCGCGTGAGTGACTCGCAAAACGGCGAATGGCGGAAATCCAGGCCGACAAGGGATTCAGAAAATGACAGAGGGAAAGAACAGCACTTCTCCAGAGAGACGCCGCCTCGAAACAGAAATATGAACAGCTCGAGCTCTATTGAGAAAGGACGGATACTCCAGGCTGCAAATTCTAAGCAATCGTCCCCAAAACGAAGCGCTTCGACAGAATCCTGTGGTATGAGAAGTAGCAAGGGAGTCAAGTCGATAAAGTATGTGTATATATTCTGCAATTTTATTTGCGATTTTCTTCTTTTGATTGATGTGAACGAGTAATTAGTTACGAATGCTTTGATATAAAAAAGGTATTACTTAGGCATCAGTAACTAAATTACTCGTTTACATCTATCAAAAGCAGAAAATCTGACATAAAAAAATCGCAGCAAAATTGCAAGTGCATCGTAAACGGGCCAAGGAATAAGAATTGCTTAGCAAGCGTGACTGTTAAACGCTTGAAAGATTTTTGGCCTTCGTTGTGTGTTTATGAGCTAATGTGTTGTGTGTCTTAATTAATCACTTCCATTGTCAGACATAAAAATTCGTTCGTTCACACCAGTCTTTCAAGGATTACACCTATTTGATTACTATACGAATAACATTGTTGAAGCAACCAAAACATAGCAAAAAATGGCCGTTGACTACTGATAAAGGCTATTTTCAGCGCTGAAGCACTCCAGACGGCGGGTGATAGAACCTCATTAGTTGTATCCAATCCTTTATATAACTTGTGCAGTGAAAATATATATATTTTGAAAACAAATCCTGCCGTTCGTACCGAGTTAATGATACCTATTCTTCGATCAGTTACTTCGTGAAGTTGATCAGCTTCGATGTTGCTAACTCGTTAAAAACGGTTTGGGTTATCCCGGGGTAAAAAATTGAATGAGTGTTTAATGATGTTCCCTCACGTTGACCAATGTTATTTACGATTATTTCTGTTTTATTTTAGGGAAAGTCATCCACAACGTGAAAGGTTACTCTGCTAACACACAGTAATCGTGTTCGTTACTTGATCAAGGGGGATAACTAGACAAAAATTATTTTTAGCCAAAACTTTTTAAACAATTATGCCACGTTCATATCGCACCATTGCAATTTTATCCAAGTGATCAAAGTGAATGATGACAGTGTTGGTACGTGACTCAAAAAGTGCCACGGAGGATGGTTCGGGTTTAATGGTGTGATCGAGGACTCATTCCTACATATAGGGTAAACTAGAAAGACGTGAAGGGTACGCAGTGGTATGCAAAAAGTAAATTCTTTATGAAAAGGGGGAAGTAAAAAGATGGTTCAAATTATGTAGATATCTTGGGCGGTTTGTATGGATTCATTGGATTCTCTTGTTGAGTTTTATTTTTTATTAGAAAGCCGCTTTCCACTTCATTCGTGGTGAAGTTCAACACATTTCTTTGTTTCTTGATTGAGCAGACAAGGTAGTAGAAGGGGTGACTTTGAAACAAAGGAATACTCAAGTGGAAACAAAGGAATGCCCAACGGTTCTTTTCCGTAGGCTTGAATTGGAAACCAGGCTTAGGCATGCGTCGGTTTGTGTGTGAACTGCCTGATAAAAGGGTTATATCGTTACATTTCGGGAATGCGGGCTAGGGAAGGGTGGTTGGATTTGGGACATCTTGAACAGTTCACATGCAAAACGGAAATGCAGCTTTGTATAAATGATTAGTTTTGTCGTTCGAAATCAACAATAGATAAAAAATGGGAGTATTTATTTTTAATGTATCATAGTATATATACCTGTAATAACAATATAATGGCAATATAGCTTTTAATATGCAAATAAACATCTTAATAAAACTGTAAAAAGAAACTGTCCATTTGTGTAATTTTGCTCGAAAGGAAAGCAGGTGTAATAAAAAACCACTTAGCTCTTTCTCTTACACCTTTCTTGGAATGCGAAGAATCCTGGGAACTAGTTTAGACATTTGCTCGTCGGGGGAAAAGCCTGGGTCGGTTGGACAAGACGTAAAATAGCGTTCAGCGGTTTATTTTTTAGTCGTATATAATACAAGGCTATAATCATATATATGTAACACAATCCAGTCTGGAAAAACCTCACCTGCTGAAGACGCAAATATAAAAGGATGTCCTAGCCACCATCTTTCAATCATTGTCTTTAAAATTATTGATACAACCTTTTTATAATATACTACAATTAATCTTACGATTTACAAATAACGCCAGCGTTTTAAGTCTAATATTCTTCTATATACACTGTTATAAACTAACCGTAGTTGGATATATCCGGAGAACTCTATATATAGACTGGAACCATAACTCTGGGAGAGAATTGGAGCCACCATTTAGAATTTAGTTCTGACGCGAAATATTTCATATATAACCCAAACTTTGGGCTATATATAAAACTGAAGCGGTTGAAAACGGCTGTGGTGAGGTGTAAACATTTAGAACAACTAGCCTATTCTCTGCAGTTATCGCTCCAGTCTTCGTAGAGCTCAATGGATTTACCATGTTGATTTATACAAATTTGCTACAAAAAAGCTTTGTTGTAGGGTGAAATTTGGCAGGTGCAATTTGCAGTAAATAATATCCTTAATTTTCATGCCATAAATGTTGCTTTAAATATCAAATTCATTATGAATTGACTGTTAATTTTTCGCTCTCAATCTCAATTCATTGTGAACTGGTCACTATTATAATAATGGTATTGTTCTACTTTTGCCATCCCTCAGGATTTCTCCATAATGGTATTGTTCTACTTTTGCCATCCCTCAGGATTTCTCCTCGGCAAAGCACGTCGCTTCGACGTGTTTCGTAAGATACGACTTGAGCGCGAACGACCGATGACATCTCTCGCACTGATACTGCTTCAGAGGAGAGTGCGTTTGTTCATGAGCCCGCAGATTAGAGCGGTCAGCGAACGACTTATCACACTGCTGACATCGGAAGGGTCGTTCTCCAGTGTGCGATCGGATGTGACCTTGAAGTAGCCAAGGTCGACTGAAACGTTTTCCGCACACATTGCATTCGTGAGAACGTTTATGCGTTAGCACGTGCATAGATAACGCGGGCATCGACACGTAACGCTTGCCGCAATACGGACACGCTTTTGCTTGCTTGCTGTCCAAACTTCGATGGGTTTGTTTATGGCGGGAAAGATTTGAAGAAGTCGCGTAGCATCTTCCACACAGGGAACAGCTAAATGCATTGCTTCCTGTTTCATTTTCATTGGAAAATTCATCCGATCTTTCATCTTCAATCCTATTTGTATCTTGCGTTGTGTTATCAAATTGTAATTCCGACTTGATCGTTGTTGACGATTGATTTCGACTTGATTTCGACTCATCGTTTGAATTATTTTCCCCGCTGTTGCTTTTTTTATGGTGCGATTTGTTTCGAAGAATTTTCAACGAGCTCCGATTTCTCGGATTTTTACCAGTCTTCGATCTGAGCGTTCGTCTCTCGAAGGTCTGGCTCTCCACTGGACTCCTCTTGTGGTTTTTGCGGCCTTGTCGACGCTTTGTTTTTCCTGAGGCGGGGTCTGGTCGGCTTTCGGAACAATTGACACTATTAGAGCTTTCTCCGGCGTGGATAATAACATCAGAAGATGACTCTGTAGAAGGAACCAAACATGTTTTGGAAGCATCCACAGACTTGTTTTCATCGACGCCACTGAAAAATGCTGATCGTTCAGAGGTTGACACCGCCACATCATTGTAGCTAGCAACGGCATCACTCTCTGCACCTAGTTTCAAGTGTTCTTCTTTGTTGTGCTTGGATCCATTGGCTAGGAATGAAGCAAAAATGGTTGTTGATCAAAATTCACTATACAGTAAAACTTATCAGGACATTCTGCAAACCTTCCTATAGCTTTGGGGTCAGTGTTTGGTCTACTCAGTGCCTTAAAAGCTCATGCATAAAATTAAACAGGTGTCGGTTGATGTGGAAAATTATTAACAAATGGTCTGGCCTGTTTGCAACTCAGTTCAATGAACCCTCTTGGCCTTTGTAGATGAAGGCCTGATGAAGAAATTGACGGAATACGTCCTAAAATGAGAAATATTGCGCTAACGGGCATGACTGGCTAAAACTCTGACAGTTTATGTCGAAAATGTTTAACTCTGTTATAGATGTGATATATATTGATGTACCTTGTTGCCTTTTCTTGCTCTGAACTGAAGACGAGTTTGGAGTTTTGCCGTTAGTTTTCTTTATCAAAAACGACTTGGGCATAGCGTTCGGTTAACCGTTCATGATTCTGGTCAGTTTCTTCCCGAGAATACTTCCCGCGTCGCTGTGAACGTCTGCAGCGCGTATGCCTTATCTTCAATGGATATTGTAGTTATCGTATCCTAGAGCGGTTGTATAAGAGTCTGTTCTCCCTTCATTTAAACCCGAGTTTGCGACCGAACGATCTATATATTTCTGTCAGCGCGGCAAATATAAAGTTCCCTGTATGTTGAACAGTCCTATCCTGTAAACAATTCAGACCCGGCGATTACTTATCCAAACCAAACTGCCTTCTAAATACTGCATTTAAGGAACTGCCAACATCAACTTCACGGCACAATTTGAAGTTCTTCCATCACGCTTAAAGCTCTCTTCTCTGCCATAATTCCGTGTTGTTTTTATTCCGTTGTGTGTTTTTTTGGTTTTCAATATCCAAGGCAAAGCAGTAACTATTTTGCTGTGTGTGTTGTGGGCATAGTTGTTATTAGTTATGCAGGCCTGTGATACGCTGCCTTCTGATCTACGGAAATCCATTAGCAGAATGCTATTTCAAACTATTTATACATTCGACACGATAACGGATGTTTTTTTGCCTAGCAGGGGTGGGGATGGGGCGTAGCGACGCTGGACAATATCACACAGTTACCATGGTTTAGTTAAAGTATGTTTACCGTCTCTCGGCTCGTCCTGCGTGTGATGTGAGTTTTTGTTTTTTTAATCAACTGAAGAATATTCGATAGAACAGGATATAACACCGGTCATTCTCTCGATGTTAAAATTTACTCGCGGTAGAATTGTAGGCATTTGTTATCAAAGTTTGTGCACCTAGGCTCAAATGCAAAAAGAAAACGTGGACATTTTGGGCCGAATCGCTTTGAGTAGAAATGCTGTCCGTTTGGCGTTTCATCAAAAATGAAAATTAATTAATACACGCACCGTGGTCGACTGTATTCCATGGACAAACATGTCCGCTTTAATGCAATGTTATTTTTGCGTGAAAAAAAACTCTAACATCGTCATAAAGGCATCTTGAATTTTTCATAACTCGTTATTTGCTCATAGGCAATGATGAGGGCATTCAGTATCATGCATTCACTCATTCGCACTGATCACGGTTATGCGTGAACAATATATATACTACTTTTCACTACAACAAGCTGTACACTTAATTCTGAGTAGTGCAGACGCACAGCTAAAAAAATGCCGTCTGTCTTTACAAGCCTTTTTACACAGATGCGATTTAAGTGCTTTCCTGAACACATTTCTGTTATTTGAGTTGAAATATTGCTCTGAATAAATCCAATAAATCGTTCGAATGCCCCTGGGGCGAAGCGCCCTAATCTCAAACCTTAAAGCTTGTAGAGTTTTATTTTGAATACATCATGCAACATGTGGTCTCCGGGAAACGACCGCAGTGAAGAACTTCGCTAACACGACGTTCTATATTTTCGCATTTTTGAAAGCCGCATCAAGAAGAATGAATTTACGAGTCAGGATGGCGAACATCCTTGTTGCATGGGTTTCAAACCAATTCAAGAAAAAGCGCTAACAAAAAAAGTCACGGACCTGTCTACTTAAACGCGAAATTCCTGCCAAAATTCAGCGCGTCCCTTCAGTATGAATTAATAATGAGAAACTTAAATTAAAATTACATATCCTCTCGAAACGGTGCGACTAAAGTGTACAGAAAATATTGAATACATATAGTGTTGTTTTTTGACACCAAAGATGTATAAGACGCCAAAATGATTCGCTATACCAGATCATTTTGCCTTTACATATTTTTTGGCATTAAGAGGATGTCCAAGTGACAAACAATGACTTTGGGACCCCTCCCTGGCGCAGCTTGTGGCTCATATTGGCACAGACACCTGTTGGTAACATACGCAACGCGATTTTTGGTTATAATTTATTCAAAAAAAAATTTTCATGTTTTTAAAAGATTTCGGAGCTATGAGAGTTCGTACGCTTTCCTCTGCGCTATGAAATTCGCAAAGACTTAGAAATTCTCTGTATACATGACCGCGAAATAAACATCGGGTAGATTGTACAAAAGCATCCGAGATATGATTTAAAATTTAATGAAAAAACAACAAACTAAAGCACGTCTACACCCACGTTCTGTAGTCTGGAAGACGAAACCGTCTCATTATCTGTATGCGGTACGAAATGGGTACAAATCCAATCGTGCTGGATAAATTGTTGTCATGTATGCAAACCACAAATGGCACTTGCCAAAACGCTGAGTTTAAGGAGGTTAACGATCTACGAAATATAAATATGTTGCCTTTGATTGTTATTGCAATCTGATAATCGTGAGCAATTCTTCCTAAACGAGGTGAATTTGCGTCAGTTTTTCGCAAGAGTCGTACTCCACTGTACAAGGAATGACTGATTTTTGTAACAGACCTCAAAACAAGCGGCAGGCAATATTGATTCAGTGAACATGCACTTAATACTAAGTAGCGTTTTTCTCCAAAATGAAACAGTAGAAACTCAAAAGACATTAAGCTTTAGAAATGACTAGTACAAATCTTCCGGCTGGTCTGAGCCCTTACAAAAATCGCCTCCATGCAATCCAACGAATACTGTTGTTTGAGAAACGGTGCTTTTTCGAAAGAACCCAGCATAATCGTTGAATAAAATCATTACAGTCGACTATTGTCTCCACGGCAACATAGTTAACGCGGTATTTCGTATAAAAAAACGTGTCAAAATGCATCCTATTCACGGTCTAATTTTGCTTTGTGATTGTATCCATGCAACAGTCTTGATTGGCCGAGAGGTTCTCTCTGTCGTTCTGACGTCTTGATAGTTGGATAAGGGTCACGTTTAGGATGAAAAATAAGATTATATTCGTGCATTATGGACATGATATGGGTACCCAGCTGCGCATGTAGTTTGATCTGTTATATCCCAACAAACGTTGATGATCCTCGCTTATTACACGTGACTCACACTCGGGCTCCGAGGATTCAGTGATCATTACAATGCACGCGGTAATGCTTCTTCAATTCATCGTTGGTAATTTGACGTAATTAGTAATGATATTGCATGAAATATATCAGGGACTATTAGGTATAGTTTTTCATCCCAGATGTTTACTGTCCCAGGAGTTAATAAACAGTGTCAGGGGATGAAAATATTTAATTGAATTTTAATTGTACAAAGAAACGGAATGACAGCGCATCAAGAAGAAGAGGAAATACAGCTTCTTGTATGACTCGATTTTGACTTATTATATTTACAGAACATAAAGTTTTTCACAATCGTAAGCGATAGTCCTAGCTTAAATTTAGCTTTCACGAAGCCAGTCACGAAGCTCTTGTTTCTGAATTTTCATCAAATTCTTTCTGGCAATCTCGACTCTTGAGGTAGACACATATTTGTTGAGTCGCAAACACGATCTACAGTGTCTTTGCAGAATGTTCAAAATCAAAATCGATCCACCAACGACAGAATCCTTCTTTTTTCTAATTCTTCGCGATCTTTGCCTTTCTCGTCGCCAAAACTCGCCGCATATTCTGGCGAGAAAATAAAAACGTGGAAAAATAGCTCAGTTCCAAGCGTCACAAACAAAGTAACTATAGTCTAACCGTTGTAATACCTCGTAAAACGGAACGAATGTCCTTCACACTTCCACCTTGTTGGTTCAGAAGAGTTTGAACACGGGTTTTAATCTGAAAGAAAATACAAAAATCTTCAAAAGAATTCGTTCATTTTGGCGGCAAATTTGAGATGAGCTGATTCGATGATTACCGAAGCAGTTCCCGAGCTGCAACACTCGACCACAGCACAATCGATTAGTTGAAGAGAGAAAAGGCCTGCGTCCAATCTTCGTAGGTAAAAATCTTCCTCCGTTGCTTCGTCTAACTCTTCACCCTCCCTGATCATCGCCTAGAAACCCGAGACGATAATCACAGACAAGTTACGAAGGCACTAAATCACAGGTTTCTCAAGGTATAAATGGGTTATGGTTTACGAGTGTGAGATACTGTATAAGACTCTTACATTCTTTTGTTTCTCGATCTGATTATCGCATTCCTGAACTCTCTCGAAATATTTAAAATGCAACTCGATGAGACGGTCCACCTTAAAATGATAAAAAACCTGTATGCACCACTGCACTTACAAAATAACCTGGATGGCGTGATATGTCTATATACTAAACTAATATACAGAGGTTAATGAGGACTGACAAAACATTCACATTTTCCTCACTTTAATATGATCGTTTTCAACGAATTTTTGAACCAATCTTGATCGTTGGTTTCCAGTCAAGTTTCGAAACAGCGACGCCAAAATGGAGAGCACGTGTTCTGCCGAAACAAAAAGACGGTTAAGAGCGTCCCACCAAAATCTAAGTCTGGCAATTTTAAGCGGGAAATCTTTCGACGCTTTCAAAAACGAAAGATATAAAACACACCTTCGTATTCGCCCTCTTTTGAGCTGATTTTTTTGTTGCTTTTTGGCGGCTATGGTGAACACAGAGAAGATACGGATAAGCAAGGTTGTTGATAAGAAAAAAAACAGGATAACTTTTGTGATTCTTCAAATAACCTTCATAAATAAAGAGAACAAGCTTCTCAGACCGAGGACATCGATAAATTTCGTGCAGTTGTCTGCTCCTTCAACGCCCTGCATCGCATAGTCCAGAACCTTCAGCGCACTGCGGCGAGATAATTTCTTCTCTCTATAAGATTAGAAATGGAAATACGTTTTATGTTTTAACCATTCATTTGTAAACACGAAGTTTCAGCCGCTTATGAAAATAGATTTCGTCACTGGTGTTTGAAAGCCTTTATAATGAGTATAAACCCGTGTTTGGGGACTCGAAAAACTTGTGGTATTCAGAAAGATGGAATTAAATTGAATCAAGAAATGTCAGTCAATCTGTTTTCCGCGAGAAAATTTTCCGGTAACTTCCAAAGCCAAGTCAACCGAAATGACTTCATTTCTGAGAAAAACACATTTTCCTGGCGCCAACCTCAACATCAGTATCATAAGTTGCAATCCTTGTCCTTTCAAGAATCGTTCTCGGTTGGGAACGGCCATCAATGAACTACACAAGCAGTTGAACAAGTTCTCCATATATTCAATTTCATTGGCCGTTTCCGGATCACGTGGCTTGTATGCCTGGGAAGACAAAAGTCAGGTTAACATCCTGGAAGATGGAAAAGAGGAGTTGTTCTTATATTGGTCCAATGTATTGGTCAGACTACCCACCGAGAGACATTGTAATAGTACGTCAATCCCATTCACAGCACCAAGAAGCTGACGGTTTTCTAAAAGAAACCACGAGTTTTAACACATCGCAAAGCTATGTCTATCAAAGAGGCGGATTTGTTCATGAAAATTTATGTTTATCGGACATATGTACCTTGTGTATTTTGCAATAATATCGACAAAATCTCACTGCAATATAACTTGTTTGCATCATACACTGGTGTTTTCTGCAATTATATCAGGAAATATACAAAATTATAAGACTCGTTTTCAGTCGATTTCGATTTCATATTTTCAGCTGTACCCTGAGTCTTTTCAGTAACCATGCGATGAGGCCCTGCTCCCCAGCAGCGATACAGATCTCCGGTTTCAGCTCGGTAATATTTTCCACGGTTCCTAAAGTAGGAAAATTCAACTTTGTTTAAAAACGCAATTGCAGTGTACTCGAGGAACCAGAATCTATGAAGGATTCTCGTGTGTTTTGTGGAAACAGTGTACTCAGGAAAACAGAGTCTATGAGGATTCTCGTGTGTCGTGTGGAAACAGTGTACTCAGGAAAACAGAATCTATAACGAATCCTCGTGTGTCGAGGGAACTCAAATCAAACAGTAGTTTGCAGTGAAGTATTTTCGTATTTCTACCTAGCGTATTGTGAACGCCATCTGCTTCTTCTTTGACGTTTTCATCCAAGCGTTCCAAGTTTTGGACTAACTGAGCCATAATCTGACACTCAAGCTGTAAATAAAACAACAACAATTTCACTTCGTCTGGCAAGCTGGGAGGCAAAAGCCACGAGATTTTCAAACATACCAACGCATCCAGTAGAACCTCAGTTCCATCTTCACTCTCGTTGAGGATATCTACATCTGTTAGTTCCATTAACAACTCCACTATGCTGATTGAAATATCTGACATTTGGTCAAGTTTTTATGTTTCCTCCATCTGGTTTCAAAACACATTTCTGCCTATCTTAAACTTTTCTTAATCGAAGTTTACTTGGCTATCTCAAGGAATATATTTTACGAAGATAAATGTTTGCAAGGATACCAGAGTTTTCATGACTTAAAAGCCCAACTATTGTCGGTATTGCATTTTGCTGAACAAGTATGCTGTAGAGCTCAGGGGCTGTTGCAATGACATGAAGTTTTTGAATTTCATCATGGACATCCAACTCGGATTCTAGGAACCTGAGACAAGGCAATTGTACAGACAAAGGTATACATATCAAACATGACTGTACATATATATAAGGGTACAGATCTCTGATTTTAAAAAAAAATTCTAAATTCAAAGAAAGCTTGATGGATGGATCATGCATACTTCTCAGGATTATCTGAATATTTGATTCTCATTTCCTGATTCTTCTTCACTTTTTTATCAAAAGAGACCAACATCTTTTTCAAAGTGCTGGAGTCTAAAGCTTCAACCTAAGTATCATACAGGGACAAATATCTTATTAAATAAAATGTTGAGCATCACACATACAGTGGGTGGAAAATTTAGACTTATTTTCCCAACGATAACTGTACCTCGGGTTCAGTTTCAGCTACCATCTTTAAAATCTGTTCCCGCTCTTCTTCGGTGATTTCAGGAGCTTCTTTTAGAGACACGGCAGGCCTTTTCACTGCTGAGCTTTCTCCAGGAATGCTCATCACATCCCTCTGTCGCTTACGACTTCTACCGCCACTCTGTTCATGCAGCAAATTAAATTTTCTAGCAAAGACTCATGGAAGCAAAGACTCATGGAAATGTCTCATAGAAAGGTTGTATTGTATCCAATTTCATGTGGTTTATAATTTCATAGTATAATACTAAAGTCTAAATGTTGAAAATATCATGAAGGTAGGTCAAAAGTAGTGAGTCTGAGTATTTGTAATCACTTAGACACTTAGTCCGTGCTTTAACTACTCACAAACAATGACGATTTCAATGTAATATAGTTGATCGCAAATTACATGTTGTGTTTATAAATAACTATACTGTTCAGTATACATTTGACGGGAAATTCACCTCGTATCCAGGACGGTTGTCTCTTTCTCTCCTATATTCCATCATTTGTGATCAATATCCTTAAAATATCGTTTATATAACCGATCTCTATTCACGAAAAACCTTTATTTTACTTCCAAAAATCCGTCCACTCCTTGGCAAAGATTGATTTCAAAGATTCGCGAAGTCAAAATACCGTGGAATACTTCAAATAACACAAAACATAAAGGTTCGTAGTGCCCACGCTCCGCCGTCAACGATGTAAACAATATTTTCAAACAAAAATATTTTTGAAAGATGTAGTCAAAAGTTCCGTTTGTTTTTGTTGTTTTTAAATTGATCTCATTAAAATATGTCTCATTTTGGCAAGCCAGCTTCCTTTGAGAATCATAGGAGAAGTAAGTGATGTTTTTGTGATTTTATTTGGTTGAAAATAGCTGAGAGAAAGTCGTTTCGAGTAACTAAAGCGTCTGTTGCTTTGCAACAAAGTGGTTTAGTACTTGAGAACTCACACATGTGTGTCTGTGTTTTTGTCCTCTTTTAGCTGCGGCGTTTACGTTTAAAAAGAGATCTGAAAGGGTGGATTGGCGAAAGCTAGGTAGGAAAAGTACGAATTCATTGTACATTCGTACGACACTCGAATGTGACTGATTTTAAGAGCTGAATTCCTTTAGAGAGAGACTCCCCTCTAATCTTACTAAGGAATGCTTGAAATTCGTGGCCGTGAAAGTGCTTAAATTCCAACTCTCTGAGATCTACGAACCCTGTTAATACCAATTTGATCTGATATATGAATTTCGTGCTGAACGTTCAATTATTGACCCTCTTTGTCTTCAACTCAATATTACACGTAACCAGTTGACAAAGTTCTAATAAGTTTTAAATGCACAGGGTAGTTCACGTCACGTTAAGTGATTATTTATCGTAGTATAATTTTGAGAATGAAATGCGAGACCTAGCTATGAAACATAGATCTTGCTGGTCTTTTAGCTGCAGTTGATGTTAACAGAATCGCAAGGGAACTTGATTTCAAAAGTTTGCAGGAGAACATCATGAATATTACTTTTTGCAACATTGAGGCTGAAATGGTAATTGCAATTGCAATAAATGTACACATATATACAATTATTTATGTGGGTATAACTGATTTGTTCACCATATTTATGAAGTATTTATTAACATGTGGTTTCATATCATTTCCAACAGGACTCGCACCTTGTTGATCCAAATTTTGTAAAGTTATTTCAACTGTCACAGCTCATTATAGAGTATTTGATGGTGAGAAACAATTAAATAAATCAACAGAGGAATTCTTCCTTCAAAAGCTAGTCTATGCGGCCATGTATGAACTTCTCTTTTTCTACCACAGCATTCACAGCAGTTTCTTCAGTTCAAGATCAATGAGATGGAAGCCACTTTGAAGGATAATGAACAGGTCTGCTAGGATAGATTCTTCCGAGCTGTTTCACACTAAGAATTAAAACAAATTTCAAATTTGCATTTCTAAGGGTCTTGAGAAGAAATCAAAAGAGTTGGAAGAGAAACAAAACTCTGTGAATCATCTGAAGAAGGAAAATCGTAAGGCTCGTAAAATGCTTGCAGAATATCAGCTGATGATGAGAACAGGAGCTAGTGGGATGCACAAGGTTTGCATGGGATGTTGAAGGATCATTGGTGATTCAACCTAATTAACCCTAAGAAGTCTCTCTTAGCATTCTTCAATGGATAGCTAGGCCAACTGCAGTCTTCTCTTTAGGTCTGCTCGTACAATCCAATTTTCTCAACTAAAATTCACTTCTGATGTATGAATTAATGTAGTCTGTTATTAATAAAACAGTACTGCATTGGCTGAAGTTGATTTGCTGCCCATATACATTGCAAGTCAACAGACTATAACGCATCCATCAGAAGTGAATTGTATCTGACAAAATTGGATCATGTGAACAGACCTTTAGGATCACTTTGTAAAGTATTTCATCAGAGATCTTGTATGAAAACTGTTGTCTATTTTTCCTAGTGTCCTTTTTGTCCAAAAGTGTTTGTGAGCAACGATTATTTACTGGCTCATCTCCAACGTCGTCATCCTGAACAGAACTCTCAAATGACGAATGGTTTTGCAAGACAAACCACGAAGGAATCACGTCCTTTACAAGACAGCAACACGGCTATCAATGGAGAGTTATTACAAGAGTTGAGCGAGATAAAGGAGAGATTAGCTTCGACTGAACGACAGCTCAAACAAGAGAGAAATGAACAACAACGCATCGAGGTTCACCTTTTTGTATTATCTCTCTTGCGTGTGATGAAAATCAATCTATTTCTTAAGAAATCACGATTCTCACGCGAGTATTACTTCATCGCAGTTATTTTTGTTGTATCTAGAAAGAGGACAAAGAAATGCACAAAATAAAAGAACTTGAAGACAGATACACGCAGTGGAAGGAAGATGAACAACAGCGACAAACGGTAGAGGAATTTTGCCCAATTTTCGCCTCAGGTCTTTCAGTATTTTGGCGCAATTAAATGCCTGAATGTGCTCCTAAAATAATCAAATCCCACCTCTGTTGTTTTTAGCATGAAATGAGAGAGTTCAAAGATTCCGTTATGCTCGAATTGAGACAAGTTCATGATGAAAAAAACGCTTTGGAACAGGTTTGAAAACTCTAAGTTTCACCCATGTTAATTGCACTTCAAAAGCCCGATGTAAGTGGTAGAGTGTTTGATAGATTATACAAGTTGTGTCGAGTAATTGATCAAAGTGTATCCTTGTTTCAGAAAATTGTTGATCTTCAGCAAAGATCAGGTATAGTAGCTTTCTGTTTGAACACCTCATCGACCATTTTATTGATAAGTTTTAACCAACGATCGCTATTTCTTTAGAGAGGAAATCTTTAATACGTGGAATTCAGGTTCGTCCTTCATCATGACTTTATGGCGCCCTATTACTGTTGTGTATAGCTCATGTCTTGAGTTTACAGGATGTCATTTTTCGGAGTATGCTTTTTCTTGTATTTCATCATTCTTTCTTCTTTGTACTTTCAGGACGAAGACGAGACCGATGCTCCTTCAAGCAAACAACAAAGGCAGGATATGGAAGTCATTCGAAGGGAACTTCATCAAGAGGTACAGTACTCGCTGGCATATAAGGCTAGAAATAAATATATATTTAATAGAATTCAATAATTTTAAGAGAACTGTAACTGATGAGTTTCATCTTGGCACATTCGAAATTGCCTTTTTACATCTGATTACTGCAAAATCAATCAAACTTTGATCAAAGTATTTTGCTTCGTTGATTGTTCTAAGATATTTCGATTGTTATTTGATATCGGTCCAATGAAGGACCAAAAAAAATTGCACAGCCGGCCATATTTCAGGCCGTCTGGCGGGGTATTGGTATAAGTTTTCAATCAGCAATAATCGCGCCTCAGATGAACTTCATCAGCTACGATAATGCCACTGCGCAAAGCTAACAAAACTAACGTGAAATCGGTACTTAAACGACAAGCGTCATCGCAACGCGTGTGGGACACACGTGGGCGCTAATTACCATGCATGCGCGCGCATGCATATCAAATTTCGAATCCATTTATCGTCAATGAAGGCCAATCCTGGTGATTTGTCGTGATTTTTCGATTGTACGCTTCAGGTAAACAGCATCCAAACGCACGCTGAGGAAGAAATGAAAAAAATGTCGGAGAAATGGAGAAAAAAAGAAAATAAGATGAAGAAGGAAAACGATGCGGAAAAGCAAAAAGTAAAACCCGGTTTTCACCTTTTTGAAGTCTCTCAGATCACAGTTGAAATTTACCGCTGGTTATTGCTAGATACTAAAGAATATTTTAACAAATACTAAGAGGGATAACTCTGCGTTAATCTCTGTTCTATTTCCCTCAAATAGCCCCAGTGATTTCTGCAAAACATACCAGTTAAAACAAGCGAAAATTTCAGCACAAATGCAGAGATTTTTACAGCGTAATAGGGCTGGTTTTCAGTTAGCCGTAATTGTCGTGAACACTTGCCATCTTCACCGATGTGAAATAGTCCGATGGCAAATTTGTCTTTATGTTCTCTGTATGTTAATTGCCATCGTTGACTGCATACACATAGCTATATTCTAATACATCAACCACCTTCACATGCATGGTGTGAGACAATCACGACTAAATGAGAACCAGGCTGAAATCAGATCTACGAATAGCTTAAAATTATCGAGCCGTGCGGTCGCCGTGCGGTCGCCGTGCGGTCGCCGTGCGGTCGCCGTGCAATCGCCGTGCAGTCGCCGTGCGATCGCCGTGCGGTCGCCGTGCGATCGCCGTGAGGCCGCCGTGCGGTGTGTGCAAAACTTGTTCACCTCTCAACGAGAACTTTGCTGTTCTTTAACAGTACGAGTCTATGTACCGACAGTTTAACGAGGCTCTTGAAGCAGAGAGGATTGAAAAACAGAAAATGATCGTTGGTTTTGAGGAACAAATGAATGAAATGAACAAGGTGCAGTATTGACTGCATGATGTCAAAAATACTGCCATTATTCTACGGTTTTAACACATTGTTCTCGTATTGTAGAAAATTGCCGAGCGTGAAAGATTGTCCGAAGTACCGAAAGTAAGTGTCTTTGAAACCTTTTCAAATACTCAGATTGTATGACTTATGTCAATTTCTTGTGTGTATTTTAAGGGCAGACCGCCACTGGCTCCAAATACCGCAGATCAAGTTGGTAAGTGAACTGTCGTATGTCTTGGAATATCTATAAGAAAATCTATACGAACCAAGTAACGGTGCACCCAAATAACATAAGTGGAATGTTTCAACAACGGAATTATGATACTTTTTTAGGTACAATCAATCGAGAGTCTCAGAGACCAACGTCGCGTCAAGAGGAACCTCAAGAAAGTTAGTTTTGTTCTATGATGTGATATGGCGGTGTTTTAATAAGGAGGGTGGATGATTAGTCGACGGGGGGGGGGGACAAAATCTAGCAATGGAAAGCATAGAAATCCTTCATATTTTGAACATTTTGTGCTGCGTTTTAGAATTAAGAGTATGAATCATTATTCATCCGCTATATTTCTTTCTAGATGACACCATTACACTGTATGTTGCTTTCAATGGCACCAACTATCAGCTTCGTAGAAATTCGTCATCTTCGTCTCGCGATTGGTCAGATCAGTTTTCATTCGACGCCTATTTGCAGGCAAACGAATCCTTCGAGTATCCCATCTACGTCTTCTCGGCAGGCGGGTCGCCGTATTGGCGGCAGTACATTTCGACCAACCCCTCCCCTCCTAGTTCCGAGTATCGTACCGACTACATGTTCTATGTCTCGTCCGCACCGCTGGCAAGAACGATTGCGTGCTACGTCCAGGAGAGCGGCAGCATTCCAGTCATCAAGTCGTGCATATCTAAGAGCGCAAAGCTAACTGGATGGAGGAGCACAGGAATCATTTTTTATGCTTGGAAATCTACAAGACCTGGCAGCCCAACAAAACGTGAGCAAAATCCTTTGAATCACGTGTATGTTCAACCGGATTTTCACTGGCGCATAAACAGTTTATCTTAAATCAAGTTCATCTCTTGTATTTTAGCTCTAAACAGATCAGGAACATTCATGTCTGACACAGGAACCGAAGGAGATGATGGCTCAGAATCAGGTGACTCTTAGAGGCTGTTTTGATTCATCGTATCCTTCTTTTGATGTATGTGGTTTACTGGATTTGTAAGCACAAATACTGTAATCGGCCCACGACATGTATAGTCGTTGCCGTACTGTGTGACATCACATACATCAAAAGGAGAATCGGTGATGTCGATCGATGACTCATGAACGAACTTTTTCTCGCGATATATTTCAGACGATGTTTCTGTGTCCAGTTTAAACACTGCAACAGAGAGCGCAAAGAAGAATTTGGCGGAGGCGATACAAATGTAAGAATCTAATCGTTTTGTCTTGCTCTTTTGTTGAAAATGACCTTTTTATTGACGAAACATCTTTCAATGTAGAAATCGTTCAAAAGTCGAGGAACTCCAGCAGCAGCGAGCACTTCCTCCGCCACCAGCTCCGGCGGAAGATTCGCGAGATTCTGAGTACGTGATTCTGGTTTGAGTGTCTCCGCAAAACAAACATGGAGGGAGGAGAGGGAGAGGCGGATTGAGGGAGGGTGGGATGGGGATTTTGAAGGAATGGAATGAACGGGGATGGAGTTAGAAAGATAGGGACTTATTTTCTTGTGTCGGAAGTAGGGAAGGTATGATGAAGGAAGGTCAAGGAGAGAATTGGGATCAAAGGAAGTAATGATGGGGGAAAAGGAGGTAGAAAAGGAATGAATAGGGATCAGGATGAAGTGAATCCTGAAGAAAGGATGAAGTAAATCCTTTTGTGATCAATTTTTCTTCTTTACCCAACATTTTATATTTGTTTCCATAGGAGCGAGGAAAACGAATCAGAAGAAGATTTGGTAAGCACGAGCATCCATGATACCAGAATATGCAACTAGACATCTGCATAATTATCCTACCTTGTCATGTTACTATAGGGAACAACACTAGAAACTGGCACCTTTAGGCCGTTTGAGAAATTCCCTGAAGTTACAAGTGAGTAGTTTGTGGTTCATTCACTGCTTGAAAAGATTCACCATCAGTTACGATATTCGAGTTTGATGCAAGGCCAAACTGAGTGATAATTTGTATTTTGGAACTTCATCTATTTCTGTGGTAGCGCGATACAACCACAGACAAGACACGTTAGAAGAATGCAAAGAAGAAGTGCGAGAAATTTTTGAACAAAGCTTGGCTAAGCGAGGAATTCAGCCGGTAATACATCCATAAGACGATTGAAATTCTTCTTTGCTCGTCCCAAGAAATTGAAGAATGTATACATTCAGATACAATAATTCAATTTCGTGTGCTTTCAAGGAAAGTAAACGTCTTTCAAGCAAACAGCTGGAGTCGAGGATGGAGTCGTTGAGATCTGAACAAGAAGGACGAGCTAAGGTATCTTCGCCAGCGTTTAACGAATCTCTTCTGTACCCGAGAAGATATGAAATAAGGAGAGCGTATTTTGTTTGAATATGGTTTATTTTGGTGAATTTGAACGAGTTGTGATTTATTTTTTGTGCAAGATTTGGTTCTTATGATTTTGTGCTCATCTACAAAAATTCATTAGAATTTCTGTGCGAGGACAAGGTCATAAGAGCCAATTTTTTGTGAGTATGGATAAATGACATGTCAAGTTGCCCTGTTCCCGCTTCGATTGACATCGTTTGAGATCACCTTTCTTGAAAAGAAAGTCCACATCAGAGGCCAGAAACATCATCTGTTTTCTTTCAGAAATTCAAGAATTTCAAGGAAATAAGAAAACGAAAAGCGGAAGAGGTCGACGTCATGGCAAGAGGAATGTTAAATTCAAAGAGACCGGCGAGGCTTGGGGACGAGCCGCGAGGTATTACTAGGTCCTGGGACTGGCAGTCACGTGAGCATATTTTAAAATGATCAACTGTTCGTTATAGTGAGTTCTTCTCAGCGTACAATCCCGTTAAAGCCGTCATTGAAGTCAGCGGCAAGTGCGATCACCGCAGCCAGAGGCTTTGCATCACGGGATGCAAGTTCAAGGAGTAGGCCTGCAGAGCCTGCCTCAGCGAGGTATTTCATTCCTTAATATCTAACGGTGGGACTTTGGATGACTTTTGCAATAAAGCCTGATGATCTTTTTGAATAGTCAGACAACATGCAGATCTCAAAATGACCCATTTCTCCCTTTATGTGCTAGTGACTGTGTGTTGTATGAAATAAATCGAGCCACTCTTCTTTTCTTGAAAATATCCCGTCATATAATTTATATTTAGGCCACCAAGTGATGGCAACCGCAGTCCAGTGAAACCCGGAGGCTCGTTCAGTGCAACGTCAGAGAGTTTCTCAGAGGAAAGCAAACTGGGAGCTAGTAATGAGAGGAGAGAACTGACTGATGAAGGTTCAGATGAGGATACTGATTGGGATTCAGCGTTGAGGTGAGATGTTCATCCACAAAATAGATTTACTCGGGCATATTTTAAGGTTATATTAAACCATGTCTTGAGAGCTTCGAGTTGTTTTTTTTGGGGGGGGGGGTTAGAATTGATCTATACAAATCATCCAAACATAGCTCTTCTTGCACTAACCAAACAGCTTGAACTTTACAATATGTTGTTGCGTTTATCGAGAATGAGTTACAATGCAAAGAGTTCCAGCGCCGCCTGCTTAATCAAATACTTTTCTTTTTAATATTTCTAGTGGAGATGAATCTCCAAGCAGACAAATGGTTCCTAAAGTTTCTGTCCATGTTCCTACGCAAAGATCCCAGGTTTCCCGGGTAAGCTTGGTGAAGCCCCCTGAAACGTGCCACGTCGTCTGAATGTTTGTTTGTGAATGAAAGATGCTGAAATTTTATGTTCTATAACAAACAGGTGCAAGAGCTCGCGTCTAGTTTGGAGGAAAGTTTAGAAAGAACAGCAGAGAACAAGAAACCAGCTGGTGCTGTGGCTTTGATTCACTCAACTCCGAATACTGGAGCTAAAACACAATCGAAAATTGAAGTATGTTTTTAACATCGTAAATACACCTCCTGTGTATGTTTCAGGAATTGAAGCTCAGCTGTGATATTCGCCCGTCACATCCTTGCACCGTTGAACCGTTTATGTTTTGTTCTTCATCACAGGACTTTGATGACGACAGTGATTTCCTGTCCAGCTCCCCTGAACCAGACAGCAACATTCAAAAACAAACGCAAGGGTATGAATGATGATGATGTTTTCATGATGACCAATTTTGTTTATACCAGATAGTTTTCGTGAACTTTGTGCCTTTGTGAAACATAAAGCAGTATCTGAGATCAAGTACGCCAATTGCTTTGTAAATCAGAAGCTAAAATGTTCTCGTTCTTGTAGAAACTTAAAGAAACAATCACATTTGCCAGGTTAGTGGATATTATGACTCGAATATGTAACCACGAATAACTCTTAAGATGAGCTTGACCCTGAGCTTTAAACGTAGAAAGTATTAAAATTGTATTTTGCACTTATATTCCTCCACAGACAATATTAACCTGATTGCAGTTCACCATTAGGCGCTCAGTTTGACCTGCCATTTAAAGGCAATCTTGCCGTTCTTATTTTCTAAAACTTGAGTGTCTTCTTTCCAGGAACTGGCACTAGTGCGGGCAAACCTGCTGTTGAGCCGTCACCCAAGAAAGGCGTCAAGTTCAAAATGGACAACTTCAGTGACTTCGACGAGAGTGACTTGGACATTGAAAATTTATCGTAGAGAACAGGGATCGTATGTTTTTAGCAATGTACATACTGTGTTATATGTTGTAGGTAATGTGAGAAATTCGTTCTGGATCTGTTCGTAAATGTGTAAATTCCTAAGCTTACGGCTTTAAAACAGGTTAGCTAACTTCATGCGGGCAAGTGTAACATGTTTTTGCCTAATGCCACACAAAAATGGCGGAAAAATACCGCGAGAAAATAATTTTATTTTGCGGATCATTACAACTGACCAGTCCATCCATAGTTGTCGACTCACAACCGAAATTACATGACGTTGTAAGCAAGTGTGATGACGCAATGCGATAGGCGCGCGATATGTTAATGAGATGACGTAACAGTGGAAAGACGACCGTTGCAATTAGCACAATGGCAGCCGAGAAAGGCATGAATAGATCTTGTTATGGCGTACAAGAATATAGTCCTGAAGCGATTAAGGAACAATGGCGAGAGTTTATGAGGGTACTGTACACTTTTACAACATACTTTCAATGATTCAAGTAGAAATATAAGCAGCAGATTGTGGTCTGTCATTGTAGTTTGTGGTCCTTCATCAATCGTAAATTATGGTGATTGATCGATGATGGTAATTCTGACTAATTCATTATTGATCATGGTGCATGGTGATTGTTATTGGTCATTGATTGTAACCAAAATCAAGAATGCTGAAAGTGATTTTATAGCCAAGATCTCTCAAAAAACTCATTACATTTATGACTTTTCAACAGAGAGAATGTGTTAAGAAGTGTAATCTTGCGTATTACAAACTGGACGTTCAAAAGAAACGCACCAATGCCGAGGACTCCTCAAAAAGCTTAACTTATTTCAACAACAACAAAAAGGTCAGTTCCTTGTTTCCTGTCATAGTGAGTTAAGATTCACCAAATCTACGACGCGGGCGTGACATGAAAACAGCCGCAGTGTTAGAAAACCAGTATTAATTTGTTTTACACACGGCTCTGACTTTGTCTAAAAAGGAGTGTTTATAATTTCTATCCCTGTTGGGAAACTGTGAAAATTAGAGCAGTATTACCTCATCACGTCCGCGTCGTAGATTTAGTGCATCTTAAACTCGCTAATATCCTCATTGAACGACTTTCCAACTGAGGTTCGTTTATTTTCGGTCTCTTTAGAACGACACAAAGTCAACATACGACAGAACGTTTCACATCCAGCATGGGTACTGTAGCAGGATACACAGGGATGACAGGGAACACACGCAGGGCCTTGACGTACACGCCGAGGAACAAAGTAAGGCAGTCCCAATTCTTTCATCCTCCGTTTACGGCCATCGACCTCCCCTGGAAGTTCCATCACGTCAGCATGTTCGAGTAGGACAGGTGAAGAGAGATTTCTACCGACATTGTGGAGCGACGATCCCGAACGAAGAATCGGTACTTAAAGTACAAGCCAGAAAATAAGTTGCTTCAATAAATTTTTCAGCAAATTGAATACCATAGTTTTTATTGGCGAAATCTTCTAGTTTTAGTCGGATTTAGTGCAGTTAAATCCAATCCAACTATAAACTATGAAATATAGGGCGATTTCGGTTTAACAGATGGTTTGCAAATATGTGTAACTTGTCCTTTTGCGTCTGGTTTCATTGCAGTAATCATATCCAACGATCTTCATTGTCAGTGGTCCTTGAAGCATAAAATGCTTTGTCTTCATTGTCCTTTTAGACAATAGATTACAGAGCATCGGAATTATGATGCTGCAAACTACGTTCAAATTAAGCCAGTTTGTCGGTTCAACTGTTTGGGTAAAGATTTAGTTTGATCGCGAAACGAAAGAGCAGCGATTTTCTGCCGGTTAATTCACACTTTGTTTGGAAGAAACGTTTTCAAAAGTGGAGTATATTTGTTGGAAACCGTTTTGGAGGAATAACAGGGATGTTTTAGTAGAGAATTTGCCGAGTGTAATGGTGGACATGAGGACACATGTTGGTAAGACAAACTTATTCATTTCATGTATCTTGCTTTTGATCTATGACTCACGGCTGTCTAAATTGTACATTCTGTCAAAAAACTTGTTCCAGTGTCAGTAAGATGTGATATACCATGTTTGAGTCTAAAATTATACCAAGATTTCAAAATATAAGATTTTGAAATAGTGCATGAAGGCTTGCCCCACTGAGCTATATATATAGCGAAGTTGTGTCTAACCAGGCCAGGGAACTGTGATGAGCCCGCTAGTGGAAATGACCGGAGGCCGGCGGTGGTACCTGGTGGATAATTTTATCCATCATTCGAACAACCTGTCTAGTTCATGATATACAAACATAGGCACGTCATAAAGAGAATAATTCGATAATTTATTACGTTATTAAATAATTACATTTTTGTGTATTAGTATATATTTTTTACCAAAAATTATACTTGAATCTTATGATTTCCTTTCATTCATAATTTAACAAAACACACTCCTCGGATTTCGGCGTAAAGCGTCGTGAAAAATGCACCCGAAGTCCGTAAATCACTATTCTTGTTCTTCGGCTACTTTCTTCCTTCGTTGACACTTTGGACAGTCGTCTGGTTTGAAACAAACCCTGGATAGAAAATATATTGAAATACAAACTTTGAACCATATCACAGTTTGAAAATGTACCTGTTAATAACATACGTTGAAGCCTGACTATTCGTGCTGACATTCCTGGAGGGTTGTGGGGGGGAGGCTGGGGGCTGGTTCATGCTATGTTATACTTACTTGTGAAACACCGCTGAACAATTGGTGCACTTGACTGCGTGTGGATCAAAAGCGAAAATGATATCGCTAGAGTCTTGACACATTTCACAAATAAATCCTCTAGCACGACACAACTATAGGTGGGAAAATAGACATCATTATAGACATTTCTCCGAGATGATATATTTAGAAATGGATCTCTCATTCCGCAATTATGTCGGTTATTCGACTTACCTCGCAGTCCGCTTTTATATGAGCCAGAAACAGCGAATGCACCTTGCTGACCTCTGGTAACAGTACGTCGTTATTGAGGTCGAGTAGATCTTGAAATGAATACGTATGTGCGCTGTCCACGAAATGCTGTCGTTTTTGAAGCTGCAAGGAATAAAGGGAATGTACGTTTGTCGCATCTTCTTAAGTACAGATCTTTCTCACAAATGAGTCATAATGACATCAAAGGCGGAAAGCCTGACGTCACACGAAGTGTGATTGGCTCCACAGAACTAACGAGCCAATCAAACTTGGTGTAACCCAGGCTTTCCGCGTTGGATCTCATCATCTACTGAAGGTGATTTTGTGTTTCTTCAAGACATTCTCGTATATTTTTAGGAAGATGAAGAGGTTACACTAGAATGAAGAAGAGCAGAGCGGAACACGAAAAGGTCAACAGTGTTTCTCTATAAAAGGTAAGCAAGAAATCAACACTACACCTGTATTAATAGTTTACTCTCAAGAGCTTCGCGACATGTCAGGAAATATTTCTTCATAATAAGAATGTCTTCTCGAAGTTTCTAAAAAGCAGTGATCATTTTCTTTCATTAAACGGCGTGCAGAGTGGCACGCTTGAGAGCAGTAATGAAAACCTGTTAACAGGCTATACACTGGTAGATATCTCCAGATATCCCCAGATATCTCCAGATATCCCTTACCCCAACTTCTCGTAACTCCTCCACATATCTGTACAACATTGGATTGATTTCCTGTATGTTTAATATCGGCCTGGCTTTCATCAATTCCAGTAACTGTTTAGTTTTCCGACACACCTGTGTATCATCAGAATAAAGCAATCCATAATTTAATTTATAACGCCTCACGTCTGCTGCTTGTGATGTAGCCTAGCAGCCGAGCTGGTGACCTCCGACAGCACTTACCTTGCGTTGTGAAAAGTCCCAGTTGCGTAAGACGCGAGCCGGGATCGTAACTTGGTCATTCCAATGACAGTTATCACAAAAATACTGGCCAGTATAATCGCATATTCTTCCCTCGGCTACCAATTTTTCTAAGCGCAAAATCCGAAATCAACATAGCTTCGCAATAATGGCTTAAAATCATGCCCCCTAAAGGATCGATTTCCAGGACTTACTTGAAAACGCAATCTCCTTCCTGCACTCGGCACAGCGGTACTGCTGGGCATCTAAACCAGTATCCGGACATATCTCCATGATATACGACACCGTTGATAACTAAAAATTCAAAATACTTTACAGCCTGTACGCTTCTTTGATAAGTGCAAGACAAGACAATGAACAACGATAAACTTAAAATTTGTCAAATCAAGATTGAATATTTCTATAGACTCGTAGTCCATGCTTTTTTATATAGTCTTGAACTGGTGAGATTTTTCATGCGAATATACAATTAATCCAAAAAGCGATTCTTACGTTCCTTTTGGGACAAGGTCTTTGAATATGTTCTAGACATTTTCTGTGGGAATAATAACCACAATCTGCATGGGGAATAAAAAATTAAAAAATAATAAAAATACTCATATAACGTGTCATTTATCTTTATATTAGACCATCCACATGAGAGCAAAAGGTTTCTTTGTTGAAGTATTATAATACCAACCATTACAAGTGTATAATGTTTGCCAAATGGTCCAGATGTTTTTCCCGCATTGGTCACAGAAGTACTTGGTACCTTCTTTCTTGCCTTCCTTCTTGCTAAACTGATGACTCAAGATCTTACGACACTGTGGATTCTCTTCTGGTGGACCTTCCTAAGGTAATTTATAGTGAAAAACCTATCAATTAGACTTGCTTCGCTAGAATTAAGCCACCCTCTCCATTTCAAAGTGTGCAGCGCAAAAGAAACGCGCTTTCCGTGACTGTGGTCTTTGCTAAACCTTAGTTAAAACTGCGAAACAAGGAATTTGTAGATTGGTCGAAATTTTTGGGATTACTAATGCCAACACACGTACGTTTTCTTGCTGTAGTCGTAAACGAAGTTTGACAAGTTTTTTAACCAAATCGTCGCGCTGCTGAGATTTATTTCTCCTCGTTTTAATCAACTTCTTGTAATGTTCGATGGCAATTTCTAGTTCTTCAGTCGTTGTTAAACCAGCAAAATTCTACAAGATAGTTTAGTAATCACATTTAAAATTTAGCCAACAAGTACATATTCTATCTACCTAATACACATACTTCTGGGCCACCTAGGATTTGGCTGATATTATACACGTTAACATATAAGCAGGGAGCAACGTGGCAGCGTCTTCAAATAGTTAGTACTAACTCTCCTGACGAAGGCCCTCAGGTCGAAACGTCGGGAAGTGTTTTAGACAGTTGTTATACCACATTTGACGCTAAGTCACACCTTAACATCGTTTCTAAATTCTTGAAGGAGGGACCTTAACTTACATCAGGCTTTGAGAAGTGTTCCTCTTCCACATTCAACAAATCTTCAAAGAGGTCCCATTCGTTGGAGAGATCGCTGAAAGATCTGCTGTTATCATCCGTGCTTGAATGCTGTGATGTCAGCGAGTCAGTGTAGTGAGATGATTCAAACAATGGGAAACCATTCTCGTCGAACGAGACGGAGCTGTCTGCTGCGCTCTTCTTCTCGAAAGATGAGGTGAACGATTTCGAAGACATTCTATGAATTCCCGGAATGAAATTGAGGTCCCTGTCGTCGTCTGTGAGATCGCTGAGAGCTGAAGATGATCCGTAAGAGGAAGAAACGAAATCAACATTTTCGATCCTTCTTACGCGATAGTCATAAGAATAGCTCCGGCTCAGAACTTCCGAGAATTCATCGTTTGATACATTCTCCTCTTTCGTACTTCCTATGCTCTCCTGTGATTTAAATCTCTGAGAATTTGATGAACGTTCCGTCTTGGTCAGAGCTTCAGATAATCTCTCACCATCTTTATTATTAATAGAACTTTCTGATGGAGAACCTGAGTGTTTGTTCTCAGAAATCGAAGAAATGTTTGTGAATTTTTTGTTTGTAACTGTAAGTTCCGCTTCAATCTCTAAGCTCTCAGATAAATTCTCAGATTTTTTTCGATTTGCACCTGAATCCCCTTTCGTGGCATTTTCAGGCTCGTTTGAACAATCAGTGGTATTCGAGGCACCCCCTAATAATACCTCTTTATTGTCATTTAAAGTGCTTTGTGGTTCAGTTTCATCCAAGAGGAAATCGTTTGCACTAAACTCTTGTATCGGACTGGCTCTTTCTATTTGTCTTCCTAAAGTGTCTCGTTCCTTATTCTTCCTTCGATCATCATCACGATTTTCCCGACTGTTGAAAGTTAAATACTGATCAAGCTGGGCGCTAACAAAATCTGTTCTTTCACTTGTTGAATCTTGCAATCCGTCATCCGCGTCACGAACCACGCTATCACTAGCTGCTTCAATCACATGACCGTTAACCGAACAAGTGAGCCTGTTAGTTCTTACGTCACTAGTTTCACTGTTGTCTGATTGGTCAGTTGTAGTCGATGACGTTTCCGTCGAAAACTGCATATCATTCCCCCCATTTTTAAAAGTTATTTTATCTTTCCTCCCATCAACCTTACTCTCTTCCAAATTTTCCTCCTCAACTTCCACTTTTTCTTTTGTCTCTTCAAAATCATCACGATCGTCCTGGTCTTCAATAACAACAGTCTTAACCTTCTTCTTTCGTCTCCTCTTCGACAATGTGTCGGCCGTTGTCGCTATCTCAGTTTCAATGTTTGACGGCTCGAGCCCATTCTCCTTTGGCGCTGTTTGTTCAACAGCGTCGTAGTCGCAAGGCTGGTCTAGACGACACGAACAAAGATGTGTCAGTCAATTGTGAAATACATTTGAATATGGCTTGAGCATTTTTACTTGTGGCTATCCAAGAATACGTGTATGTTTTAGGACCAGTGTATATTCTACAAAATTCATTCTTACCTTGCTTTGACCTGGCATCAAATTTACTGGATGGTTGATTGTAACTGATTGAACTAAGAAAATATGTGACAGATGCAACTATCAATGAAATTTGCTCTTGATATATTATTAATGCATGTTGAAACATTTCTAAAGCAATTTATGATAGATAGAATGGGATATGATATAATGGTTCTGATACATACATCTCAAAATCAAAATTTGCTATTCCATAGTTGAGAATTGACTTCACAGTGTCGGTCATGACTGGATCACGCAGGAATGCATATTCATAATAGTGATGGCTAATAATTGAATGCATAAGTTTCCATTTTAATAATGATTCCTGTTTCCCTGTGAATTACTGTACCAGTATCATAAAAATAAGAACTGTTGAGTCAGAACTGTTGACCTACATTAACAACGAATGATCCTGATTTATTGCAGCAATATAACTACCAAGAAGGTTCTCATTCACAGCCATTTTGATCCATGCTTGACATTTGTCTCGGGTGGTTTTTAGGCGCAACCTATTAAAAGTTAAGTTTCCCTTTAGAAGCAGATTAGCAGCTTCAAATTATATACATCATATATATTAATAGAAGGCTTGATAGTACATTTTAATTTCTTCAATATCTTCACTGCAAGTGATTTTCTCTAACAGTGGCCAAACTGTTGACTCCATTGCCCAGGATATAAGCCTATAAAATCAATCTCAGATAAACACTCTAATAATCATTAGGTGAAAATGGAATATCTGCTCATCAAAAGGTAAAAACAACAAGATACATCACCCTTCTTTAAGCCCATGATGTAAAATATTATCCACACATTGACAGAGGAAAAATGTTTCCTGACAATCTTTAATAACATTGCCTCCTTGTACAAATTGCTTTTGTATCTAGTGAAAGTAATATATCAGCAATTCAGGTGATGGACCTCGAAATATTTGCATAGAATTGTTGGGTGCACTTGGAATGTGACATCAGATCACCCCTGATGAAGACACTAGACTGGAGTGTCGAAACATTGGGTTGTGAATGGTAATCTTTGGGGAATCGATAGTCGTGATAGATAGTAATTATACTAGATATCCAAATTATACCTGTTCTACTGCCAAAGAAATTTGCTCCAGTAGCTCGTCTTTGGTTTGCACCTCCATGGAAATGCTCAATCTGCCATGTCTGTATACCTAGACTAGAGGGATTTCAATTGTAGAGGGGAATACATCAAATATGATATAAGCATATACAGCCAATATATGGTTCGGCATGCGTGTAAATGGGATCATTGCTCATTTATTCACCTTATGAATGTGGACTACTATGATACTATCAGAATGAGCTTCAGTTAGCTATGACCATAGTATAATGTTGTGGTTATAATACACCTCATAATACATCCAGTATACACCCCTAATACATCCAGTATAATACACCTCACATAACACTCATAATTAATGTATATTGCTTATGTGAATTAATGTGATGTATTCAAATCCAACCATAGTTTTTTGCTATCCATGCATGGCAAACAAAACAAATGTAAAATGCCTTGTCGGTTTGAATGCGATCATAAATCATCGAATGTTTACATGCATCATTTATCAATAATATCTTGACGAAGATATACAGTATTATTACATTTCCAACCCTATATAAACACTGGATTGGTAAGTGTTTGGATCTGTATCAACCTTAAATGAGCTTTAAATTAGCTTTAATATAAGCTAAATTTTCGTGTACAGCTCAAATTATATTGTGATACTGCCTCTGGCGAGTAAAATATTTTATATACTAAAGACCAATTTTATAGGTGTTTATAAATCAAAATTATCGCAGCACGATAAAGTAATTTAAATACCTTGGTGAAAGAACAGCGTACCTCTTTTTGTGGTGATGCTATTTGCTAGAACCAAACGTATTTCAATCCGCTTGAATAAAGGTTTTAAAATTATAATATTTGCATGCTTCGAGGCTAAAACTCGTCATTCCAATGTTTTGACTTTTTGTTGTCAAATTTTTTTGACGAGAACGTGTGAAGGGCCTGGGTCGGAGGCTCTCACTTCCCACTGCCTGGAATTCCTTGAAATGTAGGTCTAAAATTCCTTAGAATTCATTACGAGGATGGTATATTCGCCGAAAATACACTTATTTTTTACTATTAAGGTAGAGTATAGCATATTTTGGTATAATCAACTTCACCAACTTTTTATTACTAAGGTCGAGTGTGCCATTATATTCAGTATATTCGACCCTCACTATTTTTTTCACTAACAAGGTAGAGTATACCATATTTCGGTATATTCGACCCTCACTATTTTCTGCACTAACAAGGTAGAGTATACCATATTTCGGTATATTCGACCCTCCCTATTTTTTTATTACGGAATTTTTATTTGTTATTTTTTTTTTAAATTACAAAATTATTGACTCGTTTCTATGCCTCCAGCGCACGACCTCGGTCAAATTCAAGATGGCGGACAAATTGCAATTTCAGATCCAGGATTCAGCTTTTAGTTTGGAATTTCTAAAGGAGACGTTTGAGTTTTCAAACAATACTGCACAGGTTATAAAGGATTCTTTCGGTCCAAATGGATTAGACATTTTATTATCCACATCTTCAGGTACGCTACTCCTGACAAACGATGGATTTCAAGTAATAAAATCGTTGTCTGCAAGTAGACCTGTTGGAAAATTGATTTTCCAAGGATTAACTTTGTTTTATAAAAACGCTGGGGACTTTTCAAAGAAGTTTATCTTGCTCCTCAGAGAGTTTCTTTGGGAAGTTTTAGATATTGTGTCTTCAGTAGATAAAAGTTCATCCAGTGAGCAAATTTTGTGTATTTCACAAGGTTTGGATGAATTATTGCATAAATATATACTTCAAGAAGTTTTTAATCAACTACAAGCTATGGGAGTAATTCACGAATTCACTGAAAAAATTGAAGATCTGCCAAATTTTTTTACTTCGGTCATGAAGAGCAGTGTGATTGGGAAATTTAGTCCAAAAACATGCGAGATTTTTATCAGTCTTTTACAACAACTTTTTGACGTGGAAGAGACCTCAAATGATGTTGAACATTTAAAACAGAGGACAGAAAAACTATTGGATGACTTTTCTAATACAGTATGGGAAGTTCCGGGAAAGGCACTGGCCTTCTCAACTGTTATACCAGGAATTATAATTCCCCGAGAGTTTTCAACCATAATAAAAAAACTGCCAAAATCTTTCGAAAGCAATTCCTTCAAGTTTGTTATCCTGGCTTCCTGTCATGGCTACGATCTTCCACGAAGTGCCGCAGTCCTGTCTCTAAAACATTCACAGCATGTCGACCATGTGCTCAGGTGGAGAAAACAGCATATTGAAAATCTAGTGAAAACATTGGCTCAGAATAAAGTGGAGTTGATAATTACATCAACGAAATTGCATGAAACCTTTGTTCATATTTGCAACCAGTACCACATGGCTGCAATACATCTAGTATCCCATGAAGATATTCTGAGAATTTCTGATGCAGTTGGTATACACCCTTTAACTGAGTTGAGCTGCAATCTCACTCAGTTTATTGGTGTGGCTACTTCATGTAAACCAATCCAAGTTGGACAACATGTGTATACACATTTACAACTTACTAAGATGTTCGTGAAGAGCATGGTCCTTTATGCACCAACAGGTGAACTTTGCCACCAATATTCAGTTGGTTTGCAAAACATGTTAAAAATACTTAGAAGTTCTTTCAAACAATGCCCAGACAAGTCATGGGTTGTGTCCTATGTCCCTGGTGGTGGGACATTTGAGCTTGCTCTTGCAAATAAACTTGAGGAATACAGGAATCTTTGTAAGCTCAACCCAAACACGATGCTTGCTTGCGAGATATTAGAAAAAGCTTTGCTCAGCGTGCCTAGAAAATTAGCGGAGAATTCAAACAGTAATTTATCCACCTTTGATTTGAGAGCCAAAACGAGGCATGCATTAGCTGCTGGAGAACCTGTGTGTGGCTTAGAAAGAAATGGAAAGTTGGGTTTTCTGATAAACAAAGGTGTCATAGAACCAACAATGGCAAACTACCATCTGGTTTCATCTGTAATACAACTAGTTATTCAAATACTTAGAACTGATAAAGTTATCCATGTCAAAACTCTGCCAAAAAAGAGTGTTGAAGTTGATAGTGAAGGGTCTGATACTGATGAAAATATGTAAAACTTGCATCAGACGTAACGTTACTATAATATTTTCAAGATGAGAAATTTAGATTTTTGTTATGATTTTAATAACTAAAGATGTTCACAGTGACTTTATCTCTACTTTTTAGTAATGATGATAGCATTTTTCGAATTTTAAACGTGGTTTTTTTACTCATCCATATATTCAACTTTCTGATTTTGAAAAGCGCATATAACCCAGGTGGATGGCTTCCGTGGTTGGCAGGTATGCTTGCATTCCAACTGGTAACGCTATAATCAAAACATTCATAAAACATCCCGTAGAAACACACAAGTTCCGCTTGTGAATGAAATTATGAAAACCCGCAGTCCATGCACGCGTTGTTGCTAGGATTAAGTAAATTTTTTGAAGTTGCGAATCAGCTTCACTGTGTCACTTTTGCTCCATTCGGATCTCTTCCTGTCAACCGCCCAAGACCGGTATTTTCTGAAGAGTTAACGAAACGTTTTTTGTTTACAAGTTGGTGAAATTCGAGTGTGCCGAATTTATGCAAACGAAAACAATTTCTTGCGCTCGAAGACAATACATAAACGTTCATGAATATATCTTTTGCAAGTTGCAACATGAATCATACGTCGTACAATAAAGATTTCGAAAAGGCCAAAAAGGATTTGGACCAACGACTGGCAAGCAAGCATATCAACACTTTGAATTGTCTACAACAGAAAAGCTTTGAAAACGATAAATTAAGACACCGTGTCTCCGAATTGGACGGATATAAAATGAAAGCCGATTATTACGCTGCATTGGAACAGCAAGTTCAGTCACTTCAGGTAAGCAGAAAAGAAACGACTGTCGTTTTTTTTAAACGATTTTATTTTGTTGAGATTTGAGAAGACATCTGTGTAAATTGACTTTGGCAAGTAGTCAACTAGTCTTTCACATTTGACACATAATTTTTAGAATATTTTTGTAAACATCTGATAAACATCTATGATGTTTATCTCTCATCTAGGATGAGCTATCAAAATGCGAAAGGCTCCATGCGTTCGGAAGAGATACGGAAGAGAAAATAAACGATGTTAAAGAGGAATATAGAGCGATGTTTTACGAGTATCAACAAGTTATGGAGAAAAAATACAGTCAAGAGGTATACAGTGCGAGACCACTTTCAATTTTCTTTTCTGGATGTCATTTGGACCGCTCACGGAAGTTTCGGTGTTTCAGGTTAAGAAGTTTGTCGAAGAACGAGAGCAACTGAAGGAACTTTGGGAGCGGGAGCGAGTTAAAATGAAAGAGACTGAAGAGGAACTTCAAACAAGCAATGAAACTCTTCAAAAGAAACTCGAGGCTTCTGTTCTAATGGAGAAAGACATGAATGTAAGCTTTGTGAATTCAAGTAGTTGTGATATACGTTTCTAGAACATTTTGTTTTGATTTCTTTTTCCGACAAGAACTTGGTTGACGAGTTAGACAGGACGGTGGCGTCGTTTGATGAAATAAAAGCAAGAAATGAAGAGCTAAAAGAATCCGAAGACAGTTTGAAAGAACTTTGTAAGAATTTTGAAGAAGAAAATATCAATCTTCAAGAAGAACTAGACGAAAGTTCATACAGGTGAGCAAGATATGGAGCGCTGTCTGTAGTGTCCCAGAAAATCTTGTCGTCTTTTTGAATCGCCTAAAATTCTTACTAGACGATTGTTGGAAAAGTTGCATGTTTCAAAATTGATCTGATCCTTTCAGGAAAAAAAAGCTTAAGAAAGATATGAACAAAATGATTATGAAGATCACAAAATACGTGAAACAGATAAAGGAACTTGAGAAAGTCAAAAACTCCGCATCAAAACTCGAGTTTGAGAACGGTTGGCTAAAGCATCTTCATGCAAAAGTCACAGCGGAACAAAAGAGTTTAAAAATGAAACATAAGGACGCTTTAAACGAACTACAAGTCATAACACAGGAAAGAAACTTTTTAAAAAACGAGCTCTCTTCCGCTCAACATGAAATCTCAAATCTTAAAGAGGAATTGGAAGGTTCAAAGTGTTCTTTCGCGGATTTTTTGGAATTGAAAAGGCAGGTTGGACGTTTGGAAGAAGAAAACAAGAGCTTGGTGAAGAAGTCGAAAACGTACAAGATGAAAATGCTGAAATCTGCAGAAGAGGACCCTGCAACTAACCAGAAACAGTTGGTACCGATTAAGTTGAAATAGCCATCCGCGGTCGTTTTCTATGGTGTTAGTAACTTGCCCGTGGGTAAGAAGAGTGCTTCCATTACAACTTCTCAAGCTTCTCTCCTTTTCCCACTCAAGTAGTGCTGTATGCACAGATAACAATTGCTATAGTCCTAGAGGACCTCCAGAGTACACTAATAAACATGTCAGGATATGAAAAAATTACCACCAAAATTTGATATAATTCTAACTCTAAAATTACAATACTATTTCTCCATATTTGACATATCTACAGCCTTGGTCGTAATACAAATACCACATCACTTAGGACATAAAAATCTCTATACATATCTCCTTCGCATAAGTAAGGAAGTTTTGAGAAAGATTCCACAAGGAATCCAGCTGGAATGAAAACATCTTTTATAAAACTCTCTGCTTGTTCTTCCCAATGCTTGCCTCTCAATGGAATTTTTTCAGTAGGCTTCAGAATTCTTGATCCTAGGGTATAAAAAGTAAACATATTTATAACCAAAATTACAAGGTATTCATAGTTTATTTCTCCGGCATTTTTCCCCAACATACATCGAAACATATTGACAACAACTACCTGATTCTACACAAGGACTGAAGGGCAACACAACAGCCACAATCAATCTTCCTCCATTAGGGTTCAAGGATTTGCGAATGTTTTGTAGTAAACTCAAAGGTTTGTCGCATCTGTCTAACAAGTTTAAACAACTGATGACATCATAACTTCTTGCTGTCCAATCACCGATCTCCAAAACTTCATAATTCATTTGCTGTAATCTCCACCTCATGCTAGGCGATTGTTCAGTAACATATATTTTGTTAAAGTGGCTTTCCATCATCTTTGTGACCTTACCATCACCTGCTCCCAAGTCAAGCAGGGAGTCTACCTTCCAAGTCTCATCAATGTTCATTAATTGTTGGAACTGAGATTGTGAGAACACAAACATTGAACCCCTGTTTAAAATCCTAAAAAAAGTTGGTTTTTTAGTTCTCAATTGATTTCCTTTTTGACTTCCAAAACTCTAGATTTGTCACCAAACTAAAATGACATTACTTTCACTTTCACCGAATAGTCTCACTAGCTGACTAGCTCTGAAACTGGAGGAAAACAAGAACCTCTGGTTGGTCAAATCATAATCAAACCTCACCCATTAACTGTTGTCAAGGACATGAAATATCCCAGGAAACCTTTCATGAAGGTTTGCAGCATTTGTGTGAAAACATAATTTGATTTCTCATCACAGTTTTTCAGGAATTTTTGAGTCTCTTCATCAAGATCAAATTGTATGAATTTTCTGGCCATTTCTTCATCAAACTTTGACACATCACACAGGTACCACTGGAAGTAGTATGATCAGAAAACAAATAGATGTCATATTGTTTCCTTGGTGGTTTCCTAAATAGTCTTAATTAACTCACCTGAGTGAGGTCAATGGGTTGGTCTTTTGCCTCCAACTGTTCCAGTAGCATTTTCCCCATCATTGTCCGACTGTACCTGGTTGCAAGCATATCAGCTGAACGGATTGCACCTTAGTATGAAGAGTGTAGAATTATAGGTGTACAAATGAGATATATGAATGGATAAGTAAATGAAAAAAATGGATTACATGTTCTGTCTAATAAATGGCTCACAAATGCGCTCATTTCAGCCCTGATGCGGTAAAACAAGTATCAGAAGGGCAGAAGCTTTGAGGTTTGTCACATGACAGTGATGACACAAGTTTATATACAATATTTTTGCGTGGCACTGTAGTCATTTAATACTGGGAGAAAGAGGTGTTGTAAAAGGAATCTAGTGTGTATGCGTTTGTACTTTGTAAGTGAAATACATATTCCCTAGCACACAAACGTAGAACAGGACATATTGGCAAAGCATTTTAGATATTTACCATCGATAGAAACTACAAAAAGAGACCAAATCAAATGGTGTACATTCATTCCAACATTGCATTCATGTAAACAAAGATCGAAAAATGTCTAGTAAAAAATGTCTGGAAATTTCTACCGCCTTTTGTTTTTACTCGCTTTTTTATTCACGAATAATCTTTTGGACACTACAGGGGCCTTTTTTCATTAAAATGCTTTGAATTTGAATAAGGAAATGTTTGTACTTATATATATTGTATTTGCGGTATTTCGTATAGCAATATTTAAAAATCTGATTCAATATCGAGGCGTGTTCGTGAAAAAACGCGAAGAATTTAATATATTTTCGAAAACCGATATTCACCCTCCGGAAACTTAACAAATCTGTGGAGTACTTTTGCATTTTCCAGGGGGAGAAAGAGAAATCTTCGTGATTTCCGACTACGTAAATATACACAAGGGATTGTCAAAGTCCAACAACCTACAAGACCTCTGGCGGGCAACGAGAAATCGCACATTTCTCGGCATTTTAAACATTTATTTGTTTTTGTTTTAACCTATTATATAATGCAATATTTTCCGCGGTGTGTTTGTTTTTGAGAAGGAGGCGTTGTTTGGCGTAAAGACACACAAAATGCCGATGAAACTCGGGTCGAAATGTACCGAGCACATTCAGTCCCAAGCGAAGAAGTGTTTGGGAGAAACTACAAAATTTGACCAAGTTATCGGCGGTGTGAAGCGATGTGCTTGTCTCCAAGAACACAAGTGTATGCACGTCTCGGGATCAGTACTGCTTCTTTTGGTTTTGACAGCAGTTCTAGTTATATTTTTCCGAGATCATTTAAAAGACATCATTGAATGGGTGCAGAACTTACAGGAGTGGCAAGGCGCTCTGCTATTTATTGTTATGTTCACTTTAGTATCATTCCCAATGGCCTGGGGTTATATAATTCTCAATGTTGCTGCTGGTTACCTTTATGGCTTCTGCATTGGCCTACTTGTCGTCGTTATTTCAGTGTTTATAGGGATTTTTGTGTCGTTTGAAATATGTCGTCTTTGTTTGAGAGACTTTGTACAGAAAAGATTAGAGTCTGAAAATTTGTTAGCTGTAGTACGAGTTGTGGAGGGAAGAAAAGGATTCCGAGTGATCGCTTTGTCAAGACTAACTCCTTTACCTTTTGGCTTGCAAAATGGACTTTTTGCAGTAAGTATAAGTTAGGATTTTACAATATCTTACGATAAAACAATTGTGATTTTAATAGTTCGCAGATGTTATTGCATTGTGTTGCTTCAATAAAACATTTAATATTAATAACACGATAGTTGAGTTGGCAAGAATTGCCAAATAGTGTGGATTTGTCAAGCACTCGCAGGTTATATGTTCAATTGATGCACTTAGACAATACTACAGATTATTATGCAGTTTTTATGTGGACTACTTGAAAATATTTGCACAACAATTTGAGAAATATTTGGGTCAAGTATGCAAGTCTTGGGTAACTTATGAAGGTGCCTCAACTTGTCCGATGAACAATATTACTCAAATTATATTGTTATCATGGCTAATGTTAAAGTGAAGTGTGATATTCTCATCACAGCATGTGCCAACAGTAATGACCTCTTATTATCCAAGCAGAAACAATCATTGTGCAATACAAAAAGTGGCAAATTTATTGTATCAGTTTACAGCTTAACTAATTTGTAATCAAAAGGCAATACAAGTACCACTGTATTCTAATTTCTAACCATCAGTTGTTAGTACACTTCAAATGGTTGTGAGTTGATCTGTTTTAAAAAAGACCTTCATTGACCAACTAACCAAGGTCACTGATAAAAGGTTATCCTATTTCAATTCTTTGCTAAACAGCATTTTCTAATTAATAGCATGAAGTATAAGGTTTCATTCAAGTCCTATGGTGATAGAGGAATACAAACAAGGATTGTTTGCCAATTAAACAAACCTTGCAAAGACAGCTAACAAGGAAACTTGCAATGTAGAACTTTTTTAAATTTCTCAGTGCAAACCAGCCTTTTTATTGCTATTTAATAGGCTCTTGTAGTGTAGATGTATGTAAATGTATCACAAATCTAGCCTGCCATCCTGAGTGGCATGAATTCTCAATAAACCTCTGTGTTTAATCTAATTTCATTGGCATTTTATGTTTGTTTCTTACAGTCGGTTTCAGCAGTTTAGAAGCTTTGTTCATGAATTGGATTGAAATGCAATTAAGAATATTTAAACGCAACATACTTCCAAATTGTAGGAAAGGAGTTGTGCAAGACATTTGCTGAAAGCCTGACACCAGCGGTGACTAACAATATTTTAATTGGCTACCCAAAATGGTGGAAGGCAAAATCAATAAACCATGACATCACTAGCAGCAGCTTCATACCGTAGATACTAAATTAAAAAGTTACATTGTGTGTTTCAACTTGTACTTAATCATGTATCTCATCTATTTTCAGATAACAAACATAAGTGTCACAAAGTGTTTAGCAGCATCTGTAATAGGCCTGCTTCCAACACAGGCAATGAACACTTACATGGGAACAACATTGCGGTCGGTTGAAGATGTGATAAGTGAACACTCTGGAAACTACGTCATACTGGTGATACAAGTAGTGATAACCATAGGATTATCTGTTTACGTGATTAGAAAGGCTAGGAAAGAACTGAACAAAGCTGTCCGGGAAAGCGAAGTGGAAATGATGTTGGATCGACGGGAAATTGTTACGAGTATTCCAAAGTACTTAGACTTGCCTTTACAGACAGATTTTAAAGCAAACGGCATTGCAAATGGACATGTGGCAAAGCCTGGCCACAGACGTGCGCAGTCTGCATCTGCTATCATAGCAATCAGGGAACTTAAAGAAAGCGAGGAAATAGATATAGCTTGAAAAAATCAGCATTGGTAAAAAAAAAATATGCCACATTCACTGAAAGCAACTTTGGAACTTTTGAAGAAATGGTATGTGAAGGCAGCACCTGTGATGTTTTTTACAGTGGGCAAAACACCAGCCTACTAGTCCACACTTACTACCAGCTCTTGGCCACTAAACTCTGACCTAAGAACAACTCATTCACAATCAACCATTAATCCAACCACACACAATCCACAACGGGAACAAATTGATTAGGGTCTCTATAAATATTCTAAGGGATAACATACATATTTATGAAACTGATCTAAAAGAAAATATCATTTCTAAGAAAAAATTATATTACACAATACACATTATGGAGAAAACTTTTCAAGTTTTTGTTTTGGGAGAATGTGCTCACCTTTGTCTTTGGTGTTCAAACACAGTTGCATAGCCAGCCTGACAATTTGTCTCACTAAGCTAATATTTTGGTGTTCATTGACTGTGAGGACAATAAATTTCAAAAGACATTGATAATTATAATAACTAGAAATTTACATAGGGGGACAAAATCTTCAGGCTGGCTACGCCACTGTTCAAACATGCATTGTGTAGATAGCGGTGCATCTGGAGACACTCTGTTTAGTGGCTCTCATAACAGAGTATGCTTGAAAGTTGAAGCAGTGCCTCACCTGTGGTTATCAAGTTAACGATGCAGCGGGTGGGGTGTAGACTACCTAAGAAACTTCAGCAAGTTGATTGGCAGGTGTGTAACACGTGACCAAACCAATAATACCTTATTAGGAGCCAGTAATTTATTAAGAGCCAACACAGATTTTTTTTTGTCAAATTTTGCCAGTGTGCTTACCATCAGACCCTATACACAGAGTATTTTTAAAGTTTCACCATAATGAAACAGCGGTGCACGTAAATGTTCAAAACTATTCGCGACGTTCATCGTTAAAAATCGACGTTTGATTGTCGTCTAACGCTGCCAGATCTCCGCCGATCTTTGCTGCTTGACGGAGTTGAATGCGTCCGGCGATGATGATGATGACCACTCCCTCTTCCGTAAGATCTTCCGTCTTCAAAGTCGTACAAATCCCCCCTATGGGTCGTTCGTCCCCTCGCCTCGAATGTGCTAAACCGTTTCGCCTTCAAGTGCTCCATTTTGCTTCTCTCTCTTTCGTATTCGTTCTGTTTTTCGCTTATGTCGTTCACGAGTTCGATCAGTTTCTTCGTTTGGTTTTCGTGTCTGATAAGGACGTCCTTGTGGTTGACTCGAGAGTTTTGAAGGTTTTGCAAATGAACACGTATCTCGCCAACCAGTTTCTTTTGGTCTTTCATGTTTTCCTCGATTTCCGCGAGTCTTCTTTCCTGTAGTGTGACGATGTTTTCCGAGAATTCTTGAACCTCTTCCAGTCTCGTTTTACCTGACGGAAGAAAACCGTAGATGCTGAACGACACAGTATTTGTTTATTTACAGTGTTTCACATTGGGTAAACTATACGGAAGTTTGGAAACAATCGAGCTTTAAAAACTCCGCGGAGAGTCGCAGATGTTTCACACGATGCCTGCATGACCAGGAAAAAATCCGAAAAAAACAGACCAGAAAAACTAAAGTTTTTTGCGTTTTTCTACATGTTGTCTTCAGGGACGTATCTCCGAAAGCGACTGTTTCTCCGAGGAGCAAAAAAGAGAAAACTCTTAAAGAAACCGATCACACTACTAAACAAGATCTTTTAGAACTTAATAATCATAGTTTCCGAGTAATCTCACCTTGTTCATGAGAGCTGCTCAGTTTCGTGACTTTAGCTTCAAGTGAAGTGAGTCGTTCGTTAATACTGGAGACAAGCTCACTGAGATCGCCCTCGACGACTGCGGGCGGCGAGTTTTCCATTCCTAAACACGTCGTATTATCTCATTTTCTACACCTCGTTCGACAAACTGTTCGCACGCACGCGCGTCACACAAACAGCCGAAGAACACTTGTGACGTCATAATATTTGTGATACTACGTCACGACGTCGTAATTGAAAATTGAAGATTGCGGCTGGAAGTACGCGCACACGAATTGTGTATATTTATTTTCACAAATGTTTAATTTGGTTAAAATGTACAAGTCAATACTCAGACGGTATGAATACGTTTCCTTAACACCCTTTAAAACTTTGACAAGAAATTCACTTGTACACTTTTGTGACCATTTGAACTTCTATATGTAGGTAAACATCTGAGGAAATGTTCGACAGGGACATCAGCTTATTCCCAGCATGGCTTCCAGTCTTCTCTCTACGGAGATCACCTGTATTCTTCATTTTCAATCTTCCTTGGGCTTCCTAAATCGTGCTTTTTGTTTTTTTGAAGGTCTGGCATTATGAAAGTCTAAACTCTCTACATCGGCGTGATGACGACGTTTGCGTTTTTTAGCAAATTTCTTGTCAACTGTGTCGATCAGCGAATCATATCTAAAAATAACAGAAAATTCTCGCACAAATTATCTTGAGTAGATATTTATTTGGAGCTGTTTTGCTGTAGACAAACCTTTCTGCCATTTGTTCAGCTGTGACTGTGTCCTCTCTTTCCCTTGCTTCACATTCCGCTAATTCTTTCTGAGAAGTCAGTTCTTGAAATAGTTTCTATGGATTAAAGCACTTGCATAAATATTTGACTCTTTTCATATGTAAAATTTGAAGCATTTTAGCATCACTGGCACTTGTGCTGTAGCCAAACTCACTTCTATGGCAGGGTTGAACCTTTTGAAAGACATTCTTCCTGTGGGAACCAGATCTTCGCAAACAACATAGCTTGGTTCATATTCAATTACATTTCTACGAAAAGAAAAACTGCTGTTTATTGTTAAACAAAGACGGGGAGAGTGTTTCTCAACAGCAGGGGGGGTTCATTGGAAACCTAACTAGACTCCCCCCCTAAATATTTACAGGCAACCTATTCTTGAAAGCAGCTTCCTCGAAGGTATACGACCACACATACTCGTCTTTAGCACCTTCAACGTTGTCTAGGACCCAGTGTGCTTCATCTATTTCGCGTTTCTCTTCATCTTCTAACTGCTGACGTAATTTCGCTTCCTCCGTTCTTTGCATAAACTAAAATAGACACGAAATAACTAAGGGAAAGAAGAAGACTATCTTCTTGAATCGGTAACGCAATCACCTTCATTTTCAAAAGGTTTTTTGAAAGACTTCTTCGCTCCCTGCTTTCGTCCATCTTGGAAAATTTCTCGTTTACGAGCCCGCAAACTGACCACTATATTTGGAATTACATGAATTTCCCAACTGGCATTCAAGAATCAAGATGGTGCCAGATATTTTACCTTCAAGACTTTCGGATTTTAGAAAGTCATGCTTTGTTGCTCTAGTTTTGAGACTATTATTTCTGATTTATGGCCAATGGCAGGACTCAACGATGGTGGTGAAATACACAGACATTGACTACGAGGTTTTCACAGACGCTGCAAGGCATGTTTCGAAAGGTGGGTCACCATACGATCGTGCAACCTACCGCTACACACCTCTCCTAGCGTGGATCATCGTCCCAAACGTGACACTCCACAAAGCCTTCGGAAAGCTCCTTTTTGTGTTTTGTGATATCGTCGCAGGATATTTAATTCATTTAATATTAAAAGCTCGGGGAATACCAGAATTCACGGCTGTCAAATACTCTTGGTTCTGGCTGCTGAATCCCATGATCATCACTGTGTCCACTCGTGGGAATGCTGAATCTATTCTAGCAGTCCTTGTCCTGTCTTCAATTTATTTCATGCTCAAGAGACGCTTCACCCTTTCCGCAGTCATGTTGGCGTTGTCTGTTCATTTTAAAATTTACCCAATAATCTATGCATTACCATTGTTCCTAAATGTTGGTTTACTGGTGAAAAGACAAGAGAGAACAAGTGAAATAGGAAAGCATGAGGGAATGCTGTGGGCAATATTTTCCAATATAAATCATCCAAATCAGTTCCTGTATGCTTTCATAGCTTCATCAATATTTCTCGGGATCAATGCTACAATGTATTACATGTAAGTTGTGAAATATTGGACTAAAATGGACCATATTGGACTGACTCTTTTTTGGCAAAGAAAATCCTTGTGTGGCGGCCACCAGCTGTGCTCCATTGAAAATGAATTGTACATTCATTCTTTGTTTTCTAGATATGGACTTGAGTTTCTTGAACACACATATTTCTACCATGTGACAAGAAAAGATGTCAAGCATAACTTTTCTGTATATTTCTACTTGTTGTACCTCACAATGGACACTTCATTTTCTTGGGTGATAAGTCTGCTTGCATTTCTACCGCAACTTGTTCTTGTCTTAGTGTTTGCAGTGAAATACTACAAAGATTTGCCATTTTGCTGTTTTGTTCAAACATTTGCATTTGTCATTTTTAACAAAGTCTGCACCTCACAGGTAATACAACGTTTTTTCTTTTTTTTTTCATCGAAAAGAATGTGCATGGGATTTACTGAAAATTATTTACTGAAACATTTCATTCAACTTTCAGTATTTTCTTTGGTACTTATCTCTATTGCCACTTATCCTGCCCCAAGTCCAGATTGACTTAACAAAAGGTTTTAAAATGCTTTTTGCGTGGTTTGCAAGCCAGGTATGTCTGAATTGAACATAATTCAATGTGTATGAATCAATATGACAGTAGTGATGGTAGTTATGTGAATATCTCCTTCTATTTAGGCATTATGGTTATTTTCAGCCTATCTGTTAGAATTCAAAGGCTACAATACAATGCTTCTTGTCTGGACTGCAAGCATCTTATTCTTTATTGTCAACATCTGGATTTTATACTCTATCATTGTAAATTGCACTTCTGTACAGAGCAAGAAAGCTGATTGAAATCTTTTTGAATCCAGACATCTGCACTGTATATAAAACGCGTTACAAAACCTCTTTACATCGTAAAAAAATAAGAAAATCTTTTCTAACGTACATATAAAAAGTGGTTATGACACTTTGTTTAGTTTAACCGTTTGGCAATGACGCAAAAAACTTCTCTAAAAGTTTTGGATATTTTTGTGGTTGTTCACTAGAGTCAGGAAGTTTGTTTCTAGGCGGGAGAAATCTTTTGTACTTTTGCTTCGGTGTAGCTGTTCGTAGTTCCAGCTTCAATCTGTCTTCTTTTGCAGTTACTAGGAGGAAACCAGGAAGATTGCCGACAAAATATCTAAAACAAAAAGAATTTCCTCTAGTAAGCATGAAAACTAAGCTTTTTCTTAACAAGTTAAAACTTTCTCTTTGGTAAGGATGAAACTAAGCGATAATTCTAGACTACTCTCCCTTCCTTACCAATGCGCTTTCACTAATGCACTTATGCTAGAAAGACAAACTCTAGAAAAAACTCTTGAATTTCTATAGTTCAACTACATAAAGGTCTCAGACTCAGTCATGGCTGTTGACGTACTTTAAACTATTAGGTTCTAGGCCAGGTTTTGACTTAATCCAATTAAAGAAGTTGGCTGCTCCACATATAAAATATTCCAGCGATGAGTTCGGTGGCACGATATGCTAGGAATTCGGAAAGTACAACACATAAATGCAGAGTCCACATGCATGTGGTTGCGAAGTTGAGGGCAGCAACTCTCATTCAACGTTTAAGGCTTGCAGATAACCGACCTGTAGATTGTGGTCATGACCGCTGATATAAGCGTTAACTTTGTGTTGTTTGAACAAATCCAGCAGCTTATCCTGAAGGCACTTGCTACTGCCATGCCTCCCTGATGAATAAATGGGATGATGTCCAATAACAATCAAGAAATGGGCTCTAAAAAAAGCAATAACAAAACAAAACAAAGCTAAAATATTCTATCTGTATCAAGCTGGTTTACCAGCCCAGAGATTTACAATAAGTCTTGCAGAAAAAGTAGTAGAGAGAGCTTCATTTCAACTTCATCAAAACAAAGTCGTAAGAAATATTCTATCTGTATCAAGCTGGTTTCAAATCACTCATAATAATGAATCAAGCATTTACTCACTTCGACTCATTTAGAGTATTTCTGATCCATGTCATTTGCTCTTCGACAGAAGGTGTATTTTTGTACTTCTTTTTTCCACTATGAGAAACATGACGAATGAAGATTTGGTGACATACTACTGATGTGAAATTTCTATTTACAACATATTTCATAAAACATCCGTTGTACCTTCTGAAACATAATATCGTTGTGTCGATCATAACTATCTGTAAACTTTTATTCGTTTCGGGTATAAAAAACTCTAAAAGTATTATGAACTTTTATGAAGAATTGCTGTAATAAACGGCCAATGTTTCTGCAAAATACCTGCAGCTTTATTGCAACTCTTGGTGATCTTACTTTTAGTGTGATAAAAATGTGGAAACATCCACCGTTTCGACTTCTGCGTGTACAATATTTGCGCAGAGACGTTGCCATCGTAGTCGTGATTGCCCGCAATCACGTACCAATTCTTCTGAAACGATGGTTCGTTGTAGACTCGCTCGTAGGTCGCATAAAATCTAAAATCGTTCACATCTTTCACCCCGTTGTAGTAGAAGTTGTCTCCAGCACTGACGAAAAAGTCCAGATTTGGAATCTACGAAAAAGAATGTTGTGACTTGTGTGCAGAGAGAGTGAGTGACTGGTTTATAAGAACCAGAAGTCGGTTGTTCAAAAGCCGGTTAACTTAGGTTCGCAATTCTGTATTAAAGAAAATCTTAACATTACTGTTTAATCGCACTTTTTTAATCGCATAAATATTTTCTGGACCGATATAGAAGTCATACTGATTTTCCAGAAAATTCAGGTCCAGAAAATATCTACGAAAAGGTGTATTCAACTTTGTAATAAAGAAAAATAAAAAGATTATTAAATGTAAAGATTTGCTTTAACCCAGGGTTAAGCTAACCGGCTTTTGAACAACAACCGGCCTCAGTTAGGCGTGTTTGTTGCTGTTCATTTTGGCAAACATATTTACGATCTGTCAGACCACAGTTGTCAGACTGTCTGTATACGTGCAACATTCATTGAAAAAATGACAATACACACCTTGGCAACATGCTTTGCTATTCGCCACTGTGCCGACGTATAATAGGGTCTCGTTGGCATACCTCCAAAATCACCGAGAACTACGAATCTCAGCTGACCTTTTTTTGTTTGAACACTCCCGAGGAAAATTAGGGCCAATAGTGTCGCAATAAAAAAATACCCCACCGACATCGTTAATCGTTCATACTTCTCGCTTGTGTAGAAAAGCCAGAAGTTTAAGACAAATAAGGACAAATCGGACATTGAAAGTTAAAAGTCAAACTAGACAAGTCGATATAAGTTAATATTGCCACTTATACGACATTCGTTTAGTTTCCATTTTGTCGTATAAAGGTATCGTATTGTTCAAAATAATTACCTGTGCTAATTCGTGGACGAAATCACGAAGACAATATAACACCGGCATGATAGCATACAAATGAAAACTTTTCATGTACCGAATCGAATGCAAATAAACTTTAACAGACTTTAGCTTATTAACATTAGGTTCGATACATGAAAAGTTTGACGTCTGAAACAGTCTGAAGACTTGTTTCATCATGGCAGACATTAATTCTACCGTTTCTACACGAATTCTGTAGTATGCGGGTGGCATCACAGTATCGCAAGAGACGAATATCCTTTTTACGGCATTTCATTGCAAATTTACTTTTATTTTAAGACGTCCTCTTGTAAAAATGTTTATAAGATAAAATTTATAAGTTATAACAAACAACTTTGACCTTTTACAACTTTTTACGAGTTCAGTGAGTTCACTGAGTGAGTTTACTTGTCTCCAGTCCTCTCGCGGCTCCCCACGTGTTTGTTGTTTATTTTTAAATTTTAGTAATATTTTATATTTTACCATAAGCAATATCTTTTCAGCTTGTGACCAACGTTATTTTATTTCTTCTGTCCAATTATGGCTCGTGCTAAAAGGTAAGCTTTTGCTTCAATCTGTAGCAGGTCTAAAAGTTCGTGAAACTCATTTCGTATTTTATGCCAGTGTGTGCCAAATTATGATGGTTCACTGTGGAGTGTGGAGAAACGGGGGTTATTTTTGTGACTTGTGTTTCCCAGCATGTTCAGTCAAAGCCAAAGAGGTCTGTAAAGTTTTCATAGAGCAGTGATGTTGTAAAATGTCATTCTCAACTGGTCGTCTCCATGAGCCCCTCATAGTTATTGTACTCTCTAATGTGCCCATGCACCCACAACTGATTACCCTTTTCATTTAGGTTCTTTGGTAGGGATGGTCCTAGCCCCCTTGGTTATAATCTCCTTCATTATTTGTTAGATGTTTTAATATGGATGTCTCTATATAATAAAATGGATGTCTCTAATATACCTAATATAGCTAGATCAAGCTAGATATGTCTCTAGTATAGCTAAATGTGTCTAATATAGAGACATCTTGTCATAATAACCTTTAAGTTGTATATCAAACTCACAACCTTTTTGTCACATTGATAGCATAGTTTAGACATAGTAGAAATGGCTTTCATAAAGAAATTTCTTTCAATCTTCATTTTAGAAAACCAAAGAAGAAAACCAAGCTTGTCCAGAAGGATGACATTGAGGGCGATAGTCCAGATCCGGTTTGTGACCATATACTGTTAAGATATTTGCATTGTTTTTCAAATGAAGTCAATTTCTGATAACCTTTACTAGTGAATGAAAGTAATCACCATTGTTGCTTATAGGAGTCTGAAGAATTCTTCAATGATGATGTAGATAAATTTCACAGCAATCGAGAAAAGGTTTGATTGGGAATTGGAATATTTTGTGTTACAGGTGCTTATGAAAGCATGCAGTATGAAATATTATTGTATGCTTATTCCAGGTATTGTTAGATAAATCATCTCAGTCATCAGATGAGGAAATGGAAGGATTTGAGCAACTAGAGGAAGTTCTTGGATTAGATCTTGAGTCTGACAATGAAGATGAAGATGACATAGAAAACCTTGAGGTTATTGTAAAATCTGTAAAAATTAAGCAATTGAAGCTGTGGATTTTCCAGTTTCCAGTAAAATTTTCAGATACCAATATGTGGAGTGGTCTGGAACCTAAACTTCATTTGAAACTTATCTTTCTAAATGTGTGTTTAATACATAATCAAATTGACTTAATTATAGGGTGGTTCCAGTAGTGATGAAGACATTGAAAAAGGTACAATATTACATCCAATCATGATATAAAGTCTTTCTCTGGCAACATGGCCATGACCTCACAGCAAGACCTCACTATGTTTTCAGGTATTCCCAGTGAGAAAGCTTGGGGTAAAAAGAAAAAGGTTTATTATGATGCTGATCAATCCAGGGAAAAAGATCTTGGTATGTGGTAATGAGTACAGAACGATTGGTGTACTTTATATATTTTTACTTATTCAAGGATTACCATTTACTATAACTTATATTGGATGTTAGACAGTTTGTAAAAGAGTCAAAATTAAATTGAAATATTATATGTGGATAATTTTCATTCAGATTCTGAAGAAGAGGAAGCTTTGGATAAAGAGGAGGAAGAAGAAGCGCTGATGTTGCAACAAAATATGGCAGCACGTTTGGATGAAAATGACTTTGATATTGATTCATTTGAGGTGCGTTGACTTCTGATAACATTTTGCAAGAACCATTCATGTGCATTTTATTTTAATCCTTTTTTCATTCACACACAGTTACTAACTGGTGACGTGGGAGAAACAGCAAAATCTAAAGAAGTTGAAAAGGTCAAAATCATTGTTAACGTCTCTTATTAACTTACAGTAAAATACACCCTTAAAGCTGCTAAATCGACTAGTAATCTATTATAAAATATTTCTTTTATTAACAGGCAAAACAAGAGAAAATAATCATGGACCTATCGAAATTATCCAAAGAAGAAAAAATAAAGGTTTGTTTCTTATCATCTCACAGATACTCAAAGGTATATTTAAATGTTAACATTTTTTCAAAATTCTTTTCCATTCTACTTCACCTACAGCTGTTAGCTAAAGACTCTCCTGAACTTTTTGAGCTTCTGGAAGATCTAAAAGAAAAGGTATCTTATCTACTATCTAAACTTCTCAATATTATTCCAATGGTACACAAATTAATTTCAATTACAAAACCATTTTCAGCTTGCTGATGTAACCGGTTGTTTGTTTCCACTTGTTCAAATGGCAAGGTCTGGAAAAATCACAAACCCACAGGTAGGATGCTTTTTTCTTAAACTGGATAGGTACGTGCAGTCTATATTGGACTCTGTACTGAACTACTACTACAGCATCCATCCAGAATTGTACTATCATATCTTGAATCTTGATTTAGGGAGTGGAATATCTGGAGATGAAGCACCAGTTAATCATGAAGTAGGTTGAGAAATCATAAAATCTTCATTGAAGACATTTTTCTTAATTTTGTGTTTTACATACAATTTTGTGATTATTGCTCAATTTTTGAACCAATTTTCCTCTGTCCAGTTATCTAGTCAATGTTTCCTTCTATCTGCTCTTAAGAGCACATCAAACTCCAGTGAAGAACCATCCAGTTATAGAACGACTTGTACAGTACAGAGAGGTACATAATATGATAGCAATAGCTCATGGTTCATCTTTAACAGAGTTGATAAACTTCTTCAGAGTTCATTTCTTCATTTTTCTATTAAAAACCCATTAAATTCCTTTTTTACAATTCTTTAGCTTATAAAACAGCTAGAACCACTTGATGATAAGCTTCGCAGTGATATGGAATATTTTCTTTCCAGATATAAGAATAGCCTTCAAGGTATGTTTCAACTGTAGAAGGATTACCCGTGTAGAACTCTTACCATTTCAATTAAGTGTTAAAATGTTTTCGGAGTTAAAACTATTCGCATAGATTTGTTGATACACTGAAAGATTCACATTGAAAACTTTCATTATTCACAGAAGAGCGCCAAAACGATAGCTCAGAACCAAAGGAAAACGAAAGTAATAACGTGGATAAGGTCCGTTCTATGCTACTTGTGCATTTAGATTACAACAGATTCTGGTTAAATGTGATCTTCCATTTGACAAATGACTTTAAATTTGCAGAAGAAGATTTCCAAAAAGAGAGTGAAGTTTGAGAAAGCTGAGACTGCATCCGAAGTACTGAACGATGCTGTTGTCTTGAACGTAAGGGTTTGGGCTAATGACTCTCATTCAATTAACCCAATCAATCGAGTCTTTATAATTGTATTGAGGTAGGAATAATTTGATTATTTTTAAAGGGTTTGGTCAGCAAGAAACGAAAGAAACTTGAGGATCTTGATCCACTGAGTTATTACGAGGCCATTCGTGATATGAAAAGGAAAAGAAAGGAGGAACGTCGTAAAGCGCACGAGTGAGTTTTCTTGAGTTAAGTTGAAGACCATTTCATCAAAAAGAAAATCAAAATCACCCTGAATCCTAGCAAACCTTTTCGTTTAAGTGATGAGTTAGTAGCCTATAGTCGTGTAGAGTCAATCATGATCTATTGGCTTTATACCAAAGTTGCGTTTAAAGACAGTTGCAGTGAAAAAATTGCCCCGTCAACTTGTCCTTTCAGAATGTCAATGAGAGAAGACGTGGACAATATTGATATCGAGGACGAAGGGGATGCTGAGGGAAAGCGGGGTATAACATACCAGGTAACGTCTTGATGACGTCATACTCGTGATGATGCAATGGTTTGTATACATGTCGGATACTTCATGACTCTGGCATATTTTGTAGATCTCAAAGAATAAGGGCCTCACTCCCAAACGCAAGAAAGAAGTCCGCAATCCTCGACTTAAACACAGAAAGAAATTTGTCAAGGCTAAAATCAAACGAAAGAGCAAGGTGAGACAAACAATGCGAAGGTTTTTTTATGCAAGGAGTATTTAGTTTGTTTTCCAGGGACTATAATCAATGTTATTCTGTGAATCATTTCATTTTGTGATAAACTTTATTCTAGGTCAATCCTGTGGTTAAAGAGATCACTCGGTATGGAGGAGAGAGCACTGGAATCAAGACTCATCTCACACGCGGCATTAAGATTAAATAAGGTGTTCCAGGTACCCGTGAATAGCCTGCGCACAGGCGAGCTAGCAGGAAGATTAGAGATATGGATCAAGGCCACTGATAGTGATCAAGGCTATATAGATAACCCACATTATTTATATAGAAACTCTTTGGGCAAAGCTTAGCTAATTTCTTAGGAAAAGTTTGCGGCCTTTCGTTGGCTGAAACCTGGGCTTAATATAGCTACCCTTTACTTTATTAATTATGCCAAAAATAGTGCTATTAGTGGAAAGAATTTCACCATGGAAACGGTAAATGTGGATAAAATATTTCAGGAATTAAACATTTTAAGTATCATGCATCCTGTTGAGTGGTTTTGCATGATTATGTTGACCCGTTATAGCCCAGTAAACTGACACGGGCGCGTTCAAATTAGACTAGACATTCAGTAATTTAACGATATTTACTAGAATTGGGGAAATGTTTAAAAAGCCTAATATATTTGCTATTTTATATACTCGAAGTTCATCGTTGCGTTGTATTAATACTTGCTGGTGTATATCACAACAAATTGCCAACAATAATATCTACTTCAGCCGCCGAAATAATTAAAATCTTTGTCGCGCCAATAAATCTTGCTATTTTACCAGCTGTTTAACAGTATTGGCTTTCTATTAGTTTTTGGTCGTGATAATGACCTGAAGTCGCAAAGAGCTTTGTATTCAGCCTCTTCCGCCTTCCGCAATTGAGCTCATTGTATATACATAAAGATTTGCAGCAGAGCATGTCAGCGATATAAACATCCTCCTGCTGATACGAAACATGGCCGACAAAGAAACGAACATCAAATTGGCAACAGAAGCATTCAAACGCTTACAAAAGCGGGCGAAGCAACTCGAAATAGATAGGAAGAATTTGAGGAAGATCAAATCGCTGAACGCACTCAAAACTTCAAGTTACCGACGGCTAATTGCTGCATTGATATGCGTGGTTACACTGGTGTTATTACCTCCTCTGACATACAAAGGTTTTACTTCCCTTCACGAAGAAACCCAGAAGAATTTCATGCAATTCATAGCCGACAATGTTTTGTATTTTGACTTGGAGAAAGATGTGTGTTTATTACAAGCTGTTGAGCCCTATCTGGATCTATTTAGGCCACCTGTGAACTGCTCAATATGTGAGAATGTCGACACTGTTGATGTCGTCACTGATTTGAGCAAAGATGAATTCTTGCAGAAATATGCTTACACCGGGCGTCCCGTGTTGATAAGGAACGGCAGCAAGGGTTGGAGTGCATTATCCCATTTTAACTTCGAGTTTTTTAAGAATATCTACCCGAAAGGTAGTCCAGTACTGCAATCTGAAGATAAGGATTGTCAGTTCTTCCCATATCGTACGAGTTTCGAAAGTCTAGGAGAGGTTTTTAATATGTCCAAGAGCATGGCAAGAATGGAAGGAAAGCCTTGGTACATTGGCTGGTGAGTGGGTGAGATTTGGGCAATAAACTTTTGTTTACATTTGATTTGTACTTGTTTACAATGGCACTGCATTATTATGATAGCCGCAGGTGTTGCACGTATTGCGTGTCGTCATTTTAATTCATTGTAATAATATACCCTCGTATAACAACACTACGGATCTAACGATACAGATCTAATCATAATAGTAATCTTGTAATCCTTGTAATCTAGTTAACCCCAGTAAATTTGTAATCCAGTAAAACCGCTTTGTGTGTGGCGTCAGCATTTCCTCGTCAATTCTCACATTTTGCGGTTAGATCACAGTGCATGGTTAGATCAAAATGCCCATTTCTGAACAGGATATGACTCGGGTACTTATGAAAATCTCCCTTAGCCTTTGACCATAAAGGTTTTTATTCCGAATTCCTGCTACTTCAAACTCATACGGTCTGTTCAAGCCACGTAGCTTGTGTGTGCATACATTAGTGATACATAAATGAAGTTTGCTCGCTTTCATTTTGAAATCTTTAGCCCCGTAATATTTTTTTTGTCGTTTCTTGAATATAGGAGTAACTGCGACTCCAATGCAGCCAATGTCCTGCGGAAATACTACGAAAAGCCTTATTTTCTACCAGAGGAATCCGAGTCTAGCAGAACGGATTGGATATTCATGGGATGTCCAGGATACGGCGCTCATCTTCACGTGAGTTTTTCATCACATTTCAGCTGCTCCGAGGTCTTCATTTACAAAGCTCAGTCCTTCTTCGATGCCGGAAACATGCACTGCGGCATGTGCAAAGACTAAGTGTCTCATCCCATTCTGTATCGCAGGGACTGCACATTATCCCTTCCTATGCCTATGGGACGTATTTTGGTAATATTCCACTTATCAGAAAAACCATGCAAGATTTGAAGTTTAAAACAAGACAACATATATTCACTGATATATCGACTCTAATCTTTTTCAAACATTTCTTGTTTGACAATGACTTCGAAATAGAGTTGAAATATGACCATGCTGGTTGTACAATATGATGCTCTTCGGAGTATGTTTTTTCAGTCTTTCATGAGTAACCAATCTTGAAATTACCGTAATTCTAGATCGACGCGGTTGGCAAGCCATCGTGGCAAGCCCAAATCAAAGGAACGAAGCAATGGATATTGGAACCGCCTCCAGAGTGCTACTTCAAGTGTCAAACTTCTAAGCATGTTGTCGTCGTGCAACCTGGTGATATTAGTAAGGGCCTTTTTTCATGAAGCGAGTTATCCCAGCTAGGCGAGGTGAACTGAAACTGCATATAATGAAAGACTAATCAGGTTAAGCCTTTGATGTGATGCGCTTTTTACCTCGCCTAGCCCCGGGATAACTCGCTCCATGTAAACTGTCCTATTATTGAAGTTCTCTTTCGCAAACTTTCCGTGCAATCTGGTAACCATCGTCTCACATTTAACCCTATTTGGGCCGCACATTTGACGTGATACTAATAGTCTTTATAGTGCTTTTCCGCAAGTTGTATATACGTTTGATCTGTTGAGATCCACCCAAAAGCTCTAAACTTTCTTCTTTGATTTTTAGTTGTTTTGGACACAAATAGATGGTTTCATCAAACTGACATTATCGGTAGTGACATGAGCATTACTATCGGCTCGGAGTACGATTGAGGCTGAGAGATGTTATCAGAAAGAGTAAAAAGTAGTATTTGACTATGAATAGAAAACAGCCTGTTGAAATCCACGTATATTTGGCCTGCCGTCCAACCATACGATATGTGAGTCTGACTACACTTTCGATGGCAGCAAGTATTTTAGATCCTTCAAAGAACTTTTGTTATTTCCAGTAAGAATTAGACAAAACTGAGAAGATTTTAGAAGTTTTTAGAGGCATCCTGTTTTGTGCCTGAATGCCAATGCCTAAGAATCGAATCGTGAAACATACTTCAAAGTTTTGAGCCCAGTTTGTACCAGTATTGTATAATTCAAGCGAAACACACACATAATCATTATTTATAGAGTTAAATAAAGTATATTTCTTGATGATAGAAGAATACACGGTTTTTAATTTGTCGACGTTTCGCGTTATTGAGGGGCAAAAAAAGTCTCATCCCTTCTTATCCGAAATAGAGGTATTTACTACTAAAAAGTTTTATAGATTTCCTGCAAACTGCAATATCTATCAATAGACCTTTTCAGCTTCAAATCACATGGTCTGAAATGGTAAAGTTTTATTGGCTATTTGATGGTCACAACATGTAAGCTGAAAAGTTTACATGTGATCATTTGCATGCAAGCTGAAACGGTCAATTGTAGGCGCACGTTTCAAATGAACATTTTATTGTTGATAGAGTTTGTCTACATCTAGAGTTTGTCTATCTGTAGATGGATGTTCATAAACTATTTTTCTGTCTATAGTTCTAAGGTATTTCTTCAACATCTCCTCTACTTTGGTCTTGCTGTATTCCTGTCTCGTCTTGTTGCGTTATCCAGCCTGGTCATCACCAGACCCTGCTGTAGTGGTGCGATGCTCCATAAAATAGAATGCTGCATCGGTAATAAATAGAGCAGCTGCTAAGAAACCAAATACCTTGAAGAGGAAAAATTTAGTTAAAATAGAATGAATACAAAACATCTTAATCTTGTCCATAGGTAGACTTATATCACAATCTTGTGTACATACCACTGCAGCTTCAACATTCCTACAAGGGACACCTTTCTTGTCATATACATCGCAGGTATCCACAAATATACTATCAACTTTTCTTACACTGCGGCGAAACTTTCGAGCTTTTTCCGCTACAAGCGAGGTTGATATTACCAGCAGAAACACCACAGTGGCAGAATATATGGTCATCTAAAATGGTCACAAGATGCAGTTGGAAATAATTCCTGAATATCACATACTTTGTTCATTTTAGGGAATTGCTCAAACTATTTGACAAGGTGATTTAGAAATGATACAGTTGTGGATGCTGTGAACCATAAGTTATGTTATAGAATCAGCACATCCACAATGAACCTTGAGGTAATTTCTAACGCTATATGCATATGGGTAATTACAGCAGGATGTGAAAAGAATATTACGTAACTGCAAAGGTCCAGTTAATTGATACTCTGTCTTGAACACCAGATGCAAATATGCAAAACAAAAACATGGTGATCAACCATGCTGTTATTGTGACAAAAAGAAAAAACTTAAATGAACCATTGTTTTCCGACTTGTTGCTAAAATCCGCCAAACACGAGAATGCGATCAAGAGAGTGAACTAAAAAATAGACCAAGGAAAATTGTAACAATGGAGGTTTAAATCAGCTTAAATTTGCAATGAGACTATGCAGCACCATTCATACTTACAAACTCAGCAATTTTCAGTAAACCAGCCCAACTCTTTACATAATCAAATCCAGACACTTGAGGCATTTTTTTATCTTAGAAAAATACTGCAAGAGAAAGTCAATTACTCAATTTATCATGAATCGAAACTGCATTGAAAAAATCAAAAGTGGATATGTGCTGAACTATCCTTGCCAGGTTAAGACCTGTTGCATTAAGAGATAATCTAAGGAAATGCCTAAAAGTCTGTATAATAGGCGCCTTATCAGTTTATATTATAAATAAACAAGTTGCTGCCTTGCTGGTAGAAATATCTTTGTAATGGAAACAGTTGCAGACTGCATTACCTTACATTTTGAGTATTGGGCATTTAAATACACAATATCTATCAGTGACACGATACTGCACGTTAGTACCTTCTCAAAAAATATTTGTTGCCGAACGTTTATACATTGATATATTATGTATATTTTTATATATAATTGTGCCCAAAGAATTGTACAAATGCAAAATGTACAAGATAACTTACCCCGAACTGGTTAAAAAACGTGTTACTACTGCAAGAGGAGGAAGTTATGAATACAAACTTATAAGAGTTGTAAAGAAAAACAAAGAAGAACTATATAATTACAGAAATTTCCGAAATGCCAACAAGGCATTTGTTGTTTAGTTTTGCACATTTGTCTTCTTCTCTTGTATCCTCGTAAGACCCACATCATCCCATCTTACTCCCTACGTCTTATCCATAGATTATACCTTTTTTCCCATTGCGTTCGTTATTACTCCTCATTTGATCCTTCCTAATCCGTTCCTATCCCTTAAATTCTTTCGACCAATCAGAAAGTCGCACTTTCGAAACAAATTGACGGGAAATTAATTTTAAATATGGCGGCAAAACATGAGCGAAGGAAAATAGCAGAAAACTTTATCAATGAGCAATGAGCGACCTAACCAGCGAAAAAAGTAACTTTTCTATGTTCTCATTTATTTAATATTTGTAGGACTAGCTCATAAACTGGTCTGTTAGCTGTAAGCTGTTTTTTAATGTATTTTAAGGTATTGATCTACCGGTTCTTGTGAGGGACTCCGACTTGGAAAAGTATCCGGAATTTAAAAAGCTGTTGAAAACTTTGACGAGATACGTCGCAGAGGACGGTACCACAAAAGAAATAAAGCAAGATTACACCAAGGTATGAATAAACAAAAGTTCGATTATGTATTTTATATTTGTGTTGTAAATGAAGATATTTTCATTCAGTTCATAGCGTGACTTTTCAGTTATTATATTCGTCAACACACTCTATTCACTTTCTATCATAATTCACCCCTTTCAGACAGCACAATCTATGTTCAATCTTCGGTATGCCCTAGCCTATCATTGCTATTAAAGCTAGATCTATACAACCAATATTCTCAAGGTGAAAGATGCTTTACGACAAGAAAAACTGCAATATTTCCAAGCTAAAGTTGTTTATGAAGAACTAAAGGAAATCGTGTTTGATTATGAAACAAATAAACTTGCCCAAGAATCTGAATTTTCCACTCAGGTAAATTTGCTGAATGATCCCACAATGGGGTATAAAATCCTGTTGATTTTGATAATTTTATCTTAAAGCATTGTGTGTTGTTGTTTCAAGACTTATAAGGCAATGAAAGAAGCTTTAATATCAGCTGAAGCTGTGGACTACCTGGATTTTAATCCGGAAATCAGTGGCACGGATGTGACGCTTCTTGGTTTGAAAGCTGACAGACTGCATCAGAGTGATCCAAACAAAATGGTAAACATCTTTATGGATTCTACCATGTTTGCTCAGTCGTTAGAAAAGGTTTGAACAAGTAATTTGTTTCTTTCTCAAAGTTGCTTCAGCAGGGGATTATACCTGAGCTGGAAAATCGTCTTAAATCAAAATGTGAAGAAATTGCCCAGTACCACGAACCATCAAAATCTAAAGGTACATTGATATTTAATTAAACCAAAATCGTGAGGCCAGATTTCTGCTGTAGTGGCATGTGGGTTTATCGCAATTTCAACCACTGGGTATGACTCAATTTTCCTTGCATAGAAACAGACTCAAAGTTTGCTTTTGCCAAGGCAACACAATTTCCTGCCTTGCTCGCGGAGGAAAAGTCTCATTTGCAGGAGGACAAAAAACAGAGACAAGCTGACAGAATGTTGATGAGTGCACAACACGTCCAGTATTATCAGGTCAGAAGGGATTGGTCCAACTAGATTTGAATAGTTTGGGATGTTTAGGCCAGATAAGTCATTGAAATAAGGAGGATATATGTGACTAATGTGAGGTTCAAGTTTTCATTTTGTTTTTCATAACCAAGACATTGGTGCGTTCTTTGGAGGTGACAGAGAAACTCATCACCCAATACAAGCTTGAGTGGCAGACGAAATATGATGAGATAACCAGTGATTGGTTGGCTGCAAAATGTCAGGCAATGTGCCTCAAGATAAGGTAGCAAACCCTAATCCAAACCCTAATCCTTAGCCCTAATGTTAATTCAGTAGTAGCTCAGCCCTATAATGCTAATCCTCAAACAGTAATCCTAACTCTGAAACTAATCCTATAAATCTTGTTTAGGTGTTAATAAATTCTGCTAGGAATTTAAATCAGGCGTAAATCCTGACATATTATTTCATCATTTCAGGGTCTTGCAAAACCAGTTGCTTTGTGACACATACTCGCCAGAATCAGTCACAGCCTTGAAACAAATCAGGTAAGTGAATAGAACCCTTTGGTCTGCTAGCCTGCATGGCAGGCGGTCTCTGCCATGCAGGCTATTGGTCTGCTGGAATGACCCTTGGTCTGCTAGACTAGCAAATCAGAGGTCATGGGCTCTCACTATGATCAAGCTAATTTTTTCAGTCTGCCCTATCAGTAACTCCAAGTAGCACCACCCCAGTACTTCATGTTGCCTTTTCTTTTCAAATTGCAAACAGGCAAAGTCTTCAAGCCAAGGAAAATGAGACAAAGAAAGAACTACATCATGTAATGAAGACATTGAAGGCATACAAATCCATTGGGATGGGATTCGATGACCTGGTTGAACTGTATGGTGATATCATAGCAGAGATCGACAACAAGAAATGGGCTCTGACTGAACTACGCCATGGCGAGAACAATGAGTTGAATGACTTATGGAAATAATACAGTCGAATGGAAGAATCATTTAAATAGAAAAATAGTATACTTGGAAAGTGCACCAAACTTAAAACTATGCTTAGGACTGCTGCTTCTTACCCAGGCCTTTCGTTGGACACAGTTCAGTGTCATTATATAGATCAGTATCCTTGATAAATCGTTAGGCAAAGGTCTGTTAACACCTGCAATTTTTGCTCCTGATAGATGTGAGCGAGTGGGACGGATCACGGATGTTCAAACGAGGGCGCCAACCTCGTACCCAGGGTCTTTACGAGTTTGCTTGGGCACTTGTACTCTTGTACATCCGAGAATTGATATACTATTCGCTCGTTTGCATCCTTCAAAGGATGAAAATTTGTAGTGACATTAAAGTTATGCTCCTTGAATTCAATTGGGAGTCATAATTTCAAGGAAACTAAACTCTTGGCTTTGAGAGGAAATTGGGTTACATGGAAAGTATACACCCTGCATAGCAAGAGGCTATTTTGCCTGCAAGCCTCTCAATTCGAAAAAATTACAACTGCATTTTAAGATTAATGCCTGTTTACATGGAGCGAACCCGGGCTAGGCGAGGTGAAATGACTGAAATCGCATCACATCAATGTCTTAACCAGATAAGTCTTTCATTATATGCAGTTTTCACCCAACCTCGTACCGTTTTTACCTCGCCTAGCCTGGATAACTCGCTTCATGTAAACAGGCCCCTTAGATAACCAGGATGAACTAAATAAACAATGCTCTAACGCATTAATTGCATGACTGATTTCCCTCAAAGCTCAAAGCACGCTTTGTAACCTTGTATGTTAATTCAGGCAAATGACCGTGTTTTGAAGTTTATCAGAATCATGGTCTATCTCTACCAGGGTTGTTTTGTGTTTAGGACTACATGTAAATCGTTATCTTAGAAATCCTGTGTGCTACTCGATTGTATTTATAAAGCGGGAATAAAGTTTTATCGCACCAAATGTGGCACTTTAAGGTACTTTTATTTGTGGTCTTGGCATCACCGAGCGAGGTTGGTTATGCATTCGATGGATTTATGCCGGAAAAAAATCTGTATTTTTCAAACCCCGAGTCCTTATCAAATTTGCTGTTCCACGGAGTTAATCAAAAGTGCAACGAGACTTTGAGAGGATTAGACACGGACACAAGATGGCGATGTAAGGAATGAGTTGCTTCTATAGTTCTACGGCCATGATTTATAATACTATGGGGTTGAGTCAAGGAAATACTTCCTGGTATACCAAGGGAATTTTTGTAGCTACTGATCTGGTTTGCTAATCAGACTATGTGCACACGGTAACGTTTCACTTTCACACGAAAACGGTTTCAAACACGATCAATTTTAATACAATAGAAGTTGAAGCTAATTTAACATATTGAGCATATTTTCCCTTGGATTGTGTAGACAAATGCGATAAACTAGACAAAGAAGGTATTTAAAACGCTCGTAGACGATGCTCGTGTGCACATAGCTTCAGAGGCAGAGCCTGTTTATTTAAACCTTGTTTATTTAACTAGTCAAGACACAAAGTCATTCAACCGGGCTAATATATTGTTATGTTTGATTAAATTTTGAATATGCAAAGTTAATTAAGTTCAGCCCCTCACTGAATGTGTGGAATTGTCACTGACATTTCTTTGACTCAGTCTAGATTTAGAACAGCCTGTCGGTACGTCTTCCAGCGTAAGGAATAGTTTAGAATTGGTACATCTTAAGCTGTCAAGCTGTCACCAAGAACGCCCCCGTATATTAAAATGTACATACACCAGACACAATTTCCCTGTTTCATTCGCCTTTGGGTGGTTTCCATCGTCTCCCAAGACAGATCGCCTTCCCGCCCAAGACAGCCCCACCACCGAGCGTCAGGCAAAACAAAAGTCGTAGAGACATGAAATATGTTTAGGACGACATAAATATGTTTACCAAATTTCATCCGTATCAATTTTCCGTACCAAACCGCAGCTCGTAATTGCATTTATCTTCGCGTAATCCTTATTTTCATTTGTAGATTTTGACAGTTGGGGTAAACCAGGCAGTGGAATCTTGAGCGGAAATGTCAAATGGTTTGGTGCATTCGACCAGTGCATTGAAATTCCTGATGCTAAATATTGCCTTGTTACCGTGCTGGGAAAATTCCATACCAATAAGGTAAAGTCTGGTTTTAATAAAAGGGACATTCTTTGCTTTAGTAAAAGAAGAGAAAATAAAGAAAAGGATGGTAATTTGAAAAATAGACTTTGAATGGGTCTGTGGGGGAATTTTAAACTACAGCTTTTATCTATGTACTAATAGCTTTTATCCATGTGAGAGGGCAAGTGTTGAACTTTATTTTGCGACCTAAACTTAGGTGTGTTGTAGTAGTAGACGGCCAACTTAATCCTATACATTTTAGACTCTTCCAATCTGGTACGGTATTTGTGTTCCAAATGCCTGTGACGACGCAGATATTTCTATTGGCATTGAAAATTTTTTCCACAACGGTTGGTGACTTCATAAGAATTACCTTCAACTTTTCATTCGAATATTTTTCGTTATTATATATCTTAGAGATACATTAAATATATTAGATATTATCATTGTCTCTCGATCTCTATAGTGAGCAATCGTTTCTTCCCAAGTATTCGCAAGCTTGCTCTCAGCTGTTACAAAGAGCAATCGTATACGACCGCCGTAGTTTTCACTATGTAAGTATTCGCGTCGCTTCACAACTGCCATGATGAGCCACTAGCAGGTTTGCCAATTTTCCTTAACACTTGACGAGCAGATTCGTCTGTTTTTTATTCATTCTGTTCACACGATCCAGTTTTGTCGCACCCAATTCACTTCTGATGTATGGGATATAGTGCATGCATGTATTATCGATAAAGCAATACTGAATTGGCTTCAGCGTATTTGCTGCCCATGCATATTCATTGCAAGTCAACAGACTATTAGACATCTATCAGAGGTGAATTGGATCCAATAAAATTGGATCATGCATGAACTGACCTTAATACTAGAAGATTTTTCTCATTTTGGATCGAGGCTGAAGGTCTGTGCATCTTCCTTTTTTAGAATACTTTGCGCTGTTGTTTTGTTGTTCTGTGTTATTGGTACTGCCATCGAAATTTCGTTGGAATCGTTCGTAGATAATGGCAACGAACTGGATTATTACGTTAAACAGAATGATATCCTGAATCGGGACAACAAACCAGAGGAGTGTTCACTTGGGCCTAAATTGATCGATGTTAACGAAACGACGCCATTGATCCGACCGAACAAGAAGCAAAATGGTTAGAAAATTTGCATTTGCCAGTTCTGCTAGTTGACGGGGGGCGTATCTTTAAGGGTTAACGATAGTGACGGTCTGACGGATTGGTTATTTTAGAATGGATAGGAAGGCTAATTTTATAGTTCTTAATCCATATACGTATATCAAACATATGTTTTTTCAGGTTTTATCGACAGTGTAAAACTTAAAACCCCGCTCGAAAATGACACAGCGTCGTTCAAGGAAGACACAGTTGATAGTCGACATAAAACAAAACCTAATGGTAGGTACACCTGTTAAAATCTTACGAATCGAGCATTTCATTTTCGGTGCTTACACAATACATCTGCATGGTTGCCATTTGTGCTGGTTAGCGATGTTTTTCGCCTTATTTATATTTGACTCTGTGCATCTGATATCAATTCATTTCAGGTATCTTCGTCCAAGTCTTTCTGTGTTTTTCCCTGCTCCGCAATACTCGGGCCGTTTTAAAGACCGATGTTACACCTGGTACAATGACCTCGTTGAACGGACTACGAGTAATCTCTATGTTCTGGATCATACTATGTCACCTGTATGTTTTCGCCAAGCCCATAGACGGAATCGTTGGTGAGTATGTAATCGCATTATTCGCATATGCATATGCCATCAACGATGGCTGTCTGTCTAGACCAAACCTGTCCGTCCAGACCAAACACAGCTGTCTGTTTGTCAACAGTTCGCCAAACTTCATACAAAAGGTAAATTTTACCCGATTCAACTTACGAAGTATTTCCATGCACCATGAAATTCTGTATAGATTTTAGGATCGCTAGGGAGTGCAGCTCTTGATATTAACTAATACTGCAAAGCAGGGGACAACGTGATTTGAAATCCTGTTGATTTTGGGTGGCTGTGAATCAAGCTAACGTAACATATTTTGTTCGTTAGAAAATTATCAAGAGCTCAATAAACAAGTGGAGAACTTTTCTATGATGGTTATAGCAAACGGCTATCCTGCTGTAGACACATTCTTCTTTCTGGGGTAAGGGCCATTAGATGGCAGGCAAATGAATATTCCTTACTGCGAGACAGGGCCACTATAACGTCAGATTATTTTTATCTTTAGTGGTTTGCTTTTGATGTATACCGTCATGAAGAGTTTGAAAAACAACGACGGTGCGATACATTGGGGAAAATTTTATTTACATCGTTTCCTAAGGTAATCCAAATGAATTCTTTTTAATGCAAACATTAGCGGGAGCTTTAGCAGTGACTACGAGTACGAGATTCGTCATTCTCGTGCGCGGTTAGCTTACGCCATCAACCAAAACTCGTAGTCGCCGAGCTTTTAGCCCCGTTTACACTACACTCGATTTATTGGCACGGCACGGCTAAAATGGGTACCCGTGCCCATTTCATCCGTGCTCGGCCTTTGTTTTGGTAGCCTGAACACTAATAAAATTGGGTACGGGTACCAATTTTAGCCGTGCCGTGCCAATGAATTGGCTGTAGTGTAAACGGGGCTTTTGAGTCACAGCTAATTTAAAAATTTTTTATCACTGCACATATGATTACAATAGTATAGTACCGGGTATAGTAGATTATACAATTGGTACTAATTGGAAATTGGTAATTTAAAGATGGATGCATGAGATGTAGGGGGTCTGCAGTACCTGCCACAGAAAATTTTCTGTATTTTGAAGTCCCTATGACTTGATTTCCAGCATTTTGGGGGACAATTACTGACGAATCCGTGAGTGAGGTCTGTTGAAAAAATACCATTTGACCATATGACCATGGTCGTATATTTGCCATTTTAGTCCGGCGAATATATGACCATGGTCGTATATTTGCAATTTTCCGGCGAATATATGACCATGGTCGTATATTTGCAATTTTCCGGCGAATATATGACCATGGTCGTAAATTTGCAATTTTCCGGCCAATATATGACCATGGTCGTATATATTTGCCATTTTCTGGCGGGCCAATATCCATGGTCGTATATTTGCAATTTTCCGGCCAATATATGACCATGGTCGTATATTTGCCATTTTCCAATATATGACCATATCCGGCGAATATATGACCATGGTCGTATATTTGCCATTTTCCGGCGAATATATGACCATGGTCGTGTATTTGCCATTTTCCGGCATTTTCCGAGTGCAAGTTTGTGGTGGGATGGGGCAGGGAAAGTGGTCATTCTACCTACCCCAAAGTTTTTTGATAGCAACCCTGGTAACTGATTTCACAAAATGTAATTTCAGGCTCACGCCAGCGATGATGTTCGTGATCTTGTTCGTCGTTCAGTTGGAGCCATTTGTTGACAAAGGTCCCCTATGGCAGCAACATCTCAACAAGCAGACGTGTGACGAATATTGGTGGACAAACCTGCTGTACATTAATAATTTTTATCCGACAAATCCTGCGACAGATTCGGTGAGAAAGCATCTGACTCTAAGCTAGTTTCCACATTCCACTTGGGCTGTATTTCACCTCAATCGTGTCGTAGCGTACAATAGCGTACCTCCTTGTTAGCCGTATCTCCTTGTTCAACTAGTCGCTTTAAAAGAATGAGATACGCTGCGTTTCGCTACGATATAGTTGAAGTTGAAAACAGCATTAAGACGTACGACTGTGTGTTAAATATTCTCAAATCTTAATTTAGTGCCTGAGCTGGTTATGGTATCTTGCGGTGGACATGCAATTCTTCATTCTCACCCCTATCATAATTTATATTTTTTACAGGTATGTATGTGACGCATGACGTAAAATACAGCTATATGTCTATGGTCATACCAGTTGTACGGCGGCCATGATTTCGTTTCCATTAATACAATTTTCGTTGTAGATATGAGTATCGTGGTGTGATTGGTTCATCGCTGTTTTTTGTCATTTCATCGATCATTTGCATTGCTGTCATTACAAAGAACTGCGACATACATCCTATGTCAGCCTCAATGGAAAAAGCTTCAGGGTAAGTATGAACATAGGCGGGGCCTTGCACGGAGGAGGAGACTGGGAGCAACAGGGTACTTTCACTGCCATAAATAAGGTTATTGATGTCAAAAGGTTACTGACTGTGGCCTCATCTACGTCGGTGATACCGGAATATGGTATATTCCAGCTTGGTAATGAAAAAAACCTTGGTAATGTATCCGGGTTATAACTTATAAAGAAATAGTTAATTGAACAAATATTTTTTTATATAGAACTTCCGCAGCGGATATGTTTAACTATCTCTACACCAAACCCTACTGTCGAGTTCATCCCTACATAATAGGCCTTGCATTTGGATACCTCGTGCATAGGGGAGTATTCCGAGCCAAGCAGTTGAACTGGGTATCTATCACCTATGCATTCTATACCATTCAGTGTGTAAAGCGTGTCTTACAATAAACCCCATATATCCCCCATGGACACACCTTACCACTCCTTCAGGAGGAACCACACAGCACTAGCAGAACATGCTACTCTTGGACAATTTTGAGCCTCAGAAAAAAATCATGTTACTTAACAAATATGGCAGAGTGCCATAAATCTAGTGTAGTGTAGTTTTGGTTCTTGAGGGTTAGAGTGTGTTCCTTACGGGGCTCTTACGCAACACGGAATAGAACCCTGTAATATTTTTTCAAGTGAAATTGATTTCTTTCCATTTCTTAGCTTTTTGTTGTTGTTTTGTGGTTCATTGCGGTTGCTGCAGGATTGTCTATCATCTACGGACCGTTCACTGCATTACGCGAAGATCCAAGACCTTGGACAATGACTGAAAAGATATTCTATAATTCCACACAACATCTTGTCTGGGGGCTTCTTCTCGCCTGGGTTACCTACGCTTGTGAATTCGGCTATGGAGGTGGGTGTGGTCAATTAGAGAATAATATAAGTTCGACATCGCAAAGAATTCAGCCGCCTCATGTGCAACGAGATTATGGTGGCCAGAATACCCCAGTTAGGGGGTTGTGGGGCAACTTTCCCCCTTGCCCCCACCTTGCCCCGCCTTGCCCCCGCCTACTATTTTCGACACAATGTTTACCCCGTCACTTTTTATTGTAGGCTATGTTCATGAATTTCTCTCCTCGAAATTTTGGATACCGTTAGGTCGACTTACATACTGTACTTACTTGGTACATTGCGAGCTGATAAAGGTCATGTACGCTGGATACAGATCCGGATTGTTTTTCTCCACGCACTGGTGGGTAAGTTCACACGGAGACCCATTTTGCTATATCTCGCTAAGTATACGCGGATATACCCACATGCAGGCCAAAACATGGCCGTCAACAAATTTGTCACGACCTGTTGACTGTTGTGACAGCTGGTGCAGTGCCGTGCAATGACGCTAGTTCATCTAACACCACCAGTGAATAATAATATAAATAATATAAAGAGGCAGTTGGTGTTGCTTGTAAAAACATTAATTTGCGCTTACACGCCACCACTTTAGCTGGCCTATTTTGATTTTAGACGAAAATATCTGTGGGTATCTTACTATAGTATCCCTCCGTCCCGTGACGTAAATATAACTTCTAATTTTTCTAAGAGCTTCAATCGCTTTACTTTAACTCCTTTTCCCGAATCATTCTAGGCATATCTCTACTGTGCAGTGTTGTTGATGTCTCACGGAATCGCGTTCATCCTTGTGATAACGATCGAATATCCCTGCGCAAATCTGGAAAAACTTCTGCTCGGAAAGAAACGAAGAAAAGATCAGAAATAGATGAGATCCATTCTTGAACTTATCAAGTGCATTTAATTTTGGTAGGCGATAGCAATATAGGTAGGCATATTTGTAGTTGGATATTCTACGAAAATAATGGAACGAAAGTCCGCTTAAAACGTCTATAGAATTTACCAATTGAGTGAAATGGTATAAAAAATTTAGCTTAATTCCTGTATCATTGAATGCTTAGCATTCATTTAATTTATATTGTATCTGATTGTGGTAGTAAAACGTTAACAAACTATATATTTTTTCGTACATTTCTGGTAGTCTTTGACTAGTAATAGTGACATGGGCAGTGTATTGTTAGGCTTTTAGCTCACGGCCACCAGCCCTAAACCGACTCAGAGCGATCAGTTGGCAATAACCATCATTTATAACCACTGAGCTATATACTAACTCCTGGAGGACTTGCGAAAGCATTAGCGAATAGCGAAACCAAAATTGCGAAGCCGAAGATGAAGTTTGAAATCATATTTCATGAAAACGGACAATTGTTTAGGATCGGGTATGCTTTGTTGCTTTAAATAGTATTACAGTCACTCTTTGACTATGAGTAAAATCTAAGTTGGAGTTGGTCACACGGCTCTTTGTGACTGTAGTGTAGCCCTTTGTGACTTTGTCTTTGACAATGATTAAAATCCATGCTATATCTGTACAAAAATGACAGCATGAGTGCCATTCAATAAAAAGGCAGCTGATTCTGAATAATCTATTCTCATTTCTCATTTGAAGAAATAACACAAATGTGAACTTAAGATTGCCTGGTTGAAAAACACGAGTATGTAGCACCGTGATTGTCGTTTTTATCTATTTTGGCCTTTTGCCAGTGCTAGACCATCGCATCATTTGTCGAAAGCTTTTGTTCTTTATTTGAACTAATCCTTTTCGAAGAATTTTAAATTAAATAGTAAATTCGTTGGGAAAAATAGCACCGTGCGCTTACAACTTTTATTGAGCACCATTGCGCAATATCAATATTTGATAATGACGTCACTTCCTCCCAGGAGTCAGACGAATGTCAAAATTTGTCATCAATGTAAACCTTTGTAACCTTTACGAAATATTTTTACACAATTTTGCAATGACGTTTTTAAAATATCTTTTTTTTACTTGCACGTCGTTCGTTTTGTGTATTGGCTATGGGAATGGACAAAGATACAGCTATGAGGCGCCAAATATAGCAAGCAATACTCGGAAGGAGCTGGAAGTGGCTGGACCTATCATTGAAAACGCCGTTCACCTTGCCTTAAATCACGTCCATAGTTCGTATAAGAATACTTCAGGACATCATGGCATATTGAAAAACTTGACGAGGTTTTTCGAAATTATATATCCTTGTAAGTATTCGTTAATCGTTTTGTATCAAAATAAATAATTGCTTGTCAATTCGACGAGATATATTGGTGAGATACTTGAGATGCTTGTGGAGGATTTTAAGGGCACGTATGACGTATCGATAGAAAGTTAGCAGAAATTTCAAATGTTTCAGGCTGAGAAGGCTCAGCCCCTGTTTAGTCAGGAAAACTTGGTGTACTTAGGTATAGAAAGTAGTTGAAGCTCCACCAAAGAGTGTGTGCTTCTTCCTCAAAGTTTGTTCCACTGTAATGCAATGTTCAGAAAAGTCTAGCTTATTCAGGTTAAGTAAACAGTGCAGCATTTTCCAAGAAATTCCTCCATTTTAAGTATGGGCCCTGAAATAGGTGTATCTGTTTACACTTGGTAAACATTACAATGAATATCTGAGACAGGTTTTTGTTTGCTTTCCTTAAACAACTCGTTTTATTTCCAGATTTTGATGCATCTGGAAAGCTTCCAGCTGGTCTCTCTCGTGGCAATGTGAATTGGCTGGGTTCGTTTGACATCTGCGAGGATATACCAGCTCGTTACTGTTTGTTCAGTTTTAACATTTCATCACAAAATCAGGTAAACTTATATGCCTAATGATGGATCATGCTTTGAAGCTCTCCCTGATGACTTACTAGAATCATCACAAAATTTCTAATCTTTTCTCATAGACACTTACGATAAGGTTGGCTGCATGCTTACCACCTTCATCACCTCACAATGGAACCAATAAAACAGTTGATCTCCATGAAGTGTTTGGAAATATGATAGCAGAAAGTGAGTTGATGTATTGTATGTTATTAGCTGTTGAAGGACAATATGGTAATTTCTGTTGACTTTCACAAAGAGTCTACTGTATGGCATAGCATCCAAATAATGCTTCTCATCCCAACCAGGAACTGACTTTTCTACAAAAGTTATTTAATAGAGCATTGAACCCAGGTGCTTTCCTGGAAGGGTAGGGTCACAGCTCCTTGCAAGAATAATTTTCATTGGCTGAACTTTACAATACATTTCTGTTTTCTGTTTGAAATTGAAATTGAAAATTGAAAAATTGAAATAGTTTCAACCAGTAGCATAGCTTCGTTCTTTAGAAAGCATAGAAAAGCATTATCCAATTTGATGAAAGCTTCTGAGCACTGTGACATGTCCCTACTGGAAAACAAAAGGTTGACATTTTGTGACTATATAGAGATCAGAAGCTAAGTAGAGCTCGCCCCAGTGTCCCTGAATTATAGTATACCTCAGTGGCTGCGCTCGTTCCAGTTAACATCTGATCTCTATATAGTATCTGAATGTTGTGCCTTATATCTTCCAATAACGGACGGACAGTCTACTACGCCACATTTTAAGGATTATATATACAGTGTTCCCGAGACAATTTCCTGCACGTTATAAATGAAAGTTCTTTGTTATCAAAACATCGGAAAGCCAATAAGAGGCGATGATCTAATTTGATAAACATCTATGATCATCTGGTAATAAGACAAACCTCTAGATATTTCAATTTTGAAGTGATATTTGGGCAAATAGATTTTTGTATCGATTTATTAACAAATAATATCAGAAGACGAGGGAAAATGTAGACCAAACCTTGGCTATCATATTTACCTTGGCCCAAGCGACTACGAAGAGGCACAGACCACTAGCTTAAAAAATGCTATGCCATCACTTTTTTGGAATAAAATTATGGGCTTTTCTAGTACGAACTCGTGCAACGTAGCTATAGGGCATTGAAGAGTTTATCATCCTAGGTGAAATGGTTTAAGAATCGTAAAGAACCTCTCCTATATTCAAAACATCTTCCTTTATAACATCTTTGCAATCTTATCGCTTTCATATCGATTTACCACAAAGCACCACCAGCCTACCATCAGTTGTTCATCTCGGCTCCAGGCAGATAACGCTCGCTTCTTTCAACAAAGAATCATTGCTCGTTAGTAAATGTCTTTCCAGATTTAGTGTGCCCCTCAGATTTAAACTTTAAGTAAAGGAATAGGATTTAAAAAACGAGATAAAATGATCCTGGTAGAAGAGAAGAAGAAGAAAAAGTGATCCTTCCGACAAAATGTACAATCTTGATTTGCATTGCTTGTGCAGGTTGAAAAATGTTTCTCAATGTTCCACCGGTGTATGTATGGTCTGATAACATCTGTATTGGCATAACAAGAAAAAGATAACAATCTGAGCCAGAATTCATCTTCACAAAATTTACAATCCTATCTGGTCGTTTTTCAACCATCAATGCGCCACGCGCAGATGAGATCACAAAATGCTGTACTTAAGACTAAAGATCTGCGGAATAACAAACCATTGTATTCAGGCCAAGGTTTCTTCAACAACGTCTGGCCGAGTCGTATTCTTGAATGAGCGATTAATCAATCTGCAGTTTCAGCTTTAAAATATTCAAATTCACCAGTCGTTTCCACAGCCAGGATTGTTCAGTCAATATGAGAATCACGCTGTTGTCAATCCTGGTGTGTTTATTCGTTCTTTTCATGATTGGAATAGATTCTATGACACCAAGGAACATTGTTCCAAACGGCTACAGGCTTATGAAGGCATCCACGAACGAACGTGTCCAAGAACCTGATCCAGGCATCATTTCAGTGTCTCGAAGACATCAGTTTCCAATAGAATATTGGCGCGTACGTGGATCGACTAGAACCCAAGGGAAAGAACGTGATCTGGCTGTCAGTCACACACAACGAAGACATCAATTAACACGCCACCACGAGCATCTCAAGACATCATCGAAACATCCACATGAGCTGAAGACATTTTCCTCATCGCGAAGGCATCAATTCCCACAACACCACAAACATCTCAAGATGTCCACAGATATCCAATATCATGTCCCAGGGCACGAACCGGGAACGAGTTCCTCATCTCGGAGGCATCATTTCCCACATGACCACAAACATCACAAGATATCCACATATACCCTAGCCCCAGAGGAGGAACGTGGCACGATTTCCACATCCAGAAGACATCAATTCCTACGACAACACAAGCGCCACAAGTCATCCGCTTACACTCGTGAGTACGAACTAAGAACAATTTCCACATCTCGAAAGCACCAATTTCCACGAGACCACGAACCTTCCACGAATACTCGAGAGCTCGACCCGGAAACCAACTCAACACCCCGTAGAGACCATTTTCCCGCGCGGGTAAACTCCTCCACCGGAACATCTGTTCAACGGCCTGTTCCCGGAACGAATTCAACAACTCAAAACAACACGTTTCCACTCCATCACGGACAACTTAACGCGTCCATTGCGGCACCAGGAAGAGACCCCAGGCTGGGATCAAATTCGACAGTTCCGGCGCACGCACCTTCAAGATACATTGTACATATTAACTCAACCACAAAAGGACTGAGAGGGAGCGCTGGAAACGGATCTAATTCCACTATCCCAGTGCACAAACTTTCCAGATACCTTGCACGTACGAATTCATCCACAAAGGCGCTAGGAGACAACTCAAATTCGACTATTCCGATGCGCGCGTTTTCGAGGTACCGTGGTCGGGCGAATTCCAGCACAAAGGAAGTAGAGCAAGGTATTGGTCAAGAATCCAACTCAAGCGTTTCAGTTCACACTCTTTCGAAATACCGAGGACGCGGGAGTTCAACTATGAAGGTACTGACCGGTGAAGCGGCACTGGATGGCAAATCCGCTGATGCGAAGCGATACCACAGACATGTGAACACGTCGACAGTTTTTCAAGAGCCCTACCAGCAGACAAACTTCTCAGCCGGAAACTACACGTATGCAAGAGCTCGCAGAGATCTTGGCTACTCCAATGAGACAGCAACTGAAGATCAGCGCACGAATACCACAATATCTCGAAGGCAACAATTTCCCGCGGAATACAAGCCGTTGAACATGTCAAACGAGGCAGTTGTTCTTGCTCCTAATCTTGAAACAAACTTCACAACTCGGAGGAGCCAAGTTTCAAGTCTCGGAGCATCAAATACCTCGCTTGTCGGAATGTCATAACTCTATGCAATAGACTCATTGCACTGACATCATAATATACTTATGATCTGTTCGCCAGATTCTTCTTTGCATTACTAAAAAGCATAGTTCAGCGAGTGATAAAGGCTCATATGACTGACAGATAACGAACCAAGTGCATTCGGGCTTCGTTAGTTTATGTTTAGGTACTTCATGAAAAATCTACATTATATGTGCAACATTTATGCAACGTCAAATGACATTTTGTGCAAACGGTCTATTAGGTGTGTTCATAATATTGTAAACATTACTAATCTAAATATATGTATTAAAAAAGTATTAAAAAATAAAACTAGTGTATTCACCATTCTATATCGTTTGTATAAAATTTATATTTGCACGTTTGTAAAATGCTCACTTTATCGAGGAATTGACCATGTATTAGATCTTTCGACCCGGTCGTAAACCTGGAAAGATGGCTCAATTCAAAGGCTGTGAAAGTTTAGTAAATTCAAGAGCTGATATATCCCTCGACTTTCTCTCTGCAGATGCAAACAGGAATCAGAGAGGAGTCAATATTACCTTCACCGGTTCTGCATGCCCCGTAAGACCAAAATACACTACAGACGTTATCGTTACGATGTAAGTAAAGTCTATCAGCAGATAAAGTTATTCAATACCTGTGCGAGGCTTATCATGTGTACGTATATGGCACGCAGAAGACAACAGGTCTGGAAATCACTCTCTCCAATCCCTTCGCATCATTTCACTTGGCTATTAGCCAATCAACGGCTATAAAACCTTTTAAGCCCAGTTTACACATGCTGCGATTTTATGTGCAATTTCTTCTTTTGATAGATGTAAACAAGTGAATTAGTTACTGATGTTCAAATAAAAGCTTTTATACATCAGAGCATTCGTAACTAACTACTCTTTCACATCTATCAGAAGAAGAAAATCGCAAGTGTAAATGAGTCTTAGACATGATTATCATTTTCGTAGAGCTTTTTGCGGTTTTCTGTTATTTCTCTGCGTCCTTGGCACGATCGTAGATGTGTTTGAATGGAATTCATTCGGTACTAGTCCAAAATCAGAGCATTACATCAGAGCATTCGTAACTAACTACTCTTTCACATCTATCAGAAGAAGAAAATCGCAAGTGTAAATGAGTCTTAGACATGATTATCATTTTCGCAGAGCTTTTTGCGGTTTTCTGTTATTTCTCTGCGTCCTTGGCACGATCGTAGATGTGTTTGAATGGAATTCATTCGGTCCTAGTCCAAAATCCTTGGATGAGTCAAATTCCATCAACAACCATCAGAAGGTAAACAGTGTTCAGGACGAGGAGATACCATTTCAAGCGTCGCTTCAGCCTTACCAGAAGAGTACGGAGGATATGAACACACCGCTTGTATCAGGACGCACGATTATTCATGATACCACGGCAAGCAAAGGTCGCGGAGGTAAGAGCCATTGACAGTTGATTTATAGTTTGGTGTTGAGCTCAGTGCAGACAGAGGGCAAGGGCCGGTTGTATTAAAGCTGGATAGCGCTATCCACCGGATAATGGTTTTTTCAATCGTTCTAAAACCACCCGTTGTTTGCTATAACTTTGATTAAACTTTAGTATTCCTAAATTGAGGATCCTCCTTTATAATTGTCAGCTTCAAAGCTGCAATTTTATTGCTTTTCCAACATTTTTCCAACGGTTGGAAAACCACTCACTATCTAGCAGATAGCGCCATCCAGCCTCTGCCTTCGTACAACCGACCCCCAAACCATAACCACACTTAACTAGCCAGATAGAGCAAGCCATATTCAAGCAGAATATTTTACCAATATTTTAACCATGATGGTAATTTTACCAATATTTTATGTTTTAGGAGTATTTTTGGATTTCCTTCGCTGTTTCTCTCTGGTTCGTAATACGACAAAAATCTTCAGCACCAACGTACCACCAAAGGTGATCACATCAATCAATGGTCTGCGTGTCATCAGCATGTTCTGGGTCATCCTGGGTCACACGTTTTTATTCATGTTGACCAGCTATATAATGGGTGAGTCGGCCACATTTTCAGGAAAGCTATGAAAATCATCTTTGTTTTCGAACCATTTCTGTTTAATAATTTCAGCAAATCCAGTCGATTTGGTAGAAGATACGAGCAAATTTTCCATGATGGTTATAATGAATGGCTATTTTTGTGTTGATACCTTTTTCTTTCTGAGGTAAGAACCAATCATCATCAATAAATAATCATCAAATAATTATCATCACAGATAATTGTGATGAAGAATCAACATAATTGATAAGAAATAATCATCATCAATAAATAATCATCAAATAATTATCATCACAGATAACTGTGATGAAGCATCAACATAATTGATACAGCGTCTGATTTAATAAAAGTGTGGTTTCCCTGAATTTTCGGTTTCTGTTTCATAGTGGTCTGCTTGTGTCCTACACGTGCTTTAGAAAATTAGAGAAGTCCGAAGGAAAGTTCAACTGGTTTCTTTTCTATTTTCATCGTTATGTAAGGTAAGGTTTTGTGTATTGAACTGTAAAATACACATGGTTGTACATGGTTGTACATGGTTATACATGGTTGTACATGGTTGTATATGGTTGTAGATAATTGTACATGGTTGTACGCATACTTTGTCACAGTTCCAAGGGTATAAAGGCTCGTTTACACATGCAATTTTTGGTGCGATTTCTTCTTTTGATAGATGTGTACGAGTATTTAGTTACGAATGCTCGGATGTATATAAGAACTCTCATCGGAACATCAGTAGCTAATTCACTCGTTCACATCTATCAAAAGAAGAACATTGCAGCTAAACTTGCAAATGTAAACGGGTCTTAATACTTCATTGCCAAATGGTGACCTCAGGTAATGTCCGTTATCCTGAGAAAGTAAAATTTTTCTGTTTCATTTTTCCTCAAGATTGACACCTTCGATGATGTTCGTAATCTTGTTTTATGTGAAGCTCACCCCATTTCTCGCGTACTCGCCAACATGGACGTTGCGTAAGAACGAACACTGTCAAAAATACTGGTGGACCAACTTGATCTACATCAATAATTTTTACCCGACCAAGTTTGATGATGAGGTAATGGACTGTCATTCAACAAACTTGCGCAAGAAAACAGGGAAAGATTTGTTGCAAGCTTAGATACTTGTACTAATGTACCCTGTCTAAAAAAGCGATGTTTGGAATGCCTACAGGGATGTCAGAAAACAACGTTCTCAGAAATCATTAAGCAATTGTTTGTTTCTTTCCTAGTGTGTTGGCTGGACTTGGTATTTAGCAAATGATATGCAGTTTTATATCATCTCGCCGTTTGTGCTGATATTGGCTCACAGGTTTGTAAACTTGTTTTTAAAAGAGGATAACTTTTCGTAGAGAAGCATCACAATTCATCGTCTTTGCTTTTAGCGATTGAAGTGAATTGGCAAAGTAGAAATCCCGTTTTTTTAATTCTCTTTCAGATTTGGTCGGGTTGGCTTGTTAGCATCCGCAGGCTCACTTTTCATGGTCAGCACCATTGCTCTCGCATCCATCTATGGTCATTATAATATTGATCCTTTGGCTCTGTCCAAATGGGGCCAGTCGGATCTTTTCAAGTATGGACGCATTACATTGTTTTTCTTAAACTCGTATACGATGGTAGATTTTCCTATATGCAGGTAGACTTGTAGTCCGATCAGGGCATTCTGATCCGGCTAGATGATTGGTGATCCAGCTATGTCATTCCTGATCCAGCTAGGTCCTTGTTGATCCAGCTAGGTCATTGTTCATCCAGCTAGCTAGGTCATTCCTGATCCAGCTAGGTCCTTGTTGATCCAGCTAGGTCATTGCTCATCCAGCTAGCTAGGACATTGATGATCCAGCTAGGTCATTCATGATCCAGCATGGTCATTACCAAGGTTACATCAACTCTCTCTTGCTCTTCTAGTCCGGCGAAAGCTGACTTTACTAAAATGGTATATGACAAGCCATACTGCAGGATACAGCCTTATTTAATCGGGATGATGCTTGGATACTTCATACACAAAAGTTATAGTGGAACAAGAAAACCAAACTGGGTGAGTTTTTGTCAGTGATGTGAACAAGTCATTTTCACCTATGAAAAAATCTCTCATCTCTCATCAGTCTCTCATTACTGAAAATGCCGTGTTCACGTTAATTACGACTAAATGGCAACCAGGCATAATATTGCTGTATTTCACTTTCTCTATAGTTTTTTGCGTTGATTGCCTGGTTGGCAGCCATTGCCATTGGCATCACCTTGGTATACGCACCCCATGACGCCACTCTGAAAGATGGCCGAGCTTGGAAGACAGCAGAGAACGTGATTTACGGGATGTTCTCGAAAGCTGCTTGGGGCGTGGCACTTGCGTGGGTCGTGTACGCTTGTCACTACGGCTTCGGTGGTATGTCTAGATCTAGTGCCCGCTGTATGTCTGACCAGAGAGTTGTCGACCCCGAGTTTCATTGCATTACTTCATTTTAGGTTTGATTCAAAGGTTCCTGTCAGCGCGGTTCTGGATACCGCTCAGCCGTTTGACTTATTCAACATACTTGGTACATCCTATTGTATTGACGTACATATATTCTAGTTCAAAGACAACCCTATACTATGACACGACAACCGTGGTAAGTAGACTCTCTTGAATGTATAACTACCGACATGCATATTTCATGGCAATTCACTTTAACATCACTTCATAACACTTCAAACTTTCTCTTGCGTTTTTCTAGACGTTTTACTTCATAACAGCCGTGGTATTATCGTACGCGTGTGCCTTCATCCTGTCCGTTGTAACCGAATTTCCTTGCGACAACCTGGAGAATTTTGCCGTCAAATTATTTGGGAGAAAGAAACGATTAAACTAAGTCTTAATTTACTCAGTTCCTTTTTAATATAGTTTCAGGCGTAATTTTATCCAAATTAATCATTGCCGATTTGATCGACAGCCGCGACAATTGCTCGAACTTTTCATTTTATGTCGGGTTCCAGTCCCTGGAATACGCACGCGGAACACTAGGTGTGGGTAACAATTATACCCCTGGGGGACCCGGTACGTCCATGCTATTGTTCTCATTGTCTTTGGTGATAATTCGAAGCCTAAATTACTGAATATCAATTTCCTTAAAATAGATTATTTATAAATAATAGAAATTCATTTTGTATTTTCGTTTGTTGTGGGTATTGTTTTGCATGTAAACACAGCAAGGAATGAACACATTTGAAGCTGTCATCAGTTAATTTAATCTTTCATTGAATAAGCGTTGATTTGTGTAGAAGAATAGGAAAAACAGAGATGATTTTGTGTAGCAGAATAGGGAAAACAGAAATGATAAACTCAAGTAGAAAGTTCCGTTCCTGTCGATATATTGGCCTTGTAAACTGTGACGTTTGTGCTTTTCCTTGATATTAACTAAATATATAGGTCTCACCACTGTTGGGTCTCACGCATTGAGATGTGAAATCTGCATAAATTTAGCTGGCCGCATGCATGGGCTGCCCCTTGTGTATCATATTACAGCCAGTATTTGCCCTTTGTTTTGTTGGTATTTTGTCAATTTAAAAAATGGCTTTCTGTGCAAAATTGGTACTCCTTTTCGCTGCAAGCTTTTGTATTCTAGTCACCCCGGGCGAATCCCAGCTACCAACATGGCTTGCTTTGCTGGGAAATATGAACAGGACCGCAATGGCTGGTCTGCTCAAGCAGTTGAACGTCAACTCTACGCTGTCTGATATGCTGGAGCGGCTTAATTCAACCGACGGGCAAAAATTGCTGCAAGGCATCACCAAAGCCGTCAGTGGAATGGATGTTCTATCGCTGTTCGGAAGTCAGATTATGAACACTTTGCGACAGATGCCACTTGGAGAATGTGGTCGCGATTTGGAAAGAATAAGTCAAAATACAGAGGAAATGATCGCCTGTAAGTGATTCGGGATATGCATGTTGTCGACTAGTATGTTAGCAGGAGGATTTGCGTTAACCAAGCCCTGTCATTCAACTATGATCATTCCGTTTCAACAACAACAAAACAACAGGTTGCCGGTTGTATCAAACCCGTTCACTACGCCTGCGGTTGTTAAGTTCAAAATAGAAAGGTCTATCGTTTTATTCAACAACCGAGCTAAATGTTTTTAACCTGAATGCAAAGATACTGTTTACAACTACATATTCAGTGCATAATATTCAAGTTGACTCATTCAAGAGAGATGTAAGAGTGTTATTTAATTTTGACTTATCCACCGTTTAAGCTAAACGGGCTTGATACAACCGGCCCAGTAATTCATCATTTGCTCTGCGCGACGCCAAAGGAATTTGCTTATTAACCAATGCCAGTTTCTAGTGTTTGTTTAAAACTTTAATTAACATCGATGCATGACCTCGAAAAGTCCAAAACTTGCAAATTGTTTCAAATCATGTAATCGTTTCAAATCATTTCCCTGTTTCAGAAACGTCTCTGACTCTGTGTACCAACTTCAATTTATGCGTCCTGTGCCGGTCTGTGGGCTGTGGTGAAAATGCGTGACCATGATTAGGTACACGGCAGCGATATTGCTTTGTCATTTCTTGTTTGCTTATACTCTAGCCGTGTTTGGATTACGACCAATAAAAACATATTGGCTATACCTAAACTTAGCTTTGAACTTGATTTCCGGGTGTAAAAGCACTCGTATATAACGTAAACACGGCTCCTTTAAATTTCAAATCAAGGGTCAGATAAAATTTTTTTATTCGGGCTTTTCACCGTGAGAACACGACGGTTCGACGTCATGGTCAAATTGGCAAGGCACGGCTGCAAATATTCCGTGGAATTCTCGTGTAGTTATTTCTATCCTTATTTGCAAACTGGCATTGAAACAAGCCCGTGTTTTTTTCAGATTTCGATGCTGCAGGCAAGCCGCCCAGCAGCATCACTCGTGGTAACCTGTACTGGCCCGTCTCCGTGGAACAATGTCGGGCAATCTCGAACACTCATATATGTGGATCCTCCATGGGCATTTGGAAACCTTTGGTATGAAGTTTTGATCTCTATATGAACTGTAACCACTGTAACGCTATCTTGGTCGTCATGACGTCATTGAAGGACGAAGGACGACCTTTATGTAATTTGAAAATAACTTCAAAGATGTTGACCAAATAACCGTCAGTTAACATTCCAATTCAAATAGACTTCAGTGGTTTTTAACAAGGCAAAATGAGCGATCATGCATTTGAATCCGTTTTCCACAGTCTTGACCATGCATCCAACTTTACGCATGCATGCATCTAAAAAAGATTTACGTTGATCTTTTTTTGAACCAACGACGTTTTTCGTTCATAGTCTTCTGAGATAGTATTATATCATTCCTGAATAGGTCATTCAGGGGTTCACGTGGACAGGATGTTTTCCGAGCAGTTGTAACCAGCAGAATGTCTCCGCTATTATGACAGCGGTTACGACACAAGGTACTGTATACGTTTTGATAAAACTAACTACATCACTTACTTGGTACATAGAGTAAACAAACCTACATTTCCCTAAAGCCCAATTTAAAAACAGTTGTGTTTACGTCGCGAAGAGGTAACATGTATCTATCTTCAAATTTTTGTTAGCAAGTATAGCTCTGCATCCAGGGACTGGTTGTGTTTGAAGGAGTGAATAGCGCTATCCACCGGATAGTGATTTTTTCAACCTTTCTAAAAATGCTTATAAAGCAATAAAATTTTAGCTTTGGAAGCAAAAATTATTAAAGAGGATCTTCAATTCATAAATACTAAGATTTAATCAAAGTTTCAGCCAACAGCGGGCGATTTTAGAGCGATTAAAAAATTCAGTATCCGGTGGATAGTTCTATCCGGCTCTCATATACAATCTCGGCCCCAATTGAATTCAATGTTTCGGCGTATTATTTGTTTTAGTGACGCAATTGACCAACCAGGGTCTGACGCTGGTACATTACGTCTCCTTTTGTCCCTCTGGAGAACCTTCCTACGACACTGGCGCTATATGTACACTGTATGTATATATATACTGCATGAATGGTGAGATCTATTAATTCACGCGTGCTTCGACGCTAACTTGCATTATAGAATTAAAAGTGAGAGATTCGTGTAGAAATATCTAGAGTATATTAGGCAGAAACAAGGGTTCTGACGTTGGAAGCAAATTGAGCCACTGCATGGGCGTTGAGTTTTAAAATGAAATCCATCATACCTGAAGTGTGCAAAACACTTTCGCGACAGGCCGGCAGCTTAAGTGTTTGACTTTTAGTTTTGCAGACAAGACGATATTCAGTGTTAATTCGCGAATTTTGTCGTCGCTTGCTGCTGTTTCCTCGAGTTGAGAGTAATCCACATTCCTCCACCGTTTCAATTATGTTTAGTTGACTAAATAGTAAAAGTGAAGACTGAGGAAGATGAAGGTGCTTCAGAAACATGCACCAATATTGAACCATAATTACGCCTACATGCAGTCAGCATACTAATCGTATATCGAGCGGAGAAGCCGAGCAATAACCAGATATTTTCTTGTATTTTATAGTGTTTTGTGCGCGTTATTGTTACTGCTATGTCTTATTGGAACGATACTCGACATGATCATACAAGCGTTCGATGATATCTCAAAACAGAATACCCCGTCGCCCGAGCAGACCAACAACTTTGCATTACAACCGGAGACACCATTTGAGGGACCACAAACACAAAAAGATGTCGAAAAAATTACCGAAGAACCGCCAACAGAGGTTAAAACTACCTCCGAACCGCCCAGATTTCTCAAATGTAAGTAATGATTTTCAGTGTATATCATCTCTGAACAGCCAGTCATACAATGAAAATTTATAACGTGAGTATTATATAAGTAAATTTTGAAAAAATTGGACATTTTTCTTCTTAAAAAGTTCCATAGCTATAGTATAAACAATTACGCCATTTGCTGTAGTCGTATATATATGGATAGCATGCAGATAATCAGCTTGGCATCATCTCGTTAGCTATCAGCCCTTATATACATCAAACTCGTATGTGGTATAATTCTTATATAATATATGTGTTATAAGCAGATTTATAGATCTAAGACCTAAGGCAATCCCTTGGCCTTGTAGTCAGGAAGATTTAGAGAGCTTTAGATTTAACTATACGGCTCCCGACGTATGAATGAACAAAGATGACGCGAAAATGGCGAATAAAAGGCGAATAAAAGGCGAATAAAAGGCGTGAAATAGGTTGACGTCCTCATACTTAATCTGCCTATTATAATTCCAGCGAGTGTCTGCGAGGTGTTCTTATGTTTTTCTCTCATTCGTAACACCAAGAAGATATTCAATACAGATGTTCCACCATCGGCTATTACATCAATCAATGGCATACGAGTTATCAGCATCTGGTGGGTCATTCTCGGACCCGTTTTCTTGTATTTTGTCCTCAGTCCAATTGTGCGTAAGTACAGTCGATCATTATTCGGTCATTGCATGTGTTAAAGCTCGTTTATACACTTGCGAATTATGCTTGCTGATTTTACGTGCGATTTTCTTCTTTTGATAGATGTGAATGAGTAATAAGTTACGAATGCTCTGGTGTATAAGAACTCTTATTTCAACACCAGTAACTAATTCACTCGTTCACATCTATCAAGAGAAGAACATCGCAAGTGTAAACGAGCCTTTTTGCACCTCGTTTTGTTCAGTTAGATTTAGAGCTCTAAGAGTACATCTCGGTTAACTCAGTGCAGATATGTGGATTACAAACTCTGGTCAGACTCACTGTATCATCACGATTCATTCATTTATGTGTTTATAGAAAATAAAATACAATATGTCGAAGATGCTAAGAAGCTCTCCGTAATGCCTGTGATCAACGCTTATTACGCTGTCGACAGCTTCTTCTTTTTGAGGTACAATATTTATAAGTCTTTTGCCTATTTGTCATAATCATATTACGTTTTGGTGATGGTGCCTGCTGTTGGAGATCGTTACAAAATAGAATTGTGATGGTACTTACCGTCATATAGTACTATGGTGTTATTATGGTGGTACGATGATAGTAAAATTGTTTTATGAATATTTTGAGCAGATAGTCTATTGTATTCTTTTGCAGTGGTCTCCTAGTGGCCTACACGTGTTTAAGGAAGATTGCAAAAAATGATGGGAAATTTAACTGGGTCCTGTTCTATGTTCACAGATTTTGGAGGTAGGTTTTGGATAGATCGGACATGGTTGCCCGTGTAGTCATTCCTTGGGATCTCACCTATCCAGGTAGTACACTTTGCCCAACGCTTCTATCTTCTAGTAGTCAAACCAGAACAGGGATGGGCACTCCTATCAGTCCTCCGAAGGGCACACTTGGGGCTGACCCCCTTATTTTCACTCGTTTCTTAACGCAGGCTCACCCCTTCGTACATGTTCGTTATTTTGTTCACCGTCCACGTGAAAGGATTAATATCAGATTCTCCCTACTGGAACGTGTATTACAAGGATCCGTTCTGCGAAGATAAATGGTGGACCAACCTATTGTACATCAATAACTTTTACCCTGAGGAGTTTAACGAGCAGGTACATGCCCTAGTCACCTTACTTATATAGCTTACCTTTAATCAAATGGATTCCCGTACTTGCTCGTAAGGAGCAGAACATCCTTCTGTACATAACAAGGCGGAATTTCGGCAAATTTGTTTACATTTTTCAGGCTAATCCAATCAGATTGCTTAAAATTTCAATACTTCATGTAAAATGGTGAATAACCTTTACCTTTTTATTTACCGGGAATAGTCAAAATTTGAGCATTCTTATTGGGTTTATAAAGTGAACAAATTTGTTGATTGGTCTACAGCGAAATTACTCTTAGTTTCTTTACAAAAACGTTGAAACCGTGTTATAATTTTAGTGTATCGGGTGGACATGGTATCTGGCCAATGATATGCAGTTCTTTGTTATATCTCCTGTTCTGTTGGTTTTGGCATACAGGTGAGAGTGTTCGGCATTCCCAGGAAACAACTTCGTTGGGACATTTTGCTTTTTTGATAAATAGATTCTGAGAAACAGAAATAGGGGGGAATGAATGGAAAAACTAGTTTTTAGAATACAGGCTTAGGTATTAACACTTATAGCTGTGTATATCACGGTCATACCAACAATTCACATCATTCACTCTTCGCGTAGACTTACTCCAAGTCTCTCTTTGTGGTAAAATTTTACGATTGTACATCCTGTACTTTTCTTTCATCCTGTAGGAAAAAATGGCGTGGGTTACTCATTAGTTCGGGAGCATTGCTGTGCATAAGTTCTATCACAATTGCCGCACTTATTGGAGATTATGACCTTGATCCTGTGGTTAACCTCAAGTCCATTGTCCGTGGCTCACCAGAACTGTGAGTGTCAAATTTTTCTGCATGCTATTTTTTTCGTATATGTGATCGAGTGAATGTGTTATACGGATGTTCAAAAAAGGCGCTTCGGCTATGTCCACACGAGCGTCGTTTTCGAGCGTTTTCAAATTTGTTTTTCGGTCTATTTTATTGTTTAGACTCCCTGTCCACACGATCCAATAAGAAATATGCTTAATTTGTTAAATTAACTTTAGCCTCTCTTGAAAATTCACGATGTTTTCGTATGAAAACGAATGTGATAACGCTCGTTACCGTGTGTACATAGTCTGATACACATAGCATTTACAGCTAGTTTTACTCGTTTATACTTCTGCCAAAAAAAAAAATTGCACCTAAAATCGCCTGTCTGGCTTTGAACATAAATACCATCAGAGATTAAGCTGATGTTTTTGCCAGGGAGAGAGAAAAAGTACTTAAAGGTGACGCCCCCGTCCCCTGTTATGTCAATCTGTACTTCAGGGGGGTGTTTGCGCCAAGATAAGTCATCCAGTGGCGAATATCGTCCATTTTTATATTTAGTCATAAAAAGGCAGCGGAATTTGATAAGTATGTCTACAACAAACCTTACTGTCGTATTCAACCTTATCTCATTGGATTTGTCCTTGGTTATGCCATTTACGCAAAGTACCGCGTGCCCATCAGAAGACGCGGTTGGGTGAGTCAATTTTGTGCTTCGAAAGACGAACGCAAAATACTTCGCTTTCTCTTGTGGTTGTAGCCATCTTTAAACAAAAAAATCTAGAGCCGATAGTGTCATTTATAGTGTATAAAATGTTGAATTTCAAATATAAATTTTCTTTTGCACATTAGAGTAAGTTCCAAAGTTCATAAAGAATATCGTCATGTTCATGATGCTGATCTAATTTTGGACAATTTGTTTAGTTGAGTGAAACTAGTTCTGGACCAAAGTGCATGATCCAGTTATTTCACTTTGAGATAGACGGACATCATGCACTCACTACAAAGTTAACTTTTTTATTCGTGTCAGAAAGTAGATCTCCTGTATATTCCATATACAGTTTCACATCCAGAGAGATCATGTATTTCAGTATCAAAAAGATAAGTTTCGCTTGAGATATTTTTTCTCTTTATTCTCTGCTACAGTTGCTTGCCGTTATTGGTTGGTCTATAGCATTTGCCATCGCTATGACAGTCGTGTATGCTCCTTACCAGTCAACTCTCCCGGGCAATCGTGAGTGGAATAAAACAGAAAACATCTTCTTTGGGACATTCCAACGTCTTCTTTGGGGCCTGGTACTGGCTTGGGTCACGTATGCTTGTCACTATGGATACGGAAGTACGTATAAAATAATATGAATTGTTGTCTGAATTGTTCTCCTATACAGGGTATCCCAAAAAAGTCCCCTCTATTGAAATCAAGCTTGTTAGAATCTGATGGCCAGTAATATTATGATGAACCCAAATGAAAGGAAGACTATTTTTTTGAATGCCTCAACGTAATAACTATGCTGTTTACAAACTACTGCATTGATCATGCATTCAAATTCCAGCAAAAGCTTCATTTCAATAGGGGGGACTTTTTCGGGGGATACCCTGTACATACGATAATTAGGAGTCATCATTTATGTATTATTTGTCCTCTGAGCCTGTTTTGTTCCCAACCAGTACGGCTTTAAATGAGGACCTTCTTTAAATTGTTAATCATTGTTATATAAGTCTTGGCTCTATGTCTTATATCTTTCTCAATGTCAGGTTACATTCAGCAGTTTCTGTCAGCGAGATTTTGGATTCCCCTCAGCCGCCTGACCTATTCCGTGTATCTCATTCACATGGTTGTGATAAGTTTCATGTTTTTTGCGACGACTCACCAGGTCCACTACGACTTATTAACCGCCGTAAGTATGGTGAATACGCCACAGTTTGAAACACAAAGAGAACACAATCCAACACATTTAGTATTGAAAAAGTTAAGCTAAAGTTCTCTATTATCTAATGCAAACTTGCGAACCAACATTTTGCACTAATTTTCCATATTTTACCATTGAGCAACATTTAATAAAGAATCTAACTAAATTCAATTCGTTTTTTATTTATTTTCTCTTAGTCCTACTTCTTCATCACAGCGACAGTTCTTTCTTATGCGGTTGGTTTTATCCTGGCTGTAGTCATCGAGTTTCCATCGGAAAATCTGGAAAACCTCGCTCTGAAATTGCTGCGTGGTGAACGAAAAAGCTATGGCGTTAAGGCTTAGCCAAACTGCAAGAACACGTATTTTCTCTTTTGCTTTTTATTAACGCTTTTTTTATACGCGAATATATAGTAAGTATTTGTAAAATTTCTAAAAATTTCTGTAAAAACGTAATGTTACGTAATGTGCTAAAAATAGATTAGCAAGACGCTGAAGAGTCGCTGATATTTGTCGCTGACTAGTTGAGTGGACACAACCATATTTGTACCGTTTTGTGGCGATTTTTGAACCTGAAGCTTTTGATTTTTCGACTGATTGGAGCTGAAATGAAACAAGGATGTTTTGTCTTTATCTTCCCTATAATAACGCTTTTGTGCGCTCCGTTTGGGAGTTCTGCAATGCAAGAATCTGACAGGAATGCCAACGACACTGATCACATTATTAAGCAGAATTTTAAAGACCTCGCAGCCCAGGAAATTGGTTATAACTTTTTGCACGCGTACAGGACAGCTCTGAGAAATGGTTGGCGTGAAAGTAAAGCGTCGACAGGACAGAACGAAGTTGTAGAATGCGATGAAGATATTTCAAAAAATTTGATGCAATGTAAATATTCCATTTCGTTTGCCATGCCATTTTTCAGAGTGAAAATAGTACATTAGGGCCTGATTCCACGGGCACTTTTTTTCGGCGAAATGCGAAGTATTTCGCTTGTTTCTTTCGAATTTCGTCCACTTGAATGAATGAATTCTGCTTGATTGCTCACAATTCAAAAGAAGAGGGCGAAATATGTCGCATTTCGCTTGAAAAATAATTTTTGCCTGTTGAATCAGGGCTTTAAAACGAATCTTCCATCTCACCCAAAGGCGAAGTTGTGCTCATAGGAATTATGTGATTAGTTATTGTCCTCTGATTTTGTGCCTGTGTTAATTTAGTGAAAGGTGTCTGAACCAAGTCCAGTGTTTTTGTATTGACAGTATTTGCCATGCTGCCAGTAATAATGAATCAGTGGTATACACCAGAAAATACTCTGTAGTATTGAGGTCACCACGTCCACATGATTTTACTTCTCAGCACTGAATACTATTGACACTATTGTTGATCATAACATTCACTTTAGATATTGACGCTGTTGGTAAGCCAATGAGTGGCATTCTACGTGGAAATAACTTTTGGCTTGGCTCATACGGTGAATGTCGAGATATATCCAATGCACATTATTGTACAACAAATTTGGCAATAGCTGTTGCTAAATTAGGGACGGTAAGCTGTTTGTTAATTTGATATAGTTTAATTTCTTATGTAGAAATACTGTACATGATGTGCATTCACGAAACACATGCATATTTATAGAAATTGAAGAACCTTAAAGTCATCTGGGGTTTATGTTTCCCAAAGAGTTGTACTGGTCAGGATATTGCAAAAATTATGAAACCAATCTTAAAAGAAGGTAGATTACAATACTCTTGAGTTCTGGAAATCACTGAATAATGTGTTGATAAAATGGCCTCAACAAGATAAATATAGTCCCAAAGTTTATGCATTTCTGAGTGTCAGAACAGGATGGTCCAACATGAAGTGTTTTTGCCATTGACAAAGAATGGTGGTTTTCTGTCTGTTAGCCACAACCTGTACAACCTTGCATCAATGTTTCTAAATCATTCAAATCCTTTTTAGTGGAAGGGCTTACCAAAGGCCTAATAAGTGCTCAAATAACTGGTAATGTAGATTGTCCTGCTGTGAAACCAACATATACCTCTGGTGTTAAGGGCACCTTGTAAGTAAAATCTTTATTCTTAACTTTGAATATCAGCAAGATTGTTAATATAGAATTGTATTCTAATTGTACTGTATACCCATCACCATCTTTTCTTGGAAGTTATTCCATATTTTTTTCTTTTACAGCGTTCTCTGTGGTATCCTGATATTCCTTTGTTTCATTGGCACCGTGGTCGACTTAATGGCTGAGACATTTGACATCTCAATTCCTGCGGATAAAGTAAGAGGTCAAAATTACATGTCATTAAGCAACAAAACAACTCGAGAACCGGTATTCAATACTTCAATTGAGGTGAATGGTGGCGACTCTGCTACCAATGATGTGATTGCAGATGATGTAGTTTTGCTTAATTTCTCAAGATTTTCAGTCAAATGTCATTATATTCTCACTGCTTTCAAAGGTATTTCATCAATTCAAAATAATACTTGTTAGATATTCGTATCAAATCATCATGTACTCATACTCACATTTTCTATACCATTTTTTCGCTATTTAGCAAGTTTTGTTGGCCAATTTTTTCAATGTTTTTCACTCCTTCAAAACACCACAAAGATTATGAAGACAGACGTTCCACCAGCAGCTATCAAGACAATCAATGGTATTCGGGTGCTGAGCATCACATGGGTCATTCTTGGGCATACATTTTCCTCTTTTGGTACTGATCGCGTAGGTAGGCATCTACAGAAGCTGTTATATCATCTTGCTGGTACAGCAATTTTGTTTTTCTGTATGATTAAATATAAGAACTACATCAACAACTAAGCTGTCTTTAGACTTAGTTTGTAGTGTTGCATAAAAAAGAGATTGATTTAAGTTTTTTGGTTACTTGTCTTTGTCAATTATATAGTGAACAGATTGGAAATTAACAAAGATGGCCAGTTGCTTTCAGTGATGGCAATAATAAGTGGAACATATTCAGTTGACTCTTTCTTTTTCCTAAGGTGTGTATCAGAGTGTCTGATGTGAACCAGGCTGGTGATTCATCTGTTAAAAATACTCATTTGTACTCATTTGTTTTGCTTAGTGGCCTTCTTGTTGCATACACCTGCTTCAGAAAACTTAAAGATAAAGACAAGAACTTCAACTGGGTTCTCTTTTATGTCCATCGTTTTTGGAGGTGACCTGAAGAGAGTGAAATATTCACAAAAGATAGAGAAAATAAACTTTTTATTCTAACTATTTCATTTTTTCCTCCCAAATTCAGGCTGACGCCATCCTATATGTTTGTTGTTCTCTTCTCAATTCATCTCAAGGGTTTTCTGACTGAGGCTCCAAACTGGAACACACAGTTCACAGATCAGTATTGTAACAAATACTGGTGGACAAACTTGCTTTACATCAACAACTTCTATCCAGTTGACTCTAGCAAGGGCAGTGTAAGTTAAAATAGAAGAAGAATCTTATTGATGAGGGGAATTGTAAAATATCAAAGAAATAGTTTTAAAAATGTTCTTAATTCTGCCCTCATGCAGACTGCAGAGATATGAATTAACCGGACCAATCAAATTTAGTCACCAGAAATTACTGAAACACATTGGTTTTGATAGATAAATTTGCACTGCCATTTTCAGTTAACCTTTGTTATCTTTTTCAGTGCATTGGATGGTCTTGGTACTTGGCAAATGACATGCAGTTTTTTGTCATAACTCCGTTTTTAATAATTCCTCTGTTTAAGTAAGTATAAATGACATGCAAGAGGAGTCTCTTTAGGGGGGTGGGGGTGGAGTGGTTGTGAGTTTTGAGAGGTAGTGTACCTGGTTTCCTAGTGTAGGTGAGGATCTTGGAGTGTAACCACCAGGGTGATGAACTTGGAGGGGAACGGAACAGAATATGAAATCTGAACTAGTTAAACTGGAGCTCAGAACAAGAAAGTGACGTCAGCAAGGTGACGTCATAGAAAGTGAAACTCGTGCGCAAAAGACTGGGGAAAGAGCTATCTTGTTAAAAATAGAGTTTTGTCAATCAGAATTGTTTTACTGTATAATATGTTACTTCGTATCGTTTCAGGGTTGGTTGGCGGGGTGTAGTTCTAACTCTTGGTCTGCTTCTTGAGTGTACAGTGATAACAGCTTTCATTCACGCGTATTGGGACATTGATCCACTGGCTATTTTTAAATTATTGACTAATCCTCTTGCGTAAGTATGATGTCAGTCAATAAAGACGTGACCTGAGAATTAGACGGGGACCAAGATAGTTTTTAAGACAGTTTTTTAAAACTGTTGCATCAAACCTCGTACTATAAAAGCCCGCAGCGGAAGATATCCGTGATGAATAAAATCTTGTAGTGCTACTAAATTTCCTATTCATAGCGAATCTAAAGTTCATGCGATTGTTATCAGAGTGAATGTTTAAATTTTACGAATATGGAAAGGCCGTGTAATTAGTTTATTTTGACCTTATACCTCCCTGTAGAGTGGCGGAATTTGGGAAAAGCGCAAATGAATACATGAGATACGTCTACATCAAACCATATTGTCGTATTCAAGTATACTTGGTGGGGTTCCTCGTGGGTTATTTCATGCACAGATATAGCAACACAAAGGCTAGAACACCTGGCTGGGTATGTACAAAGGACAAAGGACAAAGTTTGTACCGAATGACGGGGGCGGGGGTGGGGCTGCTTCATATCCCTAGGGCGCCGGGGTAACTCCCCCTCTCCCCCTTGCAATTCTTTATTCTACCAAAATGTGCTCTCAAAGAGGCAGTTAAAGCTTTTAGACTGACTATTCTTGCTGTTATCACTCAAGTAGGGCATGACGAATTATTGATAGAGGCCATCATTAGGCTCGTTTACACTTGCAATTTTTGCTGCGATTTTCTTCTTTTCGGATAGAGAAAAGAAGAATGCCCTGATGTATAAGAGGTCTTATTTGAACATCGGCATGCAACTAATTTACTCGTTCACATCTATTAAAAGAAGAATATCGCACATAAAGTTGAAAGTGTAAACGGGGGCTTAAATTTAAGACCGACTTAAATGAATTATTATTGATTATTTTTTCTGAAACTTTTTTTCTTCGTCTTGCTGAAGATCACTACTCTTCTTGGGTGGTCTGTGGCCGCGGTCGTAGCCATGCTTCTAGTGTATGGACCACACAAGAGTATCTTACCGGGCGCTGAGGAGTGGAACGACGCAGAGAATGTATTGTTTGGAACATTTCAAAGATTTTTGTGGGGTCTGGTACTAGCCTGGGTTACTTATGCTTGTCATTATGGCGCTGGAGGTTTGTGTAGAGCTCCTTTTGAAGATTGAATACTTTTACAGAATAGAAAAGCTCGTTCCTTGGGTACGATTTGACCGAACAAGATGAACTCAGACAGTAATTCACTTTTACGCCTACTTTTACGCCTTTTAAGACTGTTTGACAGAATTTCGTTTCCATAGTTTCTTGTTCAAACATCACGCTTCTGCAAATAAAATACAATAATTTCATTTGTTCCAGGTGTAGTTCAAAGGTTCCTGTCCGCACGATTTTGGATTCCGCTCAGTCGGCTAACCTATAACGTCTACCTCATACATATTATCATCTTGACTTTGATGATCTATGGTGCTCAAGGAAACATACATTACGATCTCTACACAGGTGTAAGTATTACTGAGATATGTGATGATTGTGTACCGGCGCAGTTTATAATTTGCGGGTTCAACCCAGTCAACTCTGAGTTGTATTAGATAGAGTTCACTGGTTCAACCTCAAATGTCTGAGCGCCTATCATGCACTGGAGTGAGCAAATGATACGACTCTTAAGACGAAAATGTCAACTGATATTTCACGTTTCTATAGACCTATTATTTCCTGGCGTGCGTGGTTCTGTCCTATGGTGCTGCGTATATTTTGTCGGTTGTCATCGAGTTCCCGTGCGCGAACCTTGAAGAGCTGATTATAAAGTACATCAGGAAAGCTCGTAAGAGAGGAGAATAGGAACTAGACCTCGCAAAGATGTGTGACGTTTATATAGGGAAGAAAGTAAATTGAAGTTAAGGCTGTCTCCTTGGCTTATGTGAAGTTTTCAAACCCCTATGTGAAGTTTTATTCCGTTACGATATTGCAGACTTTTTAGTCAAATTTTAGGATGACTTAGCTAATGAGAGGATTGTTTTACTTTAAAATTTTTCAATTTATGACGCGACGGCTGGGGAATTTTTAGCTTTGGCAGAAATTAAAAAACTGAATTAAATGATTAGGAAAATAATTATATAAAGTATAGAGTAAAAATTAACTTTAATTATTATGATCTATTTACTATAATGAGATTTGTTCAGTAATAATATACAAGTATAGGTATTTTTGTAGGCCGGACTCATACGAGTTTACAATAAAACGCAGAAATATACTACAGGAATATGATAAAATCAAAATCAGGATTTTAGGTAATCTGGTCAAACAGTGGCTGGCATGATCGAGAATACAATTGATATCGCTTAGTGCGTGATTCTTGATCGGGCTGATCAATAGCACAGCTGGAGATTATATTGAACCCTGAGTAATCCATCTTATTAATACGTTTTTTTACCCCCTACAAGAGGTCTCCCAAGGAGAGAATAAGGTGTGCGCGCCTTGGATTTTTTTAGGCAAAAACCGTGCTTAATATGTACAGTATCTTTTGAAATCGATTACAGATATGTAGAACTTTATGTTGCAACAAGAAAAAGAGGAACTTAAACAATTTATCGACAGAAATGGACGCAACAATTGGATGAAATCATATGTCAAAATCGAGCGCTTTTTTCTGACTCTGGCGTCCAACTGTGTTGTCACCTGGGATACTTTTTGACCTCATTCAATATGGCCGCCAGTTGCACGTTTTTCGAGGCGATCACAATCAACCTGTGATCTCTCGCAAATTTGAAGCCATGGCTGAAAAGGACATGTTTCCTTTGAACCCGATACTTATGCGAGGTTTAAACGATAAAATGTATGAAAAAAGAAAAGTTGCAGCCTTGGAAATTGAACGGTGAGTGGACCCAATATAATTTGCAACTTTCGCAGAAACTTGTGCAAAGTTTAAGACGAAGAATAGAGAGGTCATGAACGTTTTTCTGTTTGGTATCAAAGTATGTTTGATTGCAATGTTGTTTTATTATTTACTAAGTACTTAAATAGAGTAAGCAAGTCTTTATAAAAATGCAATGAATATTATAATAAAGATTTGTTTACATATATGACAGACTGTTTAAATGAATATAATTGCTACATGTCAATACGAACGCACATCCTTTTTTGATTTAGCTTCAAAAAAATACAAAATTTGCAATAGATTTATCTGGAAGTATTGAGCCACTTGTAAGATTCTTTAGATCTCATTTGAGTTTTTTTTATTAGCCTGATCTGTTTCACCCTGTTTAGGATGGTTAAGGAATTCATAGCCAACAATGATGTTGCATTGATAAAGAGGCTCACATCTGTGTTAACAACAGAATTCTCTGTGTCGCATAATCCTCATAGTCGTAAAGGCGGGCTTATTGGACTGGCTGCTACTGCAATTGCTTTGGGAAAGGTATTTTAACATATTAATATGAAGTTTTGTGACTGGGTAACTCGTTCGAACTATCCTTAAGCCCCAGCCAAATGAGAGTCATGAGAGTTGCAACTATCGCTAACATTTGACCCATAAACTCTGGCACACTCTCATCAACTCTCATTGACTTTGAACTGGTTCAAATTTTGATGAGAGTCGATTAGAGTTTGCATTTCTTTGGTCAGTCATGAGAAATGATGCATGTTGCAAAACAGCTAACAGACATTTTGTAGTAGCATGCTCAGAAAAATAATACAAAATAAATACAAAATAGTCCCTGCTACACACATAGTAACATCCAGTCAACTCTCGCTTCTCAACTCTCATTAATTAACTCTCATTTTCGTTTGACCAGGGCTTTAGGTTGAAATGTCCAGAGACATTTTTGTACTACTCCTGTTGCAAATTGATGTAATGAAAACTAATGTAATTGAATTGTGATATTTTCAGGAATCTGTGGCTTATCTTCAAGACCTGATTCCACCTGTTCTCTCCTGTTTTTATGACCAAGATAGCCGTGTTCGCTATTATGCATGCGAGGCGTTGTATAACATTTCAAAGGTTGCCAAAGAAGCTGTCCTACCATTTTTTAATTCAATATTTGATGGACTGAGCAAGGTGGATATTTGATTAATACATAAAAAATTTTACTCAGCAGGAGATAATATTTACTGTGCTTTTTAGCATGTGAAGAAAAGTTAAATTACTTTTCTATTTTGTGCTATAGTTGGCATCTGACACAGACCCCAATGTGAAGAGTGGAGCTGATTTACTAGACAGATTAGTTAAGGTAAAGGACGTGTATATTAGGCCTATATGGCACAATACCACTGGATTGGGTGCCTTTGCCTGGGAACTGGGGAGTTATTCTTTTCTGACAGTGGAGTGGGTTTGCTTGGGTAGTGATCCCTTTTGACATTGGAATGGGTGTCTTTGCCTGGTCTTTTCTGACAGTGGAGTGGGTGCCTTTGCCTGGGTAGGAGGTCCCTTGTGACAGTGACGTGGGTGCCTTTGCCTAGGTAGTGGGTCCCTTCAGTTCTGATGGTGGAGTTGTTCCCCTTGTCATGCAGTGAAGTGGGTTCCCATTGCTGGTAGAGTAGGTTTATATGGCATTGAGGTCTTCCTCCCTTGCACATTGATTTTTTTCCTCTGATAGTAATCATATTTTGCTCCCCTCATATCTGTTTGTAGGATATTGTCACCGAAAGTGCTTCATTTGATATTGTATCATTCATTCCCTTACTGAGAGAAAGAATGTTGACGACCAATGCTTTTGCTAAACAATTCATTGTTTCATGGGTAAGATCATGTTCGGTTAAGATTGCTTGGAAAATTTTGTGTTTTTTCTGGTTTAACTAACAACCAAATCTAACGTTTCCCGTTTCTAGATTATTGTTCTTGATTCAGTTCCGGACCTGAACATGATTGATCACCTCCCTGAGATACTGGATGGTATTTTTATGATATTTCAAGACCAGTCGGCTCACTCTGCTGAAATAAGAAAGATGTAAGTTTACTCTCGTTGACCTAGGGGCAGGAGTGGACCGGCACACCAGGGCCTCAGGCAAAGTCCAAGCAGGGGCCCGTTAAACTACGATACACAAGGGATAGTGGCCACTGCCAACGAGAATCTAAAATTGCAGTTGGTTTTCAAAGCGTGAGCTTACAGACGGCCGAGCCATAATTTCGCATCATTTTTACAGGTGTGAAACAGCTCTTGGAGAATTTTTACGCGAGATTAAGAAATTTCCGGAAAACGTGAACTTTGCTGATATGGTGAACATCATTGTTGTTCATTCAACTTCCAGTGGTAAAAACATGTTGATTTCACAAGAATCCGTAGCTTTGCGATATTTTTTGATCGATCTTAACCAGCATGCGTTTTCTCTGCAGATCAATTGATTCAATTTACGGCCGTGTTGTGGTTGCGAGAATTTCTGACCCTTTCTGGTCGGACAATGATCCCATTCTGTGCTAACATCCTTTCCGCTGTTCTGCCGTGTGTCTCTTTGGAAACTTGCAAGTTTAGTATCCTTTTGTTAAAACGCGAGTGAAACTGATGCTGTTTTGTGTGAGGGGATGGATCACTACCTAGTTTGGTGAAAGTTTATAATGGTCATTATACATATACCTAGCGATTTAAATATTTTTGGCCTACGTGATCAGATGAATTGGCAATACATGTTGTTTTTAAGGGGGGAGGGGGGGGGGAGCAGCTTGTCGCTTGCCATGACATTTTTCCAACTTCTGGTTTCAAAGTTTAAGTATCTCAAACTGGCCCATTTGCACCCCAAAATTTGGCCTAATATTGTTTAGCTTTAGAGGGCTTTTGTAAAGATGAGCGGTAGTTGAATTTTCAACTATCTTAGGCCTGCTGTATTCAACATGACAAACCCACTCAAAATAGCCGATTTAAACCGCTATCGCCGAACTCTTCTTAACGCTATTCGAAGACACCAAAGAAGTGGCAACCAATGTGAACCAGCGCGTCCGAGATCTTATCACGACAGATGACGACAACGAGGCGACGAGTCCCGAGCGATCGATGAAGAACGAGCGAATGGAATGCGACGTGGAGTCTGTTGAGCATAACCTGGACCTTGGTTCCGTTCTTACCGTGCTCACCGCGCAACTAACCAGCGAGTATGTGCTAACACGTCTGGCTGTATTGAAATGGGTCATGCTGTTCCTGGAGAAAACACCCAACAAGGTGAGAGCTCGTATTCTCTTACCTCACTCATCATTTTGCCCCCACCCCTCATTCTCTTAATTACCCCAATGCCCCATCTCTTACTGCCACCATCATTGTCTCCCACACCCCTCATTTTCTCCCCCACCTTTCATTCTCTTACCCTCATGTCCCTTCTTTTACTGCCACCATCGTCTCCCACTCCCCTCATTCTCTACCCCACCCCTCATTCTCTTACCCCCACTTCCCTTCTCTTACTCCATCCCCATTATCCTCCCCACCCCTCATTCTCTTTCCCCCATTCCTATTCGCATGCCCACAGCCCATTCCCTTAGACCATGCGATATTGAAACCGAAATTTCAGTTAGGAAGCAATACAATATCTCAATAAAACAATTGTAGCTTTTCAAGCACATGGAGAAGATATTTCCTGTCTTATTAGACAGAGTGTCGGACACATCTGATGAGGTAAGTGGTCAATGGAAACAAGTGGACAGGTGAAGTAGTGTTGTATCCTGTTGATGCTCCACAGGCCTAGATTTGTGTTTGTGTCTGATTAAAATTTCATTTTTTTACTTGTGAGAAGAACCCCTTCAGTTTCTTTCACCTCAGCAAGTCCACAATTGGCAATATTTCCAGGCCACCTAACATCTGTTTATTTTCCGTACAGGTTGTCATCGCAGATTTAGAAGTACTTTCAGTTATTTCGGCTTCTCAAGCTGGACTTCCCATGTCGTCTGAGTTGGCCTCGCCAGACAGAAGCGCCAATGAATATTCTTCAGCTAAGAATATCAATGAATATTTTTATAAATTTCTTTTAAATTTGGTAGCGAAGTTTCGAGTCGACGGAAAATTGCTAGAGGAAAAAGGACATTTTATTATCAGGTAGGTTTAGATATACATTCAGTTTTGTTGAATTCAGTTTCTTTCAGTTCAATTCCTGTTCCATTCAGAACACTGTAGTTCTTCTCATTTCAATAAATTCATTACGTCTTTTAGAAATCTGTGTCTGTTACTAAGTTCTGAGGATATCTATCGTACGTTAGCCGAAATTCTCTTCCAAGAAAACGATCTAAAGTTTGCGGCGTTGATGGTTAAAACCTTGAACATAATTCTACTTACCTCAAGCGAACTGTTTGAACTTAGGCACAAGTTAAAAGAACTGAAAACTAAGGTAACATATTTTCTTTGCTTGTTTCTGTTCTGTTGAGCCGAAATTTGATATTGATTAAATGTTAGAGCGGGTATTAGATTTTGAGGTTTTTTTTTAAAAATACAGTATACCTACAAAATTTCCAGGCCTTCTTTCAGGTAGTCTATCACTTGACCTTGATGAAATTGAAAACATGCATGCATTGATAAAAGAAAGAGTTATATTTGGTGAAGAAATCTCCACCACCATTTTCTTCTTTTGATAGATGTGAACGAGTGAATTAGTTACTGATATTCAAATAAGAGTTCTAATACATCAGAGCTTTCGTAACTAATTACTCATTCACATCTATCAAAAGAAGAAAATCGCACATAATTTGCAGCAAAAATTGCAAGTGTAAACGGGCCTTTACCTTGCAATTGTGGTGTTTTTTCTAACAAAATTCATCTGGATCATTGCAGGAGAGTTGTGAATTATTTAGTGCGTTGTACAAGTCTTGGTGCCACAATGCTGTCGCAACTTTCTCGCTGTGTCTTCTAACACAGACGTATCAACATGGCTGTGATCTTCTTATGATGTTGTATCCTTCACGCGAGATTGCCATCTCCCACTTTTATCCTCAGAGCTAGTGTAATGTCCCTGTTATCTCTTTGAGATCACCCAGATATACATTTTTGCTGGTTATAATTTTATCATGAAGTTTAATCAATCCAACACCAGGGGCCGGTTGTATAAAAACGTAGTTGACTTTTAACTATAGTTAGTGATAGAATTGACCAATCAGAGTTATGTATCTCTGAGCCGTGACAGAATTGACCAATCAGAGTTACGTATTTCTGAGTTAACTGCGATTTAACTACGCAAAATGTAGTTAAGAGTTTTACACAACCGGCCCCAGGTGCACCCTTCTCTTGCAGGGCGTGGTTATTCTTAGCTCACTCACGTAATATATAGTATGTAATGCCAAGAGTTGACCTTGACACTAGTTGATATAGCGGTGATCTAGAAGTTCACGTAGATTTTTTGGTGCAAATAGATAAATTGGTCCAGCTGATAGAATCGCCTATATTCACTTGTGAGTATAAAATAAAATACTTTTATGATAACCTTTGAAAACTTGCATGCCTGAGCATTTTTATTCATGTTTCTGAGACAATCAAAAAATCACGCGTAGTCACTTGTTGCTGTCAGTTTAATATTTTGATTTCTCTATCTAGACTTGAGATTGCAACTCCTGGACACGCAAAACAATTTTTATCTTTTAAAATCGTTATACGGACTATTAATGCTGCTTCCACAAAGTGATGCATTCACCACCTTACGTCATCGTCTCGACTGTGTTCCCAATGGTCACCTCTTGCAGACACCCCAGACGAAGTAGGTTGACATTTTCAACATAGTTTAAGAAAAATATTTTATTGACCAAGGGCAGAAAATATGAGCCGCCCATTTCCCCCACTCCATGTTTACACACCTGCATTCCCGCTGAAACCTCTCCCCTCCCACCATCGAGAAATTCCTAGAAGAACATTTTACCAGAATGCACATGCGACTGAAAAAAATTACAAGAAAAGCACCAAATGAAGTGATCAATATCAACACAATAAAACGAAAGCCCTTTTTATGGCTAACTTTTCAAATTACGTCCATTCAGTTGTTTGGTTGGTTGGTGAATCCATCAATAACAGGGGATTTTATTCATCACTCTAAGTCGTTGCGCAAAAGTTTCCCTTTTAACTGTTTCAACTTCCTTTTTTTGCAGAGGAAAAGACATCGAAAAACGGGAGTGTGTGAAGAAAATCGACTTCACAGCTCTACTCCAACACTTCAAAGTCGTACAGGAAAAACACGTTATTCAAAGACATAAAAAAGAACCAAAAACAAACGGGTTAGAAGCAACATGATAATAGCGTGGTTTCCCGTGTACAATATTTAAGTATTTTATGTAAGAGAACTTATTTTGGTAGCTGTCTTGGAATTTGCTTGATCTCAGTCATAGGCTCTTCAAAATGAGCATACTTTTTTATTAAATGTAAGAATGTAGTGATAATGCTATGAAAATTTTAGGACATTTGATATGAGAAGCTTCAGGCAAAAGAATCTTCAGGAAAATCACTGTTAATTTGACTTAGTGTGACTATATTCTTCTCTAATTACACAGCTAAGTTTTGAAATCACTGAATTGACTTTCTGCAAAGGTATGTATTTATTCATTATTCAAATGGCACCATCAATTTTTTTATCAGTTACAAAAGATGTTAGCTTTTCTTGGACATGACAATTCTGGAAGAACAGGTTATATATAGGTAGCAGTTTAAAATCTTTAATTTGTGATTGATCCAAAATTGTCTCACAAGCAAGACTACATCTCAACATGAATTCCATTTTATTTAAACAAATATTTTTTTTCATATATACAACATTTTTTTTGAGTTAGCTAAAGTAATCCTATATCAATGTTTCATCACATATCGCAAGCCACAGTACCCACAAGCATGTGGTCCTTCTTGATCCTAGGAAAAAAATGAATATATATTGAATAATATATATAATGAATAATATATATATTTTTTAGAAGTCCTTTTGAGGTGGTTATAATAAGATTAAGCAATAATATGGCCAACTAACCAAGTTGATATAAACTTTTGGATGGCCAAGTGCAGCATGACCTGAAAGAAATATATTTCAATGCTATTTGGTAAAAACTTGTTGCATGGTTTAAGTGGTAAATGTGTAAATGCAAAAATTTAATATGCATACCACCATCACACCAAACCACCCTGGAGTCAACCTCAATAGGTGGTTCCTCATCAATGAGATCAATAGCAAACTGTTCATTTACCTAAATATGTAGAATAAAAGTCAAATTGAACATGAATATGGCGTTTTCCATGCTTTTTGGTATGGATGCAAAGTTTTGCAAACTGTTGTGAAGTCAAATTTGTAATCCAGTATAGCGTACTGTTTTTTCTCTGTTCGTAAAACGGACTCTCTTGTAATCATCTTTCTCAAACACCTAAAATTTTAAGGCAAAAGACCACATTTAAAAGGATTTTATACAGTACTCAGTACTGACTGTTCTAAACACTACACTGACTACAGTCTACACGTATTGTTTTCTACCACAAAACCCAGTACTAAGCTTTCTATGTACATACTTGACCAGTGTGCGTAACGGTGTCTGCATTGACAAGACTTCTAGCTGTTGTAGATATGAAAACACGGCTGGTATTTGTTAAAAATCTGCGAGAAAATATTCTTGATATGGCGGCCATCTTGTAATATTGCCGACAACCATAAAGTGACTATACATGAAGTATTGGCTGTGCAAAGATTGGTGAAGGTCAAGGCAATATGGCGGACAAAAAACACAAGAAAAAGCAAAAAGAAAAGCGAAAAGGCAAGAGTAAAGATGACATAGAGCTGTACAAGCACTATGAAACATTGTAAGTACTAGGTAACGTCTTAGATTGTGGGCTATCTTCATGGTGAAATTAATTAATACAAGTTTGCCAGTATGGTGTACTGTGCAGTGTGCATAATAGACTAAATAGTGATATACTGTACCAGTGTACCTATTTTTATTAACCTATAAAAATTTTTATTTCAATATTTTTATAGTTATGAAGCAGCTCCTCCTGGATATGTTCGAGTAAGTGCTGAAAGTGTGGATTGTGCATGCCTAAATCGATACACAGTACACTATAAACATTTTCAGAAACTGATCTTGTGGGAAATAAGTGGTGCTAGACTGCTAGTCAATTGTACAAATTATCTCTGTTCGGCAAACTGTTTTATAGTCTAGTTACTGTGCTAACAATGGCCACATTTGAAAGAAATAAGATTATCAAAGACTATGAAACCAATGGGCCCAAAAGGGAGGGACGGGGCAAGTACCCAGTCTCGTTCTTCACAAATGTTATGGATGTTTCTTGCATTAATCAGGTTGAAGAAGAGAAACCTGAAGATTGCATTCCAAATCTGCCTGAGAATGAACAAGCTCGAGAATTTTTATCAAAAGCGCCATCCAAAGGATTGTGGATGCCTCTCGGAAAGGAGGTGAAGGTTATGAAATGTACGACCAGATTTTTTCTTTAAAGTTGACAACTTCGAATAAAGTTACCCAGAGTACTTTACCTATTTAGTACGACCACTGCTCGGGTACTCAAGCCTATTCCTACCTTAGGCTGGAGATGCAAGTCATATGGTCACAGAACTGGAGACAGAGAATGTCCAATGTTTGTTTCAGGCAATCAAACAAGTGAAAGATTTAGAATGGTATTGCATGGAACAAAATTTCTCGTTCATTTAGCATTTGCTTTTTCAGGTGCTATAAAAAACAATCAGATAATGGTGTAGGTATCAGGCTAAACACACAATTTTTGGATAACTGCATCTGTTAGGCGCACGAAGATCCCATGCATGACTTTATTGTTGAGAAAAAAAAGACTGAAAAGGAACAAAGGTAAACTTCAAGTTGGCCGAAAATTTTATTTAATTTCGAGTATATATTGCACAATCTTTAAAATCCAATTTGTTTTTTGCACAGAATTGAGCAGTTGAAGGCACTCCTGGAGGAACCTACAACATCTGAAAGTGACGATTCTTCTGACGAGAGCAGTAATTCTGAAATGCATCATAAACACAAAAATAACAAGAAAGGGAGAAAGAGGAAGCATAAAGGAAAAAGATCTGATTCTAGCAGTGACACTACTACTGAAGAGGAAGCACAAAAAGAAAAAACTTACTACACACACTAACTCTAGCTCCACTGAGAAAAGACATAAAAAGCATGCCAAGCTTAAATCTCGACACGCTAAAAACTCAGACAGTGATTCAAGTGACAGTTCTGCTTATTCAAATGGCAAAAGCATAAAAAGAGACATAACAAGAAAATAAGGCATAAATCCAGTAAAGATTAGTAAAGATTAAAATTTAAGTCATTATAATCCATGATAAGTCTTGCCACTGAATTAACGGGTTAATGTACTATTCTCCAGATAGTAGAATGCATTGGGTTTTTTTTACATTTCACTATTCTGCCATTCAAATTTCTACGATTTCAATGAGACTTTCCCACACAAGTCATACAAATTCCTAGAATTTGACGCAGGAAGTGCCCAGATTGGTCATCTCGATTCAAAATGGCGGCCAAGCCGAGGTTTTCAAAAACTCCGGCTTCCCTCATTTATGCCCAAAGTTGGCCAGTTCCCTCCTCAAATTCGTGTTTTCAACATTCGCCCGTAAAATCTAGCAGGTGAGAAATTGTATTAAGTTTACATTTGCTGTTCAAACAAGACCAGGTGCAATTTTTATTAAAATAATTTAACGGCTATCCAGCCAGGATAATTGACAAAACAAGCGCTTAGACGCTGGCTTTAATATTGATATTCATCCATAGCAACAGCGTCAATAATTCTCCGTGGATTTGCAAGCCAAAGCAAAACATAACGAGGCCTAAAAAATTCGCAGTCAAGGTGAGCAGTTATCAGAGTAAATTGTACATTTCAAAATAATTGTGGCACATTTTGTACCACCATCTTATTCATATGTTTTTCATTTACGATGCTTTCTAAATATTCATTGCATATAAGCATATTTTTCCTTTCTCTTAGGCTCATTCCTGGGCAAGTTGTATGTTGAGCAATAACTATCCTGGATGGACTGAAAATGATGAATATTTTACACTTGGTATGATGCCCTAAACATATTCAACTACAGACAAGTTTTTCTTTAAAATAAACAAAATAACATACACATTGCCCTCTGGGAACATAATTGAAAATGCCAGATGTTGACATAATCATGCATCAAATTTCAATTTTCCTGCAAAACTCTATATTCTAAGCGACATAAAAATCTGTTCAAAACATCCTACAGTATGCAGCTAGACCCCAGGTACTGTACGCTTGTATAACCAGGTCTAAAGCTTGTTTCTTCCAATTCTCCATAGATATGGCCAAGGAATTTAAATTAACATTGGTAAGGAAGGCCTTTGTGCTGTCATATAGATTAATTGCTTCAAATGATGCCTTAGATTGATTGTAAAATACATAAATCAGTAAAGGGAAACTTTCCTGTCATTTCCTAATATTTTAGCAAATGTTTAAAGAGCTCACAAAGCAGGTAGAAGAGGTGGATGAACAGCTCAATTCTGGTAAAAAAGCTTACTCATTCAAGGTATAGACACACATTTCTGAATACAAATAACTTTTTGAGCTTTTAGATTAAAGCACTCCAGCCCATTGAAGAAGAAAATTTTTTTCAAGGAAGCTAACTTTATAGTTGGTTTTATCTTTACCTCATTTTTTCTTAACCAGCATTACTATAGGAATAGGGACAAAGGAAGATTAAGAACTTACACACCTGAGATTCCAATGACAAATGAAGACTATCAACCATGTAATAATCTTGGCATTAAGAGCGAGCAATGGCAACCAGGAATTAGAAAATCCAGGTGTATATTGAAACTCGTACAGTTCATGAAACAGATCAAACCTTACAAATATGAACATTGAAAAATGCAGATCATTTCACGTATAGCTAGTGAAACAATGTTATAGAGCTACAGTTATATTATTTATATATTTATATGTTTTTTCCTAGAAAAACAGAAAAACCTTCTAAATCAAAGTTAGAAAATCGGCCTCGTACATCATCAAGTAACCTTAAAAAAACAAACCACAACAGTTGGAAAGTGCAATCATCATTTCATGATGAAAATGAAGGCACCAATCAGATTCTGGAATCTAGAAGTGAAGATCTCCAAACAAACTTGCCAGTCCCATGTGGTTTGAATTTGCATTATAGTGATGATGACAATTTTTGGTCTGGTTGTCTTGGGTTCAGTGATGAAGATAACCACATTGGCTTGGGATATATCGATCCAGTTCCTGGTGCCTGGGAAGAGATGAAATTGGAAGAGCTGGAAACAGAATATTGCTCTGAAGAGGAAGAAAGTGATCCTTTCATGTTACGGCTCTTGCGAATCCGTCGTTCAGAAGTGGAAACTGTCGAGCAGGAAAAAAGAAGTGATGGTACCAGTAATCCTAACTTGGTTCCATGTGTAGAAAGTGGAATAAATAAGATTGTCATCTACCAACAAAGGCAAGAAGTCAACCACTGCTAAAAGAACAAATTCAAAAACCAATGGGGCTGTTGAAAATTTGGAGAAAAACTCACAAAGGGTCTTGAAAAAATCTGACAATCATGACAAGAAGAAGGATATGAAAATTTTAGGTACAGATAAAATAGATTTTTGTAAAGACATTGAAAAGGATAGAAAGCAACCACAGAAACAACATGGTGAAAGAAAAAAGGAATGCAAGTCAGCCAGAGGAAAAAGACGTGTTCAAAGTTGCAAGGCAAGACCCATGAGCTATTCATCGTCAATTACTTATGATATTCTAGAGCTCGCCACAACCTTTGACCCACCATGCAAAGAACGCATAAAGTTGAACCACAGGCCAGTTACAGCAAAGTCAGCAAGGTCTAAGGGCATGATACCTGGTAAAACCTGGACTTCCCAGAGAAAATTCTCTCTAACTGCTGGTCAGAGTCTACAGAGTTTGCCATCTGATGGTGGTGATACAGTTATAAATAAATCCAGAAACTCCAGTGCTAAGGGATCTAGTAAGACTAAGAGAAAAAGTAAACGATGTAGCAGTTCAAAAGTTTAAATTTTTATATTTGTTATATGATTACAAAAATTTTGGGATTTTCTAACAAAATTAAGTTATCAGTTGTTTGGTATTTTGACTGGCATTTTTTTGACTCCATTCATAAAAGCCCCTTGACATGTTGACCAAAAAGCCTTAAGGGTCAAAATGAATGTTTTTTTAATAGTTCTGGGATGATTTAGTTCATTTAGGAAATCTGTTGTCCACCATACAAGTTTCTTGCAAGATGTCAAATCATTGGGTAAATTTAAGAATAAAATAGGCATCATTATGGGGTAGGAAAAGTGTGCCTGGTTTGAAAAATTCGCACAAGAACTTCTGTGGTAGCTGAAAGTGATTGGTAACATATTGAAGTTGAAAATGAAAATATTAACCTTTCTTTAATACACGTGAATTAATTAATAACATGATAATTACATTGTTTGCGACAAAGTAATTGTTTTACAAAATATATTGTTCTTCAGCAAATATAATCTACAAAACTGCGTCTGCATCGAAAAATTTCGGTCATGTTCACAAAATTTAGAAGTTTTTCAAAAATTCCTCGGCACATATACGCGCCCTTGAGTTCACTGCAAGTTTCATTTCGCTAATTTCCTTGTCGATGTCTTCCATGAATTGGATAACGAAGTCGACGAGCTTGTGCTTGTACATTTGCTCCGTGTGGAAATTGGTTATAAGAAAGCTAATGTCGTAACCCTCAACTGGCTTCCGTCGCAAAATGAAGAAATGCTCTGCACGTTGCATCATGAATCGCATGAATTTCTTGCATAAGATCTTCTCAATTTCATCAGCTTGCTTCACGGCAATGCTTACACGAATCGAGTTAATCGATCCCTCGATAAGGACCTTTTCTTTCTCGTTTCGGCTCACAACCAACGGTGTCGTTAACAACTCTTTACTGCTTCGCACTTCGACTTCGGGTTTGTTGTGCCTCTCTACGACTTGCGAATTGAAACTTTGCAAACACATGGCGGCCGTTAGGGTCGACCTAACGGCATTTAGGTATGGCTTTAGTGTCGCGGACATCAGGAAGAGAATTAGTCAAACGTTTATCTATATTTTGGTAATATCTCCTGACTTTCCACTCTTGCTTCTCTTCCGGCTGTGCAACTCCCTACAATTCGGGTGCGTGCTCGTAATTTTCTGCGGATGTCCGCTGAACTGATATGGCAAAGAAAGCCATTTTTAAGGCTACTTTTTCAATATAATTATTGTAATTTTATGTATTTAAAACTAAAAGAAACAATTAATTACGTGCTCGAATCAACTCTGAACACTAAATACTTGTACTATTTTCCCCAATTCTTTTCCTAATTCTTTAAATTTACGCTTTTGATTTGTCCACTTGCTGCCAAAATGCAAAACGCAGGCTCGTAGGACACGAACGCGTATCATATAAGCACGCACACCATAAAATATAGCACGAAGAATGCACACTTCTCCTTTTTTGGTCATTCAATTTCCTTCTATTTTGGGCAATAACTAGAGTACAAAGACAGTTAACTAAACAAGGGCAGAACAAACAAGTGCAAGTCATCAGTCTATCGATGGATTTGCTTCAAATCCCTGCCCCAAATCCCTATTAATAGAACACAATGACCAAAATAGACAAGTAAATTGCCATCACAATCCCAAAAAGTCTCTTTATGTCGTTGGAAATATTGAATTTTAATCACTGAGCTCTATCATTAAAATTTTAATTGAAGAAAGAAAAGTTGAAACTTGAAAGTTCTATAGAATTCTATAAGTTTTTCATTTCACTTACATTTATATATATAATATCAAAATATCCATACAACATGGAAATTTCCATCAAAGTGGAAACTCGCCGGAACAGTCATTAGAACCCAGTTCTTCCCAAATTTTATCTCCTAATATACAATGTGCTGAGGTAATTATAGAGTTTGTAAACTTTTCATTGTAAAAATTGCCATTTCCAACGGTTTTTGACTTCAAATACGCAAAGTAACCGCGATCAAGCCTTATTGGTTTAGTCAATGTACGGGAAAGGCAGAGTTGAGTGTCTGTGGCGTCCGAGACAGCACAAAAAATGGCGATAAGATTTGTGGATGCAACCTATTTGGCATTGTCCCAGATCAGCTTTCTTGTGACAGATCTTTCCAAAAAGAATTACAAATCAAGCATGGCAGAAATACAGAATGTAAGTTGCTTGGTATTATGGTGATTGGTGAACACTGTAGGTGAAGAGATATTGGTTAGAAATTGGTATAATATAATTTATATTAAAGTGTGTTCTTTTGATGTACATATAAACATTCAAGGGTATTAAATTGGTTGGATTTGAGTGTTATAACTGACTGGAAAGTTTGCCAAGCGTGGGACTTGCCTGTGCACATGAGAAATCTGTAATGCACCGACTGGCCACTTGCTTTCAGATTAGACTGAGTGGTGAATTGTGGGTGACACTACAGGTATATGTTGTGGCTGGGGTCTTTTCGAGATGCTAGCCCTAATACTCATCCTAACACTAACCAGTGTAAGATGGCCCTATTTAATCCTGTTGTCACAAAGAATTCCTATGTGTCTTTAAAAACTACAACCCATCTTCCCTACCATAATAGCATGTACCAAATGGTAGTTTTATTAACTTTGTGTGATTATAGTTAGTCGAACAGCATGGTGCAGAGGCTGAACGACATTACTTTCGTTCCTTGTTTTCATCAATTGATTTCTCTGCTGAAGGAAAAGGGGCTGGAAAAGATTTTCACCAGGTGATATTTTCTTTTCATAACAAACTAGTGTTCTTCTGGTTGAACGAACTACAGCGCGTAGTAGCCCAGAAGTATTTGTAGTTTTTTTATGCACCCTGTAGACTACAGGTTTTAGTTAAAAGTACAGTTTATCTGGCAAACTATATTCACAACTATACAGATCATATCTGGCATCATTCTCATAGGGCTATATACAAACTGTAAAGAGTTTTGTATTTTTTTCAGGTACAATTGCTAAGTCAGGAATGTCAGTCATTGATATGCAAAACAAATTTTGTTTCAATTGTGTGTTATGCAATTGAGAACCAGGAACAACATCAAAAGGTCAGTATTTCTTGAAGAAAAGTCAGCATTATATATACAAATATACACCAGTGTTTTTGTGAACTGTAAATTTTATCTATTTTCTAGTCATTGAAGCCATCTAGCCATCTTTTGCCACAAATAAGCAAAGTTTTGAAGTTCAGTCGGGTTCAAGAGGTAAATAATTGGAACTAAGTGAATTGTCTATGTGCAATGTCTTTTCATCAGTAAGAAAAGTGAAATAAAAGTGTGGAAGTAGTTCTCCCAGCCCAAATGATGTGTAACCCAGCTTAAACCTGGGTTATAATACAGCGAAACTTTACATCAATACTTTTAATTGCTTTTTTTAAGTATCTTTTTTCAAGTATCTTTTTTCATGAATATTTTCTGGAGCAACAAAAGCCATAATTTTTGAAGGTTTTAAAATGAACAGTGGTTCAGAAGCACTTAAATCAAAACAGTGGATTAAAATTTAACCCAAGGTTAGCCCTAACCTAGCTTTGATAATTTCCCACTGCAGGTTGTGTTTGGACTGGGATTGATGAAATCATCAAACGAAGAGCTGAGAAACTTCGGTAGGTGTCATATGGAGTTTGTTGGTTTTCACATTATTGATGATTTGATGAAGGACAATCTTGAAGCTGTTTTATAATAACATATATGCATTAATCTTTGCAATATTTCAGCTGGTACATTTGTGAAACAAAAACTCCCAGATCTACTGCGTTCATACATTGACTCTGGTAAGTTAGTCCAATGAGTTAAATGCAACTGTGAAGACGTCTCGTACTTGTGGCAACCTCATTGCCCCTTTCCTCCCCCCATTCCTCCCCTCATTCATACCCTCACCCTTGCACATAGTGAAGATGTACAGTATACTAAATTTGGAAGTAACAATTGGTGGTAAATTCAGACAAAAATGTGTTTTAATTTAGATGTTGGAGGTGGATATGAAGGTGGTCTGACTGATGTTGCAATAGAAGTTCTTCATCTCCTATTGACCTACCTGTTGTACACCCCTCAGAAAGATGTTGGTATTGGAGAGGACCAAAAACAAGCATTTTTGAATACACTGAGAAAAGGTTAGAGAAATTGATGTTTTCTTTTCATGGTATACCAAATGACCATTTCCAAGAAAGTTGGGGTCATCCTCCTCCCTATTTCCACCCCATCTTCCCTCCTCGCTATCTCCACCCCATCCCCCCTCCTCCCATCTACCTCCTCCCATCTACCTCCTCCCATCTCCACCCCATCTCCCTCCCCCCCTCCCCCTCCTCCTCCCTTCCTCCCCCTCCCCCCCTTCTCCTTCCTCCCTATTCCTCCTCCCTGCCTCCTCATCCTGTACATCCTCCCCCCTCATCATTGCCGTCTTACACGAGGCCTGTTTAGCTTAAACACTGGTCATTTAACAATAAAAAGCTAAACAGAATTAATAATCTTTGGGCAATTAATAATCTTCAGTGCGTGATATTAATGTGAATCTATTTAAACGAAACTAACTAACTTCGTGAATTTAAACAGCATTCGCTTTCGTCTCAAACGAGACGAGTGACGGGTGTCTTTGAGCTGCTTCCATTTGTTGTTTTTTTCATCTTTTTAAGATTTTCCCAGTGAGCGGGTACCAGTCGTCCTGGCTCCATTGCTTTATCAGGGAGTGCATGACATGCCGTTGAGTAGGTTCGTGAATGACACATATCTATGTATAGCCTAGATATAAATTTATAAACGAATAGTGATAATGGCGAAAGATAAACTGAAAAAACAAATGGCGGCTGTTGTCCACGATGTTTCATATATAGTCTGTCAAGACTCTTGGATTGTTTTTTGAAGCAAATTCCCCCGAGTATTTATATCAGAGTCAGTGAGTATTGTTATTATGGATTAAATGAAATGAAAGTGTTCGCAGATGTGCGGCCAATATTCCATTGTGTTCTTGTGTCCGAATTTTGTAACCTCGATAAGTATAGAACCAACACACGGTTCGAAGTCCAAATTTGTAGTGTATGTTCTTTGTTCAAGTAGTATCTAAAACGAAAGCAAACAGCCTTGTCCGTATTGTTGTTGACACTGTAGCTTCCCCCCACCAGTAGCTAACATGTTATCGTATTAAGTAAGACTTGGAATTTGAATTTTTTTAACCCAGCCGTATATATGTATGTTTCTACAGATTAGTATCACCTTTTCTAAACAGGAATTTTGTTTATTTTATCTGAAACTCTAGGTTTAATGTGGAGAGCTCTCCCGTCCCTAAATTAATGGTAAGCAGTTAAATTGTATTTCACTCCCCCCCCCTGGCCGTTCCCGTGGAACTGTGAAGTCCAGATGCAAGTCAGCACAGCATGGTCTGACTTTCTCGATGTGTTTTTAGATGGAAGATGATTTGAGTAAATTGATGCACGAGATTGGTTATTCGTGCTGTGCAAGGTCAGTAAGATCTTGGTCAGTAATCCCGCGCTCATATTTCAGCCAATCAGCGCTCAGAAGGGTTGTCGATAATAGAAATCTATTCTGCAGTATTTAATCGATTATATCTTTTGTTATTCTTTATTAAACCAGTCGAAATGTTGTGATTATGTTAAGTTATAAGAACTATTGCTCTGACATAAATTTGAAGCCGAAAAGAGTATTTCAAGGGACAATAAAGTTGTTTCAAACGAGAAATGGATTTTTGACAACTAGTCTCAGTCCTTTCCCGCCATTTCACATCACCCGTTCGTGTTTAAACGTTCGTGTGTTTCACATTCCCTTTCTTTTCATTAGCCTTCAAGAATGCAAGGAGGTTTTGGGGCAGTTTAGCAAGGCTAATATCACGCCGATGTGTGTTGCAAGAGTGCTAGGTATGCCTTCTCTTCTCGCGATGATTTTCCAAGTGAAATTGTGAACTTTAATCTGTCGTCAGAATTGACCAGATTTTGGCTATCAGTTGTACCAGGTACCCAATGTTTTTTCTCGTATTTCCAGGAATGATGGCCCGGACAGTCTCTGGTCTTGGCGAGTCCTCTCCACTACAGGTAGTGTATCCCCTGCTTAGTACGTCTAACATACCGTCAAGTGTAGCCCCAGCAAGTTCCAGAAACATGTCCGCGTACAATGTTTCCAAATTTCTTTCCTAGACATCGGTCAACATCGTCACTCCAGTTGAACTGGGTAAACCTGAAGAGCAATCAACAGGACCAAACACTTGGAATGTCGAGATATTTATTCAAACTATAAAGGAAGTGGTACGTATTGGACACGGCAAACTCTTGATTTGTTAACTGCATCATCATCAATGATCTGTCATTTTCCTTTCGACATTCTCGGAATTATTCGACTGCTTTTATAGGCGTCTTCTCATGCATTGCCACCGTGGAGCGCTACAAAGTCCTAACTGTTTTCATATATTGTATATTTTGTCCTCTTCAGGTGCCAGAGCTAAGCTGGACTGAGGTTATATCATGTTTGGATCACCCGGGATTCTTGATCAGCACGGTGGAAGCACTGAGACTTATTGTGACCGCTTGTAGCAAGGGTTTGCAGGACGTATTTCCAATCGAGATACTCTACCGAGCTTGGACTAACACAGAAGGCCAGGTTAGCTAAGATAAGAATATTTAGGTTTCATCCATCCCATTCAGACGAAAAAGATCCGCTCGCTGAGTTTGTTTGCTTTAAAACAGTCTTTATGTTATAATATTCTTGTATTGCACTGATGAAGGCCCGGCTTAACGGGCCGAAAGCTTTGCTTTGCAGTATTAAATACTTACGTGGTGTACCTACAAGCTAATTTACTTAGTCTTTATGTTGTTGTTTACTAGTTATCTTGGATACAACAAGCTCTGATCAATCCCGATGTATTCTGCTTTGCGGACTACCCATGTCATACTGTTGTGATCGATATACTCAAATCACCTCCGGAGGACAATAATCGTGAAATATTAACATGGTAGGCAAACCCAGTCGATATAATGTGGTATACTATATGAAGAGCTTTGAATATAGATGAATATTTCTTGATAACATCAGTGTACATGTTATTTTCTGAACTTTCAGGCAATCCCTGAGTCTTGTGGAGACATTGCTTCGCTTGGCTGAGTCTGGTCATTACGAGACCGTGAAAGCCTTGTTTGATTTTCCAATAAAACATTGTCCTGATGTTCTCCTGCTGGCTTTGTTGCAGACCAACGTGAGTCTAACCTAAAATGATTGACAGTGCATGTTTTCTGAGTTCGTTTGACGAAACAAGATATACGTTACGATAATAAGGGATTCTCGACACTGGACCCAGAACTCCCTAGTCTAAATCTACTTACGCTCACATTTAAAGAACTGGTTTATAAGTAATATAATTAATAAGTAATATAAATATAATACAAATATTTAAAATTTTATTCTTTCCTACAGCCAACGTGGCAGACACTGAAGTACGACCTTGCATCAATATTGATTCCATTGTTCCTCGCAAACCACCCGAATTCCCTTTGTGTACTGCATCATGTTTGGCACGGTCAGGTATGAGCCCGAACATTCGTATGGATTCCTTGAATTTTCATTAGATATCGAATTGACGCTCCAGTTCATTCTACACTCTTCAGGGTCAGTCGTCGCCATCCATTCGTCATCTCGTCATTCAAGCGATGGCTGACTGGTATGTCAGCGGTGATTTATCTCGAATACTGGATGTTGCTCAGGACCTAAAGGTTAGGCGATTCTCGAGTTAAGATTTTGATTTACTAAACGCCGTATTTATTCAACCAAAAATGATATTCTAAAACTTCAGGCTCTTTCCATATTATTAAACGGTTCGTCGTTTGCATTCGTCATCGACCTGGCGGCGTTGGCATCGCGACGTGAGTATCTGAAACTGGACAAATGGCTGAACGATAAACTCCGTGAACATCAAGAAGAATTCGCAGTTGCCGTTGTCGACTTTCTCAAACGTCGCTGTCCCCACTTGGCAGGTGTTATACCAGAAAAGGAGCTGCCAAAGAGTGCACAGTTGCCACCAGAGACCGTGAACACGATGCTCTCCTGTCTACAGGCTTATTCAGGGTACGTAAAAGGCTAAAGGTAGCTTGGAACCCGGTCAAAATTGTATGCCAGATTTGGTGACCGATAAGGCGAAAATTTTTGCTTTAGTTTGGGTGAAGTGTGGATTTTAATGCCAAAATATGTCAAAATAAGCGCGTTTTTAAAGGCAACGATTTTGCTCATACGAGTTTGTTTATATTTTTTCAGTCATGTGTCGCTTGAACTTGGTGAAGAGATAAAGCAGATGATTTCACGTCATGGACCAATTCTCAAGTCCAGACAACCATCGGTCAGCGTCGCGATGCCCTCGTTGTCACGACAGACGAGCAGAGACCCTGGCCTGCCTGGAGCGGTAATATTTATATACTGACACCATCTTTGTGACCTATATATGACTATTTTTAACCTTGTATACTTTTAATCACACGATTCTGTTTTTCTCTCCAGATGGATTCACTGGCAGGCCTCAATTTATCATCTGGCACCATTCCCCCAACACCGACCACGCCCTCCCAACTTCCAACCTTCCCACCCCACCCGCTGTCAACTGGTGGAGGACTGGGCGCGCTCGGTCTAGGCTCGGCGATTGGACAGCCACCCTCAAAACCGATATCCCAACTTGGTACAGGTATAACAAGTGCCTCCAACGACTTGCAATAACAATATTATTATTATTATATTTAACCAGGATACCCACATCACCTTATAGTGTTTTTCAGTGGGGTCCTGCAGCTGAATTAAGCCTTGTTGCTGTTTTATTCGGTTTCCAAAACTTCGAATATCAGAACAAATGTAGCGAATTTTCGTGCTGTAAAGGCCAGTTTACACTTGCGATTTTTGCTGCGACCTTTTGAGCGATTTTCTTCTTTTGATAGATGTGAACAAGTAATACGTTACGAGTGCTCCGATGTGTTCGAGCTCCTATTTGAACATCCGTAGTTAATTCACTCGTTCACATCTTTCAAAAGAAGAAAATTGCACAAAAAATCGCAGCAAAAAATGCAAGTGTAAACGATCCTAACCTTAACCTTTTATAGGTCTAACGTCTTCCAGCTTGTCGAACACTGGAGGAAACCCTTTGCTTCAGCAGTTGCAAGTCGAATTCTCCAACGACAATTTCCATTCACTTGGCGTGACAAGTGCTGCAGGAAATTTCACCTCCACAAAACCGCTCGGATCGTTGCCCACATTCCCTGCTCAGCCTGCACAGCCCGCAGGACAGCAACAGCTTGCAGGCAATCAGAGGTTACAAGCTGAAAAACTCCGTCAAAGTACGTCATGTCATAGGAAACAACATTCACCCGATTAATGAGCGTACATCTAATGTATCCTCGATTTTAAGCGTGCATCTAATGTATCCTCGTCTAATTCTAGCGACAACTGGCAGCGATATCACGGCGGTATTGCCTGGGGTTAACCAATCCTTTCCAAGCGATGTCGAGGCAGAAGCGAACTCGTATTTCCAGAAAATATACAACCAACCGCCTAATCCGACAATGACAATCGATGAAGTCCTTGAAATGTTGAGAAAGTTCAAAGATTCGGCATCGAAAAAAGAGAAGGTGCACTTTTGAATAAACTTACTTTTCACCTTTTCCCATCAGATTTCTAACGTTCTGAGGGAACACGAAGGCTATGTGCACACCAGCGTCGTTTTCGAGCGTTTTCAAAATCGTCTTGTTTATTATTTATTGTTTAGACGCCCTGTTCACACGTCCCAAGGAAAAATATGCCTAATGTGTTAAATTAGTTTCAACTTCTATTGTAAATTGACGGTGTTTGAAACCGTTTTGGGATGAAAACTAATGTTAGAACGTTGGAAAACGTTACCGTGTGTACATAACATAAGCCACAATGTTGACGTTGAAGCTCTTAAATAAAACGATGGTACTTTACAGATGCGAACCTTTTAATGTCTGTAAAGGTTCAAAATTTCCAGTGGTAGTATGGCCGCTGTTTTCATTCTTAGTTTAAACATATTTACTTTGCTTTAGGACGTGTTCTTGTGTATGCTACGAAATCTCTTTGAGGAGTACGGTCATTTTCACAACTATCCTAACAGAGAGTTGCATACAACGGCTTGTCTCTTCGGTGGGATTATTGATCAAGGACTTGTTACGTGAGTAAGATTTGTTGACGCAAATGATCGAGACAATTAACATTGGCCGGGATTAGTTTAATCCTGTAGGAAGGTTGTAAAGGGAAATGACAGAATTAACGTGTGATTTGACTGAGATGAACGCAGTGCAATTCAGGGGCCGGTTGTATCAATCCCATAAGTCAAAATTAAATAAAACTCTTACAACTCTCTTGAATGAGTCAACTTGAATATTATGGACTGAATACGTAGTTTTAAACAGTATCTTTGCATTAAGATTAAAAACATATAGTTCTCTTGATGAATAAAACGGCAGGCTTGCTTTCTATTTTGAACTTGTCCACCGTTTAAGCTAAACGGGCTTGATACAACCAGCCCCTGATCAATTACTCAGCGGTGTTTATATTGTTGTTTAGGTACATGGCGTTGGGCATTGCTCTGCGATACGTACTCGACGCACTTCGTAAACCATTTCAAAGCAAGATGTATTTATTTGGAATCACAGCTTTGGATCGCTTTAGATTAAGGTAAACAGATATACGTCTGGGAGCAGTTGTATAAAACGTTTTAACTACACTTTGCATAGTTAAATCCTGGTTATTAACTCAGAAATACACCACTCTGATTGGCCAATTCTGTCCATAACTACAGTTAAAAGTTAACTAGTCTTTTATACAACTGGCCCCAGTATTGTGAAAGCTTACCTACACTCTCATTTATTGATTGTGACAAATTTTGTCTTTCTGATCAATGGGAATATCAAACTCGTGTCAGTGTGGGGGGAAATACCGTTAGGATTGTGCCAATGTCATATCTCCATCCTCAAATGCAGCTCTTGCATTTCCTTAACACCCATGCGTATATTATAATCTCTGCTCTTCAGGTTGAAAGATTACCAACATTACTGTCGACATCTGGCATCAATACCTCACTTCAACGAGTTTCCTCCGCATCTTATCGAGTTTATTGAATACGGGAAGCAATCGATCCAGCCTCCTCTTAGCAGCAGGAGTGTGCAGGTAAGCCTGTATTTGCACGCTCTCACTGAACTCTACGTAAACTGGAATGCAGTATGGCATTAAAGACCGTTCACACGATCCAACTTTGTCGGGTCCAGTTCACTTCTGACGTATGGAATATAGTTTGTTATTGATAGTTCAGTACTGCATTGGCTTTAGTTGATATGCTGCGTATATACATTGCAAGTCAACAGACTGAATTGGATCCGACAATACAAACTAACAAATGATAACATTTTGTAACAGGATACATCGACAACGAACTATTTCGGCAAGGTTACCTCGACTGTATCGGACACTTTGCCATCAGCAGTTGGAACAACCGTAACGACTACAGCACCGTCAACTGGGGCCGATGCTGCAAAACAGTTTTCACTTTCGTCTGGAGGTATGTGGCATTGATATATACACCTTACTAAAAGCGATTGATCGACAATCATGCAGGCCAGAATTCGCCTTAATCAAAGGGAATGATTAATTTATTGATTGATTAATTGATTGATTTATTTGAGTATACCATTTTCCGGCATATTCGATCATGGTCGAATACGCCATTTTCCGGCAGACTCGACCATGGTCGAATTGATTGATTGATTGATTTAGATCGTACAAAGTAAAATACAAAACAACTTCTCTCTCTTTTCTAGTGCCCGCAAACGGTTCAACAACGCGAAAAGAGGTATTCAGAAATTGTCTTGAAAAGAGGCTGTTTTCAAAACAATGCACTTCGATTCATCATAGTTTTATTTTTCATTTTAGCCCTCAATAGCAAACGCCAGCAATATCGATACTCTTCTTGGAGCTACCGAGAAGTCAGAGCTGGCTCAGCCGTCGGAATCGATTCAGGATAAAATCCATTTCATCTTTAATAATATCTCAACAAATAATCTCACACAAAAGGTGAATATTTGGTGGCTTGAAGGATATGATCCGTTTCATCTCACAAGAGGAGACGTTTTGAAAAGTACTTCAAAAGTCCTTTTTTAAAAAAGACTTTTGCAGCTATCTATCCTGAATATTGGCTTTGATCTCTATAAGTTTACTTTAGCTGGATTATTACATTTCAGGGCGAGGAATTGAAAGAAGCTGTGAAGACCGAATTCTTCCCATGGCTGGCTCAATATTTAGTCATGAAGAGAGTCAGTATTGAGCCAAACTTCCACGATCTTTACATCAAGTTCATGGAGACCCTGAAGTGGAAAGAACTCTTTCAATTGGTGCTTCAGGAAACCTATCGAAACATAAAGGTATGCATATAGCAAGCTTGCACCCCCCTGTGGTAATGTTAGAGCATGTGTACACCCCCCTGGAAAAGTTGTCGAGGTTGGTAAACCAACTAAAGAACAACTCAACACAACTCGCTTCATCTTTATTTTCAGGTTTTACTTCAATCCGACAAAGTACCCGCAAACTTCTCAGACAGGTCTTTGTTGAAAAATCTTGGCCATTGGCTTGGTCTGATGACTTTGGCTCAAAATAAGCCCGTGTTGATGAGAGTAAGTTCCGTGAACATGCAGGAGTATTTATCAAATACAATATTGTTAGGTTTTTACATTAGATTATATTCCGAGATACACATTTAACATGATTCGATAATGTCTGTTTTAGAATCTGGATGTAAAGTCGCTTATTATTGAAGCGTATTTCAAAGGACAACAGGTGAAATATTGGCGTAGTTATAGTTATTTTTACTAGCTTGTTACCAACTCTCAGAGAAAGAGAAAGAAAGGGTTTTTCCCTTAAGGTCTGTTTACACGATCCTAGTTTTTCGGATCCAATTCACTTCTGATGGATGTTTTATAGTCTGTCGACTTGTAATGTATGTGGACAGCAAATCAACTAAAACCAATGCAGTACTGTTTTATCAATAACAAACTACTTTCCATACGTCAGAAGTGAATTGGATCCGACAACGTGTGTGCGCTTTGTATCACAACGTCTCGATGCTTCAATTTTATTTTGTGAATTTTTTCACAGGAAATGTTGTATGTTGTGCCATTTGTTGCAAAAATAATGGAAGGTTGTGCCAAGAGCAGAGTATGTATCGCTTATTATTCCAAATACGTTTTAATCCAATCGTAGTTTGTTCAGAGAAAAATTGAAATTTGGAATACAGCATCATTTTGTGTAAACATTGTGTAGATATTCAAGCCTCCAAATCCCTGGGTCATGGCAGTCATGGGTGTTTTAGTCGAATTACACCAAGTACCTGATCTCAAGGTATGCATTGGGCATATTTATCCTGGGCAAGCTACACTGCCTTTCTTGTACAGTTTCATTTCCTGCCTATAAACATTCGTATATATCTATTTGTTTACATTTCAGCTTAATCTTAAGTTTGAAGTTGAAGTTCTATGCCATGCCTTGGGAATTGACATGAAGGTACGCACACGTTGTTTGTACCTGAACGCTACTGCGGAGTGATGATGGATCATTAGATACGAGAATTTTAACCTTTTTTCTGCAGGAAGAAATCACTCCGACAACGTTATTGAAAGATCCTGAGAAATTGAACCAAATCATACATCAGTTGTCGTCGCCGGACAAGGACAGGCCGACAGGACCGTCTGTTCTTTCCCAGGCTCCTCCAACAACTCCTCCTCCTCCCCAGTACTCTTACCAAGAAATCAATGTCACGTCTTTGGCCGGACTTGCCAGCCTCATCAAGATAAACCCACAGGTAAATTGAGGATAAATTTCAAGTTTCAGGTTTTTCAAGGGCATTAACATGACGTATTATTGAAGACCAAACGCTGTAACATATACTTCATGTAACATAATTCAAGTACATATACTTCATGTAAGAATGTACATATACTACCCTCACAGGCTAAAATGTACATAATTTTTTCCCAAACAGATAGCGTTGTTCCAACAACAGCCTCAACTCCGTCAGTACGTACGACCAGCGATTGATCGCGCTGTGCAGGAACTCATTCATCCAGTTGTTGAGAGATCCATCAAAATTTGCTTGACCACTGCAGAAATGATCGTCAAAAAGGTTTGTGTTTAGAAAACCTTGAACGACTGTAAACGACCAAGTATTGTTATGATCAATTTAGCCCCTTTTGTGGCATATGAATTCAAAATTGAAGGCCGTGGGAAGACTCCTAGAACTTCTTGTTCAACGGTTTTGCTGATCAAAAAAAATCTTGCTTTCCCCAGGACTTCGCTTTGGACCCGGATGAGTCGCGAATGAGGACAGCCGCGTATAGTATGGTGCGCTTTATGACTGCTGGGATGGCCTTGATCACGTGTCGTGAACCGTTGAACCTTAGTATTAATAATAATTTGAGGTCAACTTTGATGGCTGCTTTGAGGGTAAGTACTCTTCGTTCGTACGAGAAAGGTCGATAAAGGTATTGTTCTACACGAAACTTTGCGTGTGTGTTGTGTTGTTTTTGAACTACGGGAATAAGAAAAAAAACAAAACAAAAAACTCATTTTGGTGAATAGGCATTTACTTGGGGTGGGAAATTTTAACGACAATTTGCTATCCATTACATTCTCATACGAAGTACCTGACCATGTATTGAATGTTGTTAGGGCGCCACTCCTCAGCAAAAAGAAGCAGTCGAAAGCGCCGCTCAGATTGTCAGCGAGGAGAACACCGAGCTTGCTTGTACGTTTATACAAAAGACAGCGGTGGAGAAAGCTTTGCCTGAAATGGACAAACGTCTTGCTTCCGTAAGTAGAAATAGGCAGAAGCATTTCTCGTGCAAAATTGTCATCATACTTGACTTGCAATGTCGTTGAGAGCTTTTGTTTTGTTAGGAATTTGAATTACGGCGTCATGCTCGCAGCGAAGGAAGACGCTATTGTGATCCTGTCGTCCTAACCTACCAGGCTGAACGAATGCCTGAACAAATACGGTTGAAGGTGAGTACAGAAACCTGGGCTAGAAAACACAAAGCACTGTGAATAAATCAACTTCGAGCAATAACATACCAAGTCAGTCACTCAAAAATTTGTCAACAAATACTTACCTTTCTAGGTCGGCGGTGTGACGCCGAACCAAACAGCAGTATTTGAAGAGTTCGGGAAAACAATTCCTGGTTTTACAACACCTACTCCTGGTGAGAATCTGACGACACCGGCAGCGTTTGCCAACAACAGATCTATTTTTGAACAAAATCTTCATGCAACTGAGGTAAGGACGTAATCTTTGCTACGAAAGCTCGGATTGGTCGAGCACATTGCTCGCGAATGCTGATTGGTTTGTCTCATTCGTGGAGAAATTTTTCCCGCCAAAACGATTTCCAAGCTTCAGTGGTGTTCATAAGAGCAATTTGGCTGGGAAAACGCGCTGTATTGAATCGTATTTTTGTGTTAACTTTGACGCTGGATTACTTTCTTCTTATTTAACGCCATAGCCAACGATATTACCGGAAGAAGTGGCCCAAATTCTTGGTAAATGCACTGCCGACATTGAACAGCATCTACATGCAATGAATTTATCTCAGACGAGTCCTCATGGCTTGGCAATTGTTGGTTTACTCGACGTCCTGGTCACTGCAAGAGCATCTAGGGATAGTGTCGCTCTCACCCGAGTTGTCCATAAGGTAACCCAGTGTTCATGTTTATTTCCAACTGTCCTAAAATCCAACCTTTTACCACCATAGCCTGTGGCTGTCGTAATTGGTTTATCTAAAGTGATTTGTCTGTCAGAAATTATTCGCGATGTGTCGTGTCGCTTGTAACCCAACATTGAGAAGTCTGTTCAAACACCAGAACTTGGTCTTTTGTTTTTGATTAGGCGGTAAAAGGCTTACTGGAAGGTTTAAATCCAATCCCCAGCGATACTGAACTGGCTCTGAGATACAGAGATTGCCACATGGTTGTTTTGCGAAGTCTGCAAGATGTTCGCGCTTGTGGTCCTCATTGGACTGGAAAACATGTTACAAAGTATGCCTTGGATATTTCTTTCTTCTTTTTAAAGATTTTCATATCGTCTCATATCATATCTCACATCCCCTTTAATCCTAGATTTGTATGCGAATGTCCACCGGATGTAAAGTTTAACGTTGACATCATCGATATTCTCATTCGAAATCGCCTGATCAATATGAGAGAATTTGATGTACATTTAGCACAAGTAAGATTTCCTTTTGTTCTCGATTACCATCGCATTGTTCAGCAGAGCGTGGATCAAATTTGATCTGGGAAAGGGGGTGGATTTTAACATCGACAAGGCTCGCAAGAGCTTTAGGGTCAAGTGAAGATTCACCATCACATGTAACAAGGGAGTGCGTTGATCATGATAAGTATATGCTATACTTTTAGTGTATTGAAAACGACCTGAACGTGTCGGCCATCCATTTTGCGGTACAGTTGACGAAACTTTATCTGATTGACGAACACAGTAATCACGTTTCCCAAGTACGTATTTTAAACTCTTCAACGTTTGTGGTGTTCACGGGTTTAAAACTTTACATGGTTCAAACTTCATGTAGGGCGACTTGTATCAGACGTTGGAGGCTCTATCACGAATAGCAAATTCGAGAAGTGGCATTGGCGATGCGTGAGTAATTTTCACATCAATATTGACATTGCATGAAAGATTTTTTGTTCGATATCTACAGGGAGATATTTCTACTCGCTGTTTAGGCTTCCCTCGATCCTCGAGGTTATACGTAGCGGAGGTATGAGCAGTGGCATCGATTTCCCTCCAAGATTAAACGATTTAGACAAAGGATCAAGCGGTCAAGCTGGATTATCCTTAGGATTAAGCGGATTAAGAGTATTCGAAGATCCTCCTGGTCTTCATGACAAGGTGTGTGGATTGCTAAAGCATTCATCGTTAAACAGTGTACAAAACATCCTCCTTATTTTTTGCCTTCTTTTCAGGTGGAATACCTCCTTCATGAATGGGTTCGTCTGTATCACCAACCAGCCGCGGGAAAAGAAAGCGAAAAAGCGTTCTCAACTTTCGTAGCAATGGTAAGGAATCTATTTCAAAGAAACTTACAGCTTTGGTCCATTGTTATGGCGGACTTTCCTTTCCACACAAAGCTTCAATTTGGCTCGTGTGATTCAGCTTGGGCGCTTTTCATTAAGCGCGGCCAAAATTATCAGAGCGGTCATACTTTGAATTGAAATGAAACACTTCTTTTAAAATATAGCGGTGAAACTGCATTTTCTATGCTAGGCGGATGTAAATATCGATCAACGTGAATGCAGAGTTCTTGAAACATTCTAAAAAACCAGTAATCTTTCTGTACCGAAATACAACAGAACCGGTCTGACTGTTTTCACCGTATAAGGAAAGCGCCCCTTGTGTATTTAATGCATTTGTTTCTCTGTCATTTCAGCTTCACCAACATGGCATATTGAAAACAGATGATCTTATAACCCGATTCTTTCGCATCAGCACAGAACTTTGTGTGGAAAATACTTATCGTGCACTCATTGAACACGTAGGTACCGCTGTTATCCCTATCTATACACAGATATCCTTTACTTACACGTCTTTGTTTTCATCATCATTGCAGGCCTCCAACAGGAGCCATGCCCGCGCGAAATGTTTCAGTACTTTGGATGCGTACTGTCGTTTGATAGCTCTGCTTGTTCGACACTCCGGTGACGCCAGTAACAGTGTGACCAAGATTAATCTACTTACTAGGGTAAGTATAGTTAGGGCCTAGGGAGGGGTGGGTGGTTTTATCAAAATCAAAATGAAATCGATTATACTGTTAGGTTTCCCTGAGTTTGGGGACTAAATTGAGAATGCATTTCTTCTTGTGGCGTATGTGATCTCCCACAATAGAGCAACAACTTCACCTTATGCCAGGTGTGGGCCAATAGCATTAAACTTTCCAGCAGGGGCAGTAAATCACATACGCCATGAGGTCCTAAATCCTAAATTGACTGCTTTCTTCTCAGGATTAATCTCTGTTGTTGGCGAATGTTTATTTCAGGTGCTTGGAACTGTCGTCCAGGTCCTACTTCAAGATCACGAAATGCGAAAGACAGATTTTCATCAACTCGCTTATCATAGGATCTTTATAATCCTGTTGTTGGAATTGAACCAACCAGAACAAGTTCTTGAAGCTATCAACTATCAGGTCTTGCAAACATTTAGGTACGTCCCAAGTCTAGTTTGTGAAGATTGGAATCACAGAAATAAAGTGTCTCCAGCTTTCTACAGCTTGCAATATTGGTGACATTGAGCTAGGTTTAGTTTTCAGAAATAACTCTTTTGGAAAACAAATTACGTTGAGCTAGCCTGCATTTTCAGAAAAAACATGATCAGAAATATAACGCTGTGGAAAACAAAACCAAATCAAAACATCCCAGTATTACTGAAATGATCGACTAACCCAACAAGTTCTTCAGAAATGGCTCTCAATCCTTTTAAATTAAGTTTAGATTTCAAAGTACAGTGTTCATCATTAAGTGCAAGTTTATTTGTTGTATTTTCACATCTCATTTTATATTTTCATCATTGATTTTTCATCATTTTTTCCCAGTACAATATTCCATGCTCTTCGTCCGTCACGTGCGCCGGGATTCGCGTATGCTTGGCTTGAATTGATCTCGCATCGAATGTTTATGTCCAAGTTGTTGTTGAACACACCGCAACAGAAGGTTCGAAGAATGATTCATTTTACAGAAGATACACGATTTTAAATGCAACGACTTAACGTGCGTTTTTATTTCACGTTTTTGTAGGGCTGGGTGTTGTTTCAGCAATTGTTGATAGATTTGTTCAAATTTCTCGCTCCGTTCTTGAGAAATGCGGAGTTGAACAAACCCACGCATCTTCTTTACAAGGTGAGCTTTTGCAATGATTTTGTATGTAATTCCTGACAATAGACCTTTGAGGTGCTTACGTCATGTCGGTCTCGAACAATGAATCGCAATGCAATCTGGGAAACAAGTGGGACAAAATTGTATAGATAGAAAACTGTGTGACCTAAGCACTTCAGAAGGCTATTGCCAGTCTTTTTAGATTGCTTTCCTCGTCAGGGTGATTTTAGGTAGTGCAAGCTAATGAAATTTCATAATATTTTCTGTTTCAGGGAACTCTCAGAGTGTTACTGGTCCTCCTTCACGATTTCCCAGAATTTCTGTGCGACTATCATTTCAGCTTCTGTGACGTCATCCCACCTAATTGCATTCAAATGAGAAACCTCATACTTAGCGCATTTCCTAGAAATATGAGATTACCCGATCCCTTCACGCCAAATCTCAAGGTATTGGAAACTTGACAAGTTTCGACATCGCCAAGTGCATGCGGCATACAGATTTGCCATCTGAAGATGTAAATGAATGCGCAATGACATGAACCAATCTCATTTTAAACTAATCAGCATATGTGTCCACTTTTTCAGGCTAAGCCAATCAGAATGCTTAAATTTTTATTACTTCATATAAAATGGTATATATCGTATCTTTTTACCGGACGTAGTCAATATTTGTGCATTCTGATTGGGTAACCGGAAATGTAAACAAAATTTCTGATTGGTCTGAAACAAAAATTCCTCCTTACACACAATTGTTTCGTTCATCAAGGTTGACCTGCTCACTGATATTGCTCACTCTCCACGGATTTTAACGAATTTTTCAACGGCAATTCAACCCTCAACTTTTAAAAAGGTAAGCATGATGTACCACTCCAGTCTAATCTGCTGTATCACTTCTTATCATTCACATGTGAACGCTATGTGGTAATGCTGTAACCTTAGCAAGATTCCCCCCATATGGGCTATACGATTTTTGTGTTCATCTGAGCTGTCATAACTCGTAAATATTTTGAACTGATGTAATTTCAGGAATTAGATTCTTATCTGAAAACGAGAGCTCCAGTGACATTCCTGACCGAACTGAGATCACACCTACAAGTAAGCATATCAAGTGACATACTCCTCCCCGTACTTTACCCTGTTTCTATATCCTAATGCAAATCCTTGCCTATAATCCTTAATCCTACCCTTAATCCAAATTCTATCACCCTAAGGATTCGTTTTACTCTGAAAGTTCCAAGTTTTTTTTCTATTTGATTCAACTTCTATTTTATTCAACTTCTCTTTCAGGTTGCCACAGAGCCTGGTACCCGATACAATGTTCCCTTAATGAACGCTCTAGTTCTTTACGTTGGCACTCAGGCTATTGCTTATATTCACAGTAAGAGTGGAACACCTTCCATGTCGACTATCACGCATTCATCTCACATGGACATCTTCCAAAACCTTGCTGTCGATTTAGATACTGAAGGTAGGCTTCATGCAGATTCCTGAACGCGTAAAACACGAATCTTTCAAGTCAAGGTGAATTTTATAATAATTTTCTTTGTTTTAGGTCGTTATCTATTTTTGAACGCAGTCGCCAACCAATTGCGATATCCCAACAGCCACACTCACTATTTTAGTTGTGTTTTACTTTATCTTTTTGCTGAGGCGAATACGGAAGCCATCCAGGAACAAATCACGAGGTCAGTTGCACTTTCTTTCATTGAAAAAATATCATCTTTTGACTACCAAAGCCTGGTCTATACTTGTTACTAATATCACATCTTTTAAGAGCAAATGTGCTCGTAGGTTGAAGAATTGATTTCGCCGTCTTGATGATTTATTTTTTCCTTATCTTTCATATCAGGGTGCTGCTGGAAAGACTTATTGTAAACAGACCTCATCCTTGGGGATTGCTGATTACATTCATTGAGCTCATCAAAAATCATCAATACAAGTTCTGGACGCACGATTTTGTCCACTGTGCACCAGAGATAGAAAAGTATATAAACGCTATATTTCTGTTATATTTTCTCTTTTTCATAACGTTACCCTATTACACTCTTCACGAAGTGGGATCCCCCTTTCATAAACCCCTACTACACTCTTTACGAGGTAGGGATCCCCCTACTACACCCTTTATTACCCGTTTTCTCAAACAGATGGCATAGTTGTGTTTCGAGTTCTACCGTCGTTTTGAGTCGTATGTTGTCTTCTACGCCCCAATCGTGATCTAAAAATGGGTATTATTACTTTTCCAGATTGTTTGAGTCAGTTGCACGAAGCTGTATGCAACAGAAACAGCCACAAACACGGGAAGGCGGAGCTCCTGAAAGCGCTTAAAATGATTATCTTTCAAGTTATAATCAGGGCGTTCATATTTTGTTTAAGGGTGATAGCGTATGTGGTTAATTTTTGAATTTAATAAAGTTAAAAGTCTAAATCTGTCAGCGAATGTGTGGTTTTTGACCATAGTTTTTGAAGAATGTAACCGAAATATACTCGACCACGGTCGAATAGACCGAAAAATGGTATACTCGACCTTGCCCGAATATAACCGAAATATGGTATACTCAACTATGGTCGAATATACCGAAAAATGGTATACCGACCATGGTCGAATATACCGAAATATGGTATACTCGACCATGGTCGAATATAACCAAAATATGGTATACTCAACATTGGTTGAATATACCAAAGTATGGTATGCTCGACCATGGTCCAATATACCCGAATATAGCATACTCAACCATGGTCGAATATACCGAAATATGGTATACCCGACCATGGTTGAATATCCTGAAATATGGTGCACTCAAACATGATGAGTATAGTTTGTGCCAAGATGATCAGGTAGCATTCAAAGACTTTATTCCAGCATTTTAACCTGCTTTGTTTAATAAAATCTGAATTGAAAGCATAACCAGGGATACAATAGACCTTTTATTATTGAATGATTTTCACATAATATTTGAAATTGAACTTCCAAAACTTTCTACTCTTACACAGAGTTTCTAAAAGTTTTATCATTAATCAAATAATTTGCTATTTACACTTCAATAAGATATAACTAATATATTTTTTTCAATTATTGACTTAGAAGTTTTTCAATGTCGTTCGCTAAATCAATTGTGGGGAATGTTTTTCCATAACGACGATAGGGCACACCATTTTTGTCCACCAAGAACTTCTCAAAATTCCATCTTACATCACTTCTTAATAAAGGTTTCCATTGAATGCCAGCAGGATTGGCACTGAACAAGCCATCTGGCTCTTCATCAAAAGGCATTGGCAGGTTAGACTTTAAAAACTGGAACACTGGATGGCTGTCTTCACCATTGACGTTGATTTTAGAGAACATTTCAATTGTTGGTTCAAAGCCATTACCAGGTCGGACATGTTTTAGCAGATCAAGAATTTCCCCATTCTTGCAATTCTCTTGATGCCCAAACTGGTTGCAGGGAAATCCCAGAACACAGAGGCCTTTGGAATGGTATTTTTCCAGAAGCTGGTTCATCTGAAAAAACACACAAAGGTTGTTTATTTCCTTTAATATACTCCATCAGAAGGATACTGGCACTTACTTCCAGGGGCAGGAAAAAGAGAAACTTCACTTTTAAACAATTGGTTGATCTCAATCCAGTTTCAGTAATGAGATCAGTTTTGAAGGACATTCTGGTTCTCAAGGACACTTAGGACAGGGCTTAAATCAATATTGGATAACCCTCTCCAATCGGACCTCAAATGATATCGTCTTACTATTTCTGACTCGAATCTGATGCTTCGAGCATTATTGAATGAGCGTGTATACCTGGGTGTAATCCCTGATGGTTGTACCTCATAAAGATGCAGTATTTTCGATCAAAACTACTTTATCTTTGTACTTCGAGAAATCTACTTCTTTGCCGTTCAAAGCGAGTGCACTTAGTTTATAAAAATCCTCAGCAACAGAACTAAAAAGCCGCTTCGTACTGCGCGATAAAAGTATTGCCATACTTCTAGTTGGCCCAACTGCACGAGTACTCACAGTTCGCCCACTTTGCTCTTTATACTTTAACTGTGATGTTATATAGCTCAGTGAACCGAGCCTATAAGAGAAGACTGGAACGGAATCCAACATGGCGGCCTTATAATAGCAAATCGTATTCTTTTTTTGCAGAAAATGGCGTTGAACACTTGGGTTTCTGACAGACTTCACGATATTCTTGGTTTCTCCGATAAACATACTGTCGAGTACCTTGTCAGTTTGAGCAGAAGCACTAAATCTTCAGAATCATTTCGCGATAAACTCGAAAGCTTTCTTGGTGCCTTGGACGGTCAAATCTCAAACTTTGCAAATGATTTGTGGCAGCGTGTGCCCCATCAAGAGGTATTTTGCGTACATATATACATGCCCGCCTATTTTGTTTAGTTGATCAGGTTTTCCAATAGCTCAGTAATGTGGTTTCTCACTATACACAACGGCCAATAAATATTCATTTATAATTTATTTATATGTAATTTGTTAGTACGTAGTAACCATGAATAGTAGGGGTTGCAGAAACTACAAATTCTAAAGTCACTAAGGACTATTGTTTTGAAAGACTTTACTAAGGCTTCAGTCAGAACTTGTATGAAAAGCTTTTACCCTCAGCTCGGTGTCTGGGCGAAAATATTTGTGCAAACTCAGGTTATGAAAGTGAATTGTGAGGTGGTCAGGTAGTTGCGAGTTTTATTTTAAAAATAAGACTTCCGTAAAGTTATCTTCATGTAAAAAGTTGCAGAATTCTTCATATAGCTTGCCTTCAGCAAGTATTTCTAAATAAAAATTTTCTGTTTCATACAAGGCGGGAGAGAACCCCAATCGTGCTCGCGAGAGAGAAATCGTTGCAGAACAGAAGCGAAATATGGCATATCGCATGTTATCCGATGATGATGACGAAGATGATGAAGAAATGGCGGCAAAAACGAAGTCGGCCGAACGAAGGACGGCGAAGCGACGAAAGCATTTACGAAAGAAAGCGGAAATGTCCGAGTCCAGCGAGGAAGACGCCGCTGAAGTGAAGGAAACTGCTGCAGATTCGGAAGACGAATGGGAGAGGAGCGAAAAGGAGAGAATGAAAGATCAGGAAGAAAGAGACGCATTCTCAGCACGGTTGAAAGAAAAGGATAAAGAGAAACAAAGGAATGTGATGGAACGATCAGAGAAGAAGGTGAGGGGTCAAGTCATCAAGACAGATTGCTTTGGATGAGTAATTGTTTACCTGACTGCCCAAGTCAACAACATCGGTAGTATCATTGTGTCAAATGAGTTGCAACGTTTTCCATGCCATGTGTTTTAAATGGGTTATGAAATGTTTAACTTGTTCACGTAAGTTATAAATCGTTCATATGATATAATGGGTGTCTGGCGTGCTTGTAGGCATATGAGGAAGCCAAGAAAAGACTAAATTTGGACGAAGAAGATCGTAAAAAAATGGTAAATATCTTTCAACGGCCAGAGTATACTCTTTCCGTGAAATTCCGTGATATATTTGCGAGATACCTAGAGTCTGCAATTTAGAGTTTACCATTCTCTTTTCCACTCAGCTTCCAAAGCTTCGTGAGAAATCGAGGCGAGATTATGTGAAAAAACGTCAGGTGGATCAGATTGATATGCTTCAAGGAGACATTCAAGATGACGAGTATCTCTTTGGCGACTTCAATTTGAGCAAACGAGAGAAGAAGGAAATTGAATACAAGAAAACCGTGCTTAACTTAGCCAAGGATTACAAGAAGGCCGGTGAACTAGAGAAGGTTGATCGATACTCCATGCCGAAGGAGGGAACGAAGCCATCAAAATACGACGACGAAGTCATCATGGAAGAACTCGGTCCCAATTATGAGCAGAAGCAATGGGAGGAAGACAAGCTTGTGCAGGCTAAGATGAAATTTGGTGCCAAAGATGCTAAATCTAAGAATAAGGTAAACGTTTCAACTCGCAGAAACGGGTAGGATTGTAGTAGATCTATATGGGCATTTTGAATGCGTTGTTAGAGTCAAGAATTAACGGCAGAAATCATTTGAGGATTTCAGGTGTGGTTAGTGTTGGTACATCAGGATACACGCTGGTCCAACTTAGCTAAGTTTCTCCCACTCGTGCAGGCTCATATTGTCAGCGGACAACTTACAAAATTGAGAGCAAGACGTAAAACGAAAAGCTTTTAATTTTTTATGCGAAGACCGCTGAAAAACTGAGCCCTCTTTACCGGGAGAAAATTTGCCGAATATGACCAACGTGATAGCCAACAAGCAATCTATATTCTTGTTGATAAAATAACCATGATGGACAATAGGGAACCGTAATGGTCAATATATATAGAACTGTAATAGCTAATAGAGAACCGTAAGGGTCAATAAAAAACCGTAATGGTCATTAGGGGACCGTTATGGTCGATAGGGAACCGTAATTGTGAATAGGGAATCGTAATGGCCCATAGGGAACCGTAATGGTTAATAGGAAACCGTATGGGTCAATAGGGAACCGTAATATAGACAGTAGGGTACCGTAATGGTCAATAGGGAACCGTAATCGTGGTCGACAGTATTGAAACAAAAAACCACTAACTCCCGTGAAATAACAACCAGATAATAACCGAACTGATTGACCCTGCATCATAGGTGAAAGATTATGATTTGATGGTGGAGGAAGAAGAACAAATCGCGTTTGTTTTGGCAGAAAATGTTCCTGGCACTGTTATTAATAATAAGGTTGGTATGGTCTTGATGGGAGATTATAAGAAACCACAAAAATTCTTCGTCTACGTGTCATGAGACTAAACTGTCACGAAAGTGCCTGTTTTGAGTACAGGAACAATGAAAAAAAATTTTTTGTGTATGTTTTGGAAACCAACTAAAAGGTTGCAATTTTTAATCGCATTTATGTTAATTATTTTGTTCTGTGAAAACAGTTGTATTTTTATGCCAACAGGAACCTGAGTTATCGGAGCATCAGAAGAAACGAATGACGATAGAGGAGGTGAGTTGAAAAGTCATGAAAACATTAATTATTTGCAAGCATTTGCTATAGCAGCAAGAACTTTCTCATAATGAAGTCTATTTGACTCTGAAAACGATTACTGCTAAGAGTTTGAAACATCAACCGTCCTTCTCAGAACCACAGAAATCAGGACGAACAACATCAAACTATCTATAATATCTTCTTTGTTAGACAAGAAAAAGTTTGCCAATATTTGCATACCGGCAAAGCTTATTGGACGCCATAAGAGACCATCAGGTATGGATTAAGTCTGATTTATACTCTCATCTATCAGGAGTACCCCAGGATTTGAATGGTCTGCTAAATTGTTGCTTACAAATCCATCGGCAATGATAATTTAAGTTAAAGCTATACAAGACTTTGTTCTCTGTCAACAGGTTTTGATTATCGAAGGTGAAACCGGATCAGGAAAGACCACTCAGATCCCTCAGTATCTTTATGAGGATGGTTATACCGCAAAGAAACTCAAGATTGGTTGTACCCAACCAAGACGAGTTGCTGCCATGAGCGTTGCTGCGAGAGTCTCTGAGGAGATTGGAACCAAGTTAGGGAACGAGGTAGAAAGAAGTTTGCTCAGAGATCTGCAGTTGCAGGTGGTCAGACGAGGTTGTCAGAAGTTGCAATGAGTAGCTTTGAGTCAACGATATGGTCATTTTTGTTTCAGGTTGGCTACAGCATTAGATTTGAAGATTGCTGTTCTGAGCGAACAATTATCAAGGTATATATTGAGCCCTGGTCAAAAATCTCACTTGCAACTCTCCCCCTTGGGATTTTAAAGCAAATTTCTATGCCATTCAGTAAGAGCAACATCACATCATGTCACATAAACGTCGATCATAATTATACCAATTTGGTCTTTGATTTTATTATTTTTCACGAACAGTATATGACCGACGGAATGTTACTAAGGGAATTCCTTGGGGAACCTGATCTTGCAAGCTACAGGTAAAACTGGTTGGATATTTTTTGGTCAGAGTGGTCGTTGAACTCGAATACAACTGGCTAAGTCTCAAGACTGACCGCGAGTCTTGGGCAAGTTGAATACCTGCATGCTGTTCTACAATGCTTTGGTTATTTCTTTAGCGTGATGATTATCGACGAAGCTCATGAAAGGACACTTCACACGGATGTTTTATTCGGTCTGGTCAAAGACATCGCTCGTTTCAGACCAACGCTGAAATTGCTCATCTCCAGCGCGACTTTGGACGCGGATAAATTCTCCAGCGTATGTGTAAACAAAATGAATCCCTTGATAGTATTATGGCGCTTCTGAAACACCGGACGCAGCAGGGTCATTATTAAGTCGACAACTTTTTATTTCACTTCTAGTTTTTCGACGATGCTCCGATATTTCGTATTCCAGGTCGACGTTTTCCTGTTGATATTTACTACACTAAGGTATTTGTAAATCTCAGTTGTTCACCAATTTTATCTCAAGGTGACGACGTCAAGACAATTGGTACCTCAACTGCCTGCGAAACATCTTGATGTTTCCACCTAATGGCCGTCCAGATACATACTGATTGTGTATGAAGATGTAGATGTTTTCTCATATATAGTTCAGGGGCCGGTTATATCAAGCCCGTTTAGCTTAAACGGTGGTTAAGTTTAAAATAGAAACCCAGTCTATCGTTTTATTAAACAAGCAAACTAAATGTTTTTAACCTAATACAAATATACTGTTTACAACTACATATTCAGTGCACGTTGACTCATTCCAGAGAGATGTAAGAGTGGTATTTAATTTTGACTTATCGACCGTTTAAGCTAAACGGGTTTGATACAACCGGCCCCAGGGATTTCGTGAATCGATTGTCTAGTCTTGTCAAATGCAGCCCAAAAGATAGATTTTGCTAGCATTGTGTCGTCCTCATATTCATGTACACACTTCCTGTTTCCAGGCCCCAGAAGCTGATTACCTGGACGCGGTTGTGGTGAGCGTTCTGCAAATTCATCTCACTCAGCCAGACGGCGATATTTTGGTGTTTCTCACTGGACAAGAAGAGATCGAAGCGTCGTTTGAAATTCTGACCGAGCGGACGAGGAAACTAGGCTCTAAGATAAAGGAGTTACTTATTCTTCCAATCTATGCAAATCTACCTTCAGATATGCAAGCGAAGATATTTGAACCCACCCCACCCGGGGCTAGGAAGGTATGGCTTTGAAAACACGTGAATGGTCGCCCACTCGCGTATCTGTACATCACTCCAATAGGATTTGTTTGCTTGCATCAGGTTGTCTTGGCAACGAATATAGCGGAGACCTCGCTAACCATCGACGGAATTATTTATGTGATTGACCCTGGATTTTGCAAGCAAAAGAGTTACAACCCCAGGACAGGCATGGAGTCTTTGGTGGTCACGCCCATCTCGAAGGTATATTGTCACAATAGTAGCTACTTAGGAATCTATAATAGAGAACATACATTTCTACGCTTGACCAAACGATAGTCATTATAGTACAGCATTATCAGTGTTTCTAAGACCTTGTAGTAACCTCGTCGACAATGTGCATTTCGAAAAATACTAACAATTATGAATATTGTTGCAATTACTAGGCTTCAGCTAATCAGCGCGCTGGCCGTGCAGGCCGCGTTGCAGCTGGGAAATGTTTTCGTCTCTACACAGCCTGGGCATACAAGAATGAACTGGAAGAAAATACGATCCCTGAGGTATAGATATATATCCAGAGATGTCCATAATAAAACATGATATCCATTGATATCCATATTGTAACAAGATATCCATAGATATCCACTTTGGAACAAGATATCCATTGATATCCATTTCGGAACGAGATATCCATAGATATCCATTTTGGAACAAGATATGTGCAAAAATGTGAGGTCGAGTCCTATTTTTTAAATTAGATTCAGAGAACAAATCTCGGAAATGTCGTGTTGTTGTTGAAAAGTCTTGGAATTAATGATCTGATTCATTTTGATTTCATGGATCCTCCACCAGCGGAAACGTTGATTTTAGCTCTGGAGCAGTTGTACGCTTTAGGAGCGTTGAATCATCACGGAGAACTGACTAAGGTAATAATGCCTTCCTCGGTGAAATTTAGCCCAGGATAGTTAGCGTAACGTAAATGTTTAAAGCCATGCTACATATATTCCGTTTTCCATAGCTTGGCCGCAGAATGGCTGAGTTTCCAGTGGACCCAATGATGTCAAAAGCACTTATCGCATCAGAAAAGTAACCATTTGCTTCGATTTTGAATATAACGATGAACTCTAGGCACGAGTTTTTACCAAGTTATTTTCAATGATTTATTCACAGATATTCCTGTACTGATCAGATTCTGACAATCGCCGCAATGCTGTCTGTAAACAACGCGATATTTTACCGCCCCAAAGACAAGGCAGTTCATGCTGACAATGCAAGAAAGAACTTCTTCCGTCCAGGGGGTGACCACCTCACTTTACTGAACGTGTACGAGCAGTGGGCTGAGACCAACTATTCGACACAATGGTGCTATGAGAACTTCATACAACACAGGTCGATGAAACGTGCCAGGGATGTTAGAGATCAGTTGGAAGGGTTGATGGAAAGAGTTGAAATTGAAATCACTTCAAATCCTCACGATTCCATTGCCGTGCGGAAGGTGTGTGTACACGGAAGGTGGGGGAGGGGAAGGGAAGATGTAGAGGGGGGAGGTAGCGGAGGATAGGATGGTTAGGGGGAGTGGGGTGGTGGGAAGGGGGGGGAGGGGGTGGGTACTGAGAAGATGAGGAGAGAACAGGGAGATAATTAAAGCGGTGGAAGGGGAGGGGGAAGGGGGAAGGGGGAGGTGAGGATCAAGATCGTCTACCTTTAAATAATGAAGCTATCTGAACTTTGGCTGTCCTTACTCACAGTGTCTGTTATTTTCGCAGGCGTTTACTGCAGGATTTTTCTACCACACCGCCCACCTGGGGAAGGGCGGTCAATACAAAACTGTGAAACATCAACAGGTATTCATTAATCGTGACTTCTGCTTTATCTTGTAATATTTATCCCAGGAAATCACAATTCTAGTCAACTTGTGAAACACGACTAATAAAGCAATCTCCTCTTTTTAGACCGTGAGATGATTCATCTAAGCAGTCTATTTGAAGACAAGCCTCGCTGGTTAATTTATCACGAACTCGTTTTCACAACCAAGGAATTTATGAGACAGGTATCTTGTCATTTTGTTTATAAGTTTTCGGACATATTCAATGGAGATTGAGCGAAAACCAGAAACATGGTGTAATGAAAGAAATGTAAAAATGTAATATTTACAAATGCAGCAGTGTCTCGTGACTCATCGTTTTCACGCTCGGACATTTTAAGCTCTATAAATCCATTTCGCAATGTTTTATAAATTTGAACAATTTTTAATCCAGAATTTCCCGCCAAAACCCGAGTGGTCCGTTCTGTAGGTGACAGGCTGCTCGGGGACCAATCAAAATACTCCATTTTGTGTGTTTTAGCACTGGGACCAACCTTTCAAATGTTAAATGTTGTCTTCTTTACTTTACTTTGGTACTTACATCAGTGTTTCATCAGTGTTTTCTTACTCTTTCACTTTCCGAGGTATTTGAAATTGAGAACACGTGGCTACTGGAAGTGGCTCCACATTATTACAAAGCGAAAGAAATAGAGGACAGCACAAGTCACAAGATGCCTAAGAAGATCGGGGCAACAAAAGAACAACTACAAACGTGATTACGGAAAGTTTCTCATTTAAAGTCAGTATCACACTTGCTTTGTCTATGAAAATATCTTGCTTATGGCGTTGCTGGACTGCAGTAAGCCTCGGTTTGAGAGTGTTGGCTGCGTGTGAATAGCTCTATCTGAGATTGCAAGTATACTTAGTGGTAAAAATGAACAAATACTAAATGCTAAATGCACTTTCGTGCATTTATCAAATGAACAAATGATAAATGCATTATCATGCATTTTAAAGGAAGATCGGCCGGGTCGAAATTCTTGTTAGATATGGCTTCCACCACAGTATACTTCATTTAACTTTTATGCACAATATCATTTTTTTAAATCTGAGATATTTTAAAATGACTCAGAATTTGAAAATTAAACCGCAGCGCAGTTATCAAGGAAGGTGCTCTCTGTATCTACATATATCATGACAGGGAATCATATATCCAGTAATGCATTTAATGAAAAATTGGCGTACGCATGTTATTTTAGAAAGGATATTGCTTTTGCTTCCGTCCATGAGGCAAGGTCCATTTGGCGAAAAACAAACGAGACCTTCAGCATTTGTTTTGTTCTTGTATTGTTACAAGGTGAATTTAAAATTCCGTTTGACTTTTGCGAAACGTTTCAGTAAAATACTTCGATTTCTGTTGGTGTGAAGTACTGGCTGCCAGCAAACAACGACTTGGTTTGTAGAGTGTTGTATTGATATTCTTCTGGTGGTTGGTATGTGTGACCAAGGTTGCTGTAAGAGCTTTCATTGCTGTTGGCATTGTCGGCGATGTGGAGATCAAATTGAGAGCCTCCACCAAAGGTTGCTCCATAAGAAGAATCACAGAAGATCGCTTTTTGACTTCCGAAAATCGTTTTGGGGCATTTAAATGGTTGCAGGTTGTGTGGGTTCCGCAATGAAAATAGAAATGATTTGTTGGAGCTTCCATATCGACCTGAACTAGAACTTGCTGTTGAGAAAGAATAGTGACAACAATCATCAACATGATACTCATCACGGAAAACTGAAATCAAGGAGTACTTGTTTTGTGAAGGTTACTGAAAAAAATGCACAGTGGACAATTTAACCTAATATAATGTTAAAAACCCTCTTAAAAATCCCTTAAAATGAGGAAATCTAGTCTACGCGGTTTTGGTAGTTATTGTTAACGGTTTGGTAAAAATTTACGTCAAATTGTGGCCAAACACCTTTATTTCGAATGCAGATCACCCTATAATATATGTCCAAACAGTGCTTTCGACCAAATGTTCGTTTAATGTTCTTTTAATTACTTACACTTACCTTTCCAACTCTGATCAGTGTATCCACCAAAGATCCATTTTCCAACCTGGACCAAAACTACTGTTGGTTTTTTGCTATCACATAAACGATGAAACGTCTGGCTCTCCCAACCATGGAGTGATGCTCTGTAGCAAAGCCTCAATGGCACGGTTCTCTCAAAAAAACGTAACAATTGATCAAAAAGCTTCTCATTATATTTCAGGATTGACGTGTCAGGCATAGCATCTATATTAAAAAACCACACGCAGAATTTGTACGCCGTTAAAATTCACCGAACCCCCCCTTAATATTCTTTTTTTTATAAAATTAGGTACTCAAAAGCCCTAATAACATACCTATTCACTTTCCTGAAAGTCAAAGGAGCACTTTGCTTTCTGTCGTGTTATGTTATGTTTTGTTCTGGTAAAGTTTTGTTTGTATTTTTGGTTGGTAAGTACTTATGTCCTTTTCACGTGAACAAGCTAGGCTCAATGTATGAGCATTCTACGTAACTACGTAATTCGTTAAATAAAAGGAAAAGGAACGCAATTAACCTGTACAAGTGTCTGCCAATTGCTTGATCGCCTTATAAAAATGTGGTTTTGTCATGCAGGACTGTTCGTCAACCAATTGGATCTGGAACGATGATAAATATTGCAGCATTTGAATATTATCATCGATAACTTTCTGGGTTGCTAACAATTCTTCAAGCTTCGAATTTTCCAACGCATCGTTTGTACCCGGAAGCGACTTTTCAACTTTTTCCAGGTAATTCGACATTAACTCGATTTGAGCCGAGAGCTTCTGACAAGAAGAATCGTAGACGTTGTCAACTTCTCGAATTTTTTCCTCCAAAATCTTGTCAATGCGACTTGCAAAAGCTTTCATGATCTCATCTTTTTGAACGGTATGTTTCAACTTGATGTCTTTCGCAGCTTTCTCGTACGTTGTCTTGCTGTTTCTGAATCTTTCCAATGCCTAATGAGTTCAAAAAAATCAACTAACCTCATAACGTACAGTTCCTTATTCACTCACTAGAAGCCAAGGAAAACTTACTACGATTTTGAAGAAACTTTTCCTGCGCCAGGTTATTGGATATCACAATATTGATATCACAACGGGAAAAACATCGAATCAATGTGGTATGACAACAAATGCCTAAAATAAATACTTTTGACCTTTCGACTTAAAGCCTTCGTCATGAGAGCCATGATGTACTAATAACTTCTAGAACTCTAAAAGCTAAGTGTTTTCCATAAACTCGGCCATTTCATGCGCTTCTTATACCACATTTGACACGAAATAAAAAATGAGGTATGAAGTTGTCAAAACTCAATCAATGTTATTCTTGTATGTTTGCATGGTGACAATTGATAAGTAATTAAGCTTGTAGGTACACCACGTAAGTATATTTAATACTGCAAAGCTTTCAGTCCGTTAACCCGGGCCTTCATTGCACTGATGAAGGCGCGGGTTAACGGACCGAAAGCTTTGCATGCAGTAACATATACTTACGTGGTGTACCAACAAGCTTAACTACTTATCAATCAATGTTGATGTGAGCACCAACCTCATTTCCCTCTTTTAACATTTCGCTGATGGTTGCGTATTTGGACTTCACGGCGTCTTGCTGTTTTAGATACATCTGATGAATCGCAATGCAGGTGTGTCCTGGTTTCGTGTGCACGGATGCAACACATTTTATGCAAATCAATTCCTTGCACGTTTCGCAATAAAATTCCGGAATTGCAGTCTCGTGACCAGTGGCGGTGCAGCGTAACGTGTCCGCCACAATCTGCTTTTTCTCGTCACGATTTGCTATTTCGCTCACAGATATCAAAGCATGGCTTCTATTCCTTGGCCATATATTGTGCGAAGCGTTACATGAGTGACACAGGAGCATTTCACACTCCATACATAGTGTAAGAACGGACTCTTTGTGGCATACAGAGCAAAGCGATGCTTCCTGTTCTGAGTGCTCTCGATTTGGATCAACGACCGTCAGCAACTTAACGACAAATTCATTGTCAGGCAATTCAGCGACGGTTCCGCCAGTTTTTATGGTAGTTATGGACTTGCAAGTTGGGCATTTCAACTTGTCAGTCTTGTCTTCGCTCTCGACATCTTCTTCTTGTATCGCCAAGTTCTCGACACAGGTCTTGCAGAATGAATGAGAGCAAGACAAAGTCTTCGGCTCGCTGATGGTCTTCTTACAAATATCACACACGAGAAGATTGTGAATCTCGACAATCGAGCGAGAGCTGGTTAAAGAATCAGCCATAAGATTGTAGAACAATTCACAATCTATATCAAATTATTGTGGCCCTAAACATTGGTACTACTTCCAGTCAAGAAACCCGATACTGCAGAAACTTCCCTAAACTGGTCTGACCACATTCCAAAGTTTTAAGCTTAATATTTACATTTTCAAGTAATAATAATATACTGCCGGGTTGACGTGTGTTGCAGTTTGCAGTTCTTTTCGTACAGGGTTCGATGATTTCCGAGTATTATTGCACCCAACTGTGTGGGGGGGGGGGTATGTCGTTTTGTTTCACCTGTCCATTTTCAGATATTCGTAGTTCGCACGACTTACAAAATGGTGATTTTATTTGTCTATCTCTGCCTCTTTCAGATAAGAATTACTGCACGTTAAATAAAATATACGGCATTTTAAAACATGGCTGTCGATTTAGGCTCTGAGCTCGAAATTTCTCCACAGCATCTTTTCCTTTTTAACATCATGCACTGCTTTGCAAGTTTGCAAGTATGAAGTATGAAGTGTGGGAAGAATTATATATAGATAGAAAACAATAAGAAATATTGTGTTACGGCATAACAAAAGCGACTTTATGTTTGTAATAATGATTTCACCACGTTGTGGAGGTTGTCTAGAATAACTCTTGCTCATAGGGGTCAGACTACTTTTTTTCACATTATATGACGATATTCTATATACTTAACTAAAAATACCAGGATGCTTTGCAAGTAATATCTTGTAATTAACTGCAAATCTGGCAAAGCATTGTGGGCTTATAGTAATCGGATTATGCCGCGAAATGTCGTACTACATATAGGTAAGGTCTGTTGATGATTTAGGCGTGTATACTGATAGTTATACGGGATCGATTTTAACATTTGTGTTTCAGTAAAATACTTCGATTTCTGTGGGTTTGAAGTTGTAACTACCAGCAAACAACGACTGGGTTTGTGGAGTGTTGTTTTGATATCCTGCTGGTGGTTGGTATGTGTTACCAAGGTTGCTGCGGGAGCTTTGATTGCTGTTGGCATTGTTGGCGATGTGGAGATCATTGCCTCCACCAAAGGTTGCTCCATAAGAAGGAGCACAGTAGATCGCGTTTCCATTTCTTCCGTTAATTAACGAGCATTTAAATGGCTGCAGGTTGTTTGGGTTTCGTAATGAAAATAAAAACGATGCGTTGGAAGTTTTCCAGTGTGCTGAACCTATGTTTAGGAGAAAAAAGGTCACTATAGCAAATTATATAATAACGTAAAGAATTCAAGCAATTTCATTGGTCGAGAGCCATGATCTATAAGAGGACAGACGCACGGAATGACGTCACAGCAATTTTCTTGTTTTTAAATTGCAAACAAATAATTCAATTAATTTTGGATTTTTTTCAGTTTACGGTTCATTGTAATCTATTTGTTAAGCACATTTTCCAATGTAGGAAATAGACTAGGGTTTAATATCTCTCAATATCCTCATTGATATACCACATTGTTCATCACTTATTATTTAATTCTTATATTGCATACTGACCATTCCAAGTTTGATCAGTGTATCCACCAAAGATCCAGGTTCCAACTTTGACCAAAACTACTGTTCCTGTTTTACCATCACACAACTGATGAAACTTCTGGCTCTGCCAACCATGGAGTGACGCTCTGTAGCAAAGCTTCAATGGCGACTTCTTTTCGTGAAGAAAACTTAACAACTGTTCGAAAAGTTTCTTTTCTTTCTTCAGGATCACTGTGTCTGGCATAGCATCTATATTAATTGACGAATTTTTTCATACATTCCCACATACGGATATTTCAAATAAAGCAATATATGCTTTCTGACGATTCCTGACCATTGTAAATTTGTAATTCGCGGGCAAACGGAAAAGAACGGTCAAGAGCAATGAAGTTGAACTAAATTTATATGCAGTCAAAATCTAAAACAGACCTTCAAAATTTCCGCCCCTATCTATGGTGCCGCACATGCAACGCCAGGCTTACGTCATCGTGAGGCGGTTGTCTCACCAACCTCTAGCCGGTTCACTCTCGGATTCAGATAGTTTTTTTTAGTTAAGGCAAGTTTCCTTCGTGTGTGGATAATTAACGACTTCCTTTGGCGTCTTTAACTTAGCCAAGAGTTATTGCGTGTGTCAAGCTTAAGACATGTACTAAGCCTGAAACATGCCAGAAGCGATGGTTCCTTGTTTTTTAACAAACTTTTTGTTCTGTTTTGAACGACCAGAAGTCTCTCGTGTTCGATATTTTAAGTCAAGACACTCTCATACATGCAACATGCTTGTTATTTGAAGGCCTAGGTTAAACACGCTGAAAGCTTTGCCAAGGAGGCCGAAAGTAGTTCAGGGCGGCGAGGCACATTCATTTTACGAAGTAAAACCTTCCTAGATCCGAAGTACTTCAATAATAATATCAGTCAACTTAAAGCAAAGAGCGCTCATCATAATTACATGTCATAGCGTTATAGCCCCTGAACTTTGAACTATAAAATATACGCAGTGTATACCTTGAAACTAATTAGACATATATATACAAGTAAATACGTCCAGGGAGCAGCGTGGCAGCGGCCCTCAGGTCGAAACGTCGAGAAATGTTTTCTCTTTTAGCCAGTTGTTATACCACATTTGATGCTAAGTCATATACAAGTAAACTCTATTCCTGCGATGACAATTATGTCGTATTTTTCTGTTAAAAAAATTCGGACCAATGAATGAATGAATCGCATAGAAAATCAAATTTCACCGTGCACTATCGGTTAATTGAGTATCATTCTAACCTGCATAAGTCACTGCTAATTCCTTGATTGTTTCATAAAAACGAGGCATTTCCATACAGGACTCCGTGTCAGCTTGCTGGACCTGGAACGATGATAAATATCGCAGCATTCGAATATCATCATCGATAATTTTCTGCGCTGACAACAATTCTTCAAGCTTCGAATTTTCCAACACATCATTTGTACGCTGAAGTGACTTTTCAACTTTTTCCACGTAATTTGATATCATTTCAATTTGGGAAGAAAGCTTTTCACAAGCGGGATTGAAGACTTGATCGACTTCTTCTAATTTTTTTTCCAAAACTTTGTCAAAGCCTTCTTCAATAATTTTCATCATTTCATCTTTCTGAGCGGCGTGTTTAACTTTGATATCTTTCGCGTTTTTCTCATAAGTTACCTTGGTTTCTTTGAACGTTTCTAACGCCTTAACGATGGAAAACAATTATTAGTATAAGAAAAAATTGAATTACCTCCATCGGAAGCCTTCACATCTGGGGCCGGTTGTATCAAGCCCGTTTAGCTTAAACGGTGGTTAAATAGAGAGCAAGTCTATCGTCTTATTCAAGAAGCAAACTAAATGTTTTTCAACTTAATACAAAGATACTGTTTACAACTACATATTCAGTGCATAAAATTCAAGTTGACTCATTCAAGAGAGATGTAAGAGTGTTATTTAATTTTGACTTATCCCTTGATACAAGCGGGCCCAGGTCGACACGGATTATAGTTGCATACGTTTTTTGTCAAGCCTATATATTTCAAGCTTATTTTTTCGTGTGTAGGAGAAACAATTTTTCCTGGTCGGGCGCACACAAACAGAGTGGTATAGTTTAAAAGCTGGCGTGACCAACGTTTTAACAAGGCTTCTTGTCAATGAAAACTTGTCAGATTTTTGCATGCCGTCACCTTAGCAAATAAAATGAAAAATTGAAAAAAAGAGAAGAAAAATCATAAAAATCCACCATGGACAAATTCGTTTAGTTCAACAAAGCCTTCAGTTATATACAGCACTGAATTTCAAGGATCACTAACCTTGTTTTCTTCTGCTAACATTTCGCTAATAGTGGCGCATTTTTTCCTAAGAGCCTCTTGTTGCTTTACATAAATCTCGTGAGTCGCAATGCAGGTGTGTCCTGGTTTCGTGTGCACGGATGCAACACATTTTATGCAAATCAGTTCCTTGCATGTTTCACAATAAAATTCCGGAATTGCAGTCTCGTGACCAGTGGCAGTGCAGCGTAACGTGTCTGCCACAATCTGCTTTTGCTCGTCACGATTTATAATTTCGCTTAGAGACAGCAGATTATGGCTTTTATTAGCCGGCCACGTATCATGAAATCCGTGACACGTATGGCAGAATATCATTCCACAATCCATGCACGTTGCAATGGAGGTTTCTTTGTGACAGTAAGAACATAATGAAGTCTCTTCGTTTCGATCTGGTCCAACAGCAGTTAGCAGCTCAGCGATAAATTTACTGTCTGGCAATGAAGAGACTGTTTCGTCTGGTTTCAATGTGGTTGTGGTTTTGCAGGTCGGGCAGACTAACTTCTTGCATTCGTCATCGACATCTTCGTCTTGTGTCGACAGGTTCTCGACACAGGTCTTGCAGAATGAATGAGAGCAAGACAAAGTCTTCGGCTCGCTGATGGTCTTCTTACAAATATCACACACCAAAAGATTGTGAATCTCGATAATCGAACGAGAGCTGGTTAAAGAAACAGCCATAACGCCCGTAAGATTGTAGAACAATTCACAATCAATATCAATATGACAATATCCAAATTATTGTGGCCCTAAACAATTACTACTTCCAGTCAAGAAACCCGATACTGGGACTTGCTTAACCCTGTTTGACCACATTCCAAATGTTATGCATGCTTATTTACATTGTTTACATACAGGGTTCGTCCGGTTCGATGATTTCCGAGTGTTGCACCCAACTGTGTTATGTCGTTTTGTTTCGCCTGTCCATCTTCGGATATTCGCAGTTATTTGTCTCTGCCTCTTTCAGATGGGAATTACTGCACGTTAAATAAAATATACCGCATTTTAAAACATGGCTGTCGATTTAGGCTCTGAGCTCGAAATTTCTCCACAGCATCTTTTCCTTTTTAACATCATGCACTGCTTTGCAAGTTTGCGAAGTATGAAGTATGAAGAACAAGGAAGAATTAGATATAGATAGAAAACAATAAGAAATATTGTGTTTTGTCATAACAAAAGCGACTTTATGTTTGTACCGGGTGTCCCAAAAAAAACTTTACCTCTTTGTCTTAATATAACTCAAAAACGAATAAAAGTCATTAAATTGAAATAAACTCCACTGCATGCAAGCAGGGCTAACTTAGATTTTGATTTATAACACTAAATTATTGATGCGATATTTACGGAGATACAAGCATTTGATGTCGCAAGGTACTTTCAAAATCTGTGGAAAATTGACAAAAATCGGTTATTAAATTTTTTCGAAACTAATACTTTAACTTTTACGTTTTTAACTTTAGTGATTTTAACTTTAAATGTACGCTTTTCCATTGCAAACTTACTCTTATATAAGAGCGAACAATTAAAGTTAAAATCGCTGAAGTTAAAAACTTACCACGGGAAGTGGCATGCAAGTATTTTCGAATTAATTTAATAGCCGATTTTTTTCAATTTTTCACGGATTTTGAAAGTACCTTGCGACATCAAATGCTTGTATCTCCGTAAATATCACATCAATAATTTAATGTTATATATCAAAATCTAAGTTAGCCCTGCTTGTATACAGTGGAGTTTATTTCAACTCAATAGCTTTTATCGTTTTTGAGTTATATTAAGACAAACAGGTAAAGTTTTTTTTGGGACACCCGGTATTCTGTTTTCTGAGTAAAAAGAAAGTCAAATTGCGTCAATTCCAAGTCAACAGCAGGGTGCAATACCTAGAAACGATGCTGGCATGATAGGCTTGAATTTCAGGATGTGGCCAGACAGGTTTTTGTGCTGGATCAAAACGTCGTCACAGTTTTGCTTCTACTTCCTTGATGTTGTAACGCCGTTTAGGAGGAAAGTTGAAACATTAAAAGTTGTTTTACAACCTCATATCACGGTCATATGGCCGCTTGTTTAACGAGCGTTCGCTCAGTTAAAGAGATTCACAATCTTCTCGAGTGTGGTATTTGTAAGAAGACCATCAACGAGCCGAAGACGTCGTCGGCTTGCTCTCATTCATTCTGCAAGGCCTGTATCGAGAATCTGGCGATACAATGCAAAGAGACGGAGCTGGTTTGTCCAATCTGGCACTGCAAGGCCTCAATCACATTGGAAAGCGTCGCTGCATTGCCAGATAATGCGTTTATTAGTAAACTGCTGACTGCTGTTGGTCCAAATGGAAAACAAGAAAGCGTCATTTGCAGTTTCTGTGACAAAGAGACTTCGCTTGCAGTATGTTTGGAATGTGAAATGCTCTTGTGTCATTCCTGTTGTGGTTGGCATGATAAGTGGCCCAGAAACAGAAGCCATGTTTTGCTAACTCTAAGTGAAGTGTTCCATCACAAAGAGCGACAGAAAATCGGAGCGGAAGTGTTGCGCTGCAATGGCCACAAAGATTCCGTTCCAAAATTTTATTGCGACACATGCAAGGAACTGATTTGTATAAAATGTGTGGCGACCGTGCACACAAAACCAGAGCATGCGTTTGTCCCGATTTACGAAATCTTTTGCAAACAACAGGCCACTGTGAAGTCAAATGTTACAAAAAGGAAATCAGGTGCGTATTTTGAGCTTGTTAAAAGTTTGAAGTCAATTTCAGTTTCACGCTCCTCGCGCGATTAACACGACGATCTAAAGACGAAATGACGTGAATAATTAGCAAAGCTTTAAAGACTTGCATTATATAATTAAAGTCTCATTACACTACACCTAATTTATTGGAACGGCACGGCTAAAATTGGTACCCGTACCCATCTTTATTAATGTTCAGGCTACCAATACAAAGACCGAACACGGACGAAATTGGTACGGGTACACATTTTAGCCGTGCCGATAGATTGGGTGTAGTGTAAACGGAGCTTAAATGACCAATATGGTAATGATTTTGCTAGCACTTTACCGAAGACACTTTTGTTCACATAATCGGGGCATTTACTCTCATTTCTCCTCACTTGCCAGGCATTACAAACTGTCAATGAGAGCAAGATAACTTGCGAGAGAACGGCGAAATCTGCGAAAGCAAAACACGTCGCTCAGAAAGATGAAATGATAAAAACTGTTATTGATGCCGTTAATAAGTTTTCGGAGAAGAAAATTCAAGAAGTTGACAAAGTCTACGATCCCGCTTGTCAAAGCCTTTCCACTCAAAGTGAAAAGATATCAAATTACCTGGAAAAAGTTGAAAAGTCGCTTCAGCGTACAAATGATGTGTTGCAAAATTCAAAGCTTGAGGAATTGTTGACAGCCCAGAAAGTTATCGAGGAAGATATTCAAATGCTGCAAAATGAAAAGCCGTCATTTCAAGTTCAAGTCACAAATCCACAATCCTGTATGGAAAGAATTCGTTTTTATAAGATATTGGAAAAATTGGCGGCAGATGATTGTAAGTATATGTATATGTTTATTTTTCTTGAAATTCCTTCTGCAAACTGTTTTTTCATTGGAAATAGGTTTCCATCCATTGATGCGAGATACGGTTATTTTGAAAGACGAAAAGGAGCTTGTTAAACATTTGCTAAGATTCCTTGACAACAGAGAATCGCCATTGAAGCTTTGCTACAGAGCATCACTCCATGGTTGGCAGAGCCAGAAGTTTCATCAGTTGTGTGATGGTAAAACAGGAACAGTATTTTTGGTCAAAGTTGGAAACTGGATCTTTGGTGGATACACTGATGAAACTTGGCAAAGCAGTAAGATTTTTTTCACTTTATCTTTCGATATCAAATCTATAGTCGGCGGATGAATTCTTTTCACTTTCTTATGTCGGACAATTTTATCACTGAGACATATTGAAGTAATAACTAAATACAATCTTCTAAACAAATTAAACAATACGGAATTATACGCCATAAATTGTATAAAACTCAGTAACTGAACACAGTTCGAGTAAAGATTCGGTGCACGTATGATAACCGCGTGTTTCAAATCAAAGCGTCGCGATCAAGGAATACTCAAGCGTTTTTTTTGTTGTTTAATCAATTTAAAATGTGCTGGTGCAATGATAAAATATGTGAAAAAATATTGTTCAAGTTTGTTTGATCTCAGTATAATATTTTTGCTGTCCCTGTTTTAAATGTGACATTATTAAGTTGGTTAATAACTATATCCATCTTTAAGTGAAATGATTACAATAAGAGTTACAATATTACAATATTCCTTGCTATGCATGATAAAATAAAAATATATACTACATGATTAATATATGAATGTTTTTTAGAATATATCGCTCGAACCATAAAAAATTTTTCATACTGTTCTCTTTTCAGTTCGAGATAAGATGTTTTTCTTATAGTTTAGTCTTAAATGATGAATTATTTTATTTTTATTATAAATAGTGACAGTGATAAGTATAGGTTCGCTCGATTTAATTCTTCTCACTTTAATTCTAACCTTTTGTATTGCGCGTTTTCACAAATAATTCCGGCAAAAAGTCGAAATAAGAAATCTTACTCAATCTCTGGAAACCTCTCCTGAATACTCTGAGCTGCTGATCGCGAGACAAGAGCTGGATTGATCGTTAATTTGTTTTGTTTCTTCTCCTAGGCTCATGGAAATATAAAACTTCCAACGCATCGTTTTTATTTTCATTACGAAACCCAAACAACCTGCAGCCATTTAAATGCTCATTAATTAAGGGAAAAATGGAAACGCGATCTTCTGTGATCCTTCTTATGGAGCAACCTTTGGTGGAGGTCATGATCTCCACATCGCCAACAATGCCAACAACAATCAAAACTCTTACAGCAACCTTGGTTACACATACCAACCACCCGCAGGATATGAATACAACACTCCACAAACCAAGTCGTTGTTTGCTGGTAGTCACAACTTCACACCCTCAGAAATCGAAGTATTTTACTGAAACACCAGGTTAATTAAATCAGAATAATACTTTTAAAATGGACAATGAAAAAGATTATTATAGCAGAAGGAATTTTTTATATTTCCTGTCGCACGACAACCATTTCACTTTTTTATTTGTTATCTTATTTTCGTCTTTACGTCAATACACATTATATATATTATAGTATTTTACTGAAACACAAATCACAACATTTAACAAAAACCACAACTCAAATTCTAAATACGCCGGCTCACAAAAATCACTGTTATCAGCTGATAACAAGTTTTAATGACAAAATATAGAAGTATTGAATCAATTGAATGTCACAGCTAGGTTTTGTGTATCAGATTCTGACGTTTTTCTGTATAATCTCTAATATTCGTGATTATCGTGCTAGCGATCTTTGTCTGTTAAACAGCTAGTTGCTGATCGATATACGTCATACGATAACTGTACTATATTGTGATCTGTCTGCCGCATTTTAATAAAACGACCGGACAAATGTGTCATTTGGGACAGTTTTTGCTGATATTTGCAAAGGAATTTCAGAGATGGTTGAAAATTTAAAATACTTGACTATATATGCATGTACATACAGAAGAAACTATGAACATTTTCACCCGGTCACTCTACTGATAATATACTTATTATTTACTTTATGCATATTTTGTCTTCTGGGAAAATTCAACTA